TCCGCATCATGCGCTTCCTCGCAATGACCTTGGTCCTCATAGCAAGCTTCGTCTCGGCATTCTTCTTCCCTTCCTCGGTAGGCGGCATCTCATCCGCCTTCCTTTTTTCGTCCTCTCCCCGCTTACCCCCCTTGCCGCTCTTACTATCCTTTCTGTTACCTCTGTCATCCTGACCACTCTTCTTCCACCCCTTGCCCCCTTTCCCACCCGCCGCCACCTCCTTCGCCCTACTCTTCCCGCCCTGTGACCTGTCCTCCCACTGCCTCTGCCTCATCTTCTCCTCCTGCGCCTTTCTCCGCTGCACTACATTCGCGTTCTCGATCGCGAACTCGACAATCAGCCGCTGCGTCTTGCCCGCCTCGTTCTTCAGCGCGTGGCCGTTCAGGTAGCGCAGACCCATCAGCGCCCATCGGTGCGACGAGTACTCGATGAAGCCGTAGCCGCGCGACTTGCCGCCGCCCGTCTTCTCGTCCACCTTGGAGCCCTCCTTGGTCTCGAAGACGACCTTGGCCTGCTTCACCACGCCCTTGCCCTTCTCCTTCCTGCGCCGCTCCGCCTCCCTGTCCTCCTCGCCGCCGCGCGTGTTCTCTTCCTTGGAGAGCGGTTGCCTGCGGCCTTCCTTGACGTCCTTGGCGAAGCCGACGACGGCTTCGCGGGCGAGTTGTTTTAACTCCTTGGAACCGATGTTGTGCGGGATGTTGCGGACCGCGAGGCGGGTCAGGCTCAGGTGCAGCGCCGGGTTGGACTCGATCAGCTTCTTGCGCTGCTTGGCGCTGGCTTCCCGCATCTTGATCTCGGTCGGGGTGAGTTTGTTGTGGAGCGGCGAGTTCTTCTGGATGGCGCCTTCTGCCAGCAGGAAGAGTCGCCTCTTGTCCTTGTCCTTGCCCTTGCGTGGTCCTTCTTCAGCCAGGCGCGCGGCTTCGTCTTTGGACACGGCCTGCGCGACCTGCAGGATGCGGCCGTCGAGCGTGTAGTTGCCTTCTGGATCGGCCGTCTCGTCTTGCAGGACCGAGTGCTTGGCCAGCGTTGTAACAGGCCGATGGCGTGGCGCCCCCTTCAAGCATGCCTTGAAGTCATCCACGTTGAAGAAGCACACGAACCCTGTGCCGGCTGGCTTGTCGAGAGTGCGGTTCATCACCACTCTAGCGTATCTCACGCGCCCAAATCGTTCAAAGTGAGCCTTGAGTGTCTCGTCGGTCGTCGTGTAGGGGAGGTTGCGGATGAAGAGAGTTGTCGAGTTGTCTGTCATCGGCCGTTTGGGCCTTTCCTTCCCCTCGTCGTCCTCACCAGACTCTTCAGACTCGCCGTCCTCGTCCATCTCTTCGTCTTCGTCCTTCCCGTCTTCATTCCCTTCTTCCCCGCCGCTCTCGTCATCTCCTTCCTCCTCTTCCTCCTCTTCCTCCTCTTCCTCCTCCTCCTCCTCCTCCTCCTCCTCCTCCTCCTCCTCCTCCTCATCCTCTAGGTTGTCCCCGTAGTTCTTGAAGAAGTTCACCAGGTCCCGATCTTCTTGCGTCATATTCGGATCGTCCTCCTCCTCTTTCTCATTTTCCGCCTTCTTCTTCGACTTCTTGGCCTTGGGATTCTTGTCGGTGTCGTCGCCGCCTTCCGACGTAGCAGTGTCCTTCAGTTTCTCCCAGGTCCGCTTGTCCACCGCCCAATCCACGGCCAGCGTCCGCCCATCGACCTCCTTGCCATTGATAGCCTCCATCGCCCTCTCGGCATTCTTACGGCCGCGTAGGGTGACGAAGCCGAAGCCGGCAAGCTTGCCCTTGTCATTGGGCAGATCGGCAAATTTGATCTTGCCATAGGGCTGGAACAGTTTGGCCAACTGCTCCGACGTCTTGATGCTCCAGGGCAAGTTCCGAATAATGAGCTTGGGCGCTTTCCGAGCCTCTGCCAAGTCCTCCTCCCGCTTCCGCTTCTCCTCCACGGCCTTGGACGCAGCCTCGACGCCCGACTTGGCGGCATCGCGATGCCGGGGCTGGGCGATGTCGAGCTTCAGCCGGCGGCCCTCAAAGAGCTCGTTGTCGAGCTTCTCCCTGGCCTCGTGCGCATCCTCGGGATCGGTGAACGAGACGAAGCCGTAGCCTCTGGAGGCCTTGGTCTTGGGGTCGAGCACCACCGTGGCGTGTTTGACTGGGTAATGCTGCGAGAAGAATTCGGTCAGGGACTCGCTCGTGGCTGATGGCGGCAGCGATCGGACGAAGAGCTGTTTGCGTGACTCGACCCGCGCCTTCTTGGTTGGCGGGCTCGAATTTTGCCCGGATGCTGGCTCTGATCCGGCCGGTGCATCGTCAGTCTCGAGTTGGCGCTTCTTGCTGGACTTTCCCATGTTTGATGTAGCTCTCCTTTCCGGTTCTTTCGGATTGTTTGGTTGTGCAGCCTGGTCCGAGCTAGCTCCCGCTCAACTGCAGTGGAGGCCAGCAGAAAAAAATCCAGAACCAGGACGATAACGAAGCTTATCGTGCAAATTGTGGAGCGTGCCGCAGGACACCAGCCCCACGAGCCCCTCCATGCACCGTCAACGCTAAGCTGAATTGGGAATCAACCGGTAAACAAACATACCGGCACTGTGATACCTGCAGACCCTGGGGTTTAGGAGACAAATCAATCTGCGGCCTCTGACGCATCCACATCCACAGACGCCCAGTGTCGTAACCGAGACCGATGGGACTCAATTTTCGGCTGAGATAACTACCTACAGATACGCGAAAACAAGGACGCCGCCATGCCCGCGAGAACCTCGACGAGGTCGACCCGGTCGACGCGCGCTTCGACGGCATCGCGCGCCTCGTCGATCAACGCCGACATCCCCGCCGAGACGCCCGACAATGCCCTGCGCACCCAGGTTGCCGCTGTCTTCCGCGAGGCCCAGCGGACAACCGCCTCGCACCGCAAGCTAGTCGTGACGCTGCGCAAGATCCAGGAAGCGTGCTGCTACGAGCCAACGTCAGTCAAACGGCCGGCCAGCGACGCTGCTACCGCCATTTCCGACTTCGACGAGGATGACTTTAACACCGAGTTCGTGCGCTGCGTGCTGCGCATCATGCCCGTCAAGAAGAGCGAGGGGGTAGGCGAGAAGACGGTCCGGTTTATCGGCCTGTTTCTGCGCCACGCCATCGACAAGGACAACGAGGCCATGGGCGAGCTCGACGAGGACGCCAGCACCATGCCCGAGACACCCGGCACGCGCCTGACGGGCCATCTGATGGAGACGATCCTGCCGCTGCTGACGGCCAAGGACAAGTTCGTGCGCTACCGCTCGACACAACTGATCTCGCACATCATCAACTCGCTCGACGCCATCGATGATGACCTCTTCCAGAAGCTGCGGTCCGGCTTGCTGAAGAGAATCCGCGACAAGGAGGCCATGGTGCGGGCCCAGGCCGTGCTGGGGCTGGGCCGCCTGGCGGGGAACCAGGCCGAGGCCGAGCCGGACTCGGACGATAGCGACGATGCCGCGAGCGGCTTGCTGGAGAAGCTGCTAGAGGTGCTGCAGAATGATCCCAGTGCGGACGTGAGGAGGTCGCTCCTGGTCAATCTGCCGATCCTCCCCGGCACCCTGCCGTTCCTGCTCGAGAGGGCACGGGACCAGGACGCGGCCACGCGCCGTGCCGTCTACTCGAGGCTGTTGCCGGCCCTGGGCGACTTCCGCCACCTATCGCTCTCCATGCGGGAGAAGCTGCTGCGCTGGGGCCTGCGCGACAGAGACGAGAACGTGCGCAAGGCCGCCGGCCGTCTTTTCCGCGAGCGGTGGATCGAGGACTGCGCGGGCACTCCGGCGCCTGCAGAAACCGGACAGCCGGCCGAGGTCTCGCCGCCCAATTTGGACGCCCTGCTCGAGCTCCTGGAGCGCATCGATGTTGTGAATTCCGGCGGCGAGAACGGCGTGGCTCTGGAGGCGATGAGGGGCTTCTGGGAGGGCCGCCCGGACTACAGGGAAGCCATGGTCTTCGACGACCAGTTCTTCGAGACGCTGAGCGCCGAGTCTGTGTTCGTCGTGCGGACCTTCAACGACTTCTGCCGGAACGAGGGCAACGGCAAGTTCGAGGCGCTCGTGGAGGAAAAGCTGCCGGAAGTCACCAAGGTGGCATTCTACCTCGAGCGATACATCAAGGTGTTGATCGACGCCATCAAGAAGGCCGAGGAGCAGGAGGCCGAGGAGGACGAGGAGGAGGAAGACACGGTGGAGCAGGAGTTCATAGTAGAGCAGCTGCTCCACATCGCCCTCACGCTCGACTACTCGGACGAGGTCGGGCGTCGTAAGATGTTTGCCCTGCTCCGCCAGACGCTCTCCGTCCCGGAGCTGCCGGAGGAGGCGACCAAGCTCACGGTCGCTGTGCTGCGGGACATCTGCGCGCCCGACGTGGCCGGCGAGAAGGAGTTCTGCAGCATCGTGCTGGAGGCCGTGGCCGACGTGCACGACACCATCGTCGACGACGTGCCGGACGAGGACGTGAACGACAACGAGAGCTTCCACTCGGCTAGGTCCGAGGTCAGCAGTCCCAGCACGCCCACCAAGAGCGGCAAGGGCAAGACGCCCGAGCTCTCCGAGGAGGAGGCGGCGGCCAAGGCCATCAAGGAGATCATGATCAACATGAAGTGCCTGCACATTGTGCAGTGCATGCTCGCCAACGTGTCGGGCGACCTGCAGCAGAACGACCATCTCGTGGCGATGCTCAACAACCTCGTCGTGCCCGCCGTGCGCAGCCATGAGGCGCCCGTCCGCGAGCGCGGCCTGGTATGTCTCGGCCTGTGCTCGCTGCTGGACCGGTCGCTCGCCGAGGAGAACCTCACGCTGTTCATGCACTTCTTCAGCAAGGGCCACACGGCGCTGCAGATCACGGCGCTGCACATCCTGACCGACATCCTCAACGTGCACGGCGCGCAGCTGCTCTCGTCCAACCCGACGCTGCTCAAGGTCTACGTCAAGGCCCTCCGCTCCGGCGCGAAGCATCCCGAGGTGCAGGCGGCCGCCACCGTGGCCGTGTCCAAGCTCCTGCTCGGCCGCATCATTCACGACCACGACGTGTCGGCCGAGCTGCTCAAGACGCTGGTGGTGGCCTACTTCGAGCCCGCCAGCGCCGGCAACCAGAGCGTGCGCCAGGCGCTCAACTACTTCCTGCCCGTCTTCTGCTTCTCGCGCCCGGAGAACCAGGACCTGATGCGCTGCGTCGCGCTCGACGCCCTGCACACCCTCTACAACGTCCGCGAAGGCTTTGACGACGACGACGCCGACGTCGATGACGAGATGGTCTCGCTCAGCGCCATCGGCGCCTGTCTCGTCGATTGGACAGATCCGAGGAAGTGCTACTCCCCCGGCGGTGGTGCTGGAGGGGAAGGGGATGCCGAGAAGAAATTGGTCAATGCGGATGTGCATCTGGAGTTAGCGAGCGATATTCTGGAGAGGCTGGGTGGTAATGTGCCGAGTATGTCCCCCAGCCCCTTGCTAGCTCGCGCTCTCTCTGTCTCTCGTTCTCTCTCTGTCTCTCGTTCTCTCTCTGTCTCTCGTTCTCTCTCTGTCTCGTTCTCTCTCTGTCTCTCGTTCTCTCTCTGTCTCTCGTTCTCTCTCTGTCTCTCGTTCTCTCTCTGTCTCTCGTTCTCTCTCTGTCTCTCGTTCTCTCTCTGTCTCTCGTTCTCTCTCTGTCTCTCGTTCTCTCTCTGTCTCTCGTTCTCTCTCTGTCTCTCGTTCTCTCTCTGTCTCTCGTTCTCTCTCTGTCTCTCGTTCTCTCTCTGTCTCTCGTTCTCTCTCTCTCTCTCTTTTCCTTCCCTTCATTCCTTGCTATCGTTACTAACCTCCTTGCAAAACAACAGAAGAGGAAAAGAAAATCATTGCCTCCCTCCTTGGGAAGCTGTACGTCTCCCCGGCCTCGTCCGAAGACAAGACCCGAGAGGTCTACACCGCCGTCTGCGACGCCGTCGAGAACCAGCTGCTGTCCGACGCCACGAGCCGCAATGCCCTGTACAAACTGCACGTCGGACTCGGCAAGATCGTCAACAGCCTGGATGCTGCTGCCGAAGGCGGCGGGCTGGCTGCTGGTGGGAGATCGCGCCGGAGTGCGAGTCGGGCGAGCTCGGTTGCCTTGACAGACGCCGGCCCAGGGAGTGTTGCGGCGGCAGAGAGAGAAAAGACGCCGGTTCAGCACGAGGTGCAAATCAAGGAGGAGGAAGAGGAGGACGACGGTGACGATGCGGCGACGGTGGTGCATCACGGGTCGACGGAGCAAAGCCTCGTTGACGAGCTTCTATCAGAGGAAGAAGAGTTGTGATGACTGCATCCACTGGCCGAGGGGTATATTATAGGGTGGGGATGGGTATATAGGCAGACTTGGTTGTTTGGGATTCGCGTTACGGGGGTTGGGGGGTTGGGGGGGTTATCTTGGTTTTGTTACGTCTGCCTGGGTATGAATAGGTCCTTTCCACGACTCCACGACGTCAATGCCATGCTTTGCCTCGTTGCGCTCTTCCGTACAATCAACATATATTTACAGATTACACCATAACAACATCCATGTGTGTGTTTAAGTTATCCATCCCTTTACTCATTTCCTCCTTTCCTCCACCGTCCCCAACCAATAAACCAGCCCGCCCAGCCCAATATTCACCACCATATGCTGCCCCAGACTCCACGCAACACTGTACAGATACTTTGGCGAAAACACCGTCCAGATGAACAAATGCGTCCGCAGCAGCGTACAGGCAGCCATGACAGCCGCCACGCTCCCCGCCACAAACACGGTCAGAACCGCCACATGATGCTTCCACAGGTTAGCCTCCCCCTCCCCCTTCTTATCAGCAACCGCCATTGCCATCTCCCGTCTCTTCCTCACAAGCAACGCGACGTTGGCCAGGCTCCACCAGATCGGCGCCGCCCAGTTCCCCACGAAAGTCAACACCCCGACGGCAGCGACATCGAACGACGCAATACCGTTGTACGCGCTGGAGAGGTCCACCGAGGCGATCGAGTTGGAGCCGCCCGATGCGAAGAAGGAAGCGTGCTGCAGCAGGAGGCAGGTGGTGCTCACTTCGACGGGAGACAGGAAATCGAGCTGGACAGACGAGAGGATGCGGTACTGGAGGTTGAAGAGCAGGTAGAGGGGGATGTTGGTGGGCCGGGACTGGGTGAGCGCAAGGAGGGTGTAGAGGGTTGTGAGCGTGGCTACGCCGCTCTCGGTCAAGGAGATGCGCCGGCGCGTGAGGATGAAGAGGGTGGTTAGCCCCGCGAGCAAGGCAATGCCCATGAAGACGGCGCGGGCGCGGGCGACGAGGGAGGCGCCCTGCGTGAAGTTCAGGTCGAGCGAGCGGCGGGCGAACTCGGTCACGAGTTCCGGCGCGTCCTCCAGCGTGAAAGCCACCTTGAAGGTGAAGGCCGCCAGGCCCAGGCCGGTTGCGGCGGCGAAGCTGAGCCAGATGGGCAGGCCGCTAAGGCCGTAGATCAGGTTCTGGTGCACCCACAAGTACGTCGCGCCGATGAGGCCCCAGAGCAGGATGGGATTGGTGTGGAGGAAGGTCTTGGCGATGTCCGGCTCGCCGGCAAACTTCTGGCCCGTCTGGTTCCAGCTCCTGATGATGCGCGTGGCGAGGAGCATGGCTGTGGTGGAGAAAATCTGGAGGAATACGGGTTTGTTGCCGCTAAATATGAGTTAGCTAGGAGAGAGGCGGCGTCACTGGGACGGCGAGCTCACTGCTTGAATCCCTTTAGGCCCAGATGAACAAACCACGCCGTCGTCGCCCAGTACCAGAAGTGGTGCTCTTCTTCGACGTAGCTGCTGGCGAACATCATCACCCCGTACGCGAGGAGGATGGCGGAAAGGGGGCCGAGGGACGCGGCTCTATCTCTGGCACCCCGCGCCGCAGCAACGACTGCAGCTACGGAAGCCACAACTGCAGCGGTTTGTCCTAGCATAAGCCTGTGCATGTCATAGTTGCTGGCCATGCTACTGAGAATTCCTTGGGCGTTTCGGAGCCACTATATGCTCGTTAGTGCCGTGATCGGCATCCGCTGTTCCCAATTACAACCTGCCTGAGTGATGGACGATACCAATGCAGAGTGATCATCTTCAGCGTGCTTGACGTAGCTGTCAGCCAGTTCCTTCCAGCCATGTGCCAATCCCTGATAATCAGCCCTGGATTCCGTGAGCCCGCCCGTGCCTGAGTCTGGCTCGAGGATCTCCTGGCCAAACACTGCCAGAACGATGTCCAGAATCTGCCGGGCATTGCGCATCAGCAATTGAACTTGGTCCCTCTCTGCGCGGACGTCAACACATATTCCCGCAAAATGCCAGCGTCATCGAACATACTGCTTGCCCAGAATGGCAGGAACTCGGGGATGAGCGCTCCCAGGTTATTCTTGGGCACAGGGAAGCCCAGGAGAGCGGCGAGCGTTGGGGCGAGATCAGACTGCTCAACAGTGCTGTAATACTGGAAGCTCTCGTCCTGCGGCAAGGGCGACTGCAGGTGAGCCCCGAGGTCTCGAAGCTTTGGCGACATGAATACCAGGGCTGGGGAGGTCTCTCCGGCCGATGAGGCGCCGTGGTTGCCGGCGTCGTTCATGCCGTGGTCACCACAGACCACAAATAGCGTCGACCGCAGATGGTCTTCCGACTCGATGGCCGTGTAGATCTGTCTTATGACCGCATCCATCTCCCGCTGCTTCACAACCATGTGCGGGCTGACGACGGTCAGCGTGGGCCAACCACTTCTGCAGGAGCCGGCCTACCTCTTCGGCCCTCCCTTGTGGCCAATGTGATCCAAGCCGAGATAGTGCAGGACCATGGTGTTCCAATCATCTCTCCCGAGCTCGTCCGGGACATGGCGCGTAACGTTGTTGTCCACCTCGGTGAAGTCCTGCTACCCCGTCAGCGCCTGGTTCTTTTCTTTGCCGCCTGGACGCTACTCACCGAGACAAAAAAGCTCGTCGTACCATCGACTCGATCGAATGTGCCCGGAAACAGCTTGAGCCACGTGTCATCCCCGTACATGACCAGCTTTCCCGTGCCTTTGGCCTTCATCTGTGCCAGCCATGTATCCTGGGATGCCAAGCTCGAGCTCTCGTCCGCCTCGTCCAGGTTGAGGACGACGTCGAGAAACGACGGAATCGAGCCAGTAGTGATGGCCTTCAGCCGCGGCATCGTGACAGTTGGAGAGGTGGCGTGCGCCGTAAAGGGGAGAGCGGAACCATTGAGGATGAGCCTGGTCAGTCTGTCAGCTTGCGCGCCGACAGCAGGAGCCCGGCAAAAGGGAGACTGACGATTGCGTGAACTCGAAGCCGCTCTCTGCCGTATACACAAAGTCACTGTTGCAATTGTCCATTTGTCAGCTTGGATGTCCAAGAGTACAACCAGCCAACTGACGGCCTCAATACCTTCGCAGAGCGTCAACGACCATAAAGACGAGCTTGTCGAACGGCGCGGCCGGAGGATCGCCATACTCGGTCACGGAATCATAGCTGGCCAGACCGGGAAGCAGCGGTTTGTACGGAAAGAAGCCCGTGGCGAAGATTAGAATCGCGGCGGGAATCAGAGCGTTTGCGACAAGCAACAACGCGGAGCTCAGTGTCTTATCGGGACTGCGACGCGCTGTCATTTCCACCCTCAGGAGATGGCTCCAGGCAGCAATGACGGAGGAATTAGGCGTGGAATCTCAGTTCAATTGCAAACGTGGGCCATGGTCAATCCATTCAGTCATGCGGTTCATGGGTATCTCGACGACGCCAGATACGGAAAAGAAAGCTGGAAGCTTGGTGTTTCCTGTAATCAACCCCTCAAGGTTCCTCGACATCCTCAAGTCTCTAGGAGTACGAGGGTGATTGGATGGATGCCGGGCGGATTCGAGCCAAGAATTGGACCCTTATTATGCCGAGCCCCACTATGTAAGAGCCCCGACAAGCCGAGACCCGAGCCTCAACAACACGCTGGTACCGCAATAAGGCACGAATTTACGAGCTCCGGTATCAGCCGCGAGTAGCTACATTGAGCCAGCCATGGAGTCTACATCAAGGCAAACCACAACAATGAAAGGCTTGATATTTCCAAGCATATTTAGAACGTATATACATATCCAGGTATATGAGGAAGGAGGCGTGTGCTGTCAAACCCCCGTGCATCTCTCAAAGCCGAAGCATAACGCTTGTCCCTGAAACCCATTTCCATACCCTCAAGTCCAAGGCTTACGTGTTTCTCCATCACCTCCGTGTGAAACAGCGCGAGGCGTTGAGATGCTGAGTGGCCATTAAAGCCCTCTAGAGAAGCTTCTTGAGCGGGTGATCCCTTGAACGGCTGATCTACCGAACTTCAAGTCTCGGCTTTGCTTCATAGCTTGGGGGTCATCCGCATAACTCCGTGGGCTCGGGCAACTCCGAACGGAACTACCGTCATATCGTCTTGATCAAGATGCCCATCACCTTTTGATGCAGGCATCCATCTTCAGGCGTCGCTTCATTTCTTGTTCCGCTTGGGTCCCCTCATCGGAAACACAATGGACGACTTCTTGCTTCTCCGCTTTTCCACTTTCCTCTTGCTCTTCGGCTTTGTGCTTGCCGGCTTAGCACCATCTACATCCATGGCTGCTGCGAAAAGTCAGAGGCGAAGTCCTCGGGTCTGCCGCCGTGTGAACTTACTGTCGTCCTTCTGAGTACCAGTCTCCTTGGACTCATCCACAGGCTCTGAAGCAACATATTAGCATCCTCTCATTAACCTGGGCAGCCGTGCACATAAAACATACCCTCGTTCATCTCGACATCTTTTTGTGGCTTGGGTTGAGCGGCGATGGCCAAGAGCTTTGCGGAGAGGCGCTCTGCCCGTGCTGCCTCGACCGGCCCGAAGACATTCTTCTTGAGCCGTTGATTGTTGGCCTTGATTCTGCTCGCTCTTGCGCTTTTCGCCATTTCCGCTGTGTGTTGTGCCGAGCTGCAGTCCGAGCTAGAAGCCGGTGTAAAACAGTCTACACAAACGCTGGTGAAAATGGCACGTTACAAGCATACAACAAGTGGTTGAAATTTTCAATGCTGATGAAGGAGGATCAGATGCAACAAAGCAGTTCCATTTGGATTTACGAATACAGGAATTGCAACCTTGGAACTGGCCCATAGCCGCCACACTTCAAGGTAAGCGGGGCAAGTGGGGTTCGCCGAAGAACTGCCAGATCTTGCCAAGCTTGTCCTCGAGCCCGCTAGGTACCTTGGTCCTTACGAAGTTAGGACAGCTTCATTTGTGCCACGCAGTACCGCCTTTTGTATCGACGTCAACCCGAAGTGTGTGCACGAGGACTTCCTCGATCCTCGAGGCGATAAGCAGGGCTCTGGCAATCAGCGGTCCTTCCAGGCACCGAGTCTTTGCACCGACAACTCAACATCCCACATCATTTGATCTGGGACACCCAATCTTCATGAGGCCCCCCCCAAAAAAGCAGCCAAACTTGCACCAAACAGATTGCTGGTGGGACAGAGGCGCCCGGCCTCGAGTCTGGCAGCACCCTCCGAGGCAACTTTATCGCTCCTCCCTTCACCGCGGCCATCTCAATAAATACTGCTAAGTCTTGGTTCGCCTTTGGAACTCTGTCATTTCATCTGGCTTCAAGGCCATGGATGACAGGTCGGCAGAGGTTCAAAGCCTCATCCGAATTGTCCAGGTGCCTGCCATTTCAAAGACAGTCCTCCAGTCCATCTGCGCCGTGAATGGCATCCCCAAGACTGGGAAAAAGAACGAACTCCAGAGACGAATCATTCAGCGTAAGTAAGGTTATTTTGGCACGCAGACATAGACTTTCGCCAAACCTCTTTCGCCTCGGCCACATTTTCTCCTTTCCCTACTCCCACCAACAGCAGGGACATTTGCACCACCTCTTCTTGTACGCTGTGGCGTGACTTACCATCGCCGAACAGAAATTCAATCCTGCGCCGAGAGCCGTGACTGGGCGCGCTTGAAGGAAATTCGCGAGAGCATTGCGAATAGGGCTCCTGTTTACATAACCCCGGCACGGGTCTCGCAAGTCCCGGTGCCGCAAGTCCCGGTGCCGCAAGTCCCGCCGCCGCAGTGGCAGCCCCAAGTCAAATCGCAATCAACGTCGCAGCCGTGGCCACAGTCATTGCCGCGGTCCACCTCTCACCAGACTTCAAGTTCTCAACCCTCCTCCAGCTATGCGATGCCTCCCTACGGCCAGTCAGCTTACGATGCGCTCAATGGGCTGCGATCGCAGAACCCGCCGGCGCATTCGTTACGTGCACCGCAAGGTAGCTCGGGTAATCGGGCGCTACCCGGGTTAAATGTGCCCACTATCACTTTCAAGGCAAGCCCCTTCTACGAAATTAAATACCAAGTCGGCGATGTCAAGACCCTTGAGGGTACGTATTGGGCCGTGTAACTTCCTCCGCTCCGCTAATACGCTGGCTAACTAGGCCCAGTGATGACATCGCACCGGAACTCGGAGAAAATCTCTGTCAGGGTTCAGGATCATCCAGCGCTCCAGCTGTGCTTCGCGGACAAAAACATGAGAGTCATGGTGTTTTGTGCCGCGGGGAAGGATGGGGTGCAAGAGATTGCATTTCCGTACCAGTGCGAGTTGAAGGTGAACGGCGGTGACATCAAGGCGAATTTGCGCGGCCTGAAGAACAGACCTGGGTCTACTAGACCGGTTGACATCACGAGCTCGCTGCGCCTGAAGCAATCCGGCTACACCAACAACGTCGAGCTCACCTACGCACTGACTCAGAGGGTACGTGAAGACAACGATAGAACTCCCCCACAGGTACGGGACTGGTAAGGGTTCGCGCGAAGGTCTGCTAACGAGCTGTGCAGAAATTCTACATGTGCCTAATCGTCTGCCGTGCGATTCCTATCGAGACTCTCGTTGCGCAGATCAACAAAAAGATTCGCAAATCATCCGTTATTACGGAAAGTAGGTAGCCGCTCTTGTCGTACGCCTCGTACCGTATGGGCCGCGCTAACGGGTCTCCCAGTCACGAAAAAGGCCAGTGACCCCGACGTGGTTACCACGTCGCAGAATTTGAGCCTGAAGTGCCCCCTCTCTTACATGAGGCTCAAGCTCCCGTGTCGTGCGATCGGCTGCAACCACATCCAATGCTTTGATGCAACGTCGTACCTTCAGCTGCAGGAGCAGGGTCCGCAATGGATATGTCCCATTTGCAACAAGTCCGCGCCGTTTGAACAGCTGGCCATCGACGAGTGAGTTGTGAATCCCGAACCTGTCACGCTCCAGCGAAAGATGCTAATTTTCATTTCCCCAGGTACGCGCGAGAGATACTAACCAAGACCAGCGAAGACGTTGAGCAGGTGACTATCGAGCCAAATGGCGAGTGGTCCATGCCAGGCACGAAGAAGAAAGATACGCCGAACAAGGAAACAAGCTATGTCGAGGACGAAGACGTCGTGGTCTCGTCGGTCACCAGGACGGCAGGCAGGACAACAAAGACCCCTGGCCTAGTTGCTGCACCCCCCGCGCACTTAGCGACACCCACAAGCGTCGCTTCTCGGGACACCTCGGCCGCCCCCAGGTCGGCAAGCGGCAAGCGACCAGCCCCTGAGGTTATTGACCTGACGTTGTCGGATGATGACGAGCCGCCACGGCCGGTGAAGCGCGCAAACCTCGGCCATCAGTATTCGACTGTCCCATACTAGAAACATGGGACTGGCAAGAAGAAGAAGAAGAAGAGTAAACGTTAACGCTGCTTTCCACCAGTTTTGTTTTTGGCATTTTCCTAGTCTGCTCGGCGATGCTGGGTTTTTCCGAGGTCCACCAGCGCACCGTCACGTCACGATGCCCGCCGGTCGAACCTTGCAGGCGATCAACACGGGGTCTCTATTATGGGCCTACATATTTCCGGGGTTCTTACATTGTACGCGGGAGGACCAAGGCATTTGGTAGGCGTTGGGTGGTGTGGTATTATGGCATGTGAAAATCATGTAATGGAAGGGAGTTCCTTCGGATCAGGCATGAACGGAAGAAGCATTTTGCCCAGGGTTGCCCAGGGTTGCCCAGGGTTGCCCAGGGTTTTCGACCCGCAGGCTCGCCAGGCAGGGACAGATACCGCTGGTTTCAGGCGCAGTTCATCTGATGATGACGCTATAATTAGACTAGCGAACGCGATGCCTTCGTGGCAGGTATCAGGCATCTAATCTGTCGAGTGCGCCGGTGATATTACTCGTAGCTACAGGTTGTACGGAGTCGTGGTCGAATAAGGTACGGATGCCTGACCTGGTTCTCTTGGATTAAGTTATATCGGATATGTGCATATCGAAAGACGTGATTATCGCATCGCAGCGCTGAGTCCGTCAACGACAGCAGTGGCAGCACACCGAGAGACCCGAGCAGCTCAGCAGAACTTCCAATTCACCACGCGGCGCGAGGGCAACCGGGACGGTATTCAGGATTTGCAAAGATCTGATCTGTGGCAACCATACATAACTTCCTCCACGCTCGATACTGAATTCGACGCAGCGACGTCTTCTACGACAACGGCAATCCGTCTCCCACTTCCCACTGTCGCAACTCGAACGCTCCCACCAGGAATTTCCCGTTTTTCGTGAGAAGACATTCGACACGACGTGCAACAACCGACGCACCGCCATTGCGCGTCCTCTACCCCGCCATTCTCCAGCAGAAGGGCAAATCCAAGAAGAAAGTCAGAGCCAGAACTAGAACGAGAGAGAAGCGAGGAAAAGAAACAAGCTAGCACAAAAGCAAAAAGATGTCTTTCGAGCCGGTAATGCCCCCTTACAACGCCTCGGACCCAACGGCACGCTTCCTCTCGGCGTCCTGCCTCGACTTCCTGTTCATCGAGCTCGTGCCGCTGGCATACCGTGTCACCAACGAGCTGGAGGCTGTGGCGCGCGAGCAGGAGATGCTTGCGGATGGGTTTGGGAATGAGAACGACGGGACAACGTCAGCGGCAAACGCTGATGGGTCGGGGACTACTGCGCTGGCTGCGACTGCGACCACGGGGGGTTCGTCTTCTGGGGTATTAGGGGCTGGAGGGAGCAATAGGGGAGGAGGGGGAGGAGCAGGGGGTCAAGGGTCAACGGCGGCGACGATGATGGACGAGGAGGAGGAACGGCAGGCTGTGTTTCGGCGGTTGGAGGGGATCGGGTACCGGGTTGGGCAAGGGCTAGCGGAGAGGTGCGTTGGCTTGTCTTCTTTCCCGTAATGTGACGAGGGATCCCGCTTGCAGGATGCTGTGTTGACGCTATGCTGTGTTGCCGCAGATTCACCCGCGACAGGCCACGCTTCAACGACACGCTCGACGTGATCAAATTCCTCTGCAAAGACCTCTGGACGCTGGTCTTCCGCAAGCAGGTGGACAATCTCAAGACGAACCACAGGGTAAGCACCGCCTCAAACCTTTGCCCATGCACCGGAGACGGGTAAAAGCTGATCCACGCCAGGGCGTCTATGTCCTGACAGACAACGGCTTCCGGCCATTTGCCCGCATGAGTGCTCAGTCAAGCAGCCAAGCGGTGCTCCTCGCACAGCCGGTAAGTTCCACTTCCGTCTCCTCCTTGCCCTCCTATCACCTAAGTGCAAGACATACAGCTAACACAGGCATGCTGGGGAAACCAGTTCCTGTGGTTCCCTTGCGGCATCATCCGCGGCGCGCTGGCAGCACTGGGCATAACGGCGACGGTACATGCCGAGACAACCGAGCTGCCAAGCGCAGTCTTCCAGATCAAGACCGTCCCAGCCAAGACATAGCATCGCCGGGACAGCACTGGCCATATTGAAGGATCGAGTGTCAGCGAACAAGAGCCTCGTCCATTCTCGGGACATGTTCCCCGCGCGACCGCGTTTATTTCTCGTGTATAGAGGCTTGCGCAGCTACAGTGTCTGCATTGGATGTTTCCGGAACTACCACAACAGCTATGGTTTCTAGACTGGGGGTGTTGGAAGACAATGATGACGGCGATGGCGTATGGCGTTGATTTGCATCAAGGGCGGCAATAGAGGACAGCCTGACGGTCGAAGATCAAGTAATGTTTAACTATTTCTTGTTCGCTGGGACCGAAATTCCCTACTATGGCAGTATATCCAACCTTACCTTCCACAGCAATCTGGTTGTGGCATGTGCACACCCTTCCTTGTCTGGCCAGTTGCAGCTGGCCGCCGCTAAAATTACCTCCCTTTGGTTTCGTCGCAACCGTCACTAATAAATACTTTCTCGGGCCTCAGGTACGAAGGGACTACCGTTGGAAAGTGGAGAAGGGCCAGGTCGTAAGGGTCATCACTCAGGCCCAAAGAACTTATCGACCGAAAACCAAGGGAGCCCGTTTTGATCTGGAACTGCTGTATTCCCGAAACTCTATGATCTCAGTAGACCGACCAATACTGACCTCGCAGCTCATACCCCCATCACAACCTAAGAAATAAAAACCCAATCAGCCACTTGAACTCAACTCAAAAGCGTGCATGCCTATTTTCTAGCAGGGCGCGGCAGCTCGTTTCAGGCGCAGGCCACCGTAGTGACCACGAAAATCACAGCTGCTCAACCAACAGCAATCAGAAACTAGGGGGTATTCACTTTTGGGGAGGGTTGTGGGCAAAGTCGATGCCCTTCTTGATATTGCCCTTCAAGCCTGCAACTGCAGCATCGAGCAGCTTCTTCTCCCTGTCGGTGATGTCACCAAGGATGTCGACGGCCTTCTCGGCGCCGTTGGGCTAATCGCATGTCAGCATACAGACTACACTGAATGACTTTTTGCTGAACACTTACGCCTAGCTCGATGGGAACCGAGAAGAACTCGACACCGGTCTTCTCGGCGATCTCCTTGCCGCCCGGAACGCCGGGAAGGTAGACATAGCTGGGCTCCACGAGACCCTTGGCTCCCTTGGTCGCCTTGAGGAGCTTCTCAGCGAACCTAGACAACAGTCAGAGTGGCAATACTAAGAGTCCAAGCGGTCCGAGACATACCTGTAACCGGCATACGCCATAGAGAGGGTAGCAGATCCAAGACCGTCCTTTGCCTTGACGACCTCGTCACCGCCGAACTGGACGCGGTTGACAAGAGCTTCGTACTTGTCATCGGGAATCGTAACGGATGGGTTGATCTTGCTGAATAGGGGGACGATGGTCTCGCCGGAGTGGCCACCAATAACGGGGACGGTCAGTTCGTGGGGGTTGCTCTTGCCTGCAATCTCGGCGACGAAGGTCTCGGCGCGGACAATGTCGAGGGTGGTAACGCCGAACAGGCGCTGCGGGTTGAAGACGCCCTTGGTCTTGAGGACCTCGGCCGAGATGGGGACGGTCGAGTTGACGGGATTGGAGATGACCAGGATGAAGGCCTTGGAGGCGACCTCAGCGGCCACCTCGATGAGGCCCTTGACGATGCCGGCATTGATGTTGAAGAGGTCGTCACGGGTCATGCCAGGCTTCCCTGGAACAACAAAGTCAGCATGTGATTACCTTCAGAGTGATCATCTTGGGCACGCGCACGGGGAATGCCCGCCGGGATGATGATGATGTCGGCATCCTTGAAAGCAGTCTTGGCACCGTCGTTGGCGGGGAGGTAGCCAGCGGTTTTCTGTAGTGTCGGCAGTGTATTAGACGGTGGACGTGCTCAGTTGTTTCAGGTTGTTGGCGCTTACAGCATTGGAGGAGATGTGTGACAGGTCGGCAGCGACACCCGGGGTGTTGACGACATCGTAGAGGGCGAGCTCGTCAACGAGCGGGGAGAGCTTCAGGAGCAATGACAGAGGCTACGGGGCACAATGTCAGCAGCTTACGCTTCACAGGCTCTCAGGGAGAAAACAAACCTGGCCAATGCCGCCAGACGCGCCAGCAACAACTGTTGATGGTGTCAGGATCTTATTTTCTAAATCGCGCAAGACGCGCGGTGTCCCTTACCAGCTTTAACCATCTTGACTGTCGGCTGTGATGAGAGCTTGCGGGGTATGGAGGGGTAACTGCTCGAGAAGCTCACAGTTAGTAGCCGTTCCAGCAATGCGCCATTCAAACTCATCTGGTGAAAAGAAGACGACGATTGTTTACCTGGAGATGGTCAGGATGGTGAAAGGGGACACTAGTAAATTCAAGCAGCGAAAGACACGATGTTGCTGCGAGTAATTGACCTGGGAAGAACTTCCTGGAGCTTAAGTAGAGTTTGGCGGGGTCGCGGGGCCAGCTGCAGGCCCGCTAAAACCCCGGGAGCTGCTCCCCGCGTTGCTTCCGCCCAGACGGTGTCCGGGGCATGCAAACATCATCTGACCAGGTTCACATTCATCGCGAGTGTCCAGAATGCCCAGAAAAAGCAAATTAAGTAGTAGGTATGTATTCTGTACTAGTAGTACCATGCAAGTGACGTTACCGCAAAGTTGGTCGGCCATCAAGGTCACCTACCGTCCAAACTCATATCGAATAGGTACTACTAGTACTATTACTCAGTTCGAACCGAAATTGCTGGATACAGTTTGGATTTGAAACCCCATTCTAGGTAATACGGCCTTTTGCCCGTGCTCTGCTTCATAACCCGGAACACATGGAGAAACCGAGGCCCGGCTTTCGGTCTCGAGATCGGGCAACACCGGAATGCTGCCACGGAACATCCCGAAGCGTCCATCGGGCACTGCGCGTGGATTGAGTGGATCGAACGGATCGACAGTGAACTTCCGATATTCGATTCCGAATATATGTATGCTGTCACGCAAAGGGACTCAGAGCATGCTTGGCGCGCAGGCGCTTGTGGGTTGTGCGCCATTATGTGTATTGTGCCGCAACACCATCCCGGTTGCGAAAGGGCCTCGCTTGAGTGATTGATTCTTCAAATATCAAACGCCATGACCCGTTCCTGAATGCAGTTGGCAGTCCGTCCTGTTTCACTGCCCCGCGTTTCACCGCCTGTCATGAACCGCTCGACGAGAGAGTTGCGGACTCGAATACAGAGATATACCTTCCAGCTTCCCCTGCACCTTGATCATCTTCTACTGCTTGGCAGCAGCAGCCTTCCTGGCGGCCGCGCCTCTCAGCTTCCTCTCCGGCTCGGGCTTAATGCGGAGACTTTGAGCCCTACGGATCGCGCTGGCACGGGCAACGGCGGCTTGCCGGAGGTCGGGGCGGTAACTGTTCTTGGCGACTTGGTTGGCAACAGCCTTGTAAGTCCTGTCAACTTGTAGCGTCAGCACTCCGATGTGTGTATGCCCGAGAAGTCGATTCCACTGACTTGCGAGTGCTCTTGTTGGCACCGTAGGTGACGGTGTACAGGCCCGCGGCCGGCTTGTTAGCCGAAGCCGGCTTCTTGCTGATCACCTGGATGCCGCCCTTCTCACCGGGAACGATGCCGAGAGCCTAATTCACCGCGTTAGATCCCAATGCCTCCATCGGTCGGTTCACAATTGTGTCCTCAACTCATCGTACCTTGTCGTTGACGAAGCCCGCGAACTATTCAGTCTTAGCCACATCAGACCTCCATATTCCAAGCTTGTTATAACGCACCTTGCGCGAGTGCACGTTCGTCAGGTTTAGGGGATCCCGGGAGAGCTGGGGAGCACCGCCAGTCTTCCTCTTGACGAGGTAGGCGTTCTGGGAGCCTGCAGCAGCAGAGACCGTCAGAAAACCTTTAAGCCCTCCTAAGTGCACCGAGGACGCAACTCACGGGTAATCTCCCAGATAAGGTCAGCGGAAACGTTGGACATTTTGGCGGTATGGACGTTGAACAAGCTGGCGTTCAGGACCAAGTCGTCTACAAGTTTTCGTCACCTCGAATTTGGGCACAAGCACCTGGGATTTTTTTTGCTCTCTCAGTGTGTGCTCGGTTAATATTCCACATTGGGGCTAGGTGTTGCGCTAAAATAATTACCGATCAGATAAAGTAATAAGTAAGTTAGTCTGTACAGTACAATACATGCCTTGTATGGAGTAACTTACACAGTATCTAGATGGTATTGTACCGACGGTATCCATAACTACTATGGTAAGTTACTTTAGTAAGCATGTACAATACATACATACCGGTGCCTACCGTAGTATGCTCCCCTCGTGTTCCCGCATCTGTCGTCTCCGTCAACAAGCAGCTGACGACTCATTGTCTCTTCAGCTGCGGGCATCGCCTTGTCGCATCAATCGACATCAAACCTCCCGAATGCTTCGCCAACGATAATCAAGGCTGCTCGTCTAGCGCCTTGACAATGACCTCCCTGTCCGCATAAACCACATCATATTTTCTTCATTATCTTCCCTCCTTCCCCTTGGTTCTTCACCTGTCGCCTTGCGCAGCGCATTCTAAGCTAGGCCGCCGTACCCGCGTGTGTGCCGCAGACTTCCGTTCAACGTCACAACTGAACCTCACAACTACCCCCACGCTCAAACGAGTTTTACATTCTCGAAGCCGAAACGGCCGAGTTCTTTTGCGCAGCGCACACCAAAGAAAATGGCCTATCTCCTCTACAGCCTAGTTTTTCTCACCCTCGTCAGCGGCAGCATCCTCTACCTGACTCGCGCCCGTTGGCTGCCCGCGTTTCAAGACTCCGTGTCCCGATTACAGAACTTCCGCTTCCCCGGAAGCGACTACCTCTACTCGCGCCTCTCTCCGGGCTCGTTTGAAGATGACATCGAAGCGGGCTTGTCGTCGTCCAACTTTGACCTGACAGGGAATGTGGAAGGCGGGGATAGCCGGTCGGGATTGGATGATGTGGCGAAGAGGGAGATCTTGAAGATCATGAAGAAGCGGCGAATGAAGTTCGACGAGGCGAGGAGGGTGTATATGGAGCAGCGTTTCCGTGATAACGGGATCGGACCGGACGGCCGGCCGAGGGATCCGAAGTTCGTGAGCTTCTCTTGAGAACGGTTCATACGTGCGAGAAAGAGAAAGTCTGGAAGATGGTCTGGGTTGCTTCATTTTTTCAGTGGTTCAGTTCAAAGACAACCTTTTTGGGCGGCTACAGGCCAACCATTCCTGTCATTCAAATTCTCTGGTGTGTATTATACCATTTCCTATGGAGCGATCTCTTTGAGCAGGACTGCAAGGCGTTGAGGGTGATTTGGGAGGGTGGTTCTCTAGCTACGGCCCAGGACGCGACTCTATTCCGCCCTGAGCGTGGAGTTGGATGAATAACGAAGCCGACTAGGTGTGCTGTCACGTCATTTTCATTCGTCATACCACAATGATATCTGTCAAACACCGGAAATCTTCTTAGGATCCTACCGGCCCTTATCCATTCTAGGAGAGCTCCCCAACCAATCTACCTCCCCCGGTGCTCCTCGCATTGTAGTACCCAGTCCTCTTTCATGATCTGCCGCCTTAAGAGCTAAGCTAAGGTAACAAAGTTCAATGCTGGATTTCAGCCTACTCCACACTTCTGCCCACCACCAATATTCGACCTTTGAGATGGGGCGATGCATGGACAAATTTAGTTCGTCAGGTATGCTTTCTAAGTAGAAGTGTCTTGAATTGAAGGCTCTAGCACGCATTCCGGCCATAACCAGCACAGCCGAGACTTGTCCGGTAGCCGTAAGTCTGGGCTCCTCACTGGATTCACATAAGATGCTTTCCGGCTGCCATCGTACTTGTCCATCCTAGGCATAAGAGATTGATTGAACCCAGACAAACACCATTCTATCGTTCACGCGCCTCTCCAGTCAGTCAAGACAGAACAAACCCTAGCAGGAACGACGCTTACGGGCCAACTTGTGTGGTGAGATCTCTATATGCTTCTCCCTAGCTATCTACCTCCACCGTCCCGGAGCATAGTAATGCGTTAACAGCGGCGCTCGGAGGGTCCCGACTCCCGACAGCTAGGTCGGGCCGGCAATCTCCTTTCTCGGGCCGGCAATCTCCTTTCTCGGTTCGGCTCAATCGGATATAAGGGACAGGCCACAACCCCAACCGCGTTACCGAGTCAGTTCCACCCTCATGATTTCATCAGCTCTTTTACTCCAGTTTCGATCTTGTATCCTCCAGGCTCGGACCAGAAATCCTGCCAATGGCGTCTTTGACAGTCCGTTATTAGCGGTATTCTCAGCGTACTCTCAGCGTTTGCGTGCACTGGTTCTCCTCAGATAACGTCCATCAAGTCGCGGCAATCGCCGTTCTGCAACCAGCCACCCTTGCGGAACGAAACCTGCTAGGTAGGTACAGTACGGAGTACGGATACTGTCACCTCATTTCTTCATTTTGTTTCTTCCGCCTCTTCACATATTTTCCTTTTCCGTTGTTCCCTTTGGGTCCTGCTTGGCAAGCCTCAAACTGTCCGGGTAGTCTGGCGTTCGGCCTTTTCCAAGCATCGGGAGTCGCTTACTCTGTATGCCGTGTGTGAAGCAGGGAAGGGGCGCCGTGGGCCTTTGCCGCTGAAATGCGCGGCTTGAAGTGGCGTGAGAGGAGCTCCCGTCTATGGTCATTGTTCGAAAGAAGACCTCTCCGGATGCAATGAAGGACCACAACTGGCTATATGCAGTTCCGGTTTTGTAGCACTCGGGGCCATAACAGCCTGTCTATGCACAAGAGTGGGAGTGGTCACTCCCCCACGTAGCATTGCACAGCAGGAACACCTACCTAAACCTCCGCATGTCCAGCCGGTCACGCCCCGGTGCTCGCAGATGAAACGAGCCATGAGATAGAGCGGGCGGGGATGCTGGCTGGGTTTGACGACGCCGCACAACTGGGTCTGGACACGTTGGCCAATATGTACTTGTACATAATGCAAACCGTACAAGGCCAATTGGAGCCATCAACTACCAGATAGCCAATCCCAGGCACTGAACATACTAGGTGAATAAGAACAGTAGGTAGGTACCTGAGTAAGTTGCCTACCCGTATAGGCAGGACGACATCTGAATGATGGTTAGCATGGAAGTTGCGACAGGGCGTCTAGTCTCAGCCTCGCAACAACCCTCCTAAACTGCCCGCGAACAAGACTATTTCCCTAACGAAGGAAAATAGAGCATCTCGCAACAATCTAAAACTTTTGAGTCCATCTATACCTTTCCCATGGAGAAAGTAGCCATTTTAATGTTGAGATTGAGATTTACATAGATCTTGGACAGAATCTGGTCTCCAAGTCAGGCGCTAACGAACAAACAGGCATTGAATTGTATAGCCAAGGGAACATCAATCGGGTGATGGTATGTACGGATTCGCGAATCGGTTGGTTCAGCAACGTTCAGCAACGGGTCGGTCAACTTAGCAAACCTCTTCCTAAATAACGTCAAGTGGATGCTGTAGTTATATACATGATATCTGCCGTAGGTACCCACGTGGTACCTTAGTTAGGTTGCCCTAATGAAGCTAGATGAACTGGGATTTATACATAACTACGTGAAATGCCAAAGGCCAAAAAAACCAAAGAAAGTAAAGAAAGAAGGAAAAAGGAAAAAGAAAAAAAAAAGAAAAACAACCCCTGCTCGCTCAGCACCGGCATGCTTCGCCCAAACGTTGATGTCACGGGTTTGCTGTTCCTCGGGAAACAAACGTGAGCAGTTTTGAAGACACCCCGGCACTCCGCTCCTGCGGGTGGATGCACACACCTCCTGGATCCACCACACCCCCCAACTTCTCTCCGCCGCCAGAAATGCCACGCTGACAGCCTGCAACGCACGGGCCGGAACCGCTTGTCATACAAGCGCCTTAAGCTGTCTCCACTCGGCGACCCGCTCTAAACCCTGCCCGGTCGGCTGCCCTGCTGAGTTCCACCCGTCGCACATCGGGCTAATGCACCTTTTTTTCTATGGATGATTTGGCTAGCAGCAGATTGCCTTGCACTTCCCCAGCCGCCCCCTCCGCTCTGGCCTCCGGGTCTCCTTCCATTTCCTTCCTAGCTGCTCATTCACGACGCACCCTCCTTTTTTTCGTCCCGACCTAGTTCCCGACCAACCCACGCTTTCAACATCAACACCTAGTAGACATACGACAATTGAACAACCCAGCGCAGGCCTCATTCCAAGGCTCAGCCTATCCTCGGGGTGACGCGCATCCGACTCGCGCCAAGACTCTTACAGGATTCAGTGCTTTTGCGCTCGCGCGGGGAGGCTGAGTCCTCAAGCATCAGCCGTTTGACTTGCCTACAAAAATAATCTTCATTGCCATCCATATCTTTCACGCGTCCTTCCGTCGCGCGCGATCTCGGCTACGACTCATTAAGTCGAGAGGAGAATAACGACGATTGACCGCCCACGATGTCGATGTATCCGGGTCATCGTGGCATGGCCAATGTCGGCCCCGCAAATGGGGTTGTCGGTCGTCTGAACGACCTCCTCAATCAGCTCCGAGCTGAGTTCGAGACGCACATCCAGCAGAACGAGACGTATGAGCATCAAAGTAAGGCCTCTTGCACTTGGCTCGTCATCACGTCATGGGTTATCGGGACAGCCCAATCCTGGTCTTGGCGTGGCGCATGCCCAATTGAACGAGAGAGCTAGTGCTAACAGCTTTCAAATAGTCCAGGCCCAGGTGCAAGAGATGCAATTAATCCGTGAGAAGGTGTACCAGATGGAACAGAACCAAGTGAATTTGAAGCAAAAGTAAGTCGCGTAATTGCGGGTTTCCCTTAGGCACACCGCCTTCCTGACACGATATCAACCAGGTATGAGGAGGAGATCGCTATGTTACGCCGCCAGCTAGAGAGTCGCGGAGGCCCGCCGGGACCGATGAATCCGCCTCCTCAGCACGTCGGTCCGCCGCAGCCGCCGCCGCAGATTGGGAACCCGGGAAACAATAGTGTGATCGGCGCTATTCTCTCTGGCCAGGTCACCCAAGGTGGCCTAGCCCCTCCTCCCCACCCGCAACAGCAGGAACAGCAGCAGGCACCTCATATGCCTCCTGCACCCCCCGGACTGCAGGGGCCGCCTCCTCCCCCTCCTCCGCCGTCCCAGCAGCCGCCGTTCCAGCAGCAGTATCCGCAACCTGCACCAGGCGGTTTCCCGCCCCAGCCCCCTCAGAGCACCGCATCTCCGGGACCGAACAAGCGAGCCATTGGCAGGCCTCCGGCGGCTGGGGGCCCGGCCACGCCGCAAATCAACACTCCGGTCCCCTATAACGGGCCCGGCCAGTCTCCGCAGGTCCCTACTCATCCCACGCCCGATCATGCCCGGATGCCGCAACATGCTCCTCCGCCTCCTCCTCCGCCTCCTCACCACCACCCTAATGCGTTGGGTGATTTGGACCCAGAGCGGCTCCCGAACCATATAAAGAAGGTTAGGGAGGACTGGTGGGCCATTTTCAACCAGCATGTTCCTCGCGTTCTTGACGTCGATCTTGTGCACACCCTCGTGCACGAAAGCGTTGTCTGCTGTGTGAGATTCAGCCACGATGGCAAGTACGTTGCGACGGGTTGCAACAGGTCGGCGCAGATCTATGATGTCGCAACAGGTGAGAAGGTCTGCGTTCTCCAAGACGACAGCATCGATCTCAGCGGAGACCTCTACATCAGAAGCGTCTGCTTCAGCCCGGATGGCAAGTATCTTGCCACGGGAGCCGAGGACAAGTTGATCAGAGTAAGTTCTCTTTTCATAGCATACTTTCCTGCCCCCACCAGCGTACTAACGTGGACAGGTTTGGGATATCCAAGCAAGGCAGATTCGGACGACATTCGCAGGTCACGACCAAGACATCTATTCGCTCGACTTTGCTCGCGACGGGCGAACCATTGCCTCTGGCAGCGGCGACAGGACCGTCAGGATCTGGGACCTGGAAGCTGGCGCGTGCCAGCTTACCCTAAGCATTGAGGACGGCGTCACTACCGTTGCCATATCCCCTGACACCAAGCTTGTCGCTGCCGGTTCTCTTGACAAGAGTGTGAGAGTGTGGGACATCAAGCAGGGCTTTCTCCTCGAACGTCTTGAGGGTCCGGATGGCCACAAGGACAGCGTTTATAGCGTGGCATTCTCCCCTAACGCGCGTGAGCTCGTCAGCGGCAGCTTGGATAAGACCATCAAAATGTGGGAGCTGAACACCACGCGCACCATCTCTCATCCCCAGCAGCCGCTGAAGGGAGGGCGCTGCATCAAAACGTTTGAGGGTCATAGGGTACGTCGAGTATATCGAGTCGAGCGTCTCTCTATCCGTGTAGTGGTTACTGACACTCGACCCAGGATTTCGTGCTCAGTGTCGCCCTTACGCCAGATGCCGAATGGGTGCTCTCCGGTTCCAAAGACCGCGGCGTCCAGTTCTGGGACCCGCGCACAGGGCAGACGCAGCTCATGCTCCAAGGACATAAAAACTCGGTCATTTCCGTTGCGCCGAGCCCGGCGGCCAGCCCTGCTGGTGGCTACTTTGCGACCGGCTCCGGCGATATGAAGGCGCGCATTTGGTCCTACACCCGTCTCGACCGACGGCAGTAAGGGGCTGGGCTGTCAAGTACCGGTTCGGTGCGGCCTTGGCCTTATCCGCCACGCTGGCCTTCGGATAAGGACAAATAACCCTTATCCGCTTTGGACTTACTCAGATGGAGCTCGGGACAACCACCCGCCATAAATCCCTGGGATGAAGGCTAAGAGGGATAGCGTGAGCCCTGCTCGAGACGAACGATGCCGATGAAAAAATCCGATAAATGTTCAGCAGTACCAGCCTCCAACGCTAGTGCTGACTAGACTAATACTGAGCTGAGCCGCAGCCCAGGTACTTGGGCCAAAGGCGTTGCAGCACTATTGAGACGGCGAGTCTGGCAATTTAGACCGAAGGCGCAACCGGTTTCGACATTTCATGTTGTACCCCAGCACAAGTATGGATTCTCGTCGGCACCGGTTGCGAGCGTGTAGGTGCAGAAAACCTCGCGTGTAAGCCGGCATACAACGGGAACTGCTCTCAGATTTGTCTGGTGGGAGATGTCACTTATCGTTGGAAAGAGGGTCGGTTCATCGATTTGTTGGTTTTAGATGTACGGGGTCGGAGTGACGTGGGCGGTTTTCCTTCTGGATGTCGCGGCGTCAGGAAATTGCTTGGACGGAGTGGCTTTTGCCTGGTCGGTTGGACGGGATGGATGGGTTCCTGTGATTCTTCTTGTTTGAGCGTAATCTCCAATCTCACTTTACACGATTACAGTGCAGTGATCCCTGGTAGAGAAGTTCTAATCAGTGTTTGCTGCTGCGTTGCTTCCGCTCCTCACGTTGAAGTGTAGGTACGCGGGAGCTACCTTATGCTCGGCATCTCTCACGACCGCCCTCCCTTACATACTGAGAGCCAAGTGAAGCAGAACCATGCTTTATGACAGACCACCAAAGATATCGTCAAACTCATCCCCCTTCTTCCGCTTCTTCTTCTTGGGCGCCTTGTTGCTACTGCTCTTGTCCAGCGCCCCGAAAATGTCGTCGAACTCGTCGCCTGCCCTTTTCTTCTCTTTCGTCTTCTTTGACTTTAAACATTCTATTGAGACGTCGGTGCTGTTGTTTGTCTCTTTGCTCACTGCCTTATCTGTTCCTGCCTCTGCTGCAGTAGATGTTTGCCGGCCTGCCGCGGCCGTTTCCCTCCGCAGTTGAACTGATGGTTTGCTGGGTAGGGAGGACATAGCGCATGCCTTTGTCTTCTCGTTCTGCTCGATGGATGCCAAGACCTCCTCCCTGGAGACGGCCACGCCCATGTCAACATCTACACCCGTCCTTATAGCCGCGTCTGTATCGGCTGTGCCTCGATCTCCTGCAGTCCCACTTCCTCGCCCGGATGTCTGAGCATCTGATACTGCTGCTCGCTCCCCGGCTGCTTCTGTGCTCACTTCTGGAGCGAACGGCACAACGGCCTTGTCCACCTGTGCTAATACTCCGAGAAGCATCAGGCCGAGGTGCGCGAACTGCCTATCGGCTGATAACTGGGTAAATGCGCTGCGATACAGGGATTAGCCGCTGTACTGTACAATACAGAATCTCGAAAACAGCAGAAAGACAGCAGAGAAAAGGAAAAGAAAGGAAAGAACCCACAGGTAAGCCCCCGGTCCAAGCCTCCAACGCAGGTACTCTGCCCTTTTCTTGACCGCCACCACCATCCCCCCCTTATTCTCATCACCTCCTTGCCCGCTTTTCTTCCTCACCCCATCCACCAAGAGCAGCCTCCCTAGGTTCTGCTTCATCTTCTTCTCATCCCTCGCCCTGGCCTTTGCAACCCGCTCCGCCTCCGCTAACCCGGCCTCCAGCTCGCCCAACATCTTCCGCACATGCCGCCGCAGCATGTCGGCCTGCGCCCACCATTTCGACAAGCGGTGCTGGTTCTTGTTGCGGTGGTGGAAGCGCTCGAGGAGTTCGAGCGCCGGTGAGAGGGATGCGATGGCGGCGTGGAGGACATCTGGGTTGAGGGCTGCAGGGAGTTCTTTGTCTGGTGGAGGGGGGGTGTTTGGGGGATGTGGTTGGAGCTGGGACATGGTTGTTATGAAATGAGGTGGCGCAAGCAAATGAGGTGAGGGTGGAGGGTGGACGTAGAGTGAGATAGAAACTTCTTGGCCGCACTGTGTGTCGAAGACGAGACGGAATGAAATGTGTGTGAAAAGTTGATTGGCGCAAGGGGCTGAGGTTCGTGGACCAACAAAACGGTAGACTGTAGACTGAGTCCGTCACTGTGTACGGATTAAGTGGGAAGGAAGGGAGCTTATTAGGAGTTGGTATTAATGAATTGAAAGTGAACTCGAACTTGCTTGAACTTCACTACGAGACCGGGGTTAGGGTTAGGTCCGCTGCATCTTGAATATCGATGAATAGGGGCTAGGGTGAACGACCCCAACGTTACAAAAGGCGTTGGTATAACACAAGTACACATCTTCACAGCAGGATGGTGAACATGGAAGTCGGAATCCGCTAAAGGCTGTAGCATTTCACCTGCCAAATATACTACTAGTAGCCGTGAAAATGGATGGATCGTAGTTCCGTTACTAAGGGGAGTCCAACATGCACTATTCTAGACATATTAGAGGCTTTAACTCACGGTTTATAAACAGTCTGATTGCCTTGCAAACCGCCTGATCTACACGTCATGCAGCATCATTAGCAGCAGGCTTAGTGTAGTAAACTTCATCCACTCCACGTCCTCCTATAGCCCCTTCACTGCCCTAGCGTTCACCATGGCCAAGGATATACTACCACAGTATAACTATTAGTCCCAACCTAAAACAGCCACTCAACCCTTATGCGGGCCGCCACTAACAAACCCTCACTCCGCAAATCTCAACCCCCTTCGTCTCAACATACGCTCTCCTAGAGAAATACCTCGCCACCAGCTCCCTGACAAAGTCAGCGTCCGCCTCGCTCCAGACATCCAGCCCCATTTCAGCGAGCGCCTGACTATCGACCCTCACCCAGCCCCTGCTGCTGCTGTTGCCGCTCGCTCCCAGCAACCTCGCTTCCTCTTCCCGACTGCCTCGGTCATGCTCCGCTCCACTTAGCGACGGCGACGATGCAGGCCCATCAAGCTCGGCATTGGTATCCACGTCCAGGTCCAACAGGTCATTGTCATCATCGTCCTCGGAGGAGTCGACTATATCCGCCAGGACAGATAACACAGAGGTAGTCAGTCGGTGGAAATACGCCACCACCGCGAGCTCGACCTGCGCTCGCGCATCCTCATCATCTTCATCGTCAGCGCCATCACCATTTTGGTCAGGGAGTGGAGCAAGCGAATCGGTCAGGCCCATGCCACCGCTACTGCTGGTGGTGGTGGCCGCGCCAAAGCTAGATCTCCCCTGCTCCTGCTCCTGACCCTGCCCTTGCGCCCCGCGCCGTTGGGAGGATGAGGTGGGCCCACCGCCACCGCCGCCGCCGCCCATAACGGGTGATCCAGGCGTCGGCGCCATCAGGTCCTCCAGCAGCGCGGCGTCGTGACTCTGCTCGTCGATCTCCTCGCTGTGCCGCTTCTCGCCTGCCGAGGCCCACCACATGAAGCCGTTGTAGGCTAGGGCGGCCCAGGTGGTGGGCTCGATAATCTTATCTGTGTCGTCGCTACCGTTGCCTACCGCGGAGAGGGTTGGTGGACGGTCATCCGTTGCAGCAGTTCCGGGTCGGGACGTTGAAGATGGTTTGGAGAGGCGGATGGCGGGGATGGTCGGGACGGGGGAGTCGCCGGCGTCCGAGGGTGGACTGCGTGGGTTGGGCGGTTGGGAGCGAGGGCCGGAGCCCCGTGCTACTGCGAACCGACGGAGGCCCATGGTGAGGGAGCGAAAGCGGCGGAGGTCGCGCTGGGTGGCTTTCACGGGGACTCCCTTGGGGCATTCTACTCTCGGCCAGACGCGATGCTTCGCGTTGGAGGTGTAGGGTGGTGGCATGGTGATGAGCATGTCCCAGAGCCCCTCCTTCATGGCGAGGATGCTGTCGGTGGTGCACGCGACCCATCCCGAACCGGCGTCTTCGTCGGGGTTGTCCCCTCGGACGGATCGCTTTCGTCCGACTTGGTTCTCTAATAAGGAGGATATGTCATGTACGCCGACTGTGAATAGCGGCCGAAGGCGCTGAACCGGGGCTGAAGGGTCTATTATGTCGCAAACGGACAGGGGTACATTGGACAGAACTGAGATATCATACACTTGAACAGGTTAGTTGACAGCAACTCTCGGAGCTGCGCATGGTGACGCCTACCAAAATTGCAGACCTCATGCACAGGGGCATGGCAGGAGATCAAAATGCGCTTGCGCAACAGCGCGGTGCGGTGAATGGGGAAGATCAGTGGCCCAAAAGTGTCCAGCAGGGATGTGAGACTCCAGGCTGGATGGAAGGGAGAGAGTCGATGGCCCGGCGGGATCAAGGCTGCGCCATCCGACGCAGAGCGGTTCCTAACATGGCCTTTACCTAGACCCGGGCGGCTGACCTTGATACTCAAGACGGGAGATTCGAGGGGTGTGTCTTTCAGCGGCTGAGGCGCGGTGATCCCGCGCACCGCGTGCTGCTCCCAGTAGTTCGCTAGCAGTTGTGTCTGTCTCCGATCGGCAGCGAGCTTGGCAGCGAGATCCTTCAGAGCCTCGGCATGGCGCCATGCCCTTCCGAGGCGGCCGTAACTGAGCGGCACGAGCACGCCAACGGCGATCATGCGCGCATGGCGCGTCTCCTCCTCATCGGTGGGGGTATTCACGAATGCGCTAAGGCCGGCATGGCCACCATCGTGAACGAAGTATATTAGGTCATCAGACACGGTGTGGAGGCCGGACGGCAGGCTCTTGTACTCGACGGTGCCCTCCAGCTCGAGGCCGGAAACGGCCTGTTTCCAGACGATGGTGTAGCCGGCCTTGACGTCAAAGTCGATGAGGAAGAGGGCCGATATGGGCGGAAGGTCGGCCAAGGCGGCCGTTGCGGAGGGCTGCGGCAGCCGAACCGAGAGCGGCGGCTGCCCGCGACGTGATGCGGCCATTGTCGAGACCCACGAGTCACGACCGCGACCCCGAACCAGCGGCCTCTCAGCTCAGGGAAAGCTGGTTTTCAGGGGAATGGCTCGGTTATTGCAAAAGCGCCAACATCCTTAGGCTGGGATTGGACACGGTAAAACGAGCTGCCCTAAATTTGTAACTCGGACTCCTAGAGAAGTGAGAGAACGGCGCGCAAAATGCTGTCGGTTGTTGTGTTAGATAGCTGGAGCGCTGGGTATCCGTATCGGATTGTCGAATGTTGGAAGATGGGGCGGGAACTATGGGTAAGTCCAGGGTGGGGTGGTTGACGGTTACATACTGTGGTACATGCACGTGGTATGTACGTAACTTACCGAATACCCCATAATGCAGGTAGCGGCTCCAACTAAAGTAACTTACCTGGCGGCCGACGAACCAGCAAGCACTCCCATCCGCAGGCGCATTAATATCATCATACTGCACATCATCTCTCCCGTATTCGACTGCTGAGCTCGGTCAACCCGTATAACTATTAGCTAGGGCTACGCATAGGTCGAGTTCGATGTGGTAATTCTATGTACATGGTTGAAAATAACCCACAATATCGTGTAGTTATCCGTAACTACTACCGGGAATCTTCGCAACCGGAACACTTGAAACGTGCAGCCGTTCGGTACTTGTATTGTACAGTACCCGCCGAGCCACATGGTCCGAACCTGGCTTCTACTGTACACAGTGGACTGCGATATTTACCAGGTACTCAGAGCTCGGGGTATGTAGGTTCAATTGCGCCTCCATCCTACCTATCATTAGATACAGTTTATAGGAGCCCACGCCTGTGCCTAAGCTCGGGCGATCATGTCCGTACGCCCTCCCGTTCTTTTTGCTACGGGCCGAACGTTGAACGGTAACGTTAGCGCCTCGGCGGTCCCACTGGAGCCCCGGGGTCCCTTGTTCTGTCCGCAGGTCTGCGGCTCAGTCAGCACGTCAGTCACCGAGGGATCCAGCCTCCGGTTGAGCTGTATCCGAGAGAACGAGCAAGATGACGAGACGACATGGTGTCCCCCAAGGCATACATCGAGCCTCGATCTTCTCCGCAAGTCCACACAGCCATTCCGTCGAGATAGGCATCCATAGCATAGCTGGGCCCTGGCATAGTACTCGGCTCCTGGAGGACTGCGCACCTTGGCCATGGCGACGGACGTAAGCTTGCACCTGTTCGAGTCGCTGACTCGCGGCCGTATCGCCGCCTACCTCGTTATTCTCACCATTGTCTCCTTCATCGTCGACTTCATACGAAGGCCACGGTACGCGCAATCCCTGCCGCGAGTCGGATTTGGCGATAGCTTCCTGGGGACCATCAAGAACTGGTTCTACTTTGCGACACGCTATACCTCCTGGCTCGCCGACGGCCACGAGAAGGTATGCCAGAGCCCACATGCGGGAACGAGAGAGGACTTGGCAATCTCAATCTCCCAGCAAGCCTGACCAACAAGTGCTGCAGTACGCCAAGCATGGCCGCGCCTTTGTCGCCCCCTCGGCTCCCGGCCGCCCGCAAGAAATCGTAGTCCCTCGGTCCCAGACGGCGTGGCTGCTGGAACAGCCGGATCATGCGCTCTCCACCAAAGAAGCCCATCGAGACGCGCTCTTCAATGACTACCAGTTCTTGGGCTGCGACGACCAATTCCCCATCCGGACCATCCACAAGCACCTGGCGCGCAACATCGTCGGCCTCATCCCCGGCGTGCAGGAGGAGGTCCGCGGCGCAGTAGAGGCTACCTTCGGGAAGGACACAGAGAACTGGAAGTCGCTGAACCTCTGGGAGGCATGGCTGGGGGTCGTGCCCAGGGTTACGAATCGAATGGTCGTTGGCACCCAGTTATGCCGGAACCAGGAGTTCCTCGATAGCCAGGTCGCATTCGCCGACGACGTCGTGCAAAACGGGTTTATCTTCCAGCTCTTCCCACGCATCTTCCTACCGCTCGTCGCTCCCTTCTTCGTGCTCCGCAACTGGTGGCACTGGCGCAAATCATACCTCCACGCCAAGCCCATCATCGAAAAGCGCCTCCGCGACATGATGCACAGCAAGGGCTCCGACGCCGAGCCGCCAGAAGACCTGGTCACATGGCTGATTCGCCAGGCCCAAGCCGAAGGTCTCAGCTCGGAGCTCAACGCGGAGATGCTCTCGAAACGCATCCTCCCCATCGAGTTCGCCGCCATCCACACGACCGTCATGACAGGCTTCAACCTACTACTCGACCTGCTCTCCTCCGACCAGGCCCTCGATCACCTCGAAGCCATTCGCGAGGAAACCGCCCGCATCTTCGCCGAGGAAGCCAGGCGCAGCGCCGGCGGCGTCTGGACGAAACAGGCCCTCTCCCGCCTGCACCGCACCGACAGCGCCATCAAGGAGAGCATGCGCCTCAGCCACTTTGCCACCGCCCTCACCCACCGCAAGGTGGTCGCGCCCGACGGCGTGACCAACCCCGTCGAGGGCTGGCACGCGCCCTACGGCGCGTTCCTGATGCTCGATCTGGCGGGGACACACCGCGATCCGGACCTGTACGAGGACCCGGACCGCTATGATCCCTGGCGCTTCTCGCGCGAGCGCGAGGCCTACGGAGAGGGGGCGAGGGGCGAGGGTGCTGGAGACGCCGGGAAGAAAAGGGAGTCAGACGTGCCAGATGCGGCGTTGAGGATCAAAAGGCTGGGCATGGTCACCACCACCCCGGAGTTCTTGGCGTTTAGTCATGGGCGTCATGCATGGTGAGTCTTGGTCTGATCATATATGGTGTTCTCCTTCAAAGTGTGATGGCTGCTTTGATACTAATGTTGACGCGGATAGCCCTGGACGGTTCTTTGTCGCACACGAGCTGAAAATAATCCTGGCTTTTTTGGTGCAGAACTATGAGTTCAAGCCGTTGCCGGAAAGGCCGAAGCCGATTTGGTTTGGGGGCAATATCATCCCGCCGGTGCAAGCCAGAATTGAGGTCAGGAGACGGAAGGGAACAGCGTAGAGCATGCATGGAGCTGGCGTCCAGATGGTGCGGTCTCTTCAGGTTTGCATTATATACGGTATAGACGGTGTGTGGTTGCCTGGTTGGCGAGGTGTGTGCCCAGATCCGGTGCTCATCTGCGGCGTGACATATATATATCACTAGTCGGTATTGGATCTAAGCTATAGGATTTTGCCAGAGTAGCGGTCCAATGCTGATCGTGATGTTGACTTCGTTCATCACCTTTGACTCGTGGACTTGACAAAAGGGCGCTCGGGTATGAATAAGTTGCTACTAGAGTCAATATGAGAAACAACTTCAGAAGGAACAGCTGATCGATTTCTAGTCTGGATAACTCGTAAGCTGCTATGCTGAGTGTACTTCAGTCAGGTGCAGGTATGTTATCTGGCCTCGTGCTGGCGACGGGACGACCATATGCTCTTCACGACACCATGAGCAAGCTCGGAAGGACCCCTCGTCTAGTACTGTGTACCGGCCCCACGCTAATGTTACCCCAACACCTTACCCCAACCACTTCAGAACCTCGCGGAGCTGGTGTCACGCTTGGCTCTTCAACCAATTGGAGACGGTCGGTCAGGTACTCTCGTCATCCCTCCACCCCACACCCCAGCAACCTGCACCTGACAGCAACGCCCCAGTTTCATTTCGTCCAAACTTTTTATGCTACGGATCGGTACGCTGCAGTCACATGCGCACTGCAGACATATCCCATTTCGGGCTGTTGCTGGGAACCATGACCATTCTGTCGCAACCTCGCTAACCATCACCATCACGCAGAGAGAAAAAGGGCGCGGTCCCATTTGCTGCTGTTAGTGAAAAGCCCACCGCACCTTCCGAATGCCCGTGCACTAGGCATCGCCGCCGAGCTAGGATCGTCCGCCTCGAAACACCCCGCTTGTAGGGACTTCCGGAGAACCGTACTCCGTAGCGCCACTTCCATCGTCCCTAAACTCTCTTTGCCTGGCTACCTAGGTACGAAGGGTCCGGCAGGTGCGACAGTGGCGCTCCGTCCTCCGACGACCATTGTTTCTCCCAAGCCCGAACTCTCCGGTTTCCCCTCGCGCTAAAATGCCGGCCATCCTCTCCTACGTTGGCAGTTTCCTCGCCGGCTACACCGTCCTGGTCATCTCCTTCTACATGGTGTCGATCGTGGTGCCGAGAGCGGCCTTCGTGGCTCGCTCGCTCGCCTCGTACTTGTCCTTGGTCATCTGCTCACTCTATGGCGTGGCCGCCTCGATCGCCCTTCGCCTCCTCGGCTACCACCAACTGGCACAATGGACGGTAGCCCGCAGCTTCAAGTGGGTCATGGGCCTCACAACGGGCGTTACGTTCGACGTTGAAGATCCCAACGGCTACCTCGACAAGACCCGTCCGGCCGTCTTCATCGGCAACCACCAAACCGAGCTCGATGTGCTGATGCTGGGGTGCATGTTTCCCAAGTACTGCAGCGTGACCGCCAAGGCGTCGCTGAAGAAAGTGCCGTTCCTCGGCTGGTTCATGGCACTCAGTGGCAGCATCTTCATCAACCGCTCCAACAGCCAGGACGCCCGCTCGGCCATGCGCGGCGCCGCCGAGGAAATCCGCAACAAGCGGCAGAGCGTCTACATGTTTCCAGAAGGCACCCGCAGCTACTCCAAAGAACCGATGCTGTTGCCCTTCAAGAAGGGTGCCTTCCACCTTGCGGTCCAGGCCCAGGTGCCCATCGTGCCGGTGGTCGTTGCGAACTACAGCCATGTGCTTTGGATCAAGGGGATGGTCTTCAAGTCCGGCCGCATCCCGTGCAAGGGTAAGTCAAACGGTTTCCTTTTTGTGTCTACCTCAACCTCTAGCTGACTGGGGCATGCAGTTCTCGAACCCATCTCCACCATTGGTCTCACCGCCGCCGATGTTGACGAGCTGACGAGGTCGACGCGGGAGCTGATGCTCAAGGAGCTCGTCGCTTTGACGGAGAAGGCGCGGAGGCAGCCCGTTTCCCAAGCCAGGGACAGCCAAGCAAACGGTGTTTCCAACACGGCGCCCAAGATGAAAGTCGCTGCCTGACCAAAAGCTCGTCTCCTTCCAATTGGAGGATGAAATGATATCTCAACCTGAATTCAGCCAATGCTCAAGCCGCGGTGGCAGCTGCAGAGGGGGGACCCCCTTTGCAACGCTTCAAGTCTACATGGAGCAAATCAGCGGGGGCCGAGGGAGAGCCTCGTCTTGATACCCTTAGACCGGGAAGAAGAATGATACCAGGACCAGGTCACGTTCAAAGATGCGTCAACGATGATATGGACACGAAGCAAGCTGTTATAGAGGATAGAGGGGAGCATAGAGGTGCCGTTAAGGGAATCGCAAAGACTCTGATTGACACGGAACATGCTTGTTCTTGGACATGCTCTAGAGAGAACACCTACCCACGTACCTATATAAGAGAGTTAGATCAACCAAATATTACCTAGAAGGCAATCTTATCCATTCACCCTATTTCCCGCTCATATCCCGTTGAAAGTCCCTAGCTTTGTACTTGTACTTCCCTTGAGTTCAGAATATCAGGCCAACGGAAAATGGCAGCCCTAGCCTCAATTTTGAAGCCAACATCTTGTTCGTAACCAGGCAGTAAGGCAAGGTCCACCTAAACAGGTTGAAAGCGGTTCTCGTCGCCTTTTGTATTGGCAGCCGCCTTTTATACGCGGGCAGACTTAGCGTGTATGATGTGGTCAATCCCAGCACCCATCTATTGAGATTTTGTTTGCCCCGTATATCTCTGACCCGTTGTCCAAGGTCATAGATCCCATGCAGCCAAACACTCTACCCATCCCTCATGACTAGACCCCTTAAGCCCACCGCTCCAGATTCCGCAAAACACATCCCTCCCCTTCCCTCCTGACCAGCCGCCCGACGGTGTACACCCTCTCGCCGGCCCCCTCCAGAGCCTTGACCACCGCCTCGGCCGCCTGTCCCGCCTCGACGGCGAGCACCATCCCTAGACCGTTATTGAACGCCCGCGCCATCTCGGCCGGCTCAACCGATTGGCCCAGCCACTTGAACACGGGCGGCACCTCCCAGGTAGCCACGTCGATCTCGGCCGCGAGGTGCGGGGGCAGCATGCGCGGCACATTCTCGGTGAGCCCGCCGCCGGTGATGTGCGCCATGCCCTTGATGGCGGCGCCAGTCTGCGCGAGGGCCGCAAGGAGCGGTTTGACGTAGATCCTTGTCGGGGTGAGGAGGGCTTCGCCGAGGGTGGTGGTGCTGTCCCAGGGGCAAGGGTCGGCGTATTCCAGCCCGCGGGTGCGGACGATCTTACGCACGAGGGAGAAGCCGTTGGAGTGCACGCCCGAGGAAGCCAGGCCGAGCAGGACGTCGCCGTCGACCATGACGCCCTTGCGCGGGAGGCGTTGGGAGGCTTTCATCACGCCAACTGCGGCACCGGCAGCGTCGTAGTCGTCGCCGGAGTACAGGTCGGGCATCTCGGCTGTCTCGCCGCCGACCAGGGCACAGCCTGCCTCGATGCACCCTTTGGCGACGCCCTCGACAAAAGAGGTGGCGACGGAGACGTCAAGGTGGGAGCAACCGTAGTAGTCAAGGAACATAAAGGGCTCGGCGCCCTGGACGACTAGGTCGTTGACGTTCATGGCGACGAGGTCGATGCCGACTGTGTCGTGCTTGTTCATCTTCTGCGCGATGATGAGCTTGGTGCCGACACCGTCGATGGCGCCGACGATGATGGGCGCGCCTGGGTGGCCGGCCGCCGAGAGGTCGACTTCGCCACCGAAACCGCCAATGATGGCGTCGGCGCCAGGACGGCGGGTCGTGGCGACGGCGGCCTTAATGCGGTCGACGAGCTCGTTGCCCGCGTCGATGCTCACGCCGGACTGGGCGTACGTCAACTTGTTGGAAGCGTCCGACTTGCGAAACGCGCGGTGGGCGATGTCCTTGCGGTAGTACATGCCGTCGAAGTTGACCAGATTGACGCCCTCGTAGGCCTTGTCAACAGCGGCCCGGAGTGAGTCACCAACTGCATTGGCTGCGATCACTCGGCCGCCTGAGGTGAGCAGCGTGTCGCCCGAGAGCTTCGTGCCGGCGTGGAAGATGGTTATATCCTGAGGCGCCTCGGCTACTTGCATGGGGATGTTCTTTGGGTATGACTCGGGGTATCCAGGGGCGGCTACCACCACGGTCGTGCTAAACTTGGGCGACACCCTGACAGGGATATCCTCCAGATACGGAACGGGCCCGGCGCAGGCGTACATGATCTTTGCCAGGTCCGATTCGAGCAGGGGCAGCACTGTCTGAGTCTCAGGGTCGCCGAAGCGCACGTTGTACTCGAGGACCTTCGGCGTCCCGTCGGGGGTGACCATGAGACCGGTGAAGAGGCAGCCGCGGAAGGGGAAGCCGTCCTTGCGCATGCCGTCAATGGTAGGCTGGAGGATCTCGCGCTCGATGCGGGCGATCAGCTGCGGCGTGGCCAGCTTGGTGGGCGCGTAGCAGCCCATGCCACCCGTGTTGAGGCCGGTGTCGCCCTCTCCAATGCGCTTGTGATCCTGAGCGGGAGGCAGCGACTTGATAGTGGTGCCGTCGCAGAACGAGAGGATGCTCAGCTCGTCGCCCGTCAGAAACTCCTCAATGACGACCTCGTCACCCGCAGAGCCAAATGCCCTGTCCAGCATGATATCCTTGAGCGCCTGCTGAGCCTCCTCCTGTGTCTGAGGGATTATCACGCCCTTACCGGCCGCTAGGCCGGTGGCCTTGATCACCACATTGTGTCCGATCGTCTCGAGGTATTGGCTGGCCTTTTCGTAGTCGTCGAAGTTCTCGTAGGCGGCCGTTGGGATGTTGTGCTTCCTCATGAAGTCCTTGGAGAAGGTCTTGCTGCCCTCCATGCGCGCGGCTTCTTTGGACGGGCCGAAGACGGGGATGCCGGCCTCGCGGAAGAAGCCCTCGACGCCATCGACGAGAGGGGCCTCGGGCCCCGGGACCACGAGATTGATGCCATTCTTTCTTGCGAGCTCGACAAGACCCGGGTAGTTGTCAGCAGCCACAGACGTGTCGTTGGTCACCTTGGGCAGTCGCGCGGTGCCTCCGTTCCCGGGCACGGCGATAATCGACTCCACCAGCGGCGATTGGGCGAGCTTCCAGGCGAGGGCGTGCTCGCGCCCGCCGTTTCCGATAAGTAGGATGCGCAGAGCCGACATCTTCACGTTGGGTCAAACTTGATCGGTCCTTCTCTGCCTAGCATCGTGCCCCTCCGGCGGCGTCCAGAGCGCGGGAAAAATTGCCAGGGGACTTTTCTACCCCTCCCCCGCGATTTCGGATCTGTTACTTATCGGTGAGCTAACGCTGATTGGCCAATTCCTGGGCGAACCCTTGGTCTGTCTCTGCTGGTGAATCGCGATCTACACAGTAACGAAGGCTATTCGTTTCTAAGGACAACTGGACACCTCGAGTCTGATTGTGTGTGTACTTACTATAGGGCAAAGCAACCTTGGGCTGTAGAGGAGAAAAACGATGATCACCAAACTTTACCAGCACAAGCCCTGATCAGCTGACTGTGCCTTACGCACCGCGTCCGTACTCCATAGAGTGTCAGCATTGGGGTGGATCCGATGTAGCACAAATAGCATCGGGCACCGAGCGGTTGGTACCAGCCGAACTGTACTGGAGTGCGGCGCGGCGGCGGCGGTCGCTGCGAACTGGACCTGGTGGCTTACTAGAGGCCATTTACGGCGCCCTATTCTGCTATGTGTAGTGTCCGAGTACTATAACACTTTGAAGAATAGTTGTCTCTCTTCACGTGTGGTGGCTGGGGTACGGTAGGCTTCGAGAACCAGTGCTCGGATCCAACGGTCGTAGTGGTTCGGGAGGGGAAGAGCATGCAGCTCATTGGTTCCTGCATGTAACGGCAAAGGAGCCCTTCTGCCTTGTAAGGCAAGCAAATGTGGCAGGAACCTGGAAACCTGGATCAGGGGATCCGATATGCACCTATTGCATCATGACTTTTCCATCATCGACACCATCAAGACGGCGGGATGCCGATATCACTATTCAGCGAAACCCTCAACGCATGCTTGCGGGGCCGTCGGCAGTGACCGTGTAACAGGCCGAACAGAGAACCCAAGAGTGAGTCTATGGAAGGCCGCTCGCGAAGCTTCGGAGTGGGAAGCTGTCGACGCATTTTGCAATGATTGTCGACGCGGGAGCTTACGGTAACAGACTGTATCCGTAGCTTATTGACAACTTCGCGAGCCGGCCTACTCCACCGTGAAGGTACGTACCCGCTGGACTCCACCAATTCAGGAACCACTCGTGGCCCCCAGTAACGACGGCACTCTCCACTGTCTCCAGCAGACCTTCTCTTCCAGCCCAAAATCAACTCGGCTTCACTACCTAGGTAGTTCATGGATTTTAAGAGGTTGAACTGCTTCCGTACGGCGCTTAAAGCACTAGGACTCTAAGCAAGCCTCTTGATTCAGCGCCTTCGATGTATCTTCTTGTACCCAAAATATGTTCCATGTCCAACCAGAACGAGCCGGAGCAGGCGGTCTACGTTACCCAACAGCACCGCCGGGTCGCGCGGCATTGCCCGCTTCTGTGTTCCCAGGCGGTCAAACTCTCATGTTTGAAACGGTGGAGGGCATTGCCAATTGCACACGCTGTTCAAACCATGAACTGCCATTTTTCTATACGGCTGCTGACCCGGAAGAACTACCGGCAGCAGGACCATGAGGACTGGCCATGTCGAAAGTGAACGGGTGGCACGTATTGTAGGGAATACGTGCGAGCCGACTGACAATCCGCATGCCTGGCCTTTGCAGCCCTTGAGGCACAAACGGTATGTATGCACCCGTCGTTGTAGCGAACCAATTACCGTCGAACGCCTGGACTCGATCACAAACACGAGTGTTGTCGTGGCCGCTCGAGAAGCGGCAGAAGCGTCAATGATGTCGTGCCCCCGACTCTGATCGCGTGGACCATCATTTCCCAAGCCGCTCCAACATGTGAGTAGGTGCGTCGGGTGTCATTGCAAGCACGTTGATTGCCGTTGGTATGCGAGCCCGTGCTATTATTCCGAGGGAACGAACAGAAACCAAGGAATATTCAACCAACATTGTGGATGCCACATCGATCGGATCGGTGTGTAAGGCTGGCCCGCTGGGGTGTCTACTATAGACGTTAGTAAGGAACTCCAGCAGTTCTTCTCTCAATGCCGCCACGGCCACTCGGCAGCTTCCAGCTTGGATTTCCCGACGTAATGCGGTATAGAGTTGCAGCGTGATTATTATCGAAAGCCGCCTTCTCTACCTTACATACCTAGGTACAATACGTAGAGTGAGCTGCAGCTCTGTTCCGTCCCGCTGAGGCCCAGTCCTTCTTCTCGACCGACCTGTCTCCACGTCAACGCGCCGAACCGCTGATCGCGCGACCCAGCGTGCCAGCTTGCAGGCCTTGCTTTTTCTGCTTTTTGGGATGCGTAAGGACCTTCGGCCGCGTGATACAGCGATCGGCAAGAGAATGGCCGGGCAATACATATGCCAAACCAAGCAGGTCGAACCAAGCAGGTCGCCAACGCCCGGGAAGAAGACCTGGGTGGGCACATGGTCCGTCGGGACTCCCCAGGTCTTCCGCTCTGTCCGCCGGCCGCCATAAAAGATCGACTCGGAATCACATTCTGATTCATCAACTCACTACGGACACACAAAGCACATAGCCCACCGCCGAGACACTGAGGACAGGAAACAGAGCACCCACCAACCTTAATCATGTTTGAATGATGCTTCGGAAGAAGCTTATCTGCCAAGCACGGATATGCCAAAAATGAACCTGGAACCGTTTGGTCTCTCAACTCTGCCACTTATGTATTGTACATATGGTCAATGATCGGGCCGGCCGATGGGTAAGGTCTGGTCCTAGCCAGAAACACCAGAAGTTGGAAGTCACAACCAACAATGGGGCGCGGATCTCAGATGGAACTTGAAGACTTGGCACGCTTATTATCGTCATCGCTCCGGGACGGCGACATCATTGGCAGGGGCTGAGTGACATGGGTCTTGCTCTTGTAGCCACTAAAGTGTCGTTATTTTGCAAGGGAGCCTGCTGCCCAGCGATCAATCACCCCCACAACACCACAAGCCAACATTGACGACTTGCTCCACTAATAACACACAGCATCCGGGCATTTTCTCGCTCAGTGGAGGTCTCTAACGTGCATCGAGCTTGTTTTCTTCCAGAATCGGGCATTCAACGGATGAGGCATATACATTCCCGGCACGCTTGGGAACGACTGAAGCTCCTCTTCTTACACCTTCCCTGCTGAGAAGCAATGACTAGGAAGGCATTTTCAATCTCACGTGGAAACCCACCTGTGCCGCGTTCCGCGAAGGCTTGAAACAAAAGAGTAATCGTGAGAAGCGCTTCCATTGCAGCTGCGCCATAGCTATCCGGTGGCGTTTTGGGCCAAAGCTCCTCTTCTAGACTCTAGATAGCTCTGTGGTACCAGTAGAAGAGGCTGGCCGTGGTGGAGGAAGCTTGCAACTTGGTTGGACGACGAGACCGTTGGGATGGTACGAACAAAGTCTGACGGCGGGGGCTTGCTGCCCGCCTCCTCCTGGATACCGTCCAACATGGCCAACAACGGGCCTGGCTGAACCGAACAGCCGGCAGGACTGCGCTGTACTGTACAGTACAGTACTACCTACCTTGCACATGCACGGGACTGTCGCTGGCGTCGGTCTGGGACCAGCTTCCGCCTTCGGTCGCACAGCCGGGGTGGTGTCTTGCCCAACCACGCCAACCTCGCGATTCTGGGAACAAGGCTGTATCCAGGCCAATCCCTTGCCGGCCTCCCGGTCGCTCTGATCTCCACCTGCCATCCTACCCACGGCCCAGTTCCATGCAGCCCAGAGGTGGGTTGTCTCGAGCTAGCCTGTGTGACAAACAACGAAGATGTCATCCCAACCCCACTGTACCACCGTTACCCTCCTATCCCCGCCCGTCCCTCCTGTCCAGGTCCCGGGGCTGGGGTTGTCGACTCGAGGTGTATAAACATGTGTCTCCCGGATCGTCTGGTTCGGGCATCTCTTCATCCTGCTCTGTCATCGGCCCACGACAACTACTCCCGCTCGCTCACGGTTTCCCTCAAGCCCCTCGTTCATAGCTTGCAACAAGTTGTGCCTGGACAACCTAGGTTCCAACACCACGTGCAACCTTCGCTATAACCCACAGCCGTAGTAGGCGTTACACGGGCCGCAGAGACAACCATGAGAGCAGCACTTTCACTCGTCGCCTTCGCCGGGTCGGCCTTGGCTGCCAACATCCCTCTCAGGGGCGAGAGAGCACTTGTTGCGAAGGGATATAAACATGGCGACTGCGATGAATGCGAGACGGTGACCACCAAGGTCATCGTGACGTACACCACTGTCTGCCCCGTCACCGAGACCACGACGCAGTCCGGCACCACTTGCACGTCGACGTACACCACGACCAGCACGGTCGAGACGGCCGTGCCCACCACCATCGTCGTGACCAAGACGGCGCCGCCAGTGACCAAGACGGCAGGAGAAGGTAAGCGGCCGCCTCACACACCTTCTTTGTTGCCACGAGTCATCCATAGTCTGCTCACACGTGGCTGGCAACAGTTGTCTACACCACCCTGACTGAGTTGTGCCCCGTCACGGAGACCAAGGTTGTTGGCGGCGAGACGGTCGAGGTCACCTGGACTTCGACCTCGACTGTCGTCACCAAGGTGCAGCAGACGCAGACTGTCTACACGACGTCGGTCGCTACCGAGTATGAGACGACCGACGTCTACACTACGGTCAGCTGCCCAGAGACCGTATACACCACCGTCTCCAAGGGCGAGACGATCGAGATCACCCAAACCGACACGTAAGCCCCAGCAACTGAGATCGCCCCCTCTCGGCTGCTTTCGATCAGAGTTTACTAACTTGGCCAACCAGAATCACCATGACCAACACCGAGGTGCGCACCGTGACCGAGATGATCCCGGTGACCATCACCACGCGCGTGCCGTACACCGTCAACGTGCCCGTCACGCAGCAGGAGACGGTCACGGGCTACTCGACCGTCATTGTGTCGGCCATCGACACCGTCTACACCTCATCCCCGCTGCCGCCCACCACCATCATCATCCCTACTTCATACACCGTCTCGGTGCCTCCCGTCGAAACCTCTCCGGCCCCCAGCCCCACCCCCAACACGACGACCACCACCACGACTTCTCCTACTGCCCCGCCCGCTGCCACCGCCGGCGCCGGCAAGGCCGTGATGGGCGCTCCTGCTGTGGCGCTCGTTGCCGGTCTCGTTGGGATGGTGCTTCTCATCTGAGAGGTTTGAATTGGCCCATCTAATTTCGTTTCATGCGGCTGCTTTGCCGGAAAAGGGGAAGCTTTTATGCAACCATGAACGACACTCCTTAGATACGGTTTGGGTTACGGAGTTGAACATTGCTGTATATTGAGACGGGCTTGTGAAGTTACCAAGACTTCTCAGAGGGGGGCGATTGGGATTGATCCTGTCGGTTAAGGAACCTCCTCTCTTGGGCTTTGTGAGAGAGGTGGGGGGTGATAATGTGTGCTTACTCCTACAGTAATGTTTTGTGTATATATACCATTAGGGAATTGATAGAACGGGTCGACAAGTCTACGAGTTCCCTAGAAGGAGAGAGATCATCAGGTCTGGGCTTTGCGTATAATCAGGCACATACCGCTCTGCGTCACTACCGCCAGTGGCGTCCAGCGCACATGCGCGAACCGGCTAACGCACATGGAACTTGGGAAGGAAGTGCAGAGCTCGTCAAGGAACCTGGCCGGAGATTTAGAGGAGCATCACGTGAAGTCGAGGTTATTTAAAAACGCCATGTTGGCCTGTTGTGCCAGACAGGCTGGTTGTTGATGTTTACGGGGTGATGTATGACGTTGAACGGATACCTTACCTACGACTTGAGCTTCAAGCTCCTAGTAGTACTAGTTTATTGCGTCGCACTGTCCGGCAGCTTAGCGCTTTATCGATAAGGACCGTTAGATGTTGCCTCATTGGCACTGACCTTCCCCCCATGTCAAAGGATCACAGGAACAAAGATCAACAGCCATCCTCCCAATATAGTCATCTTCATTGCAGATCCCATTTCGAACTAGTTAAACGACATCTCCATGATGGATAACCTGCTGGCAGGCTTAACGTTACCTCTAGGTTCGGGTGCAAACCCAGCAATTGGAACCAACCTCGTCGTTTCCCATTCCTGGTGGATATGACGTGTTCCCGGCCACTCGACGCGCACAAGGTGAGCTGTCTTGGTTCCTCAGCATCAATTGTGGCACAGTCCGAGAGAGAACAAGTCGTCCATGGTGTGGGAGAAAGATCGGCACGCTCCTGTTGGCTTTTTCTGCCGACCTACCTAGCACCAATACTTGAATTGGCGGTGCCCTTATAAGAAGGGATCTCAGGAGCAGTTCAAGGAAACTCACAGTGACAAATCAACCATAACCGCGTGCCAGACCTGCAGCAACCATGCTACCCACCACGACAATCTTGACCGTCCTCATGGCCTGCCTCGTGCAAGCCGTGCCTCTCGAGCGGCGCGAACTAGGGGGTGTAAGTGGACAAACCTTCAGATACCCGATATGGGATCAACAAACGAGTCTAAATCTCACGGATCGCAACAGGTTCTTATCTGCAACGAAGCCAATGCCAAAGGCCACTGTGAATATGCCGTCTACGAGCTCGAGAAATGCTACAACCTGCCCGCCGGGCTCATCAACAACGCGGCTACGTTTGCGCCTGATGGCGAGGCCTTTTACTGTTATCCATACATGTAAGAGTCACCTACCAAAGTCAAGCCACCATATGTATTGGCGGGTTGTGCTGATGTTGAATGCCGTTGCAGAATGGAATGCGGCGGGATCTGCCGCTCACCAACGGGCTGCACCATGGGAGCCGTGAGTTTCGACTACCCGCACAAGTTCAACCTTACGGCGGTCGGTTGGAACAAGTACATCACGTCGTTTGACTGCCACCGCAATACAACGGCGGAAGCAAACCAGTGAAGCACCTTGGTGGTGTCCGAACTCGGCATTGGCATCGGTGTTCGGCGTTGGTCGAGGCGGCAGAGGCAGAACGTTGTGGGGCCCCGTTTCAAACCCTCCGTTTACCCCGCCATCGGCAGTCAATCGAGGTGGGGTTCCGGCGATGGCTTTGGCATTCGGAAGTTATACATAGCAGAGATACCTTACCTTGAGCTAATGCAGTAGTGTTAATCCCCCCATATTCTCGACAAGTTCACAAGTCAAGTTCAAACACATCTGAACCCTTTCCATTCTCAACTCCCTCCAAACACCAATTCATCACCGGGCAATACCTTCGTACACACACCACAATGGCCTTCACAACCAAAGCGACAATCGCCTCTTTCGGCGGCAAGCTCTTCAAGCTCTCCCACCAGTCCACCACAACCGGCACCCCGATGGCCGTAAACCTCTACCTCCCGCCACAAGCGCTTTCCTCACAGGGCAACACCAGAAAGGTGCCCCTCCTGATCTACCTGTCCGGCCTAACCTGCACGCCGGAGAACTGCTCCGAAAAGGGCTTCTTCCAGCACCGCGCCTCCCAGCTCGGCCTGGCCATCCTGTACCCAGACACGTCCCCGCGCGGCCTCAACCTGCCGGGGGAAAAGGACGCATGGGACTTTGGCGAGGGCGCGGGCTTCTACATCGACGCTACGCAGGAGCCGTGGAAGGGCGGGTACCGCATGGAGAGCTACATCACGCGCGAGCTTCCCGCGACTCTCTTCGGGGACGCCGAGTACGGCAAGTACCTCGACAGCGAGCGGGTGTCGATCACGGGCCACAGCATGGGCGGGCACGGCGCGCTGACGCTGTACCTGAAGAACCCGGCCATGTACAAGAGCGTGAGCGCGTTCGCGCCCATCGCGAACCCGAGCAAGTGCCCCTGGGGCGAGAAGGCGTTTAGCGGGTACCTGGGCACGGAGAACAAGGAGGCGGAGTGGAAGAAGCATGACGCGACCGAGCTGGTGAGGGGGTGGAAGGGAGGGGATCTGAAGGCGCTGGTCGATGTCGGCACGGGGGATAATTTCTATAAGCAGGGCCAGCTGCTGCCGGAGAACTTGGAGAAAGCCGCGGAGGAGGCGGGCGTGGAGGGGTTGACGGTGCGGTATCAGCAGGATTACGACCACTCGTACTACTTCATGGCCACCTTCAGCGATGACCATGTCAACCACGCGGCGAAATACTTGGGATTGTTGTAGGGGTTGTAGGGGTTGTAGGGGTTGTAGGGGCTGACGCTCGGTTCAAAGAGGGCGGCGGATGAGGGTATATCGATTGAGGTCGGAAAATGGGGTATTTTAAGCAACTCTGAAACGGCCAGAATAAGCCCAGAAGAAACACAAACTCTAACCAGGTACATAAGTAAGGTAGGTATACCTCACCCATCACTCACTTCATTGCCCCCCTACATGCAAAAGAATCGGATGGTGAGGAGCCAGCCCCAATGCCAACCCAAATCCATGATTCTAATCACTAGTAGTATCCCAATCACGCGCCCGATGCTACCCAAGTGAGTTCACTCAATCCACCCCTTTCACTCAACTGATCCTCCTCTCAACGGGACTAAACCCGTCCCTCTCTTCCTTCTCCAGCTTGGCCTTCATCTCGGCCTCGGCCTCGCGCTTGATGCGCACATAGGCCAGCTTCTCGAAGCGGCTCAGCGCGCGCCACCAGTGCCGCCCGGCCTCGTGCTCGGCGACGCGCTCTAGTAGCTCGGCCGTCTTAAAGCGCACGTCGCGATCCTTGTGGAACAGGCCGAGGGCGATGTAGAAGAGTCCCGCCTGCGACTCGGGCGCGACGCTCAGGAGGAGGCAGATCTCGTCGTACGAGCGCACGTACTTGGCCAGTGTGTCGTAGATCTCCTTGCTCTGCGCCGGCGTGAGCCGCTGCGCGCGGAGCCGGTCGTGGAGATGCGCCAGGTCGAGGCCCTTGAGCGGGCGGATCGTGTACAACTGGGCGACGTCCTGAGGGAGGGAGACACGTTAGCCAAGACCCTATTCTTGAACGTGAAGATCTCATCCCGCGTACATACCTGGATAAAGCTGTAGTAGCTCCTCGTGTTCCGCCAGCCCTCAATCCTCGTCACATTCCCCGCCAGCTCCTTCGCCTTGGTCGCCTCGTCCACCCACACGTAGCCGTGTCCGTGGGCGCCCGCTAGACGGGCCTCCTGCTCGTCGCTGCCGATGTACAGCGCGCTGGCGCCGTAGACGCTCTCCTCGAACGCAGCGGCTATGCGAGTGAACTTGAGCACCCACGCCCGCCACTTGGCGCGGATCACTCGCTCGCCCGCCCGCGTGGAGATGCTCCGGAGAATGTCCGCCATGAACGCGGCATCGCCCGTCAGGTCGTTGGAGGAGGATCCGCTGCTGGACGAATTATGGACTAGGTTTGCGTACGCGGGGTTCTGTTGCTGGAAGTACACGAGCCCTTCCGTGATGGGAGCGGCTTCGATCTTGCTGCTGATCTTCATCTTCCCCGTCGGCAGGTCGCAGAGCAGATCCCACCATTCCGGATGGTGTTCGAACGTCGGGTTTGTTACGCCCGCGATGAACCCGGGCACCTTCAGGAGATCGTCGATCTTGGTCAGGTCCGTATACGGGAACGCATACCGCGTGAAGCCCCTGAGGATGCCGCCCGACGCCAGCGCACACGCCGCGAGAACCGCCTCGGCCACTTCCCCGGAGGGCATGTTGTGTCCCAGAAAGATGACCCTCTTCTGCGTCAGAAGGGCGTTGATGAGCACGATGATGGGATGGGTGTTGGGCCCGTTTGTCGTGAGATGAGGGTGTAGGGGAAAGGCTTGTGGCGATTTGGTATGAGGGTCGGAGAAGTTCTGGATCAGCTTGATCAGGGAGAAGTCGCCGACGATCTCGGGCATGACGGCCACGGGAACCTTGATCGGAATGGGGATCCCTTTGTACATGACCTTGCTCTCGAACTCATGCGTGTCCCTGGGTACCACGTAGGCCGCGTGGCCTTCAATGTGCGCCCGGGAGCCTGACCGGAAGATGCTTGGCCGCTTGGGCGGCTCGTTGCTGGCGTCGAACGGCTGGAGGACGTCCTCCCCTCCCGCTTCTTCGGCGATCCGGGCCTGGATCATCTGCTCGAATTTCTCGACGAACAGATCCTTGTTGTCACTGGCCTGCAAGAGATGTCTCTCGAGATGGCTCAGCTTCGGCATCAGTGACAGATCCATTTCGTTGACGGCATTGTAGAGCATTGCCAGCGTTTCGGGCACCGGAGACTTGAAATACTCTTCTAGTGCTAGCAACAAAAGCGGCTGGCGGGCGAGTTAGGGAGCACTGCTGTGACGACGAAGGAGAAACGGGCCGGGTCTGACCTTGTATATATGCAGGAAGGGGTGCCGGGTGCATATCGCCATCGCCTTTACCACCGCACCTCTTTTCACCGTTTTGTCCTGTTTTGTATTGACGAGGTTGAGCACATAAACCAGTGGCGGGCCCTCGCCGCCTTCCGGCTCGCTATCGGTTGACACGTCATCGTCCCAGTCGTCTTCGTCGTCGTCAAGCCCCCCGGCCTCGTCGTCCTCGTCGTCCGACTCGTGTATTATACCCTTAGCCCGATCACGCTTTCTGTTCCGCCGGGCCCGCCTCTCCTGCTTGGCCCGCCGTTCTGCATCATCCTCCTCTTGGCTTGTGTCTTTGTGCAGGAAGAAGATGGTCCAATCCTGGTTCCTTACGTGGGCTTGGTCCGGGAGCATGAGCTCGGCGAGCATGTGCTCGTCGCCGGTGATGGCCACCGGGTATTGGTGTTCCATCACGGGGCCGCGGTCGATATCGAAGGACGCCACGAGGATATATTCCACGTGCTGCTCGCTGCTCCCGCGCGGGTATTGCGAGCGCAGCCTCCGGCGCCGGCGCCCCGCGCCATCGTTGCGGGGCTGTGCATTGGCGGATAGTGAACTATGTTGTGACGAGATCCCGGAAGAAGCCGTCATGCCCTTCGCGCTTAGATCCGACGTCCTGTCCACATCTGATGTGGACGCCATCCCGGCCGGCGGCTGCGGGGAGCGTGTTGGGCGAGTCGTCTGTAGTATCTCGTTGGACCGTGACGGCGGGATTGTTGAGAACGATCTTCGATGCCGCGACCCCGCACTATTGGCGTAATTGGCTACGCTGCTGGTTCGCCGGAGAGAAGCGAGTCCGTGCTGCCCCGTCGCCATCGCCGCGCACCGAAGCCCGCCTGCCCTCTCACTCTGCTCCTCCGGCCTGTCCCAAATCACACAATCCCCTCTATGCCTGTACTTCCGCTGGGCCTGTCCTGTCGTCGGGTACCGTTAAAGGGAGAGAGTATGGGCTACTGTGGTGGGACTTCTCGGATCAGGATGTCGGCCGCGAGGATGTCGAGTGTAGCCAGAGTCAATGGCAAGCAATGGGCTCTACGAAGTAGAAACCCCGAGAAACTTTCGGGCGGCTGCCGTATCAGCAGCTCCGGGAAGGTGACGCGCCGAAACTCAGTCAGCTGCAGCTCTGTCTGCAAAGGTGCTCCGCTAATCGTATGCACACCCTGGTCCCCCCTTTTTGGGGACGGGATTCAAGACCCTTGCTCGGTTGGGGTCGCATCGTTGGAGGGGCCGATTTGGCTGGGACCCCTGTCCCCCCCGAAACACGGATGCTCTAGCCACAAAACCCGCGGAATGCAAAGCCACAAATTGTGCATTGGAACTGCGCTGTGGCTGGCCCATTGCCGTCATCCTTGTTGCCCGGTCACAGGCACCCCACTGTTTACTTTCCTCCCTGCCATCGGCTTCCATCTTTGACAGCGGATCAACTCCAAGGGCGATAACGAAACATCAGCCAGACTCAGCACAATTCTGCAGTTTCGTGATTCACATTGCAATACTTCCTCGGGACATTGGAGACCGGGTCGACCGTTGATTAGGCGCACGTTGTTTACGACCGGGCGGGAGCCACTGCTTTCCAACACTTACACATCCTCAAGGCAATTCACTGCAAGTACGCCACTTAGATAGAGATGGTAAGATACTGCCAAGGAGCGACTGTCTTTTTTCCGGCGCAGAACGCTCACCAAGATGCAGTCGATGCCATCAGCATACAAGCCGTCTCCCTTGGGGTTAGGGTCTCAGCGGTCCTCGCCGTTTAGGCGTCCAGTATCACCACATTCACCGGCATCACCTTCAACTCTACGGCAGACCACACCATCTACGTCCCCAACCAAACAGGGAGGGCTTGCCGACGTCCTCGCGAAGTTTGAGAGCAGCCCGGCTACCACGAGTCCTAAGCCCGAGTTCCGAAAACTCCCTGCGCGCCCGACAGTGGAAGATGTCCCGGATGAACAGCTGCAGCCGCAGCGTAGCGCTCCTCGGCCGGTCATGGCGAGTACGGCTACGGTAGGGCATGGGAACGGGAACGCCCTATCTCAGCTGCAGCCCTCGCAGACCCGGACAATGCGGGAAGCATTTCAGATCCTGGATCGCGACAGCGACGGCCTCGTAACTAGGGAAGATGTGACGGACATGCTCAATCAGCTGGGTAAGTTTACTCTGATGCTCCTTGTCTTTGATGCAGCGGCTGATAAGGGCACACCAGGACTTCCGTCGAGCGCGTCCGACGTCTCGTACTTCTTCCCGGCGTCAGGGGCGCAACAGATGACCATGGCCATGTTCCTCAGCTCAATATCGACGTCACTAGCCGCCTTGTCACCAAGCTCCGAGCTACTGTCAGCGTTCTCGGCATTTGATGACGATGACAGCGGCCAAATCGACGTCACGGAGCTTCGGGATGCCCTGCTGCACACAGCGCCGGAGCCGGGCCAGCAGCCCCTCACGTCGCTAGATGTCGACAAAGTCATTGCTGGCTTTACTGCCCGGAGAGCCTTCAGCAAGAGCACGGTCACAGGCAAGCGGGGTGAGGTATTCAGGTACCAGGATTTTGTAAACACCATTGTTGGAGGAAATGCAGGGGCTGCGCAGGCTGCAGAAGATGCGGAGGACGCGTGAGCACCAACCAGGTGTTCGCAGAGTCCTGGCGGGGTTGAACGACTATCAACATATGCGACTTGTTCATTGGGTGTTTGGGACGTTGTATCAGTAGGGAATGCTACTTGATGAGTGTTTGAGCCTATCATTTCGGGGCCGCTGGGGACGAACAAACGGTTTCTTCAACCAATGAATGACGGATCAGCACCTTGCGCTGTGGCTGTCACAGATCACCTCATGCGCAATCGGCGGCTAGCACCCTTTTAGCCTTTTGTTGATGTTGTCATAGGTGACCAGCAAGAAACGCTGGGTGATTGGGCCGTATCGACGGTTTATTTCTGTCCTCACTCGTTATGGGGAAGTCGTGCACTAGTGTAGGAACACAGCCTCTGACAGTGAGTGACGTGGAATGCTCATTCTCACTAGGTACCTGAACTATAGTACCTGCCGTGGGTCGACACCGCTTAAAAGCAAATGACACTTAATGAATGTTAGATAATCTTGTCCGAGCTGGAACGGCCCGACCCACAGAAGGTTCGAGAATCGGCGTGCCAGCCATCCGATTACAACGTTGAATGCTTTTACTGACATGCCCCGGTAGATGAATGCATTCGTCAATCATGGTTCCACGCTGAACCTTGATACCATGATACCATGGTAAGCGGCCCAACAAGGACCGGATCCAAACCCGCTGTCCCCGCAGGCACATCTCCACGCGCAGCGCTGGGCTTTGACGAATGACTTTCTTTTGGCGTGCTGGGCAGTTCTCCAGAGCAACCCGAGCAACCCCAGCCAGCTCCAATATTTCTTCGAATCGCAAGTCAAGAAGCACAAAAAGCCTGAAGGCTGAGAAATCGTCTAAACCCTTCCAATTCTCCAAAGCGTGATGGGTTGATCACCCTGTTGCCTTCGTTCTGCCGGTTTTCTGAACCGCCCCCGACCTCCAGACTTTGCCCAACTTTCTACTCGTTTCCAAACTCACCAGTTCCCACCTCGCCCGCTTAAGTGCGCCAGGAAATTCCCTCCTCGGGTTTTGCCCGCGCATGTTGCGAGAAAAAAAAAAGTCGAGGTTGCCCAGCAATTGCATGCGCAACCCGCCCCAATAACCTGGGATACCCGGCGCTTCGTACCTTCCCCCAAATCCTCCTGCTATTTTCGCCTTTATGCAACGGCAGTGATACATTGCCTGACCTTGCCGGGAAGTCACGCCGCTGGACGCTTCACTGCGGGACCAACCGCATTACAACAATCGGGACCCCGGGAGTAACGGCTTTTAGTGCAATACCTCGCAAATGAAGTTTTTCTCTAAAATATCGTCCAAGAAGCCAAACACCGCCGAGGAGGACGACGAAAGCACCGGTTTTCACGAGTCGCAGCTTCCCTCGCCCACCAAATCGCCCTCCAAATCTTTGCCTTCCCGGTCGCCGACCAAAAAGGCCTCCTCCCAGCGCCCCACCTCACCGGCCTCCCGTGACTCCAAGCCGCAGTCGGTGCGCACCTCTCGCCCGCTTGGGCGGCACGCAACCATCGCCGGGCTCTCCCGCCGAAAAAAGGTCGACCCCGACACCCACCCCCTCAACCTACCTCCCGAGGAGCGCAGGCGGCTGTCGGAATTGGCTGCCATGAGCGCTCGCGATTGGAATTCAATGGATGTTGACAAGGAACCCGTTAACGGAGCCACCCCCTCCTCCCCGCCACCGCAGCCGCTCCAGCAGAAGCCGCCCCAGCCCCAGCAGCAGCAGCAGCAGCAGCCGCCGCCGCCTCTGCAAAAGCAGAGACACTCTCACCCTCCCTCGCACCCGAACTCGTTCACGATGCCCACGATGCCCACGATGCCCAGCATGCCCGTGCCAAACGGAGGTGATGCGTCGACGAACGGCGCTGCTGAAGAAGCAGTTCCCCCTCCACCACCCCACCGATCCCAGCGGTCTAGCCCGGTACAAACAGACGCTGAGCAGGCTGAATCGTTCAAGAATGAAGGGAACAAGTTCTTCAAGGCGGGTGACTACACCCATGCTATTGAGTTCTATACCAAGGGTGAGTCAACCGACATAATCGGCGGTTGTACCACGATAGCTTCGTGCTCGGTCGGCTAACCTACATGACCAGCTGTTGTCCTTCAACCCAACTCCGCCACCTACCTGGGCAATCGGGCTGCAGCGTATATGTCCGCAGCCAAGTACAACGACGCCTTGGAGGACTGCAAGCGGGCTGTAGACCTGGACCCGCACAACGCCAAGATTCTTCTCCGTCTGGCGCGCATTTACACCAGCCTGGGCCAGCCCGAAGAGGCGATCGCCACATTTGGCCGCATCCAGCCTCCGCCGTCAGCGAAGGATATGGCACCGGCCAAGGAAATGCTTCGCCATGTCAGAGCAGCACAGCAGGCCCTCCAGGATGGCACGGCTGCATCCATGGTCCTGTACCCGCTCGACATGGCGGAGAAGCTGCTCGGCCTTGGTGCGCTGAAGCCGAGAAAGTGGCAACTCATGCGGGGCGCCGCCCTCCTCAAGATGGGCGACGCCAACTCACTCGGAGAGGTCCAGAACATCTCCATGTCGCTGCTGCGGTTGAACAGCCAGGACCCGGAGGCTCTGGTTCTGCGGGGCCGGGCGCTGTACTCTCAAGGGGAGAACGACAAGGCCGTACAGCACTTTCGGAAGGCACTCAGCTGCGATCCTGATTTCAAGGATGCGGTCAAGTGGCTCCGGACCGTCCAGAAGCTGGATAGGATGAAGGAGGAGGGTAACGCGCAGTACAAGGCTGGGCGGTGGCAAGCAGCCCTCGACGTGTACACGTCCGCCTTGGAGGTTGACCCTACCAACAAGGGGACAAACTCCAAGATCCTGCAAAACCGGGCACTGTGCCGTATCAAGCTCAAGCAGTACGACGATGCCATTGCCGACTGCGAAAAAGCCATCAGCCTCGACCCCCAGTACATCAAGGCCCGCAAGACCAAGGCCAATGCGCTGGGCCTAGCCGAGAAGTGGGAGGCGGCCGTGCGGGAGTGGAAGGCCATCCAGGAGCTGGATCCCGAGGACCGGACGATCGCCAAGGAAGTCCGCAAGGCTGAGTTGGAGCTTAAGAAGTCCCAGAGGAAAGACTACTACAAGATCTTGGGCATCGAGAAGACGGCCACCGAGCAGGAAATCAAGAAGGCGTACCGGAAGCTGGCCATCGTCCACCATCCGGACAAGAACCCCGGAGACGCCAATGCCGAGGCTCGCTTCAAGGACATCAGCGAAGCATACGAGACGCTGAGTGATCCTCAGTAAGTTCCCTCGCTCCTGGCATATGCACTTTGCTGTCTATTAACAGTAAACGCAGGAAGCGCGAGCGCTATGATAGCGGCGTCGATCTGCAGGACCCGTCCGATATGTTTGGCGGTGGCATGGGCGGCGGCATCGATCCTGAGATCCTGTTCTCGATGATGGGAGGCATGGGAGGCGGCGGCCCGTTCGCCGGAGGTGCTGGCTTCCCAGGTGGCGGCGGGTTCAACTTTAACGAGCGTCCTCGCGGCAGAGGCGGGTTCTCCCAGAGCTTCCACTTCTCGTGACAATCCGACCAAGAAGGAGAAGAAACCGGGGACGATGGTAGTGATTGGGGCGGAGACAGTGAGCCTGAGGATGGGCGCAACAGCCGGCGGCAGAATCGGAGTCAGACTCGGGAATGGTCCCACGGGGATAGTAGCGGCATCAAGGCGGCTTGGCGGTCCGAGGCCGAGGAAGAAAGGAACAGGAAGCTGGAGCGGCTGCGTCGGTTCTGGCTGCTGCTTGCCGCTGCTGTCGTGCTACTCCCTCCGTCTCTCGTGGGCGTGCTGATGGTGGGAAGTGCCGCTGTGTACGGTTGCATACGGATGAGGCGGGCGGTCTGTCGCACAGCATTGAGGGGCTAACAGCACCGCTGGGATTTGCCATCATCCGAAAAGATTGTTTATGTTTTTGTTTCGGCATAGACTACTGGCCTGTTCATCACACATCGGGAGGAGGCGTTGGGTCATCATAATTTCACGACACTACTAGGCGCCCTCTCGGCCCCACGCATCCACAGGTAGACGATAGGGAGCTGTGTCCCATTTCCATCACGTTCTCATCCCCCATGACACAATAACGGTGCATTTTCACGGGCTTCCTTACTCATTGTTTCATGGTTCCTGGCTGTATGGATGTTATGTAAGGTATAGACTCGGGATGCTTAATCAGCTTTCGGACGATCACTGGGCATTAACACTCCGGCTGCCTCTTAAAATGTGCAATCTATTAATGACAAGTATCAGACAGAACCTTAAACTGATCGGAAGCGTTGTGCCAGCCTGTGTGTGGTGGGGCTGAAGTGGGTGGTATCCGGTGCCCTGCAGCCTGACCGGGGGGTTCGCGCTGGACTCTGGAGCCGGGAGCATTGACCCCAGTTTAAATCTGGAGGCCACGATTCACTTGTCGCACTCCGCCGAAAAAAGCGACCGTAGCAGACTGATGCCAGTCGAAGCCGCCACCATTGCACTCTTCCATTTCCAACCGAAGTGCGGACTTCGCTCTTTGTCCTGCACAACCATCTGTTGGTTCTTGAGTTGGATTGAGTTTCCCGTGCCGATGCTTGACTCGGGGCACGCATCTTCTGTCTAAGTGTCTTTTGTAGTTGGCGAGTTCCCCTTTAACCCTGAGGAACAGGCTGGGGTCGAGTCCGAGTTCGGGTCTAGCGAGCGCCGGCCATGAGCACTGACTACACCTACGACGAGGAGGGCTACCTCTGGCCCTTCTTCGTCTTCACGCTCACCCTGATCATTACCGTCCCCCTCACATTCCTCCTCGTCAAGCGGTCGCGAGACCCGGCCGCTTCGTTTCCGCGAATCCAAAGCAACTTCAAACATGCCCATTCGGAGACGATCGACTCCTTGCGCAGGCGGGAGAAGCGCAAAGACAGGAAACTGTGGCTGATCACTGCCGTCGTCGCGGGGTGGGCCATCATGGGCTACATGCTCTACCTCATTCAGACGACCGAGGCGCCCACGCAACAGCTCTGGAACCCCTACGACATCCTGGGCATCTCCGAGTCGGCGACTGAGAAGCAGATCAAGAGCACATACAAGAAGCTCTCGCTCAAGCTGCACCCCGATAAGGCGAGACCGGATCCGTCCAAGAACGAGACGGTCGAAGATCTGAACAGGCGCTATGTCGAGATCTCCAAGGCGTACCAAGCACTGACGGACGAAGAGGTTCGCAACAACTACATCCAGTACGGCAACCCGGATGGAAAGCAGGGGTTCAGCATCAACATTGCGCTGCCTAAGGTCATCGTTTCGGACGGCAATGGCAAGTACGTCGTGCTGGTCTACTCGATGCTCTTCGGCGTCCTGCTGCCCTACCTCGTTGGGTCTTGGTGGTACGGTACGCTCCGGCGTTCCAAGGAGGGCGTCCTCATGGAGAGCGCAAACAGGCTGTTCCGCGAGTACAAGGATAACATTGACGAGGGCGGCGTCGTCACTGCGCTCAGTACCGGGAAGGAGTTCGAGGAGCTCTTTAAGGGAGACAAGGCGGACTCGGGCCTGTCCAAGGTGGAATCCAGAATCCTCGCCGAGGGCGAGCTCACTCCTCTGGCCGGCGGTCTCTCTGTGAAAGACCGGGAGAAGCTGGAGGGTCTGGAAAGCGGCCCGCAACGAAAGGCGCTGGCGCTGCTGTGGGCTTACCTCGGCCGGGTCGAGCTGGACGATGCCGAGTTGAACAAGGCAAAGTTTGCGGTCGCCCCGATTGCGCACTCCCTCACCAAGTCCCTTACCGCCATCTCGCTCGCCTACATGAACACGGGACCGCTTCTCGCCTCGTACTACGCCAGCCAACTCCTGATCCAAGCGCTTCCTCCCAAGTCGTCGCCGCTCCTCCAGCTGCCCTACTTCACGGCCGCCGTCGTCAAGGCTGTCGAGGGCGACTCGCGGATCCACGCCAGCGTGCAAGACTTCATGGACAGGCCAGAGGCCAAGCGGCGCAGCCTTGTCGTTGGCAAGGGCCTCCTCACAGAAGAGCAATACCGCGAGGCCGTCAGCGTGGCCAAGCAGCTCCCTTATCTCCGCGTCGCCAAGGCCTTCTTTAAGGTGACCGGCGAGCGCTTCATCATCCCCTCGTCTCTCGTCACGCTCGTCGTCAAGGGCCGCTTCGTGCCGCCCGGCTGCGAGAAGGTGCCCGAGATCAACCCGGCCGACCTGGAAGACATCGACCCGGCCGAGGACGACCTCGATGCCATCCTCGGCCGCAAGACCAAGAAGCTGGTCGGCAAGGACGAGAAGACGGGCAAGCCAATCGTCGAGTCGGCCGAGGCGGAGCTCATCGCCGCGCCCCTCGCGGCAGCCCCCTACTTCGCGCGCGACCACTCCCCCAGGTGGCACGTCTTCCTGACGGACTCCAAGCAGGGGCGCGTTGCCGTCCCGCCGTTCACATTTGCGCAGTTTGACCGCCCCATCTTCGAGGCCGACGGCAAGACGCCGACCTTTGCCATGCAGACGCTCAAGGCGCAGTTCCAGGCGCCGTCCCAGGCGGGGCACTATACGTTCGTCATGCATGTCGTGTGCGACAGCTATATCGGGTTCGACACCAAGATGGAGGTGACGCTCATTGTGGAGGAGGCGAGCAAGGCTGCCGAGATGGAGGTCGAGGATGAGATTAGTGAGCCGGACGAGGGTGAGTGCTTTTCCCTCTTCTTCTCTTGGTGTTTATTTTGATACTTGTACATCTGATGCTAACACTGGGGGGAACAGACTCCATTGCGGGCATTATGCATGCTGCCAAGGGCGGCCAGCCGAAGAGGAGGAAACCGGCGGCGGCGGAGGACGACGACTCGGACGAGGAGAGCGGCACAGACGATGATGCCGATGATACCAGCGAGACAAACACGGATACTGAGCCGGAGAACTAGACTGGGAATTGGGTTTACTTGATCGATAATTGTTGTACTCAATCAGGTAGTGTACATACGGCGTTATGATCGTGGAGTGTTGTATACCTTCCCTTACTGTGCTGTTAGAAAAGACATGTAGCGCCTGGGTGGCTTCAACCAGTCTATGCACATCCACATATCTTTCATGTAGGCACCGCCCCCACCGGGCTTATGCCACTTGGGGGACTGAGGAGAAAACTGGGCTGCTTTCCGGGCTCACAATACTCCCGGCCGCTCGCATCGGGTCTATCTGTAGTGTGCCTAGGTGTTCTCCTGAGCGAAGCTCACATTCCATCTATATCCACTGACGTAGTTCCACGTTCCACTGATGGTCTTGGTTGCTGACCACGCAGCCAAATGGTGCCCTTTACGGCTACTTCCGCTCATAGGAGCACCTGCAGACACCCGCGGAGCCCGAATACCGCCGAGTCCGACGCAGCGGGTGACTGGTGAGTGACACTGGTCTGGGTCCTGGTGTCTTCGCTTTGGGAGTTCTGTCACCCACTGCAGGTATGGCGCTGTAAAGAACTCGCCGGGTGGGCCGCGGGCCACTCGATCGCGGCGGCGCTTTGCAGCAAACACCGCGCGATGTCGAACACACAAGTATGCCGACACGGGCATCTCCCGCAGGAGATCCAGGTCGGGCAAGTGAGAAACGCGCTCCCGTGAACCGGCTTGTTCAGCCGTCCTTCTCGAAAGCGTCGTTCAGATACCCCACGAAGCTCTCGCGCAGCCGACCCCCCGCTAGCTTCCCGACCGCCTCCAGGCCGATGCCTCCTCGATTAAGTGCCACAAACGCCCTCCGGTACCTCTGAAGCTGCGGCAACCCAACCTTCTTCCCAGGCAATTCGACCACCAACTCCTCCCCGGCCTCGCCCGCACCGGCGTTATTAACCCTTGGCAGGGCGATGACCCCGCCGCCCTCATCCGGCTGCCTCTCCAGGATTTTCTTAACAATATCCTGCGTCTCCCGCTCCAGCACATAGAGATAGTCTCCACCGGGGTCTTTGTCCCGCTGCACTGTCGACTGGTTCGGCTTCACCACCTTCCTCCCCTCGCCGGCAATGGCATCCCATATCTTGTCGAACACCTGCCGCGTCTGCGCCTCATCGTCCTCCCAGACCAGCGTGAACAGCGGCGAGTCCCACCTCGTCATGGGATTGGGCTCCTCGTAGCGAAACACCAGATTCTCCCAGTTGGACGGCTCGTAGGGTTCTTCATCCTCTTCATTCTGCTCTTGTCCGGCCCCCTCGCTTCTCCTTTTCTCCGCCGCGTCCTCATTTCCATTCTGCTGCCCTCCCTGCCCTTCTCTCCTCCTCTGCCGCCTCTCCAACCGCGCCTCATTCACCGCTCTCGCCCTGTCCACGGCACAGCCAACCTGCAGCACGCAGCTCGGCGTGCTGACGTTCTTGGCCTCGCAGAACAGCTGGTACCGCCAGCCCTTGATGTAGTTGAGCCCATCGAGCACGACGATGTCGCGCGGCGAGAGCACGCGCTTGACGGCCGCATACACCGCCGCGCGCGCGTCCTTCTCGGAGGCATTGGCCGACCGCACGTGCGCGGGAAGCTGCGACGGCGACAGGTCGTAGACCGCGCGCGAGATCGACTGGGTCGTGTCGGAGATGAAGTGCAGGCGGTATTTGGGTGGTGGCGCAGAAACGGCGGGTGCGCCCGGAGAGGAGGTGTCGGGGACGGTGGAGATGCGCTTGGACAGGTAGGTGTGCAGTTGTTTGGCGCGGCTTGTTTTGCCTGAGGTTGGCAGGCCGGTTATGATGATGAGCTGTTTTGTGGTGGAGGGGAGTTGTTCGTTAGTGTGGGTCAGCTGGCCCCGGAATGCCATGGAGCGGTAGATGGCGTACGGGCATGTTGGACGATTCGTCCAGGCAAGCGGTACTTGAACTAGTACTCCTCCACAAATACTTCTTTTTTTCTGGTGCTGAGAAGATGTTGTACTGGGAACGCGGGATCACAGGCGCGTGGGAAGAATTATGGCGGGAATGACGATGGAGGGGCAGCTGAGTTTCATGGCCCCACCGAGTTCTCTTACAGTATACTGAACCCTCGATGTTACCTTAAGTCCTTAACAATCCTCAGGGTTTACCGTGCGATCTTGGAATAATGAGATACAAGGAACCTTCAGGTGAATATCGTCATGCCAACACGGCCCATATTACGGATGTAAACACATTTCTTTGCTCAAAGAGTGAATGTAGATGGGGGCAATCCCTAAATCCAATGGAGTCCCATTTCCACATGCTCGCTGTTCTCAACTTCTCATTGGTTGATGTGCAAATACATGCTCCAACATCATTCTCGGAACTTGTAGTCTTGTATAGTACAGATACATACGTTATATGGCTACTACCTTGTTTTAGGGGACTAGTCATGGCCGGTAAAGTTCACTGTCCGGAAAGATACGAGGCATCGCATCATCACATATGTCTGAGCCCTGAGGACTGAGGGTTTGGGGACTTGGCGACTTACACATCTAGTCGCACCAGAGCTTGTCTTCCTTGTCCCGTCGTTTCCGTCTGTCGAAGGGCGTCCCGGCGTGCATGTATACGTGATGCGATACATCTCTCAGAGGTACACGCGATGCTCTTCCTTGCAGGTAGGGCTGTGCTAGCCACGTGTCGCGGCACCGATGGTGTGGTAGACACAAGACCAGCTGATATGTCGGTACTGCTGGTATTGTACGTTGCACAGCAGAGACATGAGTGTATTGTACGGCTACCTATCTTATGTATTAGGAGGTACTTATCTACCTTACCTACTTCGTATTTTTTTCGGCTGGAATCCCTCACGCAGTCGGTATGTGAGTGGCTTGCGTGCTAGATTCACGGCTGATCTGATTCCAACCCTGCGAGATAGCTTTTGCCTCTCACGTAAGGCTGACAGTGGCACGAAAGAGATGGGTGGGTGAGCGCCTGGAAACAGTGACATGCCTATACCACATCCGCTGGAGCATTCCAACCATCGAATCGCTCTGAGTTTCTTCTCTCGGTGCTCGGTTGAGTTAGAGCAATACTTAGCTAGGCGGTGTCGCGAAGTCAATCTCATGTAAGGACGAATATAGCTACGGTACTACCGTAAGCGTGATGTATGTACTAGTACTATTGCCCGTAGAAGAGAAGCCAAGCTGTTTCTGCTGAGTCTACAGCTGCACAGTTGGGAGGTCGGCGTTGAGATGCTGCATTACTGCTGGCCCAAGTGCTTGTGAGGTTTCATTCAATCTCATCCATCTGACCCGGGACTGTGGATGGACAGGGACAACCCGGCTGAGTCACCGGATTATCCCTGCTCCAAGAGTCCAGACTCATTCGGGGTGTGGGGGGAATTGGTTCAGGTTCGGGCCGTGCCAAGAGTCGAGCTACACTAGGTCCGACTTAAAATCTAATTCTGTGACTGCCCCAGAGCCACAGAGGATCGCGGTATTGGATTGTTGCTACGTTACATGAGCGATACGGGAAGAGCTTCTTCACCGCTGGTTTTGTCGTCCGCATGACGATGCTTTAGCCACGAGGTGGAGGAATCTGCGTGCTGGTACTTGGCGTTGAGGCTCGGTTGCAACCACGACGGTCTCGCGGCCCGATCGGCTGCTGTCGGGCCCCTGATCAGGCGGCGGTCGTCTCCCGCTCAACTCCATCCCACGCTCCAGCCACCACCAGCGTACCGGGTGAAGGCGGAACATGCGCACCCAGTCTGCGGGTCTCCTCCAGCGCGAGATATAGCAATCAAGCTATTCTTATAATCATCAAGGCCGTGTCCAATGAAGTTACGAAAAGTTGCGTTTCAAGGATCAAGCACAGCAAGGTAGGTATGTACAAATGAACAGCATGGTCCGTGCTGTATAAACTTGCAACTATGATCTGAGCACTACTCCGTATTGGGCGCCTTTCCTGTGTGGGGCTTGTGTAGGGCTGTGTGACACCAAGGAAAGGTACCTGAGGTATGTGGTAGGTCCCTTCGTAGCATCCGGAGGATCTGCGTGAATTTCGAACCCGCGCCGCCCTATGGACAAATTTGCCGGATCGGGACGCCGAAAGGGAGCCGAGAGCAACTACAATCCCGGGGATTCCTCGTGTCCCATCTGATAGAGCGGAAACTAAGTAGTAACTGGCGCCTCTTCAGGAGCCTAGCTCGCCTAGATAGTGTAAAAACTCTAGCAAGTGTGCTTTTAGAAGATCTTCCCGTTGAATTTGCAATTGGTTGATGGTCGTTTCGGCTCGGCCGCCGAAAACCTCGGCCACCGTTAGGCTTCGGCTCTCTCAAAGGACCGCTCCCGCTGTCTCATCTTACACTACTGTTTCTGCCTCCACCTGGAATCCGTCAATTGGTGCACAGTCGTGAATTATTGATATACATACCTTCGGTACCTACGGCGCTGTCTGTCCGATGTTCAACGGCTCCATCTAAATATCGCCGCCATCCGTTCTCGTCCAACGGTCTCGCCAAGCTTCGTACACGAGCTCCTGCTAGCGTCCCATGTTCTGGGGTTGCGGCCGTTCTGGACACTTCCGTGCCATCATGACGGGCAACCCAGCCCCGGGCACCGCTATGTTTCAGTGGGTAACGGGTCGCTCTGGCCCAGTTCCGTCACCCGCGGATGGACAGCCACGAATAAGAGTCCTTCCCGCCTCGATGCCACCTCTACAACGTGTGGACATCATCCAAGGTTCCGAACCTTGCACTCTGGTTCGGACGTACATCCTGTGGTATAGCTGCCAGCCGCGAGTCAGCCAAATATTCTGGAAGAATTCCCGATGCAGACACTGCAGTGTTGCATGTTGGCGCGCACGCAGGTAGGTATGTGGCGAGTTGTGCCCCTCATCGCTTGATACGACGCATGGGAACGAATGGAGAGTGTGGAGATCATTTTAACGTTAAGCTTTCTGGAGCCGCTAACTGCTGGGAAGCCTCGCCAAGACGCGCTAATGTCCCTAGCGCGGCCAAAATGCCTTCGCACAGGTATCCCGAATAGGAAATACCCCTGCTCTCTCCCCCGCGATGCGGAGCCCGTGGTTAGCCCAGTACTTGCACATCTGTTCAGTCGTTGACCTCAACCCACGCGGTTGCTGCTCGCATTCCCTTCGCCATGACCGCCACAAGCGCCAGCCAGGGTCCGCGGGCCTTGTGTATCCGGGTAACTGGAGGCTGTGGGCAGAGATCCAGGGGCTGTGTCTCGATTCATCGATTCATCAGGCTTTCTCCTGGCGGGCAGCTGCTTGGCGCATCGCTCGACACCCGCCACGACTGCAATGCGCCTGACCCAATGAGCCCTTCGCTCGACGAATTGACTCAGGAGATTGCAGAAGCTCGGGTTAAGTAAGGTGTACCGCGCCGAGCATATTTGATCCAGCCGCCCAGGAACTGCAGCACACCAGGCCCAGCTTAAGAAGTCGTCAACGGCCAGGCTTTTCCACAGGCTCTGTTCAAGGCGTATTTCCACGCACCACACTTCGATCAGAGAGACACAACGACCCAAGGCGCGATCAGTAGTACTACACAGCTGACGGCTTGTGTGTCCCGTGCTCCAGCCCCGTCCCTCCGTCCCGGAGATAGATCCGCTCTGCGACTGGTCCTGCCGAGCCTTGTGCCGGGTGCCTGGTGCCTGGTGCCTGGAATTAGCACGCGGCGACGTTTGCCCTTTGCGGGATCTGCCGTCAAGCTCCTTTGACGGATGGTACGGAGGAGATCTATACTACTGCGCCGCCACACGCGTCGTCTTCGCCCGAGTCGATCCTTCTCCTGCCAAAATGGTCTATTGCGGGAAGCCAAGCAAGGGGTGTTCCAACTGCCGCGAGCGCAAGATACGCGTAAGTTCGCTTTCGCTTCATGACAATGGCTTCGCCACGCGGACCACCTTCCCCTCTTCGACTATCCTTCTCGTTTTCGACGAAGTGGGACGTCGTCTTGGAAATATATCACGTCTTCGGCCCGCCAGCCTGCTGACAACAGTTGAAGTGCGACCAGAAAGAACCGGGTTGTGGGCAGTGCGAGAAGAGACAGCAAAAATGCCCCGGCTACCGCAACCTCGTGGACCTCATGTTCCGCGACGAGAGTTCCCATGTGATCAAGAAGGCAAAGGCGAGGGCCCGTAAGAAGGCCAACCTCGGCATCTCGCGGCCCGCGACGCCCTCTGGTTCCGAAGGCCGCTTGTCCCTTACACCCGAGCCTCGCGGCAGACCATTGTCCCTGATCGTCCCTCCTACTCCTCTCGGGGGCAGCCCGGCCAGCCGAAGCCCAGAATTTCACGACGATTGCAACATGCTAATGTCGCCTGATTCGGGAAGCTGGCCGTTAACGCCGCCAATGGCCCAGTTCTACACCCTTGCGCCAAGCTGTCAAGAAAGGGGGTTTGCCTGGTTCTTAGCGCGATACGTCAATGCGGACGAGACGGCATCCCATCAGAGGTTCGACTTCCTTCGAGAGGTTTGGAAGCCTTCGTCGTCGGAGCCCCAGGTCGACAGCGTTCTCGCAAGCATGACTGCCGTCGGCCTGATGGGATTGGCGAGCACGACACGGGCGCCCGATCTCATGGAGGCCGCCAGAAAGTCATACGGAACGGCGCTCCGGTTGGTCAACCACGCACTACAGGATCCGGTGGAACCTGTCAAGGACAGCACAATGCTGTCCGTCCTCATCCTCGGCGTGTTTGAGATGATGACAGAAAATACATCAGTTGAGGCGTTTCAGAAACATGTCAACGGCGCCGCGGCGCTCGCACGGCTGCGCGGACCGGCACAGTTCCAAACGCGGGCCGGACGAAGGATGTTCTCAATGTTGTGCCAGAGAACTCTCATCAGCTGTGCGCAACGAAATATGCCCATGCCCGACTTCTTGATCGAGCTGTGGCACGAAATGTCCAGGACATCGAGGCCGGGAAATCCGACTGAACAGTTAATGCCACTCCAGTGGCAGATACTGCAACTACGCTATGAGATGAAGAGCGGGCTTCTAACAGATACCCAGACCATCGTGGAACGCCTGCTTTCCCTTGACCAGGAATTCGAGAACCTGGCTGCACAGCTACCGCCATCTTGGAAATACCGAACATTCCAAGTAAAACAATACCACCCGGCCGTCTTTTCCGGCATCTGCCACCAGTACTCGGCCCTCCACCACGCCAACATATGGAACCACATCCGCACAAGCCGCATCCTCCTCCTCGAAACCATCCTCTCCGAAATCTCCCATGACCTCTCCAGCTTCGCCCCGACCCTTGACTCCGCGCGATATCTCGAGGAGTACCATAAAGTCCGCAGGAGGCTCAAGTACATGGTCCGCGACGTCAGCGCCAGCGTGCCGCAACAGCTCGGCCTCATGAACGCCGGTGACGGCAGCATAGGCAGCGCGGACGACGACTCGGCGCCCATCGCAACCGTCGAGATCCTCCAGACACCCTCCCCACCGACCTCCCCTTCCTCGCGATCCTCCGACTCGGGCAGCACCATCTACAGCCCCCTGTCCGCCACAACTCCTTCTCACCCACCAACACCGCGCTCGTCGGGCCTCACCATTCTCGACGTCACGCACGCCGCTGGCAACCCGCAGGAGGAAGCGGAGCGGTACATGCTCCTCGTCTCGGCCACCAGCACCGTGGTGTGGCCGTTTTTTGTCGTGGGCATGTCGACGGCGTGCGGGGCCGAGATGCGCGCCTATGTGATCGGGAGGTTGAGGACGCTGTACATGGAGACGGGGATACGGCAGGCGGATGCGGTAGCGAATCTGTTGGAGGAGCATGAGCTGTCTACTACGGCGATGCCGAGCCATCCAGAAGCGGGATGGCTGGACATGCAGCTGCGGACGGGGTCGGGGCTGGAGGAAGGGGAAGGCCCCGCCGTGATGTCCATGGTGGGGGAGGAGTTCGGCCTTGGTCTGATGCATCTGCCGGGACCTGGCGGGGGCGTATTGAAACCCGAATTTGACATGGTCTGGGTTTAAAGAAACAGGCTGATGGAGTGGTATGACGCGGGGATTGAAACTCGGGTCTTGAAAGGGGGACAACGAAAAGGACGGACGGAGCCAAGTGATACCAAGGGTGGATGGAATTGCATAGCGTGTACATATTTTGGATATCGTATATACCAGCTGGGAGTTTTGCAGCCCCATGAATGAAACCCAGATCTGACTGAATGGATCAAATCCCCTTTTCCCACCAAACGCCGCGCCATGCTTTATACATTTGACTAGGTAGGTAACAACCCATTCCCTTCTTTACCACGAATCAAAATTCCCAAACCCTCCCATCTTGACCTTCTTCTTGACCGGCCCTTCCCAGGTCTCCACGTCCCCCACCTGCTCCCAACCTCCAATCTCCTCCGTTCGCGCACCAGCGACCGCACTCTTGAGATACTTCCCAACCCTCGAGGCCCGTGCATCCTCCACAACAACCCCGTCAGCCCGGATCCTCTTGCCCGTCCAGGTCGTCCGATCGTCCTCGTCGCCACCCTTCCTCTTGACCTCTTCTTTCGCCGCCTCCTCCTTCTCCCGCTCCTTCTTCTCCTTCAAGAACTCCTCAAACGGATCAATCAGCACCACGACATCCTTGATCCGGATCTCCTCCAGCGGCCTGTTCGTCCCTTCCTCAACCGGCACCTTCTCCATGGCGGTGAGCGTCGTGTCGACGCCCTCGACCACGCGGCCGAACACGGTGTGCTTGCGATCGAGGTGCTTCGCGGGGCGGTAGGTGATGTAGAACTGCGACGAGTTGGTGTTCTTCCCGCGGTTGGCGAGCGCCACCACGCCCCGAGCGTCGTGCACGTGGGGGCCTTCCAGCTCGTCGGCGAAGGTCTTGCCCCAGATGGATTGTCCGCCGCGGCCCGTCCCCGTCGGGTCGCCGCCCTGGATCATGAAGTTGCGGATGTTGCGGTGGAAGGTCACGCCGCGGTAGTAGCCCTTTTGCGAGAGCCGCAGGAAGTTCCACACTGCTTTGGGCGCCGTTTCGGTGTGTAGTTCAAGGGTTAAGGGCCCGAGGTTGGTGTCCAGCCGCGCGTAGCCTTTGTGCTTGATCCGTTTGGGCTTCAGCATCCATTCTTCGTCCGAGAGCAGGGCGCGCTCTCCAGAGGTTTCCGGGGTGAGCCCCGTCGAGGTGAAGGACGCGGCGGCCCGGCCGGTGGTGTATGCTGCTGCGTTGGGTGCGATTTTCTTCTCGATTATGGAGGGGGCGCGGGCGGTAGGGGTGGACGAGGTGGGCTTGGAGTGGGCGGCGGTTAATGATCTGGTGATCCGGTTGACGTCGCCGCCGGCTTCGCGGGCCTGGCGGGCGCGCTCGACGGCTTCCTTCGCCCGCAGCACCTTGTCGCCTATCCGGCCGAGCGCGTTGATGTTGATGCTCCCTTGCTGGCGTTGCTCTTCTTGTTCCTTCGTCGGCAGCGCTTCCTGGCCGTCTTGGAGGTACTTGAACTGGCTGAGGTCGCGACTGGCTGCGTTCTGCGGGTCCTGCAGCGTGATGATGTCCTTGCGCCCAAACTCGACGTCGTCGACCAGGTCGCGCCACATCTTGGCCTTGATGTTCATGCGCTCGATGGTCTCCCAGGCGAACACATTGGCGTAGTTGCCGTGTCGGACAGCAACGATGTGCGTGTTGTCGGTGAGCACCTTGAACGTAACCGGGTCGATAAAATCCCCCTTGCCGTCAGACGGAGCGCCATTGCCGTCGTTAGTCCCGGCTGCATCGGCGTTGCGCGTGAAATTGAGGCGGATCAGGTCTTTCGCGGCGAGCGGTTTGCCGTCGACAGGGTTCGTCCCGTGCTTTTCCAACCACGCACCAATGACTTCGACATCGAATATCGTGCCGGACGGCGTGCAGACGGGGTTCTTGAAAGGCTGGAGGCTGGCGGCGCAGAAGTTGAAGGGGAGGCGCTTGAAGCCTGCATGAGCAGCGCCTCCACTGCGCTGCGCGCGTGAACCGGCATTGGCGCCGACGCTGGCGCCGTAGGCATCTGACGATGACCACTCGGAGTGTGTAATGTAGAGCTTATCGGTGCCTTTTCCCATGTCGCCGGCGAGGAAAGAGTCAGGAAGGAAAAAGGAAAACAGCCGACAACAAATGACAATGAATTGATGTGACTGTGTAGATGGTAAGGTACCTAGGGTAGTCGTTATCTTATCGATCAGCCGCACGGTTATTACCCGTATCATAATACGGTATGGATCAGCTGTGGATCCCTTGACGTTACGGTTGGAGTCGCAACCTCAAGCTTGCGCAACATCCCGCAGAGGCCGACAGCTAGATCCTGGTGTTAACAAGAGGAGCTTTCGACTCGAGTTGCCATATCATCTCAACCTCAGTCTGTGCAGCTGGGCACGCACCCGTCCGTAATATCGCAACGGCCCGAAACATCCATGACGGATCCCGCCGGTTTTGCTCTTTAAGGCCCCAAGGCGCAAGCTGTTGCTTCTCGGACAAGGTCGCCCTAGCACCCCCTGACAGAACGGGAATCCGGAACATCAACACCACAGCCCGAGGCCTCCGGACCTCAGCACGCAACCGACCATGAGGCGCTGGGCGTACGCTTTTCTATTACTGGCGTTGTCCGTATGGACAACAGCCGCGCTGGAAGTGAAATTGGTGAGCGCTGGGATTGTTTCCCGTCGTCTGGAAACCAACTGCTAACGCGAGCGGCGATAACAGGGCCCGTCAGACAACCAACGATGCGCCGGTTTGTTCGACCCGTCGTAACGCCCCCTAATGCCGAGTCTGACCGTATATAGGCATGTATAGCAAGAAGTCGTGGGGCGGCCCGGTCGACCCGTACATTCGTGTCAAGTTTACCGACGTTGGCAAGGACCAGGGCGACGACCCTATCGTCAGCTTGCTTATCTTCGACTGGATGGACCAGGACTATATCGGGATAGACACGCCGGATGACCCGCAGAAGATCGGCATCTGCGAGCCGCAGTACGTCGAGGCCGGGTTCTGCAACCAGACCGACATTGGCAAGTTCATCCTCTCGCCCAACGCCACCGAGAAGTCGGTCAACTATATCTTGACCAAGGCGATGCACCTGAAAGACTCGGCGCCGATCAAGTATCCCATCACCAAGACGGGCTACTTCTGCGTGGTGACCGAGAACTTCCCGCTGGGTTCAGACGGCGCCTATGAGGCCATCGTCGAATTCCGTAACGCCTATGGCGAGCTCCCCGCCACCCAGATCCCGAAGCTGCCGTTCTATGGAGGGATAACGATCGCCTATGCCGTGGTCCTGGTCTTCTGGGGGTTCCTCTACTTCCAGCACCGGACGGACATTTGTAGGTTGCGGCCGTCTCTTCCCGTGGTATCCCCTGCTGACTGTCCGCAGTGGCCGTGCAGAACTATATAACGGCGATTCTCATCTTCCTTGTCATCGAGATGCTGATGACTTGGGGCTTTTACGGTATGTCTCTTAGCGACCTTCTCACCCCGCCCTCCCTCTGAGCCAGCTGCTGATGGCGCACTAGACTACCTCAACAGGAACGGCTCGAACGTCGGCTCCCAGGTCTTGCTGGTGGTGGTCGCCGTCCTCAACGCGGCCCGCAACTCGTTCTCCTTCTTCCTCCTCCTCATCGTCTGCATGGGCTATGGCGTGGTCAAGCCCACGCTGGGCCGCACCATGATCTACGTGCGGTGGCTCGCCATTGCCCACTTCGTCTTTGGCATCGTCTACGCCATCACCAGCTTGGTTGTCAACCCGGATAGCGCCGGCCCCTTCGTACTGCTCATTGTGCTCCCCTTGGCCGGCACGCTCACCGCCTTCTACGTCTGGACGCTGAACTCGCTCAACGCCACGCTCAAGGACCTGCGCGAGCGCAAGCAGCACGTCAAGGAATTCATGTACCGCAAGCTGTGGTGGTGCATCCTGCTCTCCATCCTCGTCATCTTCGGCTTCTTCTTCTTCAACTCGTTCTCCTTCGCGTCCGCCCGCGACCCGGACTACGTCCCTTTCCACTGGAAGACGCGCTGGTTCGTGCTCGACGGCTGGCTCAACATTGTGTACTTTGCAGACGTGGCCTTCATCGCCTACGTCTGGCGGCCGACGGCGAACAACCGGCGCTTCGCCATGAGCGACGAGATCGCGCAGGAGGACGACGGGACCTTTGAGATTGCCAATCTGGATATTGGGAACCCGGATGAGTCGGATGATGAGGAGGCGCGGGTGGAGAGTGCGAAGCAACCGCAGAATGGTGGTACTACGGCGCCCGCGGCTGGCGGCCAGTCTGCTTCTGGAAGCAGGCAACAACCGCAGCAGCAGCGGTCTCAACCGGCCGCGGCCGCGAGCAAATCACCAAGGGAGTCGCTTGATGGCGAGACAATCTTTGCCGTGGGCGAGGACGGGGATAAATTCTCGGACGACGAGAGCGGGGAAGAATCCGGCCTCGTGCGGGCAAGGAAGTAGAGGAGTCGGGCTTTTCTAGACAGTCGCGGAGAGGGAGGCTTTCAGTTAGTACCGAGAGTTCAAAACGGGTGGACAATTGATGGGATAGCCGAAGTTTGAAATTCCATTGTAATGTACTATAGTGACGGGTGGCGTTGGCGGAGGGCATTTTTGGTATTCACTATTTGCATCATGTTATCTCAGGGATACTGTGGTAATATAAACAGACTGTGGTGACGGTCATGACGGCCAATGTTCTAATGGTGACCGGATATTCGACTAAACTTCCATTGTGCCGGCCAGGGTAGATCTTCATCTGAGTACCGTTTAACCTAGGTGTGTATCTTGTACCAATTAGACCTCTACCACGGCCTAGTACTAGTAGTAGTGTACCTAAGGACGCTCCATATCAACACACGCCGGACCCTTGTGTAATGTACCTGATCCCCTTTCTCGTCGACCGTAGGGCTTCCTAAGGCTGTACATGCATGGCGGAAATAAAACCGTTGAACCCAGTCTAAGAAAGCCCATTACGATGCCGCGTCTCACGCAGCAGGAACATCACCCCCGAATCCGACCGGCCGCCGCCGCCCCTCATTCTCAGGCAGGATCGCCAACGCCTTGTACACCTTGCCCATCCCGCCGGGGCCCCTATCAACAAGCCTACTCATCGCCCTCTCCACATCCTCTTTCTTCAGCTTCTTCTTCCCATCTTCCCCACCACCATTCCCGACCGAGTCGCCGTCCTTGGTAATCAGCGTCTCCACCCGTTCCCGAATGCCCATCATCTCCAAGAAATCAGCCTGTGACACAGGGCCGTGCACCTCGACCCCGTCGCTGGCCCGCGTCGCTGCCTCGGCGAGCGCGGCAAAATCCACGTCGGCGCTGAGGTCTGTCAGGCCAGGCTCCGCGAAGGGGCTGACCCGTCTGTGGCGGCGGATGCCGCGGAGAGAGTTTGTCGGGATGGAGCCGTCACCCGGGCCGTAGTCGAGGATCAGGGCGGCGCCGGAGGGTTTGCGCTTGGGATGTTGCGGGGAGCCGCCGATGCGGGCGGCGAAGTCGGCGGCGTAGAGCGACAGGTCGGGACAGATTTCTAGGAGGGCGCCGGCGCCGACTGTCGTTTTGAGCGCGCGGTAGCGAGGCGAGGACTCGGGAAGGTAGAGGGAGTGGCGTGTCGAGGTCGGGGAGAGGGTTAACTGGAAGTCGGGGGGCGGAGTGTCGCGGGATTGGGAGGCGGGTGTGTTGAGGGAGGCGTGGGTCGACCCTGGCGGTGTTGGGGAAACGACCATCTCGCGCCATTCGAGGGTTGGGTGCGAGGTCTTGGTGGAGGGAGAGGACGTGTCGGACGGAGAGGGAGGCCTGGCTTGGGTTGCGGGGACCGAGACCAGCTGGAAGGCGTGGATCGGAAGGGCGTCGAAGAATTCATGTGCCATGATGAAAGGCATTTTCTCAGCGGCTGGAAGGCGCGTTAGAGGCCGCGAGAACGGCTAATGGGTGGGTGGATGTCTGGGACTTACTAATGGGAATGGACTTGATCGTCTCGGTCCAGACAATGGGCAGTGCGTTGTACTTGCACACGCTGTGGTAGCCGACCTTGGACTCGGTCATGGGCGCATTCTCGCCGCAAAGGAGGTTCTTTTGGGCCATTCTGAGTTCCGGACTCGCCTCGACCATGTAGATAGCGTCGATGCTGTTAGCCATCGCCGGGAATCTCTGTATGGTCCGCAGCATGTCGTCCATCAGGGTGCCACGGCCGGGCCCGACCTCGATCAGCTCGACGCCGCGGCTCTGACGGCCCTGGGCAATCCATTCGGCCACGAACCAGATACCGCAGAGCTCACCAAAAACCTGCGAGATTTCGGGCGATGTCACGAAGTCACCCTTGACGCCGAACTGGTCGCGGCCCTCTTCGAGGGCGCCCGTGTAGTAACCGCCAATGTCCGCAGTCAGACACATGCGCATGTAGCTGGCGAGTGGCACGGGGCCGGTTGTCTGAATATGTGTAAGCTGCTGGCGCCGAGATATGTCGGATAAAGTGAGTGAGTGGAAGCACACCTCGATGGCTGCTGCCAATTGCTTGGCCAGAGGGGTCGACCATTTCCTCCCACCATGTTCTAGCTCCCCATCTTGGTCTCGCTCTTTCTGGGACACTGCTCGGGCGGAAATATTGCGTTGTTGTGATACCAAGGTCAAAGCATCAAAACCCGGTCTTGAGCTCAAGGTTGGCCTCAAGCTGCGGATTGAGCCAAGAGCACTTCTCTCAGCGAGCCTCGTCGACTGCAGCGCACTGCAGCGAGCGCTCCTCAGCGCCCAGGATGCTGCGAATCTCATGTTGCACGATATGGGCAGCCGAGGTCATGACTTCATGTTCAGAGATGTCAGGGCGGGTTGTTTGCCGTTTCTATGAAGAGTAAAAGGTTCAGATTTCGCAGCGCAGCTCGAGTTTGGGTGTGTTATACAAGCAGTAGCTCACACCAGGCAGACGCTTATCGGACAGAGACGGACCTTATCTTCCTCTATAAGCGGTGAGCCCTAACCCTGATAGCTCCGAGTCATGCTCGAGCCCAGCAACGGGGCTTTGAATAGACAAGCAGTGTGTGTTCCATCATCGCGCGGTTCCGATGGAATGACAAACTATCTATTATTAAGTGTATACATACGTCTCCATTCAAAGGCAAACGGGAAGAATATCAAGTGCCGCTTTGCGCCTATCCATGAGCATTCGGGAGTTGATGAGGGTTAGGGTTCAACTGTGCAATGCAATGTGATGTCAGTGCCAGTGGTTCTAAGCACGGACAACTTGAACGTAGCCATATGTCAACTGCACAGTGTCACGATTACGAACCGGACTCTTGAGATTTGTCCCGACGAAACAACATCTCCAGATCAACAGTTTCCACATACAACAATGGCTCGACTGATACACAGCGTGCCAGTGGCACCAATACCTCGCCATGCTGAACCCCTGACCGACCTAACTTTGCTGCTGAATCGGCTGCAGCGCACCATCCTGCACGCCGATGCAGAGCGAGAGGCACGGCTGCGGGACAGCGAGTTCGAGAGGGAGAAGGCCCGGGCGGTACGGATTGACCACGTTTTGAGCCAAGTCAGCGTGCTGGATACATACTGACGTCAGCTACAGAACGTTAATTATGCGCGGTCGCTCCTGACCAAGCTAGAGCAAGAAGCTCTGGCGGTCAAGATCGTTGGCCGCCGACAGGAAACCCAGGCGGATCTGGTGCGGAAGAGGGAGCTGCTCGACCAAATATCAGAACGACTGAGTGATCTGGCCGAGTTTGCCGCGGCCGCAGGACATGGCAGTGGGACCGTTGAGGAGGACACGTCGGACGGGGAGGACATTCTGGCCGATATCATAGCGACACCCAGCGAGAGCATGAACTCGTCCAGGTCGCCCGATATGCCTCCCGAGGAGCCAAACGAAGCATCGTCAGATCAAGCAGCAGAGCCGCCAAACCCTCCTTCACCACCTCCGCCTAGTCGACCTCAAAAAACACAAGACGTCAGCCCCCGACCAGCACAAAGCACCACTTCAATCGCACCGCAACAAGCCACACCAACAGCAACAACAATAACCTCCCAGACTCTCCGCTCTCGCCAGTCCGAGCCAACCCCGTCCTCCACGCAACCACAGGGACCCATACCACCCCAACAACAACCACAGCCACCACAACCACGAGCAACAAGCACCAGCTCGTCCCTCTTCAGCAACCGCCCGACCACCCAAACAACTGACCTAGCAGCAATATCCACAACGGAAGCAATCCTCGACCACCAGCGTGCCGAACAAGACGCCCTCTCGGAATCCATCCTCAAGCTCGCCGCGCAGCTCAAGGCGTCCTCCCAAGCCTTCAGCGCCTCGCTAGAGGAGGACAAGGAAGTGGTGGAGCGGGCCGGGAAGGGGATGAGCAAGACCAGCGGCAATATGGAGGGTGTGAGTCGGAAGATGGGGATGCTCACCCGCATGACGGAGGGGGAGGGGTGGTTGGGCAGGATGAGGTTGTATGTGCTTGTGTATGGGCTGATGCTGGTTCTGGTGGTGGTTGTCTTCGGGCTACCTAAGTTGAGGTTTTGAACTGGTATGGGTTGCGCTTCGAAGTTATCGGGGTTCTTCTATTTTGACCGATGAACGGGGGAACAAGCGGGGGGGCCAAGGAGGTGGGTTAGCGAGCGTTGGAATTATCATGGTGCTATGTCCTAGGGGGTGATTTTGATGATGGTATGATACCTGTCTTATTCTATCTCCACCAGTGACTGCTTTCATGCTATGCTGTGCAAAAAAAAAAAAAAAAAAAAAAAAGGATGTGCAAAGTTGGAAATGCTTCGATGGTTCTCATAAAATCAAGGCTTGTTGGTTTTGGATCCATCCGATGCATTTTGATCCGTTGCAGCAGCGGGAACATCATGGTTCATGAGCAGCGTTGCATGTTGAGCTCTTTACCCCCGAGACACTGCCATATCAACCGATGAGCCCCCATCTTCCAATGCTCCTTCGGTTTGTGTAGGACGCCTGCTTTCCGAGTCCCATTGAAGTCACAACGCATCGGATCAGTCAAGGAAGGCGCGTCGTTCAATCCGTGGCCGCCGTGAGATCAATCATCTGAAGTGATAGGCCGGGTGTGACCGGGAGCTGACCAAGGGTTGGAAGGTGCCACGGAAGGAACGGCGCTCTCGATCCGATTATGGCACGGAGAGCCTATCTGCTGGGCTCGGGCAAGTGCCGGACCACGGAACTGGCGTGATCGGGGGTGTGAGCTGCGGCTGAAGTGCAGGATCGTCTGTGAATCTTGCGACTGCCGGTGCGACTTCGACTTCGGTGTCCTTTGTGTGAGAATTTGCGTCGGCAATTGCGTTGACGGCCGCCACCTCAGTCTGGAGAGAACCAGTGGCGTCGGAATGTATGCCCCTTTCCACCGTGGGAGCGAGAGCAATGGGAAACCCAGAGGGAATGTACTCGGCCGGAACCCAGCCGACGGGCTTGCCACCCGTCTAGCAATGCACATCATCAAGGTCAGCTGATTGTTCCCCAGCCCACTTCCTTCCTTCGGAGGAAAGAACACCTACCGGCGGCTGGTATTGGAAGAACCTCCTCTCGGTTGTCCCCGCCCTGATGAGGCGCTCGGCCCAGGGAACGCCGGTCTTGTTGTGGAAGAAGGACTGAAACAGGGCGAACTCGCGGGCGAATACCCCCGGCGCGTGGCTCGGCCGGTGGACCTTTGCCTGGGTGTCGCCCTTCTTCTTGTAGAATTTGGCGACGAACCAGTAGAGGCACGGTTTGGCATTGTTGGACTCGTGGAGCTGAACACTTGTGTCAGTGGATATTTTCCCCGTTGAAGTCCTTGAGCCGTCGGTCGACTTAGCATCGCCCTGTACTCACCGTAAGAACGTATCGCTCCCCCTGGATTCCCGCAGCCTCGTCATCCCTCGTCAGCACCACCTCATACATAAAGAATGTGTGGTCTCGGTACGGATGATAGAGATCTGTTCCAGTCAGACGTCATCCCGTGATCCCCATCCTTTTTTTTTTCCTTTTTTTTTACACTTGGAAACAACAGGGAAAGAACACACGTACTCGGATTGACCTCCCTCACAGCCTTCTCCAGTCCCTTGACAACAAGCATCCGCTTCCGCTCCCTTTGGCGCTCCCTCTTCAGCACCTCAAGATGCGAGTACGGCTTCTCATCCAGCCGTTTCCTCTTGAGCATCGAGTCCTCGAGCCAGTCCGGCGTGACAACCTGGCACGTCTTGGGCCGTTTGAGCGTCGCTTTGACTGGTTAATTAGGTAAGGCAGCTTCTGCGTCAGCGATCCCCTTCTTTTTTTCCCTACCTGATTACCTAGGTAGGCAGTGTTCCTGGATTCAGTATAAACGTACCCATGCCCCCCATCCGCCGGAACTCGTCTCCGCTGCACACCAGATGTGTCACATCCTCGCTCATCTGCCGCACGAACTTGCCCTCGCGCAGCCCCACCCAGCGCGAGATGTTGGCATCGGACCACTGCCCGCCGCCGAGGTCGCCTGCCGCGGCAATGGTCAGGCCGCGGAAGATGGGCTTTTCCTTGCGGGTCCGCATGTTCGTTCTGTGTTCTGCGGTTTGCGTTCTGCGTATGTGTCTTTCAGGGAGGGTAGAGCGAGGAGGGGGAGAGAGACAGAGAGACAGAGAGACAGAGACAGAGACAGAGAGACAGAGAGACAGAGAGACAGAGAGACAGAGAGACAGAGAGACAGAGAGACAGAGAGACAAACACGCTGGAACAGGAGCTTGGTCTTAGTAGGTATGTTTTGGGAGGGGCCGAAGAAAGGATTCGGAACCGATCTGCTGGAGACTGAGAGGAAAAGGATAAGAGAGTCAAACCAGAACGGCATGAGCCATGAAGCAATGTTTTCACCGTATGGTTGCCCGCTTTCTTCCCAAGGGCCTTAGGAAGATGATGCGGTCCAAGGTGGAACGGTTACGGGGATTTATTCCTCGTGAGAATGAGAGAATGGAAGAAGATTAAGATGAAGATGAAGATGAAAGAGTGATTTGAGGCACTCCAGGAGCTAATGCATGGCTTTTCTTGGTGGTGTTGGAAAGAATCAGAGCTGCCGCCCCTGTCTTCCTCTCAGGGGGATGTGGTGTGCCCAGAACGGTTGCCGCCGGAGAGATTGGACGACAGGAATGTATTGGTCGTAAGTTCACCACTACTGGCAGGACAACTCTCCGTAAGGTCTTCTGTGCCGGCTATGGCGGAATAGCAACATCATCTGTGTCCATGGGGATCCGCCCCACAGGTGTTATTCGGCGGGCTTAAGGGAAGAGGCGAAGGTGCTTCTCGATAGCTTGTCGGCGAAGACGAGGACATCAAGCTCGTCCGTGAAAGACTGTCCCGGAGGACGGGTTCGGGATTACAAGTCAAATCACTGCCAGGTGAGTTTGTATTGGCCGCGTGGTGGCTTGCCAGATATCAAGTTCCGTAGCCGAAAGAATGCTGGGGTTCGGCCTAAGTGATTCTACTCCTGAATCTACATACCAATGCGGGTGGTAGTAGGTATTGGACCGTTCAATAACACTACTAGTGCTCTTGGCCTGGCGCCTTCCTGAGCCATCACAGCATCACTGCCCCCGAACAGCCTTCGCAGCCCGGACAAATGCCTTAATCTTGTCCAGGTCCTGCTTTCCATCCGTCTCCACCCCGCTGCTCACGTCGACGCCCAGCACTCTGTCCGCAAGCGGGCCCAGCGCCGCCACGGTCGACGCGACGTTGTCGGGGTCCAAGCCCCCAGCCAGGAAAACCTTTAACTCTGGATCTTTCTCCAAAGCGCCCTTCACGGCCGCCACATCGAGCAGCTGCCCGGATCCAGCGCCCGAATCAAGCAGCGACACGGCATGGTATCCACGCAGTCCGAGCCCACTCTGCCCGGGCTTGAACTTCCGAATGACCGGTACCGGGATGAGGTTAGCCCACTCGAGCGGTTCGTCACCGTGCAACTGGACCACGTCCAAGTTATACAGCCGCTGTTTCTCGAGTATCACCTTCAGGGGCTGGTTCATGAAGACACCGACGAGAAGCGGGCCTGCTCTTGCCACCGACTCCCCGCAGACGGTGAACCAATCCGTTGCCGTCCGACTAGGGTATGTGACCGGTTGGGTGTTCGCGTCGCCAACGTATTTTTTACTCGCGTGCACAGCCTGTGAGATCTCCATCGCTTCCTCGCGCTCGAGGGACCGTTTTGTGCCAGGGACCAGGATCATGCCGATGAGGTTCGCGCCGGCTTTAATCGCTTCCGTGGCGGCTAGGGCACTTCGCGTTCCGCATATCTTGACTAGCAGAGGCTTCTTTTGGGAATCACGTACATCTAGCCATTCCGGACGTTCGGATGGGACATCCGGACGCGCGCACAATTCTCTGATAAAGCTGGATGCGTCAGGGGCCCGCATAATCGCCTCGCCGACCAGAATGCCGTGCACGCCCGCTTTTCTGCATTCATTAACGTCGTCGGAGGTGTTGATGCCGCTCAGCGCGCACAGAAAAGTATCCTTGGGCACCATGCTTTGAAGCCGGCCGGTTGTCCCCAGATCGACCTCGAAGCTTTCTAGGTTGCGGTTATTCACGCCAATAACCTTGGCGCCTATGTTGATCGCGATCCTCATCTCTTCTGTGTTCTGCACCTCAACGAGCGGCTCCATGCCCAAAGATTGTGAGTACTTGTAGAGCCGCTCAAGGACATCGAAGTCCAGCATCTTGACAATCAGGAGCACCGTGTCGGCGCCGGCAAGCCTCGCCTCTAGAATCTGGTACTCGTCGAAGATGAACTCCTTCCGGAGCACCGCCGGCCGGTTCGCCATTCCGTTGAGAGCCTGACGCACGGCACGGAGATCCTCAATGCTGCCCTTGAACCACTCCGGCTCGGTGAGGACCGAGATGACACTGGCGCCGGCAAGCGCATACTTGCGGGCTTGGCTGGGTGCATCAATGTGAAGCGCAAAGACGCCCTTAGACGGAGACGCTCTCTTGATTTCAGCCATCAGTGTTATATCGAATGGATCGATCGGCGAGCCGCGTATGCGGTCAAGAAACGAGATCTGGGGCGGTGCAAGGTTCAAGTCGTATGCAGCTTGCAGGTCAGATGGCCTCTGCGAGGGAACCTGCTTCTGAGCGGCGACAGCGGCTCGGCGGTGGGCATAGATCTTCTGGAGGATGTTGTTGTTCTTGGGCGCGGCCGCTGGCTTCGCGTCTCTTGCGGCCTCTTGGGCAGCTTTCTGCAACCGCTCGTTCTCAGCCCAGGTCCCTCCCTGCATGTACAGGAAGTTCCTGAGCATGGCGCGCCCTTCAGCGGAGAGAATGCTCTCGGGATGGAACTGCACGCCCTCAATGGTGTACTCCTTGTGGCGGACACCCATAATGACGCCCTTGGAACCGTCCTCATTGGCGACCCATGAACTGACCGCGAGGCATTCCGGCAGCGTGACATGGGTGCCGGCGAGGGAGTGGTAGCGGGTGACAGGCAGGCCTTGGGCCAGGCCAGCATAGACACCCTTCGAGTCGTGACTCAGGGGCGATGTCTTGCCGTGCAGGATCTCCCCGGCAAAGCTCACATCGCCGCCGTAAACATCGAAGATGCATTGCCTTGGGATCGGCCATGTCAGCAAGGGCTGAGACCATATGGGGTCATCAGATTCCACTCACTGTCCCATACACACCCCGAAGATGGGGATCTTGCCGGCAAAGTGTCGGATAGCATCGCGGCTGATGCCCGAATCGGTGTTCGGGTGTCCGGGTCCCGGGCTGATCACCAATTGTGTAGGCTGCTTCTTGATCAACTGCTCGAGTGTAATCTGGTCGTTCCGGACGACTTCCACAGTGGCACCTTCAAGGACCAGGTACTGGTAGACGTTCCAAGTGAAAGAGTCATAGTTGTCAATCAGGATGAGGTTGGAGGCGGTTGGGACCAGGGGCGACGGATCGGGATGGTGGGGTGAGTGGTCGATAACATCCAGGGTGCTCATTGTGGTTGTTCGACTGCGGTGGTGCTTTTGGTCTTGGCTTTCTGCTGTTTTGTTGTTACCGAGCTCGGAGGCTGGCGGATTGGGATGACAAAAGAAGCTTTGATGACCACCGAGAAGATTTTAGAGATGCTGCACAAAGCACCTGGGAGGTGATAGTTGGTGTTTGAGACTTGGATGCGCCCCTGGTCTTTAAAGTCAACTCCGTGAGTCACGGATGCTTGGGAGCCCCTTCCTAGATTGGCATGTATGGAAGGCGCTTCATGAAAGAAAATCGGACGTTGAAATCCTGTGTGTGTACCGTAAGGTAAGGTAACTGCAACGCGCCACCACCAGATCCGGTCAGCGGGGTCAAAACCTCCAGTGCACGGCAGGTCGGACTCGAACCAGGGCAACCGTGACAGCAAGCAGCGGTCGCACTGTGTGCGGCAGTCCCTGACTCATGGGTCCATGCACCTCAGCTCTTATCGATATGAGCCAAAAGTGGGTCTCCAAGCTGAAAAATAGCGGGCTGACCGCCTGGCAACCCGCCTGGCAGAGCTCCCAGGTTGGGACCCGCGTCGGGAGAGCGCGTCCCGTCAGTGAGGTTCAGGTGTTCGACTTTCTAGTAGCAGCTCCAAGCTCTGTCACCACTTTCGCTTTCCACTACCTGGACGGCGTCTTAGGCCGCCAGATACGATAATTTACTCACAGCCAGCCCTGGTCCGGATGGAGACCATCACCAATGGCTACTTTGACCGATAGAACCTATTTTCCTCCGCTTGAGGAGTGTTTAAGCGGAAAGAAAATAATCATGTATGTTGCGCTAGTCCGAAATGTGCCGCCAAAACAAGATGATTTCTGACGTTACCCACTCTCCTGCAGCTCGTGGAGGTTTCTCGCATCTGCTCTCGAGGACTTGTGCTGCGATCGATTGACCAGTGCCGCCGTGTCGGCCTTTCTCCGAGATGGCTACGTCCACCAGTTGCTGCGGGAACCCAGCAAGACTTTCGAGCCGCCAACAAACCAGTCCAGGGTCGACTTCGAGACCAAGACCGGCGCCATCAACGTCGTGCCGTCCCCGAACGACCCATATAACTTAGACACCATCAAGAACGACGCCCGATGGCTGAGCAAGAACGTCAACGTCAACGAGGTCGCTGCTCTGCGCATCGTGCTTGTGGAATACCAGTCGCGCGCCCACAGTCACCTTACCGGTCCGCTATCCACCCAGGATGTAGCCAACATCCAAGAAGCGGCCGGGGTTGGCGATGCGCAAGCCTCGGCCATCCTAGCGCTCCTGAACGTGACAACGGTTGCCGATGCCGAGGCGACATGGGCCGACTTCGAAAGCGAAGCCAGCCGCCGCCAGCGGCTCCTAGCTACATATCTCTCCGAGCGGCAATCCTTCTTGGGGGCGGTCGATGCTCTCATCACGTTCCTGATATACTCGCAGCCGTCGCGAGCATTGGATCCCTTGTGTCGGGCTGTTGGCAAGGAGGCCTTCGAGTTCGACGAGAGCGCGGTGCCGCCTAACAAGTCGCGACTCGAAGCTCTGGCGCCCGCATACATTCGCCTGCTCATGGACTGCGCCAAGCGGACCCAGACGATGCCCGAGTTCCTGGACAAAAACATACTAGCAGACCAATTGGAGGTTGTCTGGCTCAGGACAGCCCTCGCCGAAGCAATTCATGCCATGTCGCTAGTTTTCCAGATCTTGGATCTCAATGACTCGATCTTCGCACCGCCGGAGGTCGTCACCCAATGGTTTGCGCTTATGGACGCATTCGAGTTCTTCGAGCCAGTTGCTGGGGGGCATGTGCTTATCGCGGAGCTGATCATGCCGCTCCGGACTCTGGTTGCCGTGATCTCATTGAAACTGCTCAATATCGATCGGGCACTCTTATATCTGGATCAGGATGTCGACTTGCTCGACAATGAAGAGCCTTACTTAGCTTCGTCTGACGCCCTCACCCAAATTCACACCACAGTTGCGGCAGCGGCCAGCGCCGGCCTGATGACGGCCCTGCCTGTGGTATTCGCCTGGTCCCTGATCGTGCATCAAATGCACCTCGGATACCAGGAACGGGCGGAACGGCGCGACTTGTTACAGAACCAGCGGGCACAGGCCGGCTTTGAGCTCGAGTACGAGCCCTCCAACCGTCAGCGGAGGAATTCCGCCGGGAGCATCGTCTCCATCGAAACATCATCCTACGATGTCTTCCTTGTATCCCAACAGCTGGAACGGAACATCGAGCCGGCGGAAAACATGGCCAAGGTGGCTACCTCGCGCGGCCAGGTCTACGAACTGATGCGGGAGATGGCAAATTGCCTGGGAAGCGGCCAGATGGCCGCCTTCCGGACCGTTCTAGGTGCCCGCGCTCGCTTGGTCTTCCAGGATCTTCTAAAACGGAGCGCCCATTATGTGGGGTACCAAGAGGAACCTGTCGACTGTCTCCTCTCCGTCCTCTCGGGCGGTAGCCAGTACTGGGACATATCCCTCGACGTTCCCTCGGACCCTTCCTCCCTGGCCCTTTACCGTCGCATGCTACAAGACGATATTCTCGGCATACAGTTCACATCCCAGTCACAATACCGGTTTCCCTACGAATTCCTTCCCTTCTCCTCTCTCTGGCGCACCTTGTCGGGCGCTTTAATATTGGACGAGGAGAACTCCGAACGTATCACGGCGTTGCTCCTAAAAACCCCTAGCCTGACCTTGGATTGGGATCACCGGTGGCGGGAGTCATACGAACTGGTATTTGAGGAGGAGAACACCAACTCATTTCAGCTGACTCGGGATATTCAGCTTTTTGAACCGACCGCGAAGTCCAACAGACGGTTTTCGCCGGAAGAGATGTGCACAATACCCGCCAGGACATTCGGGCGTTTCTTGACCGATAGCTCGAAAGTGGTTAAGCTGGATTTCGGGCATTCCGCAATAGCTCTTCTCGGAAAGCGTCTTGAGGTGAATCTCGCGGCAGACGCCTACGACAGCGGGCTGAGGCGCCTGACGATGGATGAGTTGGTCGAGGGCATAGGGCTGTTGGCGACCTTTTTGCGCGTCGAAACCCTGAAATCCTCCAAGACAGATTCCGACCGAGGCATGAGGATTTTGACGGAGGCTAGCCGCTTACTTCCAAGGGGCAAGGACATCATCAGCATCGTTTGCGACACAATTGACAACTTGGTTGAGGAGGAGTCCGCGGATCTGGATGGCGTCGGGTTTGCCGCCCTGACATCTTGCCTCCACTTCTTGCACGCGGCACTCCCAGTTTGCCCGGGCCGCGTCTGGGCCTACATGGCACGGTGTGCGCTCATCAACAGCGACACGCGGTCCGGACGCCTGTCCAGAATCACAGCTAATCTCGACATGGTTGCTGAAAGGTTTGACCTGCTGTTGTCCGCGGTGAAGCTGTTCTCCAGCCTGGTGGACGGCGCCATGACAAGCGCAGTGCGAAGGAGGACAGGGGCAAATGCGAACAGCCCGAACAGCCGTTCAAAGGGAGAGGAGAACCCGTGGGTCGGGGCTTCCGACAAGATCATATCCCGAGTATCCCTTTCAATCGCCCAAACCACTCTCGACGTCTTTGAGAATTCCGCTACGTGGAGGTTCCCATCGGAGCTTGACCGCAGCATTCTGGTCCGGGATGTTGTGGGCATCATGCACAGGTTGATATCCTACACACATGGCGTGGGGTCGCACGAAGCACCCCAGAGTTTGACGAAACCGCTCGCGCCTGCGGCCGGATACATCGTGGAGAGTTTCCTCTCCAGCTCGTCGAGCTCCCTACGCTTCCAGCCACTCCTGGCGACTCTGCTGGTTGCCTTCCAGATTCCTGACTCCACCCTCTATGTGCGGCGCGCTCGGATCGTGGCCGACAGGCTAACGGCGGTTCTCGCCTTCGCTACCACACTCTTGCGGGTTGCAGACTACTTGGACCAGGCCTCTGCTGCCATCCAAACCCAGCTCTTCAAGTCCGCCTCCGTGATTGCTCGGCTACCGGCCATTAGGCATTCTTTCAAGATGCCAGCCATTTCTCTCCTGAGTGCGCTCGTGGAGAGCGCTGGCCAAGGGAGCGGTGAGCCGCCGTCGCTTTTGGGATATCTGGGCCCCCAAATATCTCGCTCCTTCATCCAGATCGCCTCGCAGCTGGACAAGCCCTTTGACAGGATACCGGAGGTCGTGAGCACCTGGAAGTTCTTCTCGACAATACTGCGGAACCGGCAACAATGGATGGCGAACTGCCTGCTCACGGGCAAGACGCCACGCGAGGCTCTGAAAGCGGACGCCAAGATCTCCCAGCTTTCCGCAGGCTCGGTGCTGTCCACGGCGCTAGAAAAGCTGGGCTCCATCAGCAAGCTCCCAAGTCGGGAGACTCTTGCCATCCTCGACTTCTTCACATCGGCGCAAAACTACTGGCCGTGGACCATCATTGCGATGCAGAAAGACAGGTCATTCCTGCAGCATCTCAGGTCCTATGTCCGCGAGCTGAAAGCCCCAGCGGTGGTTGCCAAGGCCGACCCGGCCGAGGCATGCTACCAAGCGCGGATTGCCGCCTACATTGCCGAGACGTTCGCCATGCAGCTGTACCACCTTCGTCAGATGCGCCAGGAGCAGGCCTTTGCTTCGGAGCTGGTGAATGACCTGGATTACTTCCTCCGGGACGGCGTTCACGTGTCCGATTACAACTCATCTCTGCATGCCAACTTCGCGAGGAACTTTGCCAAGCGATACTCGGGATGCTTAATCGACGATTTCAAGCGGACTCTGCTGGTGCCACGGGATCTAGGGTCCCAGTACTACTATGCGCTGGATGTCGCAGAAGCCATGCTCAGCTATGATGCTGGCTGGGCTGGTTCACGGCAGAACGGCTTCAGGCGAGAGATGGAGACGGCCAACTTGAACCTCTCCTTGGTGGAGGCCGAAGTTGTAAGTGGATGATGATGTCTTTGTGAATCCGAAGTGCCTGAGTGTGCGCTAACTCGTCTAAGGCGCTGTTCCGTGCCTGGGAGTATCTGCTCTTGGAGCTCAGCATCTCTCTGCTGCCAAAACACAAAACATTTGCAAGGCAGATGCTACAGGTCGTCGAGCAGTGCTTGGAGTCGAACCAAGGACCGCAGCCGCCGGAGAATATCTTCGTTGTGCTCGCACATTCACGGGCAAACTTGGCCCTGTCGCTGCTCCAGCGGCTGGCGGACTGCTCGCTCCTCCCCAAGGACATCACCCAGCTACTCTCGTCAATAGCAGCGACCATGAACGGCGTGGAAAATCCGTGGAGCAAAGATCAGATAGCCTACTTCCGCACCCTCCTCAAGATCCTCTTTGTGATCTTGAGAGGGACCAAGCACTCGTCTAGCGCGGCGCCACAGAAGACCACTGCCGAAAGCCCCGTTGCTGTCAGCCAACTTGTCCTAACTATCCTCGACCGGGTGGTAGCGCGGTCGTTCCGCACGCTTGCAGGCCTCGTGCACGAGTGGGACGCCGCCACAACACCAGAAGACTTAGCACTCATAACCGGCATATTACAAGCCTGCCTTAGCGTGCCCGGAATCGAGCAATGCCAGCTCCAAGTCCTCAACATCATGTCCTCGTACGACGTCCTGCAGGTTGCCACCTCGCTCTTCTCGTGGTCCGACCGCATCACCGACAAGGGTGACCCCGTCTACGGCGAGCTGGCGCTCCTCCTGCTCCTGGAACTATCCGCACTGCCCGCCCTCGCCGAGCAACTCGCGTGCGACGGCCTCCTCGGCCACCTCACCGCCGCCAAGCTAGCTGGGTTCATGCGCCGCGCCAACGTGTCGCCCTTCTCGGACAACGCGGGCGCCGCGCGGTGCTACGCCATCTGGGCGAAGGGAGTCCTGCCGCTCCTGCTCAACATCTTAGGCGCGCTCGGCGCCACCATCGCGCCCGAGATCGCCTTCGTCCTCAACCAGTTCCCCAACCTGCTCCGCGCCTCGGCCGAGGAGCGCCTCGAGGCGCCCGGAATCAGCCGCACCGTGTCGGAGCGCGACGCGCCGCACTTTGTCGCGCTCCTTGCCGTCAGCGAGGCGCATTCGCTGGCGCTGCTGACGCGGGTGCTAGCGGCGCTGCGGGCGAATAATTCGAGGGATATTCCCGAGGTGGCGTGGGATTCGGCCGCGGTGCTGGAGAATGTTGAGTTCTGGTTGGCGAGCCGCAAGGTGTTGAGGGAGAGGCTGCTGCCGCTGAGTCCGAGGGAGGTGGAATGGAGGGGTATGAAGGCGAGCGAGGGGAGTGGGTGTGAGAACAGGCTGGAGGAGAAGGCGGTGGAGCTGTTGCAGGGCGTTCGGGACGTGTTGGCGGAGGAAGAAGAAGATTAAGCCTGTTGTTGTTTGCTGCGGTGTTGTTTGTATCTCGGAGTTGACCTACCTGCCTACCTACCCATTTTCGTTCTTGGCCATCAACAGGAGTATTGCGATTTTGCGTTTGCCGTGGGGCTTCTCGGGTATACATTAGACCCTTGGTTAGGAGCCGTGAATCTCTCTTGATTAGAAGGCGGCACACATGTTTGTTTATGACGCCCAGTCGGTTTATTGGACCTTGCATAATACAACCAGAGCCAAGGTAGAACCATCCCAATGCTTTCCACACGCAGACAACAACGGCCGGTGGTTCCCCATCTATCCATAGCCCAACCCTCATCCCGCGTAACCTTTCCCATGGTATTGTACAGTCCATCCCAGACACGTAAGCCATCTGCCATCTTCACACACACACACACACACACACACACGATGTTGTCTTTTCCTTCCTAATTCCTCCACCGCGGACGCCTTTGATGGTATGGGGCAATCTACCGCTTCGACATCTCGGCCGTCATGCTGGCATTCAGCTCGGCGAAGCGCTCGCCCAGCCGCGCCTGCGTCGTCATCGACTTGGTCACGCACCGGCTGATGCAGCCCGACTCGCGGCCCGAGAGCGCCTTGGAGGTGAAGTCGTCCACGCACGAGTTGAAGCAGTTGTCCACGAGGTTCCCGAAGACCTGGTTTTTGAATTAGCAGGGTCGTTTGTTTTGGGGATGGAGGGACGCTGCTGCAAGGCGAGACGAATGGTCGGGGATTGAGAGGGAGGACTGAGTTGAAGGAGGCAAAAACAAAGAAGAAAAAACCATACATTCATGAACTCCTTCACTTGGCGCTTTTGCAGCCGGGTCTCCAGCTCGCGGGATTCGGCGGCGGTCAGGCTGGTTGGAGAATTAGTGTTAGGTTTCCGGTGGTATTGGAATGGTGGCTGAGGTCGTCGGAAGGGCCTACCCTGCGTCCATGATGTTGACTATTTAGGGATACTGGGTGATGTTGCGCCTAGGACAAATAGGTTCTGCGATTACAGTCACAACTCGACAAGTGATGTTGACGATGCATGTATGGATTGTATTGTATGTATTGTACAATACCCTGTCGTTGACGCAGTTCTTATCGCGATAACAACCTGGAAATTCCTTTGCTTGGCTTCCGGGCTTGGCAATCAGCAACAGCTGGTCCGTGCGGTCCATGAGCTCGACCAGTCTCGAAGGTTAGCGAGTGCTTGGCACCTCGCAGCTCATACGCTATCTTTATTTACGAAAGTTGAACCCCAAACATGCATGTACCTTATGTAAGGTATGTATGTTCCGGATATGGGTACCTCACCGGAACCAAATGTCGTGTCATTGGATTATAGCGCATGCTTGACAGCTTACGAGACCTGGCGTCTAGAGAAGTACGACCGAGAGCGATGAGTGCATTGCTCAGTCTGTGGGGATTGGTGATAGCTACCACAGCATAGGAAGATGCGAGACCGCAAGCTGGAGGGAGCTGATGGATTGGTAAACCTCCGCGTGTATGACAGCCTGCAGCATCTCGTATCGGCAAACACACTCGCCCGCGAGGCTGAAGATGAGGTCATTAATATCCGTATCAAGGAGGACTGAGAAATCACTCGCCGGGATACAATAGCTAGCATTCCCTTTTTTTTCTTTTTTCTTTTTCTTTTTCTTTTTGTTGTTTTCTTTGTTTTCTTTTCTTTTTGCCGGATCGTTTCGTTTCGTTTTGATGCAGGCTGGGAGGCTGGACGTAGACGAAATCATTCTGTAGCTCCATTCGGAGCGAGACTCGAGTCTATCGGATTGCCATTATGAATTTGCCTTTTTAGTGTGTTGGAATAGTTATAGATAGTTCGAGCGGTTTGATATGATGGAGCGTACAAGACCTGTCTTCCCACATTTCTGGACACGTTAGACACACCATGCCCAACATCACCACTCTCCCCATAGTTCAATTTATGGCGCTTCCGTATTGTATTGTACAGTGCGTGCAGGTCGAGCTCTGGCTGTTTACTTCGTGATGGTCTCAACCCGGAAGTGGATAGTAGATCTAGATGATCCGTGTCAAGCGATACAATTACCAACATTCATCCTCTGCATCATGGGCTGCACTGTCTTGAGACTGAACAAACGGCAAGCTCGACACCACTGTGTTCAGAAAGCTTTCGCACTGTGAATTTACCATACTACTACACCAAGCGCCTACGGTATGGAAGTACAGTACAGTGCTAAAACACGCAATTCCTACTGGGTAGCCTGGATAGCATTTAGCACACCCTTGTTGTTGCCCCAAAGCCCAGGCTTTTTTGAGAAGCGAGCTGGCTGGCGGTCCCTCCTCGTCCCGCTGCCGGATCAACTCGCAAGTTATCGACAAACAAGGAACGTGGTCTCCAGGGCAAGCACTGGCGAACAGGCCTGCTTCGTGCATCAGTCCCATCGGGTCCTCAAAAGCGGCTGTGCCCAGCGCTCGAGTTTCGACTCCGCGATCGACCGTAGCCGGGAAACGGGCCCAGGCCGAGCATCGCATCGTGTCGCAGAACGACAATCATCTTGCACCCTGCAAGTAGCGCACTTCGCCCAGGAGATCCCCGCGTGCTCTGTTTTGCGCGCAATCTTTATTAGTCCTGGAACAAGTTTATGCGACATATCGATCCGATCTCTCATTTTCGATTCTGGCGAAGCCGAAGCACTGTGTGCAGTACCCAGCGAGGTGGAATTGATTCCCGCCGCCGCTCTCTCTCGTCTCAACCATGACATCCGCAGCACCGCAACCAGCAGCGCAAACAGCTGGATCGCAGCGGCACCAGCAGCAGCAACAACCACAACAACACCATGCGAACGCTCCGCACACGCCCAGCACACCTGTCGCGTCCCAAGCCCAGTCTGCGGTTTCCCCGCCGAGCAAACGTGATCTAAAGTCATGGTGGAAAGGCTTCAAGTTGCCTTCAAAGCATCAAGAGCAGCATGGTACAACAGCCCCCTCCACTACAGTCTCGAAACAACCCCCCCGAAAGAGAGACGCGATATTTTCAGAGGACATGGACGGCTGCCTTGTTGGACAGCGCGGGCCAGTCGGTGCTTTGCTCCGCAACGTTGCGTCCGAGGAGGGGCGCGCGGTTCATCGAGCAAGTGCAAGCATGGACCATCCATCCCACGCGCGACCGCCAGAGGTGCCCAAGTTGAGCCCCCTTGCCCGCACCGTGGCCTGGCGGTTCCGCAGATACCATCGTGAAATATGTCGCAAACTAGCGCCGGTCAGCAGGAAGCTAACTGCCACAGAGCCCCGGCCGCAAGGGATATTCGGTGTCCCCCTTCGCCAGAGCATTACATACGCCAACGTCGCCATCTCCCTTGTCGATGAGGATGGTAAGAGCTATATATATGGCTACGTTCCCATCGTGGTTGCCAAGTGCGGAGTGTTTTTGAAGGAGAGAGGTACGATCAACGCTTGCCCATTATTACCTCTGACACACAACGCTGGTTGTATGCCTGCTGACTCTCGCTAAAGCGACCGAGGTCGAGGGGATCTTTCGCCTGAACGGGTCTGAGAAACGCATCAAAGAGCTCAAGATAATCTTCGACTCACCCGATCGATACGGGAAGGGCCTTGTCTGGGATGGATACACGGTCCACGATGCGGCCAACGTCCTCCGCCGGTACCTCAACGATCTCCCTGAGCCGGTTGTGCCTCTGGATCTCTATGAGAAGTTCCGAGAACCACTAAAGGGGGCCACCAAGCCGGGAACGGCCGACGGCGAGGGTCCCCAGTTCGTTGAGAATTTCGACATGGATGCCGCCATTGCGAAATACCAGCAGCTGATCACGGAGCTGCCACCGTTGAACCGACAGTTGTTGCTGTACATCCTCGATCTCCTCGCGGTGTTTGCGGCCAAGTCGGATCAGAACCGTATGACATCGCAGAATCTGGCCGCCATTTTCCAGCCGGGCATGCTGTCTCATCCCAACCATGCCATGGCCCCAGAAGAATACCGATTGAATCAATGCGTGATCATCTTCCTCATCGAAAATCAGGACCATTTCCTCATCGGGATGCAAGGCACCGCCGCAGACGAAAAGACTGTGGAAGAGGTCCAGAAGGGCACCCCTGCACTCAATCCGCCGTCAACACCCACTTCAAAGTCAGGACTCGTTCGGTCTGCCTCCACCGGGAGCGCTAGAACCGGCAGCGTGACGAGAGACAGTTCCATCAGGAGGAACAAATCGGCGTCGTCGAGACGGTCGTATCACACGAATGGCAGTCCCAGCCCCGGCAGCCCATCCTTAACATCGACACCAACGGGTGGGCTGACTCGGAGCAACACCGTCCCGTCGAAGAAGTCTCCGGCTTTGCAAACGGGGAGGTTCGCCTCGCGGAACGATACGCATGTGGCTCCGCTGACTGCAATTGCGCCACCAGCGACCACCGTTGTGTCTCCTCCGCCAGCGGTTGTGGAAGAAGCTCCTACTCCTATGGAAGAGTCCTCCGCACCATCTATCTCGACTTCAATTGCCCCATCTGGTTTGTCTATTCCTGGCGCGAGGAGCCAGGATAGACTTCTTGAGCCTCCTACTCCAGAAGTGACTACTCCGTCCAAAGAACGGAAACTGCCCATTCTCTTTCAAAGGATTGCGTCGGGCGAGGGGGATGGGCGGCAGCCAAACAAGCTAAGAAAGAAAAGACTACCAGGCAGTGCGAACCCTAGTGCTCACAGCTCAACGGCGTCGCTTCCCCATTCAGCAACGACTTCTCCCAACACCGAAGGTCCAAATCCTCTGGAAATGATACCTTCTGCTTCGAAAACTGCAGGCGCCGCAGAGAGCGCGACGACGCCGCCGGCCGAGACCCTATCGGAACCTACCCCACGTGCGACGGATGCTCCTGCCAGCGCGACTGATCCAAGCTCCGCAAACCCAAGTAGCACTATCCCAGTAGATATGGACAAGAACAGTACCAGTCCCGGAGCTAGCCCCGGCAACACCCATGCCGGCGACGCCCACACTGTTACTCTTCATCCCAACAGTGCCCAGGCGACCCTGAAACCCAAAAAGTCTCCCCCGACGTCGCTTCACAGCTCGTTCAACGAAGGATCGGATCTTGATCAGGTCGAGGAGGTGACAACCGCTTCTGGTGAGGCTGCCGTTCCTGACACGCCCAGCGAAAAGGAGAAGAAGAGGCGATGGCGCCTTTCGCGTAAAAAGGAGGAGATCTCACCGCCACCGTTTTATCCCCCGCTTGGTTCACCACGTCAAGTTGTGGGGTCAAATGCCCACGCGGACGCCAGCAGTACTTCAGTGAACAGTTTTGGAAAGCAGGGCCAGAGCGTGGCGGGAGACTCGTCGGACCGCACCACTTTTACCTCAGACGGTCATCCGGTCGATGGGGCGAGCAAAGAAAGCAGGGACGAGTCGAAGAAACTCTCCAGCTGGATTAAAAACAAGTACCGCGAGCACAAGGAGCATGTCGACCAACGGAGAAACAAGTCGCCGCCGCCCGAAAGGACAGTGTCCTTGGGGTCCAGCCTCATGTCATCACGGGGAAAGAGTCTGGAGCTCAAGCGCTCCGAGGAAGACAAACCGCCGGCTCCATCTGCAGCGCAGCCGCCGCACCCGCACCCGCAGCCCCAGGAACCAACGGCACCTCAATAGCACTCTCAAGTTGATGGGCAAAAGAAGGTGACGATGAGTCCTGACGAGTTCAACGCCGTTACGAATTTCCAGCATTTCCCTTGTTTCTACTTGATAGTCGTGGAGATGTGGGCCAAGGCGGAATGTGTGAATTGCTGTTTGAAGCGAGATATGATGGGGGGTTTACTTGGCGCGCTCAAATGTGGCGCTTGGGCAGAAGACCATAGCGCCTCTATGCGGATACCCAGACTTGTTTATGTACATGATGGAGTGAGTGTATGTAGGGTTTATCACAAAAGATCCCCTTATTTGTCTGCGGCTTTTTGGTGGATGGCCAGCACCAAGTTGTAGCGTTCTTGATAGAGAGCCTTACGCTCAAACTACCTTGGTACTTTGTTCTTAGTACTTCGGTATTCCTCTTCAAAATGGACGAGCTGATGATCGATTCTCCTCCGCCTGGCGTGTCCAACCCTACGGCTTACATGTAGACCTCGGCTCTCCTGAGCGCGGAATCAGTTCCAGCTTCTAGAAGCAATGGGCACCTTATTAGCGTCACCCCCGCAAACCGGTGCAAGCCGACTACCCCAGACCCGAGCGGACGGATCAGGGAATCCTGGGGAGTAGGGTAATAAGTACCTCGATGGGTATGTCATTACACTAGATGATACCTTCGATTCCTCCCCACACTTCCAATTTCTGCCCATGAACCTTAGGTGAGCTCTGTCTCTTCCTCTCTTGTAACCTGGGGTTAGGGTCAAGAAGCCTGGACTGAGTGGGCTCTGGGGAAACTGAGTGGGCCGCTCAAAGTGAAGTCCCATCTTTCCCCGCAAAGCGGCAGATTCGTGCGGAGTCCCGACCGAGCCGCTACCGCTTGGCGCCCCCTGTCCCTCCGCACCAACGCAATCCAATGGCAACCACAAAAGCTGCCGTCCTGGATGTCAGGCTCGCTAGCATACTGTTACCTGAACGAGGAAATATGTCCGTACTTTGTAAGCTCGTGACTTCAACCCTTCCGGGGGACTTGAAGAAATTATCGATTTCGAGAACCGGGGCAAGAATCCTTTCATATATTTGAACGACAAATGACCAACATTGGCGTCAAAGTTGATTTCTCCGGTCCCACGCCGAACCCCCACCCCGGGACTGGCAGCGGAAGCATGACCGGTCCGAATTACGGATACTCCCTTTGGTTTGCGAGGCGCTCAAACGGTGTATGCAGAATATAGACTGTCTTTGATCCCAACTTCAGCAGGTTCATGGCGTGAATTATTCCTAAAGCCCCAAGGAGCGCCGTCTTCTCCTATGTCAGACTCGGAGCAGAAATGGAGGTGCAATATCGCTCGAGGGAGCTTTTCCCCTAGTTGCCTACCTGACCGCCACACACGACCTCGATGCCAGCCAAGGTTCGGCCAAGAATGTCTCTGACGGCGACACCTGGGACTTTTCCAGAAAATGTTCCACCACGTGCCAACAAAAACACACCGTGCTCGCCTCGACCTTGTTCGACAGCCACCGGTGACCGGGCGGACCAGACACTGAACTACTGTTACACTAACGTTAGCCAGGAACGACAGCCAGGAACGACAACCAACCGGGAGTTGGCCGTTAACAAAATCCTGCAGCTTTCGTCAACCGTGTGGCCAAACCCCACATGACTGATGTGACAGGACGGGTTGGCAAGATGGGGTGGCGCAAGCCACAAGAGCTTATTCACCACGGCATCAGACATGCACGAAGCTGACGTCGGCCGCATTACAGGGCAGGTCGCCAGACATGCTGTGCTCTCTTATATATTGGCCATGCAACATACCGACAATCAGTAAGTCCCCAAAGCTCCGTACATCGGCAACGAACCAATTTGGAGTGTCTAAAGCCCTACACGACATGTCAGAATTTACCTAAGTCCCCTCCATGGCCTTCAGCCTGGATCCACTTAGCACATTGTTCTGCCAGGGCCCAGCTCCGGTGTCTCGCCAGCTCTTAGCTGGATCCGGAAGGTGGTTATGAAAGCACCCCGATCCCGGGCCGGCGGACATCAGTCAATGCGGAGAACCGACGTCGATCAGCTGGATGCGACGGTCGCGCAATGCAGTCACCCCCGGTGTTACCGTCGCGCGGATAACTTTAACTCCACGCGATGTCGCCCTCATCACGGCCAACATGCCTCTACTTTTTTTTTCCTCTTTTTTCTTCCCTTTCTTTTCTCCTTGGTTCACGCATCCGCTTCTCACCCCTTCGATAAGCGCCAGGAGGGAATCGCCACGTCTCGGTGGATCTAGAAGCGACAAGCACAGCAGCCATCATGTCTGAACTCAAACACCGTATGGTCCCTCTTTCTACTATGTAGTACTAGTATGTACCCATCGAGCGCGCACAGTCTAACAAGCTTCGCAGCATCAGACGAGGAGGACGCCAAGAGGCACGGTGGCATCGACAATCCTAATCCTACGCACCATGCCTTCTCCCCGCCGTACGACTCGGTGTCCCTGACGTCGGGCGAGGTGGTGTGCCCGGCGCACACGACGGAGCGCAAGATCACGACCAAGATCGACATGCACCTGATCCCGTTCGTGTCGATCCTGTACCTGATGGCCTTCCTGGACCGGGTCAACATCGGCAACGCGCGCGCCTTCGGGCTCGAGGCGGACCTTGGGCTGGGCGGCGTCGAGTACAACACGGCGCTGACCATCTTCTTCGTGCCCTACATCATCTTCGAGATCCCGTCCAACATCCTGCTCAAGCACTTCTCGCCGCGCGTCTGGCTGTCCATCTGCTGCATTGGCTTCGGCTTCGTCACGGCCATGCAGGGGCTCGTGCAGAACTACAGCGGCCTGCTCGCCACGCGCTTCTTCCTGGGCCTGTTCGAGGCGGCCATGTTCCCCGGCTGCTTCTACCTGCTCAGCACGTGGTACCGCCGCCACGAGGCGCAGAAGCGCTTCTCCTTCTTCTTCTCGTCGACGTCGCTCGCCGGCGCGTTCGGCGGCCTGCTGGCGTCGGGCATCGGCAAGATGGACCATGTGCGCGGCTACCGGGGCTGGCGCTGGATTTTCATTCTCGAGGGCTGCTTCACCCTCGTGGTTGGCGTCATCTTTCTGTTTACCTTCCCCACGTTTCCGGAGCAGACGGTATGTCCACCAGTGACATCTCCCCCACCCAACCCCCCTTCTCCCAGGTTGAGATTTTGGAAATTGGTTTAATTAACTCGCATACCTAATATAGACCTGGCTCCGCGAGGACGAGCGCGAATTCGTCAAGGCCAGACTAAAAGCGTCGCAAGGCCACAGCGGAGCGGAGCGCAAGATCACGGCGCGCGACGTGCTGACGGTTATGTCCGACTATAAGATCTGGCTCGGCGGCTTCATGTACTTTGGCCTGATCGTGCCGGCGTATTCGTACGCCTACTTTTCGCCGACCATCATCCAGAGCTACAAGTACGACGCCATCACGACGCAGCTCCGGTCCGTGCCGCCTTGGGCCGTCGCCTTCGGCTTCGCCATGGTCGTCGCCGTCGCGTCCGACTGGCTCAAGCACCGCTTCTTGTTCGTCATGGGCGCCATCTGCATAGCCATCGCGGGCTTCGCCGTCCTGCTCAATGTGCACGACAACCTGCCGGTGCAGTACGCGGCGCTGTTCCTGGTCTGCATGGGCACATACTCGGCCATGCCGGTCATCGTGTGCTGGTTCAATATGAATCTGGGTGGTCATACCAGACGGGCCATTGGGAGTGCGTGGCAGATTGGTGAGTTTTATGTTATTTTCCATCCCCTCTGTTGTGAGAAGGGAGAATGGGCGGGGGGTTGACAAAGATGACAGGCTTCGGCAACATTGGCGGCATCATCGCGACGTATTCTTTCGTCCAGAGCGATGCGCCCTTCTACAGGAAGGGCTACGCCATCTGCGTTTCATTCATCTGCCTGAGCGCCGTCTCTTCCATCGCGTATGCGCTCTCTGTGGTCTGGGAGAACGGGAAACGGAGCAAGCAGCCGCATAATCTGAATCTGACCGAGTCAGAGAAGATAGAGCTCGGGGTGAGTTGTTCCTTTCTTTTCGGCTCCCTTGGCGGATGAAACGGTGGCTAATAGCGGACTCGAACTAGGATTTGAACCCCGAGTTCCGGTACATGCTCTGAGACGGAAGCAGGCCAAGAGCTCGACATATGATGTAATGATGCGTCGATGATACGAATGATCTAGGGCTAGCCCGTAGAACGGTGCCTGCGATGGATTAAAACCAATACATAATATCACATGTCTGAATTCTCCAGGCGTGGATGATGAAGTACTGACGGTTAAACTGTTTCTTTGACACGCTTTTTCTCTCGCAGTGTTCAGGGAGGGGAGACAAGAGAGAGCCAATTTCACCTCGACTAGCAGCTCACCCCATCCCACACGAAATCTTCGGCATTGAACTGGCCCATGTCGTGCAATGCCGCATCCTCCGTCGTGCCCAACTCATCTATCAACCCCTGAATCTCGTCCACCTCCTTCATCATCACCCTGGCATCCCCCAACCGCTTAAGCAGCTCAATATCCTCCTCGGCGGCCTTCCGCTCCTCCGCAGACAGCGCCCTCGTCCTCTCGGCTTCCAACGCCCGCAATGCCCCAGCATCACCCTTCTTTTGCTTCCATACTCCTCGTCCATCATTATCACCCCGCTTCCCATCCGCATCATACACAATTCGTCCATTCCTCCTGATCACAATCAGCCTCTCCACGGCCACCTCCCTTTTCTCGTCTTTCCCATTCTCCTCACTACGACTACTACTACTACTACTACTATTATTATTATTATTATTATTACGCTGATGATCAAGCCACTGCACCGCCTCCGCCAACCCTTCAAAACTCAGGTCATGCACCAACCTGGGCGTCAGCCGCACCGGCAGCCCGCGCGACCCGGCCTCGGGCAGCCGCTTGTAGTACCTCACCAGAATCCCCAGCCTGCTCAGCGCCGCAGGCACGGCCAGCACCACGACCCGCACGGCATAGCCTCCCTCGCAAAATACCCGCACCAGTCTCTGGAAATGAGAGTAATCCCCCCGGCTTGTTGTTGTTGTTGTTGTTGTTGTTGCCCCCTTTTCTTTTTCTTCTTCTTCTTCTTCTTGCTGCCTACGGCGACGACAGGCCGTCTCCACCAACACGCTCTGCACTCTCTCCCTCGCGGCCGTGGCACAGACCTCGACCAGCCACTCCGCTGCGTCGTGGCTTGCTAGCCGGGAAGCGAGATGCGGTGCGGCGGCGAGTGCGGCGGTGTAAAAGGGGTGGTAGGTCTTGAAGGTGTCTGCTATGAGATGCAGCGGGGGCGGTGGCGGTCCGGTTGGAGAGGAGCGGCGGGAGGAACTGGGGAGTTGCTGTTGTTTTTGTTGTTGTTGTTGTTGCTGCTGGTACATGGCCCGGAGGAGCAGCGGGGCCAGGCGGGTCTTGCCTGCGCCTGTTTGGCCTAGGACTAGGATCGCCATTGGTTTGGTACTGGGGGAGGACGGAGACGACGAGGATGATGACGATGATGATGATGATGTTTTGGAGGGGAGAAAGGGGTGCAGTTCGGCTGGTAGGATGGAGGTGTGTAGGATGTGGGCGTGGGCGGAAGGGGGTATCCGCCAGGCTGCGAGGAGCAGATCGTCGGTTGGGTCGACGGGGCTGGTGGTGGCTGTTTCCGATGAAGCCCGAGGCGTGGCGGCTAGGGTTGCTTTTGGTGGTGAGTGATTAGAAGGGTGGTGTAGGTCGCTGCCCGGGTCTTCCATGGTGCAATCGCGTTGCTGGTCTCTCTTCAGGGGCGCGTTGCAGATTCCTAGACAGGAAAAAGGGGTTGCATATGAGGCGAGGTAGAGTTGAGGGCTGTAAGTGGCGAATGTAGTAGACAGCAGAACAAAGTTGAACCTCCAACACTGCAGGTGGAAACAGCAAGAGAATAAGAGTGGGTTAGTCTTGACAGCACATAGATGTATGTGTAAGAGAGTTGGTATAGGAGTAACGTTATTGTTTGTACGTCTCGCGAGTTACGGCAGTAAGACAGAATTAGGATCGGTAGACGATGGGGGTTATGTCGCATATTGTATCCGTACTAGGTACTGGTGTATACACTTCTCGGGGGTGATCCTTGGGTTACACTCAACCCCAGATTCAGACCAGTAACCCCCATTCCATCCATCCAACTCAGTCGAGCCCCGCAACCCCGGTCCCGTCCGTGGGGGTCCGGCTCGGCCTTGCCGCATGACGGATGCCGAAGAAGCTCGCGAAGGGGATGCCCCCGTCGGCTGCCTTCCTTCATGGTCTGCCGCTCCGTTGAACAGGGGCTATCACCACGGTACAGTATCACCACAATTTCCACTTTGAAATCATTCTTCGCTACCCGCCAAAGTAAAACCAAGCTCTCCTTGTACTCCTAACCCACCCTGTACTGTACCGGCCTGCCCTGTAGAGTTCGCCGCCTGAAATGAGGCCCCAGTTTGCATGAGCGTACCAGTAATAACGACACCAACACCAAAAGATCGAAGCTGACGGAAAACACAGCGGGGTGCAGAGCCTTGGGTAGAACAGCCCAGATCGCCTAAACACCGCAACGAAGAAGGATCCATCCAAAGCTATAACGACAATGCTGAGTAACCCCCGGAAAATCAAAACCGCGCCTTAGTCCCCAACTCCCTCAGTTCCGTCCGATATCTGCCGTGCGGGAGCGAGCAGGATCTTCAACAGAGTGCTCCTGATGACCAAGGCCACTGGGAAAATCATCAGCTCTCCAAAGAAAAGTGAATCGTCCGTGTAAAATGCATTGCCACCAACTCCAATGCATGATTTCCCTCGAGACGTTGTTCGCACAGAAAAACAAAAGCCCCGTCCCCAGCCCGGCGCCGTCCGCACGGGTATCACAACACAGAGGCTGATGAGATACCAGCAGTGTTGCATGAGCTCCTGGGGGACAATCCGAGTTCCTGAACCTTTGTATCCCCCTCATCATGCATTGCTCAATCCCGCGTTGCAATCAGGTTGCCAGTCCGCTTCGCAGCGTGACATCGCCGCTGCGCCGCCGCACCGCAATCTGGTGCTGGTGCTGCTGGGCATTCGCCGCGTCGATCTGACGCATATGCCTTCGAAGGCTTGCGAGTCGGCCGCTAATCATGTGGATCACTGCCAAGAGGACGTCAGCATCACGGCACTCGCTGTCGGCTCGCCAAACCAAGAGACAGGATAGCTTACTCTTCGTCACAGTTTTCTGGTCGTCGCTGCTCATCTCGCCCGAGGCTTCTTGAGCAGCGACAGGTTGCTTTTCGTCCTTAGACGACGCCGACACGCGGCGTTTGGGAAGGTGATCGTCATCGCTGTCAAGCACGGCTTCGAGCATGCGGATCGCTGTGACATAGGCAAGTTCACAGCCACCAAGATCTTCGTTAGCAATCTCGTTGATGGCCGCCGCGCGACTCATCTCCACCGCCCGGTCGTACATCAATTTCTCGGCACTCAAGCCCGTCGAGAGGAAGACTCCATCGGCCCCCGAACAGCTTACCGAGCTCGTCGTCTCGGGCTGGTTACTGGGGTGGCTGGGGTGTTCCTCGGGCAGTTGCTTCTGAGCCTCGATTAGTTTTAACCGGGCAATCTCGGCCTTCTCTAAGACCTCGTTGAACCGTGTTCGGATCCACTGGACAGCCGCGTTGATCTTCATCGACAACGCTTGGCTGTTGACCGAGTCCCTTGTTGCCGAGTGGGCGCCGCTGTTGGACTCTGTCCGGTTCTTCCGGGCCCACCAGAGGCTGGCAATGTCCATCGACTTGGCCAGAAGCGACAGGGCCTTGACGTAGAGCACCAGGGCCTCTTCCGACAGAGAGACTACCGCTTCAACCGTGAGTCCCTCGTCCTCTTCTCCCATCCTATCAGCAGGGACGCCGCCGAGACCCTGTTCGTTGGACGGAGCCAGGGGGACGAGCTGCTTGTACTTCACTTCGGCGAAGCCATACACAACGTCACTCCGCGTGGCGTACTCCTCGATGCATTGAGCGACCCGCGAATCTTCATCCACTGGCGCACTCTGCTTCCCGTCCAGTAGCAAGCCGGCCGGTGCGGGTGGCGTGGGGTAGGCCGGAAACGGGCTGTAGATCTGCGGCGGTGACTGTCCCTTGCCGAGCAGCTGCGGCGCATATTTAAAGCCGAAGAACCGGAGGCTGGCGTCTTGGATAGCCTTAGTTATCGCCGACGCCTTGCTCGGGCTGCTCGACAAAGTATTGTCGTACGAGGTTTTCCGGTAGTGCTCGCCTCGCACCTGCTGACGGCTCCTGGATGAGTGACTCGGCACAGCACCCGTGGTCGAAGTAGGATTTCCCTGCTGCGTGGCGCGCCTAACAATCTGGCCAGACTTGGGTGACTGTGTCTGGATCTGGTCCGCGAGCGCATTGACCTCGACTTGCGTCTTGTCGATGACGATGTAGTCTCGCTCAAACGTAAGGTCTTGGGCCGTCTTCTCATCGTCCGGAAGTGGCCTGCTCATCGTGCTCGGCGTTCTAGCATGGGTGGCGACCTCCTGGCCTGATCCCGGCGCAGGTTGAGCCTCGCGGGTAGGCGCCTTGACCGAGGCGTTCGAGTACCGCCGGGTCCGATCAACGTAAGATATCGGCCGAGGAGAGGCCGAAGTGGACGGCTGAACCGCGGGACGCCGTATTCCGAGGCCTTCCTCCCCGGCCTGCCGCGGCGACTGGCTCAGACGAGGAATGGATATTTGCTCCAGGGGATTTGGCTTGGGCTCAGTAGGTGTCCCGAGGGGCGATGAACGGTACGGCTGCGGTGATGGAGGGCCCACAGGTTCACGCCCGAGCTCCTGCTCTGCGGCAAATCTTCTAAGAGAGGACTTCCGTGAGAGCCCCAACCGATCATCGGGTCTGGACGGATTCGCAACCCCCGTCGATATTGGCCTATCCACTTTTGGGATATCGTCTTCAACAAGGCCCGGGATGCGGCCAGCAACGACGGGGTGCTCGAAGAAGTCCTCAAAGGGCAACCGCTCCACGGGGTTGCGTTTTAGCAAGGCTCGAATCAAGCCCTTCATTTCGGAACTGACCACACACTCCCGAGGGAACTTGATCTGGTCATCTGAGGCTTCGATCTTTCTAAGGAGCTCCACGTGATTTCCCGCTCGAAATGGGGCCCTTCCGGTTGCCATCTCGTATAACACGGTCCCTACCGACCATAAGTCGGCCTTGGCGTCGTAGCGCTCGTAGCGGAGAATCTCAGGCGCCATGTACAAAGGTGAGCCGCAAAGGGTCTCGGCCAGGGAGGTGGAGGGAAGGACACGAGCGAAGCCAAAATCAGCGAGCTTGAGCATGGGAAGCGAGATGAGCCCAGCGGCTGGCGTGAGAGAGTCATGGCTCGCACTCAGGATTTGCTTCACTTTCTTGTTGGCCTCGCGATGCTGCGGCGATGGCAGTAACAGGAGGTTCTGGGGCTTGATATCACGGTGTATCAGGTTGGCTTCCCGTAGAAACCTGACGGCACTCGCCAGCTGCTTCAAGAAGTGACGGGTGACAACCTCATTGAGGCCCGAGCCTGGGGGAGAAGGGTACTTCCGAGCGAGCTCGTGCGTAGCCGCTTGCGAGATCAGCTTATCTCTTCCTTTGATGAAAACGGATAGATCCCCCATCTCGCAGAACTCCATAATGAGGTTTATGTGTGTAGCGGACTCGACACAGTCATGCAGGGCAACGATATGAGGGTGCCGGAGCCTTCTGAGTATCTTGATCTCGCTGTAAAGGTTATCCTTCAACTTCTTGGTCAGACGAGCGAGCTCGACGGACTTGACGGCAACCATGGCACCGGTGACCTTGAAACCATAGGTTAGCGGATGGTCCAGATGAGAGGAAACGGATGACAACAGTGGTTGCAACTGGCTCCATCATGAACAGGAGCGTCTCCAAGGGCGCGGAGCGGTAGCCCCACGATGGACTCGAGCACTGCGTCGCAGAAACGGTACAGCTTCAAACGAAAGATGGAACTAACCTTGTGACGGCCAGAGTACACCTGAGCGAAGCTTCCCTTTCCTATCTCCCCGTCGATGACGAACTGCCCGACGGCGTCCTCCATGGCTGGCTTTGTCCGCCTCGACGAAGAGTGTCGTTCGGCCATGGCTCCCTGTGAGATTTGACGATAACAGGAAGGCTGGCTCGCAGGAAGAACAGAACAGCCCGAGGGCTTATGCTATGCGGAAGCCGTCGGGAGCCGGCCTGCTGGTCATGTATACTGACTGCCTGGTCTTCGAGAGATGGACGAGTAGGGAACGACGAGCGAAGTCGGAACCGGGGAGGTGGTAGACCTCAAGGTGCGGACTTGCGCAGTCGTCAGACGCGGAGGCGGAGGGGGGCGCGTGTTGCCTACAGCAGGGGTATGCCGACGGCAGGGCTCCGATAGGCCGGGAGGGAATGGAGATGAGCTATCTTGGCAACTGTGAGTCGCAGACAGAGCAAGAGAGGGAATCCAAAGGCTTCGCTTCGTGACAGGGAGCTGGGTTGACGTTGCGCCGATGCTTCGAACGTCCGAGTGGTACGGGGGCGATAAGGGCTGTAGGTAGGTGTTGAACGAGGTGACGACTCGGCGGCTGGACTTGTCCAACGATTCGCGAGGTGGGGGCAGCTTCGGGAACAACTTGTTGAAAGTAGTGGTTTTGACTCTTATCGATAGGGTGACGACGATGCGTATTTGCGAAGGCTTGTGATGATGGACACTGCGATACAGTTTGCGTTGTCGGGTCGAGAGCAAGAGCTCGATGGCAGACTGTGCCTGAAGCAGCGGCGGAAGCTGTGGTTATCAATGGGGGTGGATCCGATGTCCCAAGGTCAACTCAATGACTCAGACTCGATCGGATGCAGAGGGAACAGTGACAAGCACTCGGTGGTTCAACAACGCAGAGATCGGGAGAGATGCACTATAAGAAAGGCTGTTGAGATGAGACAGTGTTGGGGAACGGCGAGTGGTGGTTGGGATGGAAAAGAGAAAAGAAGAGGTGGAAGGAACCTGAGAGCGACTTTGAAAGGATGGATGCAGGGCGGACGGGGAGCAGCGAGGCGTGACGAGATAGGCCGGGCTGGTTCCTGTTGCCGGGCGGCCACTGTGCTGCGCAGAGCAGGGGGAGCTTTCAGGCAGTTCCCTTTGCTGGGTGCGAATGACACGCCTGACACGGCCTGTGTGCTCGTGATGCAAGACTCCACAGATCAACCAATCCATCCAGATCGTGGTACCGCTAAGTACTACCGGGGTAATTTGTCCGGGTGTATTCCGCAATTCACCGCCTAGCAATACCAAAGGGGTACATACAAGACCCTGACTACGTCGTTCTATCACTGATGAGACGCGCTAAAGCGGTGTTTCGCGATAAGGCTCCGCGATAACATCACTGGGGCTGTCCTCATGATTTGCCGCTCACCTAAGGTATCTGTAGTCTTGCGTCTTCGGAGAATATGCTGCTGAATAAGCAGATGACATACAGCACGAGGAAGGATCGATGATGTGGCCGCTCAGTGCCCGGCCGGGCTTTCCCTGGTGTCCTCGAACATAATGAGTTCACTTTCATCTTCTGCCACTTGCATCAACGGCCAGCCATCAGGGTGGATGGGGCGCATGGGGCAACGGATCCACACGCACCTTTGGAAACCGCATTCCCACATCCAGCTCCTGTCTCATGCTCCACTCAATGACAGTGACACCAACTCCGGCGCTTGTTGTGCAGAGATGCAGCGATGGCCAAAGAGGGAAAAGCGTACGGGTTACTATCAGGGTGAATACACAGTAAAAGCACGAGAGACGGTGGGTAGCTCCAGTACAACGGCTTCTGTGCCCCAATTCTGCATGGGGATATCAGGGGCATATCCGACGGAGCAATCATCAACGGGACCTTTATGGATCATGCGGGAACGGGAAGTCAGCAAGCCCACGCTCCTCGAAGCAGCTTCGACGGATGTTTCCGACGTTGGTTCTCGCCCAGGTTTCTTCTGCAGAATCGCCAAAAGGAAATGAGGCTGCTCTGAAATCGGCCACCCCTGTCCGCCTTATCGGCAGCAACATTGCAAGCACCGCCCGTTTATCCTCCACAGCAATTAATGAATTGAAAGCAACTTAGGTCCCAGGTGAAATCGAGGTCTAGGGCACGGACGACCCCTCACTTGAGCATGGTTACCCAGGGTTTCCAAGAAGCTGGTGATTCATCACTGGCACCTGGCTTCCTGGTGATTGATGGATAGGTGCAGTCCAGTGTGCCAAGCAACGTCACCAAACCAGCGGTCTCGACTCTCGACAGAGTCGACACAGCACATTCCGTGGAATCCTCGTCTAGACTCCAGGGTCTCGCACCCGAGCTGCAGCTTATGCCTGCAGGCATACGAGAGGGCGCCACGTCTGAGGTGCTGTGGTAGTTCCGTGGCTACTAGTAGGTATCTGGCAAATCCGCCTTATTATTACCGGCCAGCGAGGTGCTACACTGTACGGGTCGCTAGACACAACGAGCCATGGAACGGTGAATGTGAATGTGAGAGTCTCCGTTACTATTCGGATGGTGTCAAAACCCTTACTCTCAAGACTGCCGCTCTACCTAATGCCCCTTGCCCTTCGAAGGCAGATATAGATAAGTCCAGGTTACGCAGAATGTATGTACGGATACAGTGCCACGCAGAAGGAACCGGTCCAGACAGACAGGTCCGTCGTTTGTGCTGAGTGACACGACAGCGTCAACGCCGCCTGAGGTTCCAAGGGGTCGATAGGGCGTCGTGATCAAAGAGTCAAGACTGGCAACAGCAGATAGGTAGATACATTATCCAAGCATTCGGTTGCAAACAGGGGCGGGGCGGCTTCTCAACAAGGCTCCGTTGGGCCAGAAGATCCGTGCCAACCTTCGCCATCATAGATAGACCCGAGCTGTCCCATCAGAGCGGAAGCATCATCTCACATGATGTCTCCATGCATTGCAGCAAGCGCATCGAACTGCGAGGGAGCTTGATCATGTGTCGTCGTGCCATTCGAGAATCAGATTGCACATTGAGTATGTGCTAGTAGTACGGGTCACTAATTCCACACTTATTACCTCGAGGCTCAGCCTTTTGTCTCTCCGACATACACATACACGGTACACCAGCAAGCCTCCGCGATTGGCTAACCATACTGTAAATCTGCCCGTCCATTCATCACTGCCCGGATCCTCTGCACAATGATATGCAGGAAGCTGTTATCCGTGCATTTGCCATCAGGCATAGGTCATGAAGTGCGCATCTCGAAGTAAGTACTAAGGTATTAATACTTACTTAGCCGCGGCCCATGGATGTGATGGGAGGCCTGGAAGGCAACAATTGCAAGGGCGCTGCAGACAAGCCAGGTTGCGGGGTCGTCAATTGAAGAAGAGCGCCCCCAGCCTTGGATTGGACAATGAGTTCACTCGAATGTGTTGTTGCCTTGACAGATGCAACCTCTTCTTGACTCGCCTGACTCGACTGCGGGTTGTTTGCAGAGATGGGGTCTGGAACGGGCCTCGACAGAAGCCGGCTAACCGAGTTACGGGGCAGTATACCATGATGATGTAAGTATTCCGTGCTACTCCCAGATACGGTATACGGCGACACCGCACATACGTACCTTATATTAGTTGCCTTATTTGGGAACCATCAAGGGCACTACATACTTACATACATTGGGTGCTGCTGGGTGTCACACTGGACACTCCTATGTAAAGATGTAAAAGGGGACTGGGAGCGAATGATTGATCCGGATTAGCCGATCTGAACAGACAGCTCGACATTTCCGCCCAACATCAGAGGCCAAACAAGAGAGCTACGCTCGACAGAGCTACCCGAGGCAAGTACTGTACATACGAAGGTAAGGTAGCTCGCTGCGAGCCGCCCAACCGGGCCGCTCGCCTGCATCCGTCCCGCCTGTGATGGACGGCTGCGTGTCCCTGCCACCGCGTCACATGCTTTCCTCCGTGAACCACAGACGATGTTCGCTGCACCCGCTACGGGACATGAGGAACACCCATATGACTCTTCTTCATCAATCTTTGCTTCCAGCGTAGAGGTACATACTTTGGTTTCTCCCGGCCCTGTTTCTGCGACCAAAGGGAACACTGGGGAGCGTGAGCTCTGGGTCGTCCTGAACACCCAATCTAGGAGGTCCCATCCCAATCAGCCCAAGTTGGTCCCTATCCCATATCCGCCGTGGTATCAAAAAGGAGATACATGAGGTACTGAGCAGGCAAGCCCGACCAGTCCTGCGTACGGCCGCTATGAAAGCCGGCTTTTACTCTAATCTCGTTCTTTTTCCCATATGGATATATCACGTTTAATGACCCTCAGTCTTCTCAGCCGTTGGCAACTCTGCCAACGCCTCCCCAATGGTTTCAATGGCGCCCCGAAGCTCCTCCTTGGTAATGACCAATGGGGGCGCAAACCGGATGATGTTGCCGTGCGTGGGTTTGGCCTGATGAGGAGTCAGCAATCTCTCTCCTTCCTTGGTCTTCTGCCACAGACCCGGGAAGACTCACCAGCACGCCCTTTTCCTTGAGCAGCAGACATAAATCCCACGCTGTCCTCCCTCCCGCCTTTCTCTCGTCAATCACCACAGCATTCAACAACCCCTTCCCGCGCACAGTCTGTACAATGGGCGACTTGAACGCCTCCACCCCTTCCCTGAACATCCTCCCGAACCGCTCGGCCTTCTCCACAAGCCCTTCCTCCTCGACCAGCTCTAGCGCCCGGATGGACACGGCACAGCCCAGCGGATTACCGCCGTACGTCGATCCGTGCGTGCCGGGCTCGATCACGCCCATCACCGCCCTGTCGGCGAGCACGCAGCTGACGGGGTACATGCCGCCCGAGATGGCCTTGCCCAGCGTGACCATGTCGGGCTTGATGCCGGCCCACTCGCAGCAGAGCATGCGGCCGGTGCGGGCGATGCCCGTCTGGATCTCGTCGCAGATCAGGAGGACGTTGTGTTTCTTGCACAGCGCGTGGGCCTCGGCGAGGTAGTCGTCGTCCGGGACCACCACGCCGGCCTCGCCCTGGATGGGCTCCACGATGAAGGCGGCCGTGTCGCGGCCGTGGGCCTCCAGCACCGCTTCGAGGTCGGCGATGTTGTTGTACCGGATCGGAGCGCCCGTGCTGGGGTTGAAGGCGCCTACGTTGGGCAGATAGGGCCCGTAGTTGTCGCGGGATTCGGGGTCCACTGAGAGGGAGACGGCTGTCATCTGTTTCGTTGTTTTGGCGCCCCATGGTTAATGTTTTAACTGGCCTTGGGAAAAGGGGGAAGACAGAAAATCTCACCGTCCGCCCATGGAAGTTGTCAGCGGCACTGAACACGAGGGCGCGCCCTTGGGCAACGCCTTTCACCTTGTAAGCCCACTTGCGGGCGATCTTGATGGCCGTCTCGACGGCCTCGGCACCCGTGTTCATGGGCAGCACCATGTCGAAGCCGAACAGGCCGCGGACCTTCTCAGCCCAGACGGGGAACACGTCATTGTGGAAAGCACGCGAGCTCAGCGTCAGTCGGCCGGCCTGTTCGGTGAGCGCCTTGATCAGCTCTGGGTGGCAGTGGCCTTGGTTGACGGCACTGTAGGCAGAGAGGAAGTCGAGGTAGTGCTTGCCCTCCGGGTCCCAGACGTGGACCCCCTGGGCGCGCGCAAACACGACGGGGAGTGGGTGGTAGTTGTGGGCGGCGTACTCGTTCTCGGCGGCGATGGCACTCTTGGTAGACGCCGCGTGGTACCGGTCTTTGGTGGCGCCGTTGCCGCTAGCGCGAGCTGGGGAGATGTCTGCGTGCGGTGCCATTGTGTCACGGTGTTACTGGTTTCGTGCTTGTCTTGAGGAACGAGACTGGCACAGGTATGACGAAAAGAGTAAGGAAGCGAGGATGACGGTGGAGGGGCCTTGCAGTAGTTGCCCCACTGATGGAACTGATAAAGAAGCTTGCAGGCGGAATTGGATCCAACTAGGGCGGTTTTGCCTTGCCACTAGACTCGGAGCTTAATCATGGACCAGGATGCCGACGATCTATTGGGAGCACGACTATCAGCAGAAAGACGAAGCTGCATCCCTTGGCGTAAGATGGCCAATTTATAGACAGAGGAGAGGGACGCCCGGCCTGACGAGGGCGGATGCTCGGCATTACAAACAAGACAGCCACCACGCATTGCCCCATACATCGGCATTCCCTTACAAAAGAGAATGCGCTCCCCCGGTTTGCGTGGAACGCGACCATACCCCTAAGTGCAAGTGCGCCATACCCCTAAGTGCAGGTGGAAGCGGCGTCAGGGAAGAATGACGACGGCGGGACCATCTCACGTGGGCCCAAGACTACAAGATCCCTGAGGATAGGTCCCTTCTGTGCCGATGCAGAGCGCCCCCGATTACCCGCCCGCTTTCTGGAAAGGCGGGAATGCATTGTGATCTTCCGGTGCCCGGCATTGCCCTAGTATTCAAATGGTTGCGGTACGCTGTTCACTAGAGATTAACATACCGCAGGCGCACAGATAGACCACACGCTGCCGAGCCTCCGGCTTCGGGGAACTTGCTGTGTAGTAGCGAAGGTCGAAAGTTGGCCCCGGAGACGGAGGAGGGCTTGGGTGGTGGGGCCTCGGTGCCGGTCGTGCAAGGGTAGCGACACCGACTGGCCAACCGGCGCTCAGGTGATTAGCACCAGTGCGGGTAGGGCTGCAGAAACAACCAATCACAGAAGATGACGTTAGATTGCCATTGCACAGACAAAATACTCCGTAGCCAGCTGGCATTGAGCGACAGGCACTGTCAAGGACGTGGTGATAGCCTTCTGCAATCGGGAATCAGCTGGATGACCTTCTCAACATCACTCATCCTGCACCAGGTGTCATGGGTCGGCATAATTCTGGCCTCACAAGTACCATATGCTCAAGCAATCAATAATGCCAATGTACAATGCCTCGACAATGGATAACCTGGAAGACGCCGAGATTAAGCCTTATCGATTTCAGACCATGTCTAATCTGTGTGTTGTCACTGCTGTGTGCTGTGTCACTGTCGCCTCTTCTCGGCTCCTCTCCTCTTCATGGATAAGTTGTCCGCTGCAATTGTGACCGCTGTGTTCATGTTGCGTGCTCGGGTCAGGTCATGACCTCCGATTTTCGGTTGATACCGTCGCCAGCTAATCCCAAATAGTTGCCTCAGCAACTTGAGGCTGGTCGGAATCTGGTCTTGCATTATACAGCCCACCATTTCGCACCTTGCCTTTGAAAACCATGGCCGAGGTGGATGACCGAGACGTGGTTCCCGACGCGGTCCTACTCGGACACATCTTCGGTAACAACCAACCGTCTTCTGCGTCAGTCATTCTCCAAAACTGGGACAAGTGCGTCTTCAAAGCTTCCTTCTCGACTCCTCTAAAGAATGGCCAGCATGAGTGTGTCGTCCGGCTCGAGGTTCAGGGCGCCACTTCCGCCTTCCCCTTTGCTGTGGTCCCCGCTATGCAGGAGATTGCCCGCATCCGCATTCCCGACCTTGTCCCGGAGACTCTGCAGGTCGGCAGCGCAGCCAACAAGGAGGGAAGAGCTTTTCAGTATTCTGTGGTGGAGTTCGTCGAAGGAGTCACTCTGGAGGAAGCCTGGGACTCTATGGTGGACGAGGACCGGAAATCCGTAACTGCCTCTGTCGTGGAGGCGTTCATCGTCCCTCGCTCTCCGTCGCAGATGGCGCTCTTGCGAGCCATGGAGATCATCGTCGAATCTCGGCAGCGAAACCTGTATGAGGGCAAGAACATCCCTGCGCATATTCGAAGGAGATTCATCGAGTTGCTGCAGTTGTCGCGGGACGAGGACCCATATGTTGGTTGGAGGTGCGAAGGAACATCCCTCCTTGACTTCCGAGTTGATTTCCAGAAACCCGAGGACGAGGTCATCGAGGACATGATCAGAAGAAGGCGGATGAAGGCGAAGACAAGTTAATTCAGCGAAGCCCTAGCAACCCGTGCTGGCTACCTAGTTCCCTCCCCGAAATCCAACGCTTGAGTGGCCCTCAGGCACGACCCCTGAATCCGGAGGGATATTTTGTCCATTCATCGAACGGTTCCCGCCTCATAAGTGTGCTTCCCCTCATACCGAAAGAAAAGGAACCAGAAGGCGCCCCGCGCCTTCTCGGAAGCGGCCCTGCCGCTCTGGGAGTTTGCCCGTGGCCAGCACCGAATCCCGGGTTCAACTATTAGACACTCTCCACTCTACGCAGGGCCAGCCTCCAGGTACACTCGCCAAGAAGACGCATTGCATTTGCAGGTCTTGGCGGCGCCGGTGTAGTTTAAGCCACAGACGCTGCATTTCTTGGTGTCAACCGGGGCGGTGACGTCGACAGCCTGGGAGAGCCTCGCGCCGGATTCTCGGTGTTGCATGTTGCCTGGATTTTTTGTGTCTTATTAGTGCCTCAGAGCTGTAGAAGAGTCCCGGTAGTGGCCGTTGACTCTGTGACAACTCCCAAGATACCTCGAGGGGCAGAGGGAAGCCGAATCTCCTTTTTAAATACCCGAAAACACACAAAGCATAGAGTTGAATCTGGCTTCTTTGCTTGTCACCGTCCTCTTGGCCATTCGCAAAGCATGCAATCATTATCAGACGGAGCAGAGTACAAGAAGTCATGCAGCCCTCATTAGGTTACAGACTCCTCCAACTCCATCAACCGCTACGTGGCCGCAACAGTGTAGACAAGGCGACTGTTGGTGATACACGGTCCCAGCAGATAATGGCAGTGAACACGCAATGGGCAGTTTGTACTTATTAGAAAGCCTGAAAGAGAGCCTTCGCCCTGACTCCAGACACTACCTACCCAACTCTATGGATCTAGGTCGAGGCCTCAGTCATGTGGCGGGTTGCGCTCAGCTCGAATCTCGGTCAGGCGTGCACCAACCTTCATGAGCATCATAAGGATCGGCTCTGGCTTCAAAGACCGGGTGGTTCCATACATATATATCTCATCGATCGTCACTCACACGATGGCTGATTGTGGTGAACCAACAGTTGGCCCACGCCACCTGCTGGTAAGGAGTTGTGGATCGCGCGCGACGACACATGCTGCTGGCAATGGTGCTGACTACCTCTCAGCATTCCTGGCTTCCGAGCCCGCCTCCCTATTCCCGAGCTACTCTATCTTGACCGGCCACCCAACTCCTGAGCCTACCTGCGGCGCATCCCACGAGCGCGGCAGCTTTCTGTTCTTCTCTCCTTCCTGATCAGTGGCCCGTAGATGGAAGTTTGAACGTATCGGTCACGGAGAAGAGCCTCCGGTCCCGAGGGAGGGGAAAAGGATACCGAATCTCATGAGAAATGGGGCCTAAAAGCAAGAAGATAACCAGGGGTTCCAGGTTGGTTGTCACTAAGTCGCCAGGCACCAACGGGACGGCGCTGCTAGAATGGCCCAGCTGGGGGGTTGTCAAATCGACTCGGTCCCGAGCCTTGTGTCTTCTGCCCTTCTCGGCCTCAGCTCAGCACAGTACAGTGCTCATCAGCGGTGGGCTAACTGAAATGCGCGTTTAATAGGACTGACACTCCAATGCTCGATTCCGACACTGAACCAACAGCAGCAGTTCCGTCGGTGTTAGCCAGTGCAATGGGCAACTTTGGAAGTTGTCCATTACGTTCCAGTCAGGGTGTTACTCCGGAGCAGGCCTGCCATCTGGCGCTGAGCTATTGACAACTGTCAACCAAATAGCCGGTTGCCTGAATCATGTTAAACCCCTAACCCGGACAACGAACGACCACGAGTTCAATCAAGCAGCATCGCGACACAGGTAAACAGCAGCAGGTGGCATCGTCAAGGACTTCCATTGTTACTGCCGTAGGTGGTGTGACTACCTGGTGATAATACGGCCCGGCAATATGGAGCCCGGCTCTCCCGCTGAAGGGCTGCGGGTGCAGCTCAGAGCGGACTCGGATGCTGCCGCACCTCCTGGTGCAGCAGACAAACTGGACTCAAAAAGGGGTAAGACGCATGCGCAGATGCATGCGCAAGTGGCAGCGGCCCAGGTCCACGACGTGCTCAGCCTGCTCCTCGCCTTCCGCTTCCTCAATGCGCTCTGTATGCGCAGCTTCTTCCAGCCGGACGAGTACTTCCAGGCACTCGAGCCGGCATGGAGCATTGCCTTTGGCAGCGGCAGCGGTGCCTGGTTGACCTGGGTATGTATATCAATCAAACTCTCATTCTGTTTGTTTTATTTTTTTGGAGGGGCTTTTGCACTGATGTGCTGTCAATGGTTTAGGAATGGCAACACCAGCTCCGGTCGTCGCTCCATCCGGCGATCTTTGGGCTGGCTTACAGGGCCGTCGATGGGGTGATGAGCTTCTTGCACCTGTTCCCGCCCTTTCGAGCTTTTATTCTTGTGGCATTGCCTGGCGCGCTGCAATCTGTGTTTGCAGCACTGGGTGACTTCTACACCTGGAAGCTGGCCATGGACATTTATGGCAGGGAGAGCAATGCCCCGTGGGCTGCTGTCAGTTTATTTATCTCCATCATCCCAATGTGGGTTTGTTCGTCCGTATGCTGACCCGAAGCAGCTGTGGGTGACGGTGCTCAACCCGTGGCAATGGTATTGTTCCACCAGGACGTTCTCTAACTCGCTCGAGACCACTCTGACTATCGCCGCGCTGTGCTACTGGCCCTGGGAGATGCTTGCCGGTGCGGAAGCAAGCCAAACCAGGCCGCTACAGCAACGAGATAGCGTGACGAGGTAAGGCTCTCATGAGGCCAACCGTCCCCAAGTCTGTACTGAATCTTTGATAGCCTCCGGATCTCTCTCGTTTTTGCGGCAGTCGCCGTGCTTCTACGCCCAACCAACCTGCTCATATGGCTGGTCGTCTTGGGGTTTTCTCTCGCTAGACTTTTGCTTACCGGAGGATCACTACTTCCAAAGTCTACCGTATGGGTCCTCGTCCGAGAGATTGGGGTATGCGGCGTGGCGGTTCTGGCTTTATCCCTTGTTTCGGACCGCCTGTACTTCGGCTTCTGGACCTTCCCGCCGTACAAGTGGCTGTACTTCAACATCTCGCAATCACTGGCCGTCTTTTACGGCCACATGCCCTGGCATTACTACCTATCACAAGGCGTCCCGCTGCTCACGACCACCTTCCTCCCGTTTACTCTTGTCGGGCTTTACAAGGCGGCCTCCTCACCCTCATACAACCTCTCCACCCTGCAGTCCAACATCCTCCGAACATTGGCCTTCACCACATTGGTCATGATCGCCACCCTATCCCTCATTTCCCACAAGGAAGTCCGCTTCATTTACCCGCTCCTTCCCATCCTGCACATCCTCGCCGCGCCCTACATCAGCGCCTTCTTCACGAAGCCGCCCGACGCAACACCAACACCAACACCAACAAACCAACCTGCAGGATCCACACCCTCCCAGTCCAGTCCCGCCATCCTCCGCCGCAAATTAACCCTCGCCTACCTCCTCTCCCTCAACCTACTCTTAGCAGGCTACCTCTCCGTCTTCCACCAATCCGCCCCGATCGCGGTCCTCTCCTTCCTCCGCAGCGAGTTCGAACGCATCCACCCGGACGCCCTAGCGATGCATCCCTCCGCCTCTTCCTCCGCCTCCTCCTCGTCGTCGTCATGGGAAAACGAAAAGAACGAAGAGAAAGAACTGTTCGCCCTCTTCCTCACACCCTGCCACTCCACCCCGTGGCGCTCCCACCTCGTCTACCCCGCCCTGCGCGCCCGCGCCCTGACGTGTGAGCCGCCGCTGCATACCGCGCCCGGGTCGCTGGAGCGCCAGACGTACCTCGATGAAGCCGACCGCTTCTATCTCCTCCAAGAGGGCGGGGCCGCGTTGTATGGTGTGAGATTCCTCGCTGAGGAGATGTGGCCTGGCTTGGTCTCTTCTTCTTCTTCTTCTTCTTCTCAGTCTCATATACAGGGGTGGCGAGGGGAAGAGGAAGAGGAAGGGGAAGGGAAAGGGAAAGGGAAAGGGAAAGGGGAGGAGATACCGAGGTATATAATTGGGTTTGAAGGGATTGAGCCGGTGTTGGAGGCGTTCTTTGGTCTAGAAGGACCCGCCAAGGGTATGGGTGTGAGGCCCCGGAAGGTGTGGTCTGCGTGGAATGGGTTGTTTAATGATGATTGGAGACGGAGGGGAAGGCTGGTTGTTTGGGATACAGGGGTATATGGCGATTCTTATGAGGCAACTGATGCTGAGAGGGGAGAGGGAAGCGGGAGAGTGGTTGATGAGCTTTGAGTGAGGAGTCGCCCTGGTGTCCCCTACCTGGAAATGGCAACCAAAGGCATATCGCACGGCAACACACAATTGGGACAACCTACAGGGGACGGGCGAAGTATGACATCTGGGTATTTATTCGGCTGCCTGTCCAGGAAAAGCCAACGCGAGATTTTCCGGCCTGTACTTCCTGTCGTAAACATGCGGAGTCCTCCGAAAAGCCCTGAACGTCCGCCCATCGCTCATAAACACTCATCCTAGCCCTGACTGTATGGGCAATTCTGAACCTGTGGCTTGATTGCAGCCACTGTCGTTCAAGACCTCGCAGCCTCCAGCTCAAGCTCCAGCTGCCGGATGCGCTCGCTCTGGTCCTGGGGGGCCGCGCCAACTCTCTTCTTGAGCGTCTCAACCTCTGCGGTGAGGCGGGCAATAATCTGGGTCTGCGCCGCAAGCTTCTCGTTCTGGACGCCGATGACCTTGACCTGTTGCTCAAGGAGCTGCTTGATCTGCTCTAGCGACGCCTCGACCGCCGGGTTGGACACCGCGGCTGCTGCAGGCGCCGCGGCGGGAGCCGCTTCAGGGATGGGCGCCGCAGTAGCCTGCGGCGACTTGACTGGCGATGCGGGCTTCGCTTGCACGGGCGGCGCGGGTGTCGTGACGGGCGCTGGCTTAGTCGCGGCCCGGACGGGAATAGTACTGGTGCGCTGCGCGGGCCGGGTGATCTCTTCGAAACTCGAGGTCTCGGCATCGTCGTCAACTTCCTCCTCGGCATCGTCTTGGAACTTATTCGCCATGGCGGAGATGGAACTCTTCTGGTCAGTAATCGTGGCGGGAGCACGAACGGGTGCCGGCGCAGGCTCAGGTTCCTTCTTCGGTGCCGGAGCAGGCGCCGGGGCGGGAGCTGCCGCGGCTGCGGGAGGTTTGTAGTCGGCAGGGACCTCGACAGGTGCGTTGCCCTCGTAGACGCTTTCCAGATCAATCTTGGCCGGGACCGCCGTCTTTCCGTCGAACCACTCCTTGGCAGACATGGCGGGCTTCGTGCCGATGGCGGGAGGGTAGATATCAGACTGGAAGGTTTCAGCGCGCCGAGGCACGGTAAAGGAGATAGGCTCGATGTATGCGTCGTTGACGGTCTTGTAAGCTCTCATAACTTCGTTCTCGTGGACATTGATGCCGCGGCGCGGCAGGAAGGCGATTCCGCGCTGAGGATCGGCTGATTTGTATTCGGAAAGGAACTCGAATTTGTCGTTCTCGTACTCAAAATAGCGAATATTGCCGTCGCTGGTAGAAGGTAAGCACTCGTAAGTTGCCCACATACCGTGAAAGTTGCTTACCCTTTGCCGGCGAGGTACAGGCAGTTCGACCCCTCGTCTGTCGCAACCACGGGTTAGATAAGACTCCGCAGTAACAACGGGAGAGTGCAGACTTACCCCAAAAGGGCATGCAGACACCAGAAATCGAGTCGAGAGAGGTAAAACCACCGATGGGGTCTTTCCGGCCGGGCTCCCACAGACCGATCTGGCGCTCGCTCATTCTCGAGAAACCGGTGGTCACAATGCGGTTGTGCTCGCCCATCCACACTGCGCGGCTGTTCTTGGCGCCCTCATGGCCCGCATACTCATGAACGGGCTTCTCCTGCCGCACATCCCAAACACGCAGCTTCTTGTCCCGGCACGTCGTCACCAACATGGCACCATCCGGGCTCCATGACATACTCTGCACAATCTCCGGGTGCCTGAGTGTGACGCCAGCCTGACCGGTGCCAATATCCCACAGCTTGATGGTCAGGTCGCCCGAGGAGGAAGCAAGAATGTGCTCGGCGGCGGGGTTGAAGAGGACATGCCCGACTTTTCTGCAAGACAGTGAGCAAGGTAAAACGGTCACAACAAATAACACGGTCCGCACCTTGAGTGGCCAGACAGTCTGCTAACTGGCGAGACATCAGGGATCTCTTCGGCATCTGTGTAGAGGGTGAACCCCTTGGGCACCTCCCAGATGAAGACCTTGCCATCATCAGACGCTGAAGCGATGATCCGGTCATTGAAAGGGTTCCTATGTCTGGATCAGGTCGGCGTTCGCATCGCAACGAGGCAAAGGACGCACGCACCAGTCTGTGTCTAGCACGGCCGCCGTGTGGCCTCGAAAGAGCGGTATTTGGTCGGGCAGCTTTCCGCGCTCGTTCAGGGGGATCACGGCAAAGGCGCCGCCACCGCTGGCCTCCCAGTTAACAGAGAGATATTCGGGGTTAACCTAGCAGCAGAAGGTCGAATGGTCAGCAGCTGTTCGCAATGCGACAGCACGCCACCCAAGGCGCATTCGGGCAACAAAGTCGGTCAATACCTTCACAAGGTTGGTATCCCAGGCATTGCGGCTGATGTGGAGGTTGTCATAGCAGAACTCCTTTTTGGTGGGCTTCCCAAAGACGTGTCCTGGTCAGAGGATCGGTCAGTAGCTGCCGCATGCGATGCCGCTTTCCCGGCGTCGCGCAGCGGAGCACGCGAGCAGAGCTAAGGACGCCTACGATATTTCGACGCGCGCACGAATCGGCCAGCCATCGGGTCAAAAAGATGAGTAACCAACGGCCAGCAAAGGACGCTTGTAACGGAAAAATCGGTCGCTGCAGGTTTTCGTCTTTGGAGCTTGAACAAGTTCAGGGGCAGATGAGGTCAAGATAAAGGTAACTCTCCCCGGTCGCTTTAGCGAGGCTGAGTTCGGTTACCTTAGCGTGGCGTGGCCCGTCCACCCCTGTTCCTGGTTGCTTATTGGCGGTTCTTTGGGGGCCCCTCCAAGGGATCGCCCAGAACATCCAGTCTCCGAGCCGCATCTCTTTCGGCAAAGGTCAAGAAAACACAAACAACGGCATTACCGGCACTGTATTCAAGCACTAGAGTAACTTAGGTACTATGTACGCCAGCGGTAGCAAGCAGGGCTCACAGTATCTGAGCCAACAATAAACGGCTTCACCGGCCTCTTAGCTCAGGGCAGTGCACGGCCGTTGTCCTCATGCTACCCCGCGCTAAGGGTTGGAGAATCGGAAGATCTCGTCAACAAGGCCGACTGGTGTAGTGGTTATCACGTCTCGTTCACAGCATAAGCTGAACACAATTGGAGTAATTCCACCGAGAAGGTGCCAGGTTCGATCCCTGGGTCGGTCATTGCTTTTGCCTCACACACCTTGGTGTCCGTTCTGCTGTCGGCGACATATACTTTTTGGCTTAAAGCTGGAGTATTCACGCATTGCTCTCTTTCCTTGTGTCGCCATGTGGTTTTCGGCCGATCAATTACTAAGTAGTACTGGTAGACTGAGAGGGTTAGGGTTCGAGTAGTCAACTAGCAGTAACTGGTAGTACTAGTACCTACTAGTAGTAGTGTACTGTATAGTAGTACTTCGTAGTACTAGTAGTATGATGAGCATCAATGTACTATGAATCGCTTAAGGTATAAATATGTTTGAACTTAAACTTTGTCTTAGTAGTGAGACTTATATGGATGGTTAATAATGCCATACCCTTTGGAATAGGATGGTACTAGTAGCTCACGTTGTTGTCCCGACGTTGTTAAAACACATGGGATGGGCAACCAAGCTTTGACCAACCAGGAAATCTCCAAATAAACCATGCCACAGCTATCGTCACAAGTCGGCTTCTCCATCATCCAAGTTTCAGACATGTCTACACTCTTTTACGGACGACCGCCAGATACGGTAATACGAATTCCGATGACCTGAAGCGCATTTTGGAAGGTTGCGTCTGTACACGAGATAATACAATATTATAACCCAGGACCCGCGCACTCAATTCGTACCTGCCTTCTCGCGATGGCGAGCAAGGCAAAGTCCCGCTGGACAGACGATGAAACGGATGCGGTCCTCGAGGCGCAGCTGAAGAAGGAAAAGGAAGAGAAGAAGCGTCTCAAGGCCGAAAAGGCACGCAGGCTTGAAGAGGAAAGGCAGGCTCGGGAAGCCGCCGCCGCCGCCGCAGCGCAACAAGAGGGTGACGGCACTCAGGGACCCCCGGCGAAACGACGAAAGGTATCTCAAGAGCCCGACGCGAGACAACCCGCAGGGACGTCCGACACAAGCGTCAATGCCCCGAGATTACTACGCTTTGAAGGTGGCGCGTTCGGCACCTGCCGCAGCGTCGAGAACTACGACAAGCTTAACGACATCGAGGAGGGCGCATACGGCTGGGTATCACGGGCAAAGGAGATTGCGACCGGCAGGGTGGTGGCGCTCAAGCGGCTCAAGATAGATCCCAAGGACCGCGGGGGGTTGCCAGTCACAGGACTGCGGGAGATCCAGATCCTAAAGGACTGCGACCACAGGAATGTGGTCAAGCTACGGGAGGTGGTCGTCGGTGACGACACGAGCAAGATTGAAAAGTACGAAATCAAGTTCTGGTATGCTTCCGAAACGTGCGCTAACCTGACTCTCCGCTCGCAGCATCTTCCTCGTCCTCGAGTTCGTCGAACACGACCTGAAGTCCATCCTCGAAGACATGCCCGAGCCCTTCCTCGCGTCCGAAGTGAAGACTCTCCTCCAACAGCTCGCGTCAGGTGTCGCCTATCTACACGACAACTGGATCCTTCACCGCGACCTTAAGACCTCCAACCTCCTACTCAACAACCGCGGCCAGCTGAAAATCGCCGACTTCGGCATGGCCCGCTACGTCGGCGACCCCCCTCCAAAACTGACCCAACTCGTGGTCACCCTCTGGTATCGCGCGCCCGAACTGCTGCTCGGCGCGACCCGGTACAGCGCGGCCATCGACATGTGGAGCATCGGCTGCATCTTCGGCGAGCTGCTCACCCGCGAGCCGCTGCTGCAGGGGCGCAACGAAGTCGACGAGCTCACCAAGATCTTCGAGCTCTGCGGCATCCCGACCGAGGAGACCTGGCCGTCCTTCCGCCGCCTCCCCAACGCGCGCGGGCTGCGCCTGCCCAGCAACAGCAACAAGAGCGCCATGACGGGCTCCGTGATACGGGCCAAGTTCCCACTGCTCACTTCGGCCGGCGTGGCGCTGCTGAATGGCTTGCTGTCACTCGATCCGGACAAGAGGCCGACTGCGAAGGAGATGCTCGCGCACGAGTACTTCAAGCAGGATCCCAAACCGAAGCAAGAGGCGATGTTCCCTACTTTTCCGAGCAAGGCGGGCCAGGAGAGGAGGAGGCGGCGCGAGACGCCGAACGCGCCTGCCAGGGGCCAAGAGGCTGTGGAGATCGGTGCGGTGGACTTTAGTGGGATATTCTCGGGGAGGGAGAGAGAGGAGAGGGGAGGGGGGTTCTCGCTGCGCATGGTATAGAGTCTATCAGCCGGCAGCTGTGACGGATGCTGTGCCAGCGTGATCTGTTCTAGAACCACGGCCTGCATTAAGGTACCTAAGTCCACGAGACACGCTTGATTACCTTAAGCTACCCAATATATATGCAAGATGCCGCAATCAAAAACGTACAATGCAGTGAATCCCATTCTTCCTGGTCTCTTCAGGTTCTGTTGAACCGCAGACATGAAAACGACCCAACTAAATGCTCACAATATCTTGATCCAACGCCACTCCCGAGCTTTGCGCACCAGATTAGTGTAAAGACCAGGCCGACTTATCCAAAACCTTAGAAGCACATTAGAAGGCATATTTCATATCACCTTCTCTATCACACCTCAGATCACAGGAATGCTCCAAAGCCCATGACAAACCAAGTAAAGCTCAGCACTGTAAGGGCGCTCATCACCACCGCCGCTCCAACAGCGCGGGTATCGAGCCCAGACATGGCACCACTGCACGAGGCGCACTGGTAGCCATCAGTGTTGTTATGATATTCTTGCGGCTCGTACAGGCCAAAGATGAAGCCCGAGAAAGGCGCGAGATAGCCCGGCTCGGCCGTGGCGCTGATGCCGCCGTCGGCGTCGGCTATCACCAGCGTGTACTCCTCCGTCAGCAGCGGGTTCGCCACGTGGCTGCTCTGGTAAGCGCCCGTGTCCCACGTGTAGCTCCCCGGCGACGCGAACGACATGTTCTGCGTGAGCGTCCATGGCTGTGCCACCGAGCTGTACTTGACGTAGATGTCGATCGCCGTCGGGTTGGCCTGCAGGTTGGTGTAGTTCCACCCCCAGGTCACGTAGTCGCCGATCTTGTAGAGCTGGTAGCCCGCTGTGACTGCCGGGGTTATCATCACCACGCCGCCCGGCGGGTCTTGCTCGTTGAACGTGGTCTTCTTGGGCGCGCGCGTGCGGGTGCTGTTGCCCGTCCCCCTGCCCGTTCCGGTTGACGTTATGGTCATGCCGCCGGTATTGAGGTTTGTTGTGATGACCGACGCACGGCTGCTCGAAGCGGTTTCTTGGGAGTCACTGCTCTTATTGTCGTTATTGTTGTCGTCGGACTTGGAGGGTGTCGATGTTGGGGTCGCAGTAGGAGCGTCTAGCAGTTGCATGTTAGCGCGCCGTTCAAATTGACAGAGCGCCAGGGCGATGCCTACCTGAATCGTCCTGCCGGACAACTAGTGCATCAAGTTCCGGAAGCCATCTAGGCCATGACAACGCAGAAGTTGCATGGGAGAGGGACAACAGGGCGATGGCCAACTGGCCGGCGGACAGAGGAGCCTTCATGACGGCGACCTGGAATGACCAGGGATGATACCGCGCGCTGAATCCCAAATTCTATCCCTCCACAGTCACTGCACTGTATCCGCCTCCAAAATATTCTTGTTCGACACCGGAGAATTAGGTCTGTAGTGCTCAGGTTGGTCGACGGATGGTACGTTTACTCCGTGGCACGGCGTTCGTTGGCGCAGCCCCTATTATTGGACGACCGAAAACAAGACCCGTGAGAAGCGTGGGGAAAACAGGACGATCGGCTGGACCGAGGCTAGGGCGTATAGTCAAAGACGAGGGGATTGTAGTCGACGGAAAGCAGACAGAGCGAGCGAGCGTGGTTGCTGAAGAAACAGAGAACGAGGGCCTGGATCGCTCCCAGCAGCAGGGAAGGATCTGAGTGATCGGAGGCGGAATGCAGATGCTCGCAGGTTCGACGGGATCCAACGAGCAAGCAGCTGGCGGATGCACTCGGGGCGTTGTGGCCAATAAGAAGTGCACAAACCGAGCTGAGCCAGGGACATTTGTGGCGCTGGAAACAACCCGGTCGACCAGGTTGCGCCATTGGAATGAGGTGCCCGGGAATCCCCAAGTCAACGCACTGCTGGAATTCGTATTTGGCGGGGCTACTGAAGGAGATGGAGGGCGATTGTGGATGGCATTGCGGTGATCGAGACGAGCTCGGTAACACCCGCATTATGCTGTATTTTTAGCAGTTGCTTTGGACACGAGAGTGTGCGACAATACCGATCACGCATAAACAGTTGTGCCCTCCTCCCAGGACCAGCCCAATTCAGGTCCCGGCGGCTTCGCTGACTGCCGGACGATCTTGACTACCGACAGGTCACACTATTACCGGGTCCGCGAGACTCCCAGGTTCGGTGTAGATAAAAGTCGACTGTCATGTAAAGATTTGCCATCCTGTGAAATGAGAGACTTCCTCTCCAGGACTGCCGTTGTGCTCCCACTCTGTGGAGTTATCCACAACCATGAGACCTTTGCCGCGACTCCTTCATCCGGACTGGCTGGCAGGAGTTTCTCGTCCCATCTGCTGACTGGCCAAGGCCAATAGCGTTGAGTCTCGAGACATGTGCCGCCGACACCATTCCCAAGCCGTACCGTGGTTGCAGGATGTCATCTGCCTGCATTCCTGTTCCGTCTTTCGGGATTCTGCTTACAGCGGAGCCATACACTACCTTACACTTTGATGGGATTGACGGCGACACAGTTGTCGTTTAGCATCCAGCCGCCAAATTATCGAGTTCGTAATCTCGACGATCACCTCACTTGCGAAGGCGCAGTCTAGATCGATGATCAGGCCACAACTATCCCCAAGATAACCTGGTATCCGTATAGCCGCCGACAACGAGAATGCTTGTCCAGAGACACAGGTGACCTTGAAACCTTGATACTGCGTTGTGAGATGTAATCGCAACGGACATTGCCGTTTGACATTTCTCGATACGGTGGCTGTCATATCATAGGTACCGAACCTATCTTCCACCTTCCACCTTCCCGTGACCATCCAATAGGTGGTCTCGAGAGCATTGGACATTCCGACACCCGATGGCGCCACTGAGCCGGCGAAACACCTAACCAGCTTCTGCGGGCCTGAGCAGACCGGTTCTGCTACCGCAGACGTGCCTTTCGCGGATACAGTGTCTGAAGGCTATGCCATCTATGCTGGAAACCAGCGATCCATATCGCGTTCTCTCTTCTCGCTCACTGCTTTGTTGAGTGCGTGGATGGTGCTCGACAAGAACATGGAGATAGGTATGGAACCAAACGCTCGGTGACTGCGAAAGTTCGGCCGAAGCTGGGGTTTTAAGTGGTGCTCTGTGTGCCCATTACTAGCGCGCGAAAGCCGCCAAGTGCCCGCGGCGCAACGGCGACAGCGTATCGCACGTGAGATAACCAGAGCAATGACGGCCCACTATTGGCTGATCCGGATAGTAGGTCGCGGCGCGGCGCTGCTGAAGTTGGTCCCTTGGGCTGCAGCTTCGTCCCGTCCTACATACGGGAAGTACACCGGTCCCTCCTTCCGGCCCAACAGGAGATTATCTTTGGGAGGACTGCCGCTTTTAGGCGAGTATTTCGCCAACAGGCAGTCTCTCGTCCAACTTTCCTTCCCTTCACTAGCATTTCCCTGGGTCGTTGGCAGCAATGTCGTCCTCTAGCGGCGCGGCGGTTACTATCGACCGCGGTTATTTTGATACCCTCATGCGAAGGTACGTCCCCTCTGTCTTGTCATGCCACCGGCGATCAGTCGTTTTCCCGCATACACGGGTGCGCAAGGCTAACTATGTGCCATTCAACGCGTAGAGCACAGTTTGTAGGTTGAGGTCACCATCGATATTCGTAAACCTGGTCAACGATCCTAACTCCGGCCAAAGAATACCGAACATGCCAATTACAATGGGCACTCGTCTTCCGTGGTCATTTCGCGGGCCGAATATGACAGTCTCACCTCGATCGCGAAACAATACGGTAGCCCATTCCTGACACCCTCGAGTCCGGTCCGCGGGGACTGACTGCATCAGCGAACCTCAGGCGAAACCTTCTTCGCGGCGGTGTAGGGGAAGAAACGGTGGATGTACGATCCCAGTTGGGCGGCCCGGCGAGAGACGTGTTAACGAATGGCAGCTTCTCAGCCAGGATGACGAGACGATACAGACGGGGCATTCTCAGGCGACCCCGGCGCCAGTGCCCGACCCCAACGAAGACGGAGGTGCGCGGCTGCACGCATGCACACAGCCCTCTGCTAGTGCCACGGGCCAGCAGAAAGCAGTGTCACACGCCACCCCGCACGGTCGGTATCACGAGCGCTCCACGTGGGCTGATGGCGATGTAGACGAAGACGGAGACGAAGACGAAGAGAATGCTGTAAGCGACACGGAGTCGCATATCGAAGGTCCTCCTGGCGCCAACTACGCCAAGCCCCTCGCTCAGCGGCCGCAGTTTGAGCGGCAATGTGCCCGCACGATTCAGCTTTGCAACTTGGCGGACGGCACCACGCATGCGGATATCACGGATGTGGTGCGTGGTGGCATGCTTCTGGATATCTTCGTACGGACTCACGAGCGCTCTGCTGCAATCTCTTTCCTCCACTCGGCGGACGCCAAGAGATTCTACGATCATGTCCGGCGGCATGATCTGTATATCAGGAACAAGAGGGTGGGTAGACCTTGGCTACGTCGTCTGTATGACGGTGACTGATTTGATGGGCAGGTCGAGGTCAAGTGGAGCGACCGCCAGTTCGTACTTCCCGGTCATGTCGCAAGCAAGATTGCCATGGGCGCCAGCCGTAACCTTGTCATTATGGGTTACGATAATAGGCATACCGAAGAGATCATCCGCGAGGATCTGGACCATATCCACAACCTGGTAGTGGTCAAGGTGGAATTCACGGGCGGCAACTGCTACATCGGCCTCAACTCGGTCCACAATGCCATCAATGCGAGACAGTGCATGCTGAGCCGCTGGTGTGTACGCCCGCAGCGAATAGGTTATCGAGAAGAGGCTGACGAGTGAAATAGGCGGTATAAAGGCAAGAAGATCAACTACGACGTCGATGAGTGCGCTCAGCCGTACCCGCAGCCGGCACCCAAGATCCGTAAGGAAGTGGCGCCACCTAAGAAGCCGCTTGCGGCAATTCACAACCGTTTCCATCTCCTGAATATCGATGATGGCGAAGAAGATGACATCGCGGCAACGTTTCAATCGAAGAAGTCGGTGGGCATCGTAGCCTAGGACCCTACGGGAAAACCTCACAGGCACCGGCTTCGGCAAATGGATTCCACCCCGATGCTGAGCAGCTCGGGCCTCGAGGAAGCCCTCTGGGTCGATTAGGAAATACAAGGATGAGCAAGAGAAGCATAATCCCTTTTGCGCGCGAGGCAGGCGTCAAAGATACCCGTGGTTAGTCCCGGGGATGTTTACGGCAGAATGCTCATAGGTGGGAGCTAGCGGCGCGAGGGCATCTTCCCACGCATTTCATCATGTCAATGCTTTGGTGCCAAGCAGACAGAGCGCATTACTTTGCTGTACGGAGGATTTGGTGTTTTACGGCTCCTTTGTCACTTGGACTACTGCCCTGCAGCCGACATCGCACCTGCCCCTGAGAGGTCGCGCGCATCTCTTTTCTCTTTCGTTACGTCATGGCGGTCAATGGGCCCCACACGACTGCAGACGGTCAGTCTTGGCCTTTCACATGTAAACAGCACGGCGGGGATTCATCGTAGGTTACTGGTATTGTAGTGTAATATTTCGAGGGTGAGCGCATGATAAACTCATCTCCCAATGAAGATTTGACTTCTCTAGGTCAAAAAGGATGCAGCGAGCTCCCAATACCCAAATGTGACCAGTCATGGGTTTGAAGATGTCAGATCGTGGCGCTTGAAGCAGCAGATCTCGATCAGCAGAGAAAGCTAGCAGGCAAGATGCAGAGCACTGGCAGGATATGCGAAGTGGCATTAGCCCGCGGGAAGTGGGTGAGGTAGTAGAGCACAGTAAAGCTCAGATATACAATCATGGATACCTCACAATCAGAAGCAAAAGACCGATAAACATGCACAGCAGATCTATGCGAATTATTCTTGAAAAAGTGTTGCTCTGAATTGCGCTGATAAAGCGACAACGCTGTTGTTGTCAGGGGGCTCTGAGTGAATGAGTCTTATCGCTATAGATGCTGGTGAAGGATTCCATCTCTCCTTGGCCGATGCTCGAGCGGGCCCGGGCCGGCCCCAGATTCGCAAGCCCTTGCATCTAATACCAACCTTCCTATCGCCCGGAGCTCGTAACTGATTCCAGGTACGACAAGAGGAAGCTACGGTCAGCTGGCGAGATAGGTGTCTGGCTACCGCGCCGTGACGCCGTGGCACTACCGACGGCGGGCTCGTTGCCACCGGCGGAAGCAAGAGACGCCACCCGCGACCGGGGAGTGCTAGACCGAGGCTGCTCAGACACCGGCGGCTCCCTCGCCTTCCCCTTCTCTTCGGCCGAAAGTCCGGCTGGTAAAGGCTGCGGCTCTTTGCTAAAGAGCGACAGCAGCTTCTGCCTCTGCTCCGGGTTCGAGTCCTTGCGTCGGTGGAGCGCACCGGTTGGCTGTTGGTGGTGGAATGACGGCACAGCATGAGTTCCAGATGGAGAGTACTGCGCGTAGGGGAGACTGGCAGCTTGCGCGGCAGCGTAGTTGAGCTGAGGGGATCTTTTGACCTCTTGTTCCGGCTGCTGTAACAAGGCGTGGTCCCGAGGCGACGGGATGCCTTGCCGGTCTGCATTTCTGGGTTCTTGAGGGTTGAGGCGCTGTTGCAAGCGCTGCATCTGGGCCTGCGCATCCGGGGATTGGCCTCGCTCTGTCTGCTTGGGCCGACTGAGAATTTGAAAAGACCGATACGGCAGATTTAGCTCTGGATTCATTTTCGTAGGTCCACCATTGACTTCTGAAGCCGTCATGGCCGCGTTGGCCGCAGACGTCGCCTTGTACGCAGGGCTGCCGGGTTCAACTTTCTTCGCCGAGCCATCGTCCTGCTGTGTTCTGCTGGATTGCATGCTGGACTGCATCTTGAACTCATTGCTCAACGGCGACCTCGGACCCGATTTCTTGAACATCTCCAACAACGCCGAGCGGTGAGAGTCTGCCGGTTGGGCAGGCTTGGACGCATGCTGGGCCGCCGGCGGCTGCACTGCGCGTGGAGATGTCCGCATCGGCGCAACAGGGGCCATGTGGTGCGGCAGGTATTGCGCTGCAGGGTTGGATCCTTGTGCGGAGGGCACATTGGGCCAAGGGACCGGTTGACGCTGAGTTTGGTGCTGGTTACTGGACTGTGAAAACCCAGTATCTTCATGAGGAGTATTTCCAAGGGGCTTGTTTACCGTGTCCTCACGGGGGCCACTTCTGAAGGCGTTGAGCAACGTCATTGCGTGGCCCGTCAACTGGGTCGGCTTCCCAGGCTGTCTCGGAGGTGCGTAAGCGTCATTCGTACGGGCAGCAAGCGGATGTGCACCGCCCTGCTGGACTTGGGAGCCGCCTTGACTATTCATGTCTGGAACGGCAGGAGTCGGGAGGATTCCTCTTGTCAGCAGGGACTGCTGAACCTGAGGCGGCAGTGGTTGTGGGTGCAGAAGCACGGGCTCGTTCCGCTGCTGCTGCGCTGGGTTCACGAAAGGGTTGCGACCGTAGACCTGAGGCAGCACCTGGGCATGTTGTTGGGTTTGTTGAAAATATCCGCGGGGGGCATTCTGGTTTGGGTTGGGCGGGATTGGGAAACTTGGTGGCGGCTGATAGTTAGGAATCGGCTGTCGCTGAGTCGGATGGTGGTGGTGTGGGGTATTGGGCTCCGGCGGATTTGTATAAGTAAGATCGGCCGGCGTATGTGGGATATGAGTATCAGGCTGCTGAGGCTGCGCTGAGCCCTGATGCGATGGCGCCTCCGGGCCCTTCCGCAGAAGCGCCATAAGAGCGTCTCCCTTGTCTGCTTTTGAGATCGTAGACGGATTTATCTGCAGACCCTGTGTAGGTGGTTGTACCTTGAGAAGACGCTGCAGTTCGCGTGTCGCGCCCTCTAGCGTCTCGATTGCTGGTGTGCCGTTCGAAGGAGGCGCCACCGGCTCCGTTTGGGCTCCAATGTCGTCCTCGGTGAGAGGCTCCTCGACCCCCACGTGAGTAGCCAGAAGAGATGGATTCGCAGCCGCTCGGGCTGCGTCCTTCTTCTTCTGCTGGACGACCCATTTCTTCAATGGCACCAGGAATGGGGCCACCATGTAGAACTTGTTCGCGTTTGACGCGGCGGCGACGCTATTGTGGGAGTTGTTGCCTTTCTTACGAAAGGCCGGCAGCTCTGACAATCTGTACCACTCGACTTTGCTGATCTCCTTCCGCGTCTTCGGCTCAAAGACGGTGTCCGTCGGGACATTGCGGAAGACATAGAGACGAATCTGCTGCTCCCTCATCGACATTTGGATGTACTTGATCTCGTCTTCCTTGGGCACTAGGCCCGCCTGTCTGATGTCGAAGCCGGTCTCCTCGTACACCTCGCGGATGGCGCAATCCAAGTCGTCTTCGTCCTTGTTGATCTTGCCCCGCGGGAAGCTCCAGCTGGCACCCTTCTTCCAACCCCTCACGAGCACGGTCGAATCCATGGCCTCGTTCAACAGAATAGCACCCCTGACTGGGACCCGCGTTTTGTACTGGAGGAACTCTTCGAACGCCCGCATGTGGTTCTCGACCGAGAAGGGGGCTAGCAGCGGACAGTGCTGGAATATCCGAAGGCAGAAGCTCCGCAGTGACATGGACGGCAGTGTTGGGTCCAGAGGCCGAATAAAGTCTTCGTAGAACCATTGCGCTTCCTCAACTTGGAAACAGATGCGCGCTACAGACGAGAGATCCTCCTTTGGGAGATGGATGATAAAACGGACGCAGAGGTCGTCCAACCCTAGACGCGTCCAGGGTCAACAGAGTGCCAAACAGAGCGAGGGCCGAGTCCGGTTAACCTACAGTCTTCGAGTTGCATTTTGTTTTCGGCCATGGCGATGTCTTGTATCGAGCATATCCACGGCGGCGGTTGACAATCACCGGCTGGCCACGGATACTTGGTCGTTCTAGCGAGCTGCGCTCGTTTCCGACACACAGCCTAGGTAGCTTTGCTGCCGTGAATTCAGTCAGGTTGACGGCGTCGGCGGGGCGGGCGGCTGCACTGCAACTTCCCCACCGAGGATGTGCCAACAACAACCAGAAATAGGCAGTTACAAACTCAATCGACGTCTTGCCTTCGCCAAGTCGATCAGGGCGTGCAATGTACCAATACGATGCCGAGTCGGAGTGTTTTGGGCGGTACTTGATGTTCGCAAGGGCGACAACGTGGTATAGACAGTCATTGTCCCCACATCAAACAGCGAGACATGTCACGACTCTCAACATACGTTCAACAAGCTTTCGCCACGATTCAGGCGGCAGTCAAGCCACATTCAGCTTAGCAGGCGTGGCGGTGCACTGCTCCACAACCCGCATTCGTGAAGGCCTCCGCGCCAGTGACAGGGGCGCAAACCGGAGGGAGGGACGGGAGGTCTCCATAGACGTCATTGCCCGAAGCCAAAGAGTTGCACGCCCACTGACGACGCTGTTTGATGAGCAGACTGGACGCAACCATGAGACCAATACCAGGCATAAATGAGAAGGGCCATGCCGTGCTGGCCACCATCGGTTCTCATCTCTTCATCTCCATCTCCAGGCCATAAAAGACCAGGTGGCCGGGTTGCCGTTCGCTAGACCGCGCCAAAAGCGTTTCTGAGCTGGGCCCCTGAAACACACAAAGCGCACTCACTGGCCAATACCACAGCAAATCCACGCCACACCAGACTGATAGCCGCCGACAACCATAACAAAGACCTTGACAAAGCGATAACTGTTTATAATTCGGCCTACTGCCCTTGAGCTTTCGGGCTCGCCCGTTGTTACTCATTTTCATAAACGAAACTTCACAAATCGTGGGGCATACTGTGACTGGACGGCACCATGAGCAGTTTGGCTCTCAAGCTCCTCGAGAGGAGGGCTTTCGGCAAGCTCCAAAGTGAGAAGAGGAGCACTAACTCAGATGTATGTGCAAACCTTCTTCCCCAGTGCAAAGGTTGGAATTTGAAAACTGATACCTACAACCGCAGAACCCATACGAACACAGAGTACCTGTCTTTAAGAATGGCAAATGTGTCGGCCACAAAACCGAAAAGAGACCGATCCCAGAGGGCCTGTCTCGCAACGACGTAAAGATCTTGAAGAAGGTCCGCAAGAGGGCTTACCGGTGGGACATGGGCTTCTCCTGCTGCTGCTTGGGTTTCCGGTTCGGCTGGTCATCCATTATTGGCCTCTTCCCTGTGTAGGTTACGCCCCTGCCGGGCTCCTCTCGATGTGGTTGCTAACTGGTATTGTCAGCATCGGAGACTTTGCCGACCTTTTCATGGCGTTGGCCCTCATTAAGAAGGCTTCCAAGGTCGACGGCGGGCTGCCGAAAAGACTATACAGCATGATGTTCACCAACATCATGATCGACTTCGCTCTTGGCTTCATCCCCGTCCTCGGCGACATCGTCGACGTGTTCTACCGCGCCAATACTCGCAATGCTTGGCTGCTCGACGCTTATCTCACAGAGAAGGCTAAGGCACTCAGGGAGGGTGTGATCACGGATCCGGACGGAGGGTCGAAGGTCCGGGTGCCGTCCGAGCTGCAAGTCGCCCCTGGAGATCGGGATCTCGAAGAGGGTATCGGACCGGTGGCGGTGGCGGAACCGACACCGGTTCCACCCGCCGTGACACCAGCCCGGACACCGGCTCCGGTGGGGACAATGGCGCCTCCTTCGAGGGCACCGGCTCCCGGTCGGAGCCTGACCGGTCAAAGGACGCCTGGTCCTGGTCTCCCAGGTCGGCAGATCAAGGACCCGAGAGACCGGAAAGGGTAGCGGTTGCTCAGTGGCGAGGAAAGTGTGTTGGGCGGCCCAGCACGTTAGATACATGATCGTGGGGTAGTAGATTAGTAGAATTGGAGCCTTGGAGGTAGGGCATGGATTGGCGTTCTGGTTTGTCATTACAGCTCAGACAGATATCATGATACCATGGCGAAAGCATTACCTTGTTGTATGGATCTGATGAAGAGAGCATTTGTGCAATGCTGCCACTGTCGAGTTGATAGACCATGCGAGTGTGAGTGTCGAAGTCATATATGCCTGAATGGCATCGAGGACCGCAGCGTAGTGTATGACTCGACGTGGATACAGATGTTGAAGTTGTTTGTCAGAAGAGCAAACTGGGATCCATCGAGTGGCCCGGATGTCCATATTCCGCGATTATGTCGAAATTAGGAGGCGATGACAAACTGGAAGACCAGTCATTTCTTGCTGGTTTCTTCGGCAAGTGGATAATAGGTAGCCAGGGATCTGCCCGATTCCTGGATCTAAGCGCGTATTCCTATGGAGGTCCACCGGAGGCAGCACGGTAACACTGCCCAGCGCAGGCGCGTTGGGCAACGGGGTGAATAATAAATGAACAGAGAATGGGTTGGGAGATTCCGTGTATAACGAAATATTCAGAAGCAATGATCTTATTTGTGAGAGAACTGAGTCACTGGGCGCAAGTGTGATGGTGAAGAGCGATGGAGAGTACTACCAACATCCCTGCCATCCCTGCCGCATCCCAGCTGTCTCGGCCGAAAAAGATCTGATAACAGCGAGGTGTCGTAAAACCGACCAGGCACCAGGGAGCATGTGGATCGATGCCGGCCGAAGTGGGTGGTTGGTGGTGCATGTTGACGCCGCTTTGGCTGGGTCCAAGTCGCGTCGACGCGAACCCCTGCAGCAGATTTAGAGAGGTGGGACCGCGTAACATGCTGCATTTAAGATCCCGTCGCGGTTCCAGCTCTCCCTCTCCAAACCTATTCTCTGTCTGCACATCACTCAACACCTCCGTCATCGAACCATTGCCCCCTCACAATCTTACTTCAGGTGGCAATCTCTTAGTTCTTTCTCTACAAACACCCAATTTCATCCATTACACTCGACAATGGCCGCCCAGCTCACGCCATCCAAGCAGGTTCGTGCAGTTGCCCTGCGTTCTCTGCCTCAACGCGTCAACACGTGTACACTTCCAAGCTAACGTGCTCCAATATGCAGGCTGCTTCTGCAATTGACGCCCTTAAGATGGAATCACCAGTCAAGAAGCTCGACTTGTCCGCGTCCAACAAGGAGAACGCGCCGTTCGACGCCGACCTCGCCACCCTCGAGGCAGAGATTGACGCCAAGCACCAGCAACAGACAACCATGAACAAGAAAGAGCCAGAGGTTGTGTCTGTCAACCCCGAGGAGGCCGATGAGCCGCTGCTCCAGGAGAACCCGCAGCGCTTCGTCTTGTTCCCCATCAAGTATCACGAGGTACGAGAGAGAGACACGTGATGGCGCGCTAAGTGGAACGCGTGCTGACATATCCCCCTGCAGATCTGGCAGATGTACAAGAAGGCCGAGGCGTCCTTCTGGACAGCCGAGGAGATTGACCTGTCCAAGGACCTGCACGACTGGAACAACAAGCTCACCGACGATGAGAAGTACTTCATCTCGCACGTCCTTGCCTTCTTCGCCGCGTCCGACGGCATCGTCAATGAGAACCTGGTGGAGCGCTTCAGCGGCGAGGTCCAGGTGCCCGAGGCCCGCTGCTTCTACGGCTTCCAGATCATGATGGAGAACATCCACTCCGAGACCTACTCCCTCCTCATTGACACATACATCAAGGAGCCTGCCCAGCGCACGCACCTGTTCAATGCCATTGACACCATCCCCTGCATCCGCAAGAAGGCCGACTGGGCCCTGCGGTGGATCACCGACAAGAAGTCCACCTTTGCGCAGCGCCTTGTTGCCTTCGCTGCCGTCGAGGGCATCTTCTTCAGCGGCTCCTTTGCGTCCATCTTCTGGCTCAAGAAGCGCGGCCTCATGCCAGGTCTGACCTTCTCCAACGAGCTGATCTCTCGCGACGAGGGGCTCCACACCGACTTTGCCTGCCTGCTGTTCTCGCACCTCAACAACCGGCCCAGCAAGCAGGTCATCCAGGACATCATTGTCGAAGCCGTCAAGATCGAGCAAGAGTTCTTGACTGAGGCCCTGCCTTGCGCCCTGCTTGGCATGAACGCCAACCTGATGAAACAGTACATCGAGTTCGTCGCCGACCGCCTGCTCGTCGCTCTCGGCAACGAGAAGGTCTACCGGTCGACGAACCCCTTCGACTTCATGGAGAACATCTCGCTCGGCGGCAAGACCAACTTCTTCGAGAAGCGTGTCGGCGACTACCAGAAGGCCGGTGTCATGGCTAGCACCAAGAAGCTCGCCGAGGATGCCGACAAGACTGAAAACGAGAACGGTGGCGACTTCACCTTTGACGAGGACTTCTAAGTCTCTCGCCACCCTCCACTTGCTCTTCTCCTTTTTCCACTCGCCTCTAATACCCCTCTTGTATCCTTTCTTTCCCTTGCTACATCTTATGGCATAGAAGCGCCAGGGGTTATCAGCTGACGTCTAGCCTCTCCTGAGACGTTGGATATGTGTTTTCCCATGTATAACATCCTGCGCGGGCGGAACCATGTTGGTATTGCTGGAGTTGGGGCGTTGGGAAATATTGCTCTGGTCAGGTTTGGCTTACGATGGTATGCGACGGGGAATGAACGGAAACAGTATCGTGTGTGTGTATGTATGAGTAGATGCTCATGCTAAGAATCAAAAATTCTGGACTGATTGCTGGAGAGTCTCTTGGTGTGTAAATCGGGTGGTCAGATTCGGTGGTCTCTGTGTACTATGAGGATGCCTCATGCTCGAGGATGGCTTGGTATTGTGCCGTCTATTGTGATGACTCCCACGACAAGAGCCTACTTATAGATGATAAAGGCGTAATATCACCACACCCGTTGGCTCCCTCATTGCAGATGTTTCTTGACGTCAACGCCAAGTTACCCCGAGGCCATGCCCTTCAGATGGTCTATACCCAGCTCGCGCTTCTCAACCCATTGCCAAACCATCTCCCCAGCACGCAAAGACAACTTCACCTCTTCCCCTTCTTCTTCTTCCCCTTGCCGCCTCCACCTCCCGCTCCCGCTCCCGATCCGGCTCCAGCCGCTGGAGTCGGCGTCTGAGCCCCACTCCCGCCACCACCCGCGGCGGCCGCTTCGCTTTCACCACCGCCGACAGGTGGAGCCTCCCCCATCACTACCTCGTCACCACCAGCACCACCACCGCTCGTCGCCGCAGGTGTCGTCTCAACAGCCACACCCGCCATCCTCCGTCCCAGCGTCCCCAGCATCTGCACCAGCCTGGTGACCTCGGCCGCCTTGGAGGTCTTGTACTTCAGTGTCACGCCGCTGGCCGGGTCGTACGTCTTGAGCACGAGGTGGCCGCGCGGCGGCTTTTCTTCTTCTTGTTGTTGTTGCTGTGCTGTTTCTTCTGGTTGTGGTGGGTTCGCCGCAGCTCCCGCTTCTTCGGCTTTGGCGGACTTGGGCATGCGCCGGGCTGGTTTGATGTGGTATCGTGTTGTGATTCGCGTCTTGAGAGATGGAGGAAAAAGGGGAGGTGGGAGGTTAGTGAGGGAGGGAGGGAGGAAAAGGGGGTGGGGAGGAGCGTGGGAAAAAGTGAAAAAAAAAGACGCACTGTCGCTGGTCGCGCTTGGAGAAGGAGGGCGGACTGGTGTAGCCAGTCTTCGGACTTGCCGTAGTACGGCATCTTAAGGCGCCCGCTCGAGGGTGGTTTTGGATTAGGGTAGTCGAGGGTTGAGCGAGAGCACGTGTTGCTCTACTGCATATGGGGTTTGTCGTAGCGATTGGGGGGATTGGTCTTGTTGCGCCTTCGAGGGCCCGGAGTTTGTGGGTGAACGTTGGCGAGACGCGGAACCCAGCTGCAATATTGAGCTTGCTGGAGTCTCTCTTGATCCGTCGTGCGGTGATTGCTGAGATTCGGAGTGTGGTGTACGAAGTAGCTTCGCAGCGAATCTAGCAACTTTAGTGGGGCCGCCTACACTAGGCGCATGTGGGGGAGCTTTCATTCGGCCCCCTCTCAGGCTTGCTCTCAACTTACCTTAACCGCAACCTCCGAAGGAGTCTTGTATCGGGGAATTCACGTTCATGTCACGGTGTGCAAGTGCTTCGCCAACTAAGGGTGGGTAGTGTGTGTTGTTTTTGAGATGGACTAGAATGCTCGGTCCTATGTGACTATGTTGCTTCTTTCTGTTTTTATGCTGTTCTTTGATTCACGGTTTCTACTTTGGGTTAAAAAGTTTTGACGCAGAGCTTTATTGGGGGGAGATACTGTTAGGAGATGGATGATCCTATAGCTCGGGCTATATATGGGCTATAGTCCCGTGGGACCAGCTACCATCCTCCCAAAAGGTCATCTCTCGTTCTTATTTGAAATGAAACGTTCAAACGCACAGCAGGACACCACCATTGACCTTTACCTGAACGCCGGAATATGCAACCGGGTATCTCATAGTCGATAAACCGCCACCACCCTTCCCTGGTCAACTGCAGCCACCTACTCCATGCCAGGGCGTCCTCCTGTTCCTACAAGTTGGGATCAGGTAGCCAAAACACGAGCTCCTGGTCTCCTGTGGCAATCATGTTGTACCGCGGGTTGTATGCCACCACGGCTGCCTCCCGCTTCTCCTCCAGGACATGCGCCGGTTCAAGAACCTTGTCCGTTCCGGGCGTCGCCAGCGTGTCCCAAACAAGAAGATCCGATTTCGCTCCGCTCAGCACGTATCGGCCGTCCGGAGCAAAGCAACACTCGCCGCTGCCCTCCACGTTTCCTCCATCTGCTTCGCCCGCAGCCAGCCGCCTTGTGCTGGCACCCGGTTTCTTCAAGTACGCTTTCAGACTTCCGTCGAAAGAGTCTAGGAGGAAGTGGCCGTCACCACGCGATCCTAGGAGTAGGTGTTTCCCGTCGTTGGAGAACTCGAGCTTCGTCCACCCTCTGAAGGCACCCTCTGGGTCCGCCGGCCCTCGGGCCTTCAACACATCGAAGACGGAAAACGGCCCCTTCTCGTAGTTGCGATAGTCGTAGAGCAGAACGCTCCCGCTGGAAGGGGAGGCGATGGCGAATGCATTGCCCGATGGATCCCAGGCCGAAAGGTAGGGCGTGTTCAGGAACAGCTTGCCGGTCCACTGCTTCGTCCCAATGTTCCATATCAGCGCCGTGTTGTCGACACTGCAGGAGATGAAATTGTCCGCACCGGGGTGCAGCGCTAAATCTGTGACTGCGCCCTCATGGCCTTCGAAGTAGCGGATAAAGGAATTATCATGGGTCGCAAGGTATCGGATGGCGTCTACGCAGAAGTGTCAGCTTTCTGGCATGAACTGAGTTGCCCCGTGCATGCGTACCGTTCTGCTTGGTGCTGGCATAGATGATACTCGAGCTGGTATGCGTGAACTTTGCGAGTTTGACACCGTACTTCTTGCTCAGCAAGCTCTTGTCATGCCGGCCGTCCTTGACGTTGTAAATCTGTATGGTCTCATCGCTCTCCGAGGTCATGCACAGTTCGCCCGGGTCGTCGAAATCGATTGATAATATATACGGCTGTGGTTTGCCCTCCTTGATATCGTCTCTTTGGAACAGCTGCTGCAATTTAGCAACAGCAACAGAGAGAGGCGGAAACAAGCACCCACCTTTGTTGGTCTGAATGCCGAGATCACGTCACTGACAGCCGTCGTGCTGGGCACATTGCTTGCGCCAAGCGTACGGGTGATGTTGAGTGATGGCGCCGTGGCAGGGGGTAAATCGTCGATATCCATTGGTGTTGAAGCCATATTGGCATGCCAGTGCGCAACAGCTCGTTTTAAGGAAATGGAGGTTAAGTTTGGAGCATCGTTGCGTTCAAGTAACCTGTAGGAGCTCAGGAAGGGTGAGCAGTTTCTGCCGGGCGGTGAATTTGATAAGTTATCTATGCGTGGCGCATCGAACTCGGCGTAGGTAATTCCAAGCCAATAGCATCGGCAGTATAATTAACTATAATGTACGGTACTAAGTACCTTACCACCAGCTCACCTAGGTATAGGCTATCTCCATTCTCCATCAAGAGAATTGTCCTAAACATGGCCAATTTGTCAGAGACGTCTTTTAAACCCCTTCATGTTGTTTTCTTACTGGCTTTATGAACCCATGATTGTTTGCACCATTCTATCTACCTACCCAAGCTAGGTACGTCGGTGGCCAACACACCCACGGTATGGATCTAGAATACGTGAGGTGATCACTCCCAAGCTTCTATGGGAAGTGCGTAATATAGGTATGTATTGTACATGACATACAAACAATACTGTCGTTGGCTACTCTGTATGGGAAACCATTCAACCTTCGACAACAATGCACCATCAAACTTCCTTCCGACACTGGCCGTCCCCCCTGCAAGTTCTGGGACCCTGTTGTTGGAACTTGTTGCTCCGGCACAAGGGTCCAAATCCCTGTCAGGGCGCTGACAAGATTGCGGGGCCTGCCAGACCGATCTGCGGCTGCGAGGCCGGGGGATTCGCCGGCCATTGTCACTGTCGCTGTTCCATCGCACACGCAGTGAGCCGAGTCAGCGCACCATGGGGCTGATTTAACTATATAACAGCAGCTTTGTCATCCGCAGCCTCAGCACAGGTGCCGCATGCTATTTTCTTTTCCTTTTTCCCTTTCTGATTTCTCGGTTGTCTGTACTTCGTCGTGCATGACTAGCGGGACGCTACCGTCAACTTCCCAAGCCGATCCACCCCAAACGCCAGGTTAGACGCGGCTTGAGGTCTCCGCCGCGCCGATTCCGGCGTCCGCCAGCTTACAAGTTCATTGATTCCGCAAGTTCCGCCAGCTCAACACCAGACATAGCGCGTGCAATGTCGACAACAGCTGGGTAGGTGGTATCCCAATGCGCGTCCAGGAAGCTAGAGAGTCGACTTCTGACATGGTTGTATCTCCTTTCAGCGCCTTCATAGCAGGCGGCATCGCCGCTTGCGGAGCCGTGACGGCGACGCATCCCTTCGAAACGGTCAAGATCCGCATGCAATTACAGGGGGAACTGCAAGATAAAGGCCACCAGCCACACCACTACCGCGGGCCCGTCCACGGCGTATCCGTCATCGTCCGGAACGAGGGGTTGCGCGGAATCTACCGGGGCATTGGGTGTGCCTACATCTACCAGGTGCTGCTGAACGGCTGCCGGCTGGGCTTCTACGAGCCGATGCGCAACGCGCTCTCCACGCTCGTATTCAAGGACGGCAAGACGCAAAGCCTGGGGGTCAACATGTTCTGCGGCGCTGCGTCGGGCGTCATGGGCGCCGCCGCGGGCAGCCCCTTCTTCTTGGTCAAGACACGTCTGCAGAGCTACTCGCCCTTCTTGCCTGTCGGCACACAACACCGGTACCGCAATGCGTGGGACGGCCTGACGAAGATCTACGGGAGTGAAGGGGTGCGCGGCCTGTACCGCGGTGTAGGCGCAGCCATGATCCGGACAGGTTTCGGGAGCTCGGTGCAGCTGCCAACATACTTCTTTGCGAAGCGCCGGTTGATGCGGCACCTGGGCATGGAGGAGGGTCCGGCTCTGCATCTTGCCAGCAGTACGGCTAGCGGCTTCGTGGTCTGTGTCGTGATGCATCCGCCGGGTAAGTTCTGCAGGACGAGTGGTTCTGAGCATCAGAGGCCTAACGTCGAGTAGACACGATCATGTCGCGCATGTACAACCAAAACGGCAACCTATACGCCGGCGTCTTTGACTGTCTCGCCAAGACCATCAAGACAGAAGGCTTCTTCGCAATCTACAAGGGCTTCCTGCCGCATCTTGCCAGGATCCTGCCTCACACGATCTTAACCCTGACGCTGGCCGAGCAAACCAACAAACTAATCAGGAAGCTGGAAGGCCGTTTCTTACCCAGCGCCGCCCTAAAAACAGCATGAGGGGCTTCGCATTTTCGATTGGCGTTTGGAAGCCTTGGGTAGCGTAGATCTGCATTTGGAGGCGCCCGGTTTGAGTGCCGCGTATTATACCAGGCTCGCTTGTAAGGCCATAAAGGCAAAGTGGGAGGGCGCCCGGCCACCAGCTGCGGTAGAAAACGGGGACGGGGGTGACGGGGAAGGGCCGGCTCACCTCGGCGCCGCAAAAAAATGAACCAGCCGCGGTGCATCTGCCCGCAAAACAGATTCCTTTGCTGCATCTATTTATGGCACATGTTCCATCACCCGGCTGTCGACCTCTCACAACCATAACACAACCTCCCCTGCCCGTCTGCCGTCTTTATCCCCGTCCCCAGCCCCAACTCCCCCCTCCAGCGCTCATCCCCTATCTCGTCAAGCGGCATGCCACACAGCCCACACCTCTCCCCTCCCCCTTCTCCTCCTCCTCTCGCTTCTTCCCCGGCCCTCACCAGCTTGCCCGTCGTCCGGGCGACGTTGGCCACCACGGACGGGTAATTCTCCTCCACCTCGGCGAAATACCGGTCCATCACCTCTTCAATAGTCAAATCCCGATGCGAAACCACCGCTGGGGCCCCGTTCTGGTGCCCGTCGGCACCGGTCACCGCGAGCTCGGTAAGCGGCGGGTCTATCAGCCGCGCATACGTCACCAGCTCTTTGCGCAGCGCGTCCCGTAGCGGGTGGTAGATTAACAATGACGGCTTGTCGTTGCCGGCCCCGTTTGTGACCACCACCACCTCCTCCTCCTCCTCCTCGTCGTCGGGATGTGACGGAGCAGGTCCGTCATTAATCAGCCAAGGCAGCGCGTACCCGCGCCCCTTGGCCGTCTCGGCCAGGGTCAGCTCCGCCAGCGCTGTCGTGCTGTGGCCCAGCAGCAGGGCCTGGCAGTGCTGTGTGCGGGCGAGCGAGATCAGGGCTTGGCGCGTCAGCAGGCGGAGGATATCCTCGCGGGAGGCGGCGGTTGGGAGCGTGGTGAGCAGGGTTCGTATGCTCTGGCTCGTGCCCGGGGGCAGTGGGAGGGAGGTGAGGTCGAGGTCGGTGAGGACCGAAGAGAGAGGGATGCACTGGAACTGGAAGCGCGGGTAGCGTCGCACAAGGCGGCTTAGGGCTTGTTGGGTTGGCGAGAAGATCGTCTGGGGCTTATGAAGGATGGCGTTGTCGATGTGGACGACCCTCAGCTCGAAGGGCGCGTTGCGGCCCTTGGCGAGCTGGAACTCGATATTTTCGTTGAGGAGGTGCAGCAGGACGGTGGAAGAGACACCGAGCGAGAGGCCGAGCAGGTAGCGGCGGGTGGTGTTGGGTGGCCCGCCGGCTGTGGATTGCGGGTGACGGGTCTCTTTGCCCAGGAGGCCGATCTGTTTGATGCATTTCCCCGCAATGAATTTTGTGAAGCAATTTCTTAGGATGATTGTCAGAATGCTGTGGTTCGAGGTATGAGACAATGGTGGACCATCTGCTTACCTGCAAACGGCGTGCGTTCTGCTCTCAAGCGTCGCCTCCTGAGCACGACACTTCACACAAGGCTTTGTGAGTGGCCCCTCGGTTGGCTTCTCTTCCTCCATGGCAGGTTAGATGACTAGCATCGACTTGTTATGAGTCGCGTTGGAACTCGGTTTATCGGGTTGATTCGATAGATGTAAGCTGAGGACCCGGTGTTCAACTCGGCACTCCAGCGTTAGCCTTCTAAAGTGTTGAGCTCATATTCTTGACTCACTTGAGCTTTTCACTGGAGGGAGTGGAAAGTACAAGGCAGTGTGGACTGTGTAAGGGTTAGGGTTTCACCCAGAAAGGGGTACGAACACCTCAAGTTTCTAGATTCAAAATACTTACTTCGTCCGTCTTCAGAACATGGGGGGTTACATGTGATACTGGTCTCTTTCTAGCTTGGTATGATATTCCCCAATTGGAGTATTTTAGAGGACTATATCATCATGGAAATCTCTCATAAGCAGCCTTACTCAGAAATGTTACCGGACTTTCATCGAAAGGGTTACTGCCAGTGGCTGGCTTCCATGATGAGAATGATGGGCCACCCAGTAAATGCATCGACCGAGCGCAAGCATGCCATGATCTCCATCCCACTGCCAACCGTTCATCTGTACGTTTCATAGCTACCTAATTGCCACATTGGATATCCGAGATATTTGACACTCGAGTCTCCTCTCCTAACGGATACCTTATCACTGAGTGCTGGCAAACAGACACGCCAGATCGCCCGCTTCAAACCAGGCACGGTCTTGATGCCAGGCATGCAGGATCACCTCCTTGCCCAGGCCGACGACTTGCTGCACCTGCATCTCCGAGCCCCAGCCGGGCACGCGGCTGCCCCAGGCGACAAGATGGGTGCCGACATGGAGCGCGGTGCGGAAGGCAAACTGGTCATCGACGTGGCCGTAGCCCGCCGCGAACCCTTCGATCAGCCATTTCCCCTCGTCCGTGCCCTTGAACAGCGAAAGCTCGTAGAGCTCAGCAATCATCTGGCCCAGGTCCACGGGGGCCACGCCTAACTGGCACATCTCCCAGTCCACGATGAAGACGGTTGTCTTGGCCCCCTCCGTTAGCGGTTCGTCTGACAAGAGAGCGCTGTTGTCGCCAATGTCAGCTCACCCATGTTATGATGTATCCCCGCCAAAAGAAAAACAACTCCACCAGACACCGCTAGGTAAGGGTAATAATAATTGTGAGGTAAGGCGACTAGTCACTTACTTGCCAGTCCAGAAATCGCCGTGGATGACCCCGAGATCCGGGCCCTGCAGCTCCTGGGCCGTCACCTCCCTGATCTTCTCGAACGTCTCCTTTGCATCGCCAAGGATGGAGGGAAAATTGGCGACCGTGTCCACCAGCGTCCCATAGTTCACGTAGTGCTTCAGCTGCTGCATCGGCTCGTTCGCGCTGACCACGTCCCGCAGCAGGGACGACGCGCGCTGGTGGAAGTCGCGCAGCCAACCGCCCAGGCTCCGTCCGAGTTCCAAGCAGAGCGGCTTCCTGGACGCCGCCGCCGCCGGTGCCGCCGACGCGGAGAAATGCTTGAGCGCGTAGTCCTTCAGGCTCAGCGCGTTGGGCAGATACTCCTGGACTTGGGTGTTGGTGGTGGCGCTGAAGTGGTGAAGCCTGGGCGCTCGGACAGTGAACGGGGAGGTCTGGTCTGTCGCCGTCGGCTGCGGTGGCGGTAGCGGTGGCGGCACTAGTAGCTCTTCAAAGGCCTTCAAGCACTCTACTTCGGCCCGCTATCCGTACGGTTCAGTCAACGTCCACGTCCGTGGGTGTTTGTTCGGACACGGGGTTACAATAAGACCGCTAAATAAATACATACGCAACGTGCTGTGGAAAGCTGGAAATCGGGCATCGAGGCAACAAAAGCCTTTCCGTGCTTGACGGCTACCTCTTGCGTCCCATCGGGCAGACGCCTGGTGAGAATGCCCTTGAAGAGGAAGTTGGCTGTCCCTCCCGATAGCGGCTCCAGCGAGGAGCATGCATATTCTGTGCCACTGAGGTCTTGAAGAATTTCCTCGCTCACTTTGGCACTTTGTGGGTGCGCCATGGTTGTGCGTCTCTTTGCTGCTTCTTTGCTGGTGTGTAGAGAACGTGGATAGGACGGTGTCAATGTAGGAGATGATATCTTGACTAAGTCGTGAGGTTCCGGCGTTGTCCTTGACCTTCAGACGAACCTGAGTTGGCAGGGCATTCTGTTGGTTGGACCAGAAAGTCAGGAATAGGTCTCGGAGCTGATGATCTTATATAATATATCGCTCCACCTATCATGTCTAGTAAGGTACTGTAAGGTAGATACCAAGTATTCTCCGTATCTCGTGTTGTGACCTCACGAACCGTTTCACTTACACGTTCGGTGCTGGGCTTACATTCGGAAGTGGGTCTCTAAATACTAAGGTAGGTACCGCTGGCGGTGGAGATCAAAGAACGGACCAATGATTTCAACCAGCCGTGCCACCTCTTGAACCCTTCTTTCGGAGCTCTGACTCTTCGCCGACTTCGCCGAGACCTGGAATCAATCCCAAGGCTGCACGGCTAACGGGGAGGATCCTGGACTCCTGGACTGGCTGATGGACTCTGGGAGGCTACCGATGTACAGTCTGGTCAGGAGGCTGAAGCTGGAACTCATGGTTTGATGTCCCTTCCCTTTGAAGCCCAAGAGGCCTTCTCCTGTTTGTATTTGCAGGTTCACTCACTGATCGTTTCCTTGAGTGGCCGATATGGGTTTCAGGTTCCTACGGTACACTACTGTGGTAGTCTCAGATGCTCAGACTAGCTGGCTGTGGCGCAGAGTGCCGCGATGTACATACCACCGGGGCTGGGACCGGGACGAGTGGTGGGGCCACTACCAGTACTCCTGTGCCAGGGACCGATAAGAAAACCCCTCCTCCAGGCCTTTCCACGGCTGGTTGCGGCTGGTGTCCTGTTCTGGTGCCGGAGGAGGAAGACGAGGCAGACGAGGCAGACGAGGCAGAAGGGGGGAAACGCTCCCTCCTCCGGCAGGGCCCGCATTAGCTGCGGCTGCCCCAGCTCACGGGGGCCACTACAATGATGATGCGGAATGGCCGCCTTGGGTTGGCGGTTTGCATGAAGCGCCCAACTCACAGAATAGGGTCCATGAGATGCCTGGCGATGAGCCCGCAGGCCTAGTTGGTCTGGGGTTCGCGCGGTAGTCCTTGCCAAACGTTGTCGTTACATAACTTACATTGTGGTTCTGCAAATGATTGCTATACTGATGGCGCTGCCGGATCTATGATTCTTGGTCTGCGTACCACGTATATACAGACGTTTTTGTACTGTACTTAATCGTCACATCACTACTACCCCCCGACTACGCAAAAGAACTATATTGACTTACCCCATTCCATGTTGTCTATAACAGAAATAGTTGCGATAGGCCGGTATGCCGGTATTACAATCCAGGACCTTGCGGATTCCCTTGTTGTAGCAGCGATGCTCGAACAATACAGGGGCGTTGGTAGGCGTCCATGTTGGCGTCGGTGGTTGCGCCCATAGCTCACGAGCCACGACGGGTTGACCGCACGCCACTTGTGCGGAAAGCCCACTGTGCGTTCGGTTGGGTCTTCTGAGTCGTCTTTCCAGCATTGCCAGATCTTGGTCGGGGAAGGCCGTGTCAACAGAAACGAGGGCTGTGCAACGCTGTGTGGAGGGTTGGGGGAGTTTTCCAGGAGGAGGAGGAAGGAGACTAGAGAACAGAACGCCCCTGAAAGAGGTCTGAGATCTTGAGATATCTTGCGCCGTACATCTATTGGACAGCAAACCAAGGAAACTGCCGACCTAACAGAAAAGCCGGCTACGTTGATAGGGGCTAGTCGTACGGAAGGGCAACAAAGAAAAAGAAAGGAAAAGAAAAAAAAAGAATCGAATGGATGTCAGCCAGCCAGCTGGCTATTGGATTGATGAAAGATATGTCTAGCAGACTATCTGAGAATGAAAGGACGTGTCCCGAGCATGGTTTACTACTTTACTCTCCCAACCAGCTGTTACACAGCACCAATGGCCACCTCACCCACCCATCTGCAGGGCGACCCTTCCCCTCCTATAAGCACGTACTGCTGAACTCTCCATGTTCCCTGCATCAAAGTTGCGGTTTGGTCGTGCATCACTACCAGCTTGGTCAGCTACTAGTAGTATAGCTTGGGTAAAGAACCCAAAGCATCTGTTCCAATACGTACAGAGGTATCACTTCTTGGTCTTCGGGGGGCGGGGGCATTGTGGGCACCGATCCAAGTCTGGCCCATTCTCTTTTGTTTTTCCATTGCAACCAGGTGGCCCGCACCTGAGAGATGATGTTACCCAATATTTGTTGCAACCGCGGCAATACTGCCTGATTTCTTTGCACATGGTGGGGATTTGTAATGTTCGAAAGAGGTACTAATAAATGTAGTGTATAAGGGGTCGTCGAAGATCGGATGGGTTAGGTTCGATGCACTCTATGATTGCTGAGATGGGTCGCTGTGATGAGATAGATAGAGAGAGAGGGGGGAGGTTGAGCCTCTCTGATGTCAGTCTTTATAGAGTAGTCATCACCACTCACATAACCACCATATAGCTTGTCCTGCCTGCGATGTAAGATCTTTTTACACTTAATATTGTGAGTCTGCCCTCGAGAGCAGCCTATTCTCGCTGTTACAAAGGTTCCAGGTTGTTCTTCCTCCGACTACAAACAAGAGCCCGAGACTGCGGAGGCAGCGCGGGTGGAGTATATACATACCATACATACATCCTATCACAATGACACAAATGTCTTGAGCGCCGTGCGGCCGGGAATGGCAGACAAGAAGTGGATTTACTGTGTAGATTAAGGGTTGAAATGGTTGAAAGTTGGAAAAAGTCAAACGGACAATGTACGCATACGGCGTAGTGTACTCTGTATGTAAACACTTCAGGTTCTAGGTAGGTAGGTTCCCCACGTCAATTTTACCCCTGTCACATCGGCAGCGGGCCAATATGGTCTTGGCATGCAAAGCCAATGGGAGCAGCCGAAGCCATTCCGAGTCTCGAACCTCTGCGTCTTGAAACCTCAGCGTCTCTCCCCTTGAATCCGCTCTGCTGCCCCAGGCCGTACAACACCGAGGGACGGCCCTGCGGCGTCACCGCGCTTGAAAAACAGTCTCGAAGCTGTGCTGCTCCTGCCAAATGGTTGGACTCGTGCCGCCCTCTGGAGAAAGTCGAAGAACGCGAAACAACCCGGCACCCAACCCATCCCGGCCAAGCGATTCGCTACCTATCCATAGTCAGATCCAGATCTGTGCAAGCCCCGCCCACAAGCGCCTTCTGCAGCCGCGGGAGCCCCGTCATCGCCAGGCCCATTCCATGTTCATGAGCGGCATCGCCCGTTGTTATTCCGGCCAGGGTCTCGGCGCCCTTTTTGATGACTTGGAGTTTCACCAAAGTTAATAAGTGGCACTAGCACGAGTCCACTAAACAATACTCTCTGCTGTGCACTCTGGGGTTCGCGCGCCTGGTGAAGCAGTTCTAGGCTGCCAGCATCGGCCGGCGCCAGGGCAACGCACCCACAACAACCTGGAAGTCAACAAGACCTTGACGCTTTTCGCGTGTCCAGCGCACGTGTCGGGCGCAGCCGCCGTCGCAAGAGGAGGTTCTGACGACCACTGGCTCTTGAATCTTGACATAACCTTACATATTGACAGGCGTTGCATTGCCTCCCCCTCCGTGCAATCGCGCCCTTAACGCGCCCGCCGTCTGCATTCGATTACGGCTGAGCGGCCCTCGGGCCTCGCTTCTCACCCTGAAGCTGTCCCTCGTTTGGACCATGGTCCCTCCCAAGATTCTGACCGACCCGACATCACGCCTCTTCATACCCCACTGACGAGGACTACCCATCGCTTCGATCTGCTTGTCTGCGTGAGCGCGCCGTTATGACAGAATTACAGACGCAACCGGCGGCTCTGTCGATCACGGCAAGCACGCGAGCCGACCAGCAGACCCCCCAGCCGATCGCCGTCCCACAACAACCAGCTGCCGCAGGGCCCAGAACTCGCCTGGCCTTGGACGCATTTTCGCCTGTCAACCAAAACGGCAGCTTCGAGTTTGACCGTGTCATCAAGAGCGGTTACGTGCAGAAGCGCACACAGAAGACAAAGGTAGAGCTTGCGCCTCGAACCCAGGCACCGGTTTAGGGATGCGCATTTCTGACTGGGGTGTTGCAGACATGGAGGTCCATCTACCTAGTACTACGGCCCAACACGCTATCTATCTACAAGTCGGACAAGGAGGAAAAGCTGCGGCGCAAAATCGACCTGTCGGAATTGACCGCTGTGACACTGCTGAAGGACCCGAAGAACAAACGGCCGAACGTATTTGGCCTATTTTCGCCATCGAAAAACTATCACTTCCAGGCACCAACGCTGAAGGATGCGCAGGAGTGGGTCGAGCTGATCCGGCAGGACGCGAGGATAGAGGAGGAGGAAGAGGAGATGTTCCTGGCAAGCCCAGTGGTCCGGCAACCCACCTTCCTGCAAAGCGGCGTGGACGCCGCCGAAATGAACCGCGTCGTGGGCTCGCCGGAGGGCTTTCTATCAAGCTCCCCCGAACCACCTGAAGCGCCGACGCGCGGCCTTGGCAAATCTTACGCTCGGCGGTCGTCACAGATCGATTCGTCCGGGCTTTCGGGTGCCGAGCTGGCAAGCCACTCGGACTTTTCCGACTCGGACGCGCACCGGATGCCCGGCGCGTCCTTCGAGACTCTGGCGGCTCGGCAACCGTCGACGTCGCCGGGACCGTCCAGGCCCTCATTAGGAGCCGCCAACGTCAACCGGGCCAGTGTGAGCCACCAGGAACCCGACCCGGATCGCGTTATCTGGCAGGGTTGGATGTGGTTTCACCGCAGCAAGGGGGGAGTACGGCAGTGGAAGAAATCTTGGGGCGTGCTGCGGCCAAGGAATTTCATTCTCTACAAGGACGAGGCCGAGTCGTCTGTGCTGTTCATCCTCTACATGTCGTCGATCGTCAACGTGGTCGAGACAGATCCGATGAGCCGAACCAAGAGACACTGCCTGCAAATCATTACGGACGAGAAGAGCTACCGGTTCTGCACGCATGACGAGGAAGCCCTAGTGCAATGCCTGGGCGCCTTCAAGAGCCTACTTGCGAAGCGTCGGGAATTAGAAGCCAGGGTGGGCACTACGAACGCGACTACGGCGGCGCCGGCGACCAACACGGCCGACGCCCGTCCCCTTCTCGCATAGCCAGAGGTCACTCCCGGGTCTTGGACATTTCATGCTTGCTGGTTGGAAGCCATGGGGGAGGCCTTCCTAGCCCAGACGCCTCTCACCAGTCACCAGTAGAGCATTTCTTTTTATTGCCGGCCTAGCACGTTGGCATAGGGGCGGTTGTACTCTGGCCTTTTCGACTTTATTTCTGATGACTGACGAAGAGTATATGATGAATAAGCCTGTAATTACAGTTTTTCAGCGCTGTTGAGACGCCAGTCTGACGGACGCGCATAATTGCATAATGGAAATGGTCGTCGAGCCGCTGGTTTCAGACGAAAAGTCTTCAGCTGGCATGGACACATCTTCACTCTTAACGAGATCTCATGCTTGTTCAACAGTGCCCTCGGTGTCATGACCACCTATCAGGAGCGGTACATACAAAGGCTGGGCAGGACACGTAAGGTATGTAGAATGACGTTATATCAAAGAGCAGGCTGGTGTTCTTAATGTGGATGGAGGTACCTATGCATCTATTGACCACAACAGGTCACCTGTCGAGTGTCCGCAGGGGCAACACAATAGTCCATGGGACCACACCTCAAGACCCCTTGGGTAACTTCTCTGCACCGATACCGAGGCTTGAGAACTGCATTGGCGGTACAGCGTCCGCGCTGTCACCTTGCGAGAATGATACTTCCCAGAGAGCAATTTGCACATCGTGCGCCCTGGAAGTCCAGGCGACCAATCTCCCGTGGAGACCTTGCAGCATCTGAAAGGCAACACGAGGGATGGACAAGGCAGAGTCACCATCTGAAGGCGACAGGGGTGGTTTCGCCGCTGTTGAGCAGACGGAGCGAGCCGAGGTTCGCGGCTGGTGATCCGCCCAGTTTTCCCAGCTTCCAACCCAAAGCAGGAAGAGAGGACACCAACAAACAAGCGTCTGGATGGTGACATTTCGTCGGGACGAATGACAGGATTTGCATAACGTTACTAGTAATAATAATGAACCATGACCAGGGCACGGCCAGGGTCCTTGCTTCCCCAGACCAGAAATGCCGGCCCCGGCTCCGTCATTCGCCTGCCGTTCATCAACTCCAATCCGCCCTGCTCCCAATCGCAGCGCGGAGCCGCATGTTTGGACGCTGGAAGGAAATCCGGGTTATCCCGAGTCTTTGTCGACGCTGAGGCCTCGATCTCGCCGAGCCACCAAGCAGGCAAAAGCAACCTGCGTCCTGTTTTGTCGTCCACGTGTTGTTGTGCTGTGGTTCTCGTACGATGGCAAGCTGAGATCATGGCCACGGAGACCCTCCTGCCCAGTCAGAATGGCGGGGACGGTTAGGTTGTATGAGCGGGGGTCGCCCGCCACTGCTGTAACCTTGCAGCGAAGGCGGGAAGGAGACCATGAAAAGTGGAAAACATGAGGTCAACCCTTTAGGTTATTCTTTTGGAAAGAATCGTCGACTGAGCGCCACCACTGGAACGCACAGGACGAGGTTGATTTCGTGTCATTCAAGTTGATGTCCGTCTTCTTGGCGGATTTGTAGTTGTTTCATGATTGCGGCGACGGCAGGCAGCCAACGAAGCCGAATATAAGAGTTACCGACTTGGATCTGCACATGGTATATACCTTACCTTACCTACCAACCTTACTTAGGTACCTACCTACCTACTTAGGTATACACGGAAATACCTACTGTGGTATATAGGTCACATACCCCCTTAGCTCGTCCAGCGCCTGACATCCGGCGAGTTGTCAATGTGACTTCGACTTCGACTTGTCTCGTTCACGTCCCATACATCTCATATCACCTCAAGCGGCGGATGCTTTCGTTGATTCTCTGTCCTTCGCTTCTTCGGACTATACATCCCTCCCTCTCTTCCATCTGGCCTTCGTTCATGAGATCCCCACCGCACGACGAGCTGAAGACCTGAGCCCCTTTCCGCTGTCTGCTTGCTCTTCCTGGTCACTGGTCTCACTGTCTGTTCCTTGCTCCGCCCAAGCAGCAAACGCATCAATTCTACCGCAGAGCTAGCTAGCTAGCCATGGCCCGCCTCCACCACCTCCTGGCCGTCCTCGGCCTCCTAACCCCCTTGATCCAGGCCGCGGACCCCGTCGCCTTGCCGCTGCGCTCCTCGAGCCGCTGGATCCTCGACGCCAACGACCAGCGCGTCAAGTTCCGCTGCGCCAACTGGGCCGGACACATGGAGACCAACATCCCCGAGGGCCTGCAGCACCAGTCCATCGACTCCATCGCCGACTGGATCGCCCAGCAAGGGTTCAACTGCGTGCGCCTGACCTACAGCATCGACCACGCGCTGAACCCGGCCGTGGCCGTGTCGGCGTCCTTCGCCGCCGCCGCGGGCGCCGCGGGCGTTGCGCTGACCGACATGACCGCGCTCTACGACCAGGTCGTGTCCCACAACCCGTGGATCACCAACGCGACCACCACGCGCGACGTCTTCGCCGCGGCCGTCGACAAGCTCTGGGCGCGGGGCGTCATGACGCTGCTGGACAACCACGTGTCGCGCGCCGGGTGGTGCTGCAACCTGACCGACGGCAACGGCTGGTGGGACTCGGCGTTTGGGTACAACCCGATAAACAGCCGGTACTTCCGCACGCAGGAGTGGCTCGCGGGCCTGCAGGCCATGGCGGCCTGGGCGCAGTCGCACCGCGGGGTGGTGGCCATGTCGCTGCGCAACGAGCTGCGTGCCTTCCTGCTGCAGGACCTCAACGGCCGCGACGACTGGTACCGCTACGTCACCGAGGCCGGCAACCTGGTGCACGCCACGCACCCGGACGTGCTGGTGGTCGTGGGCGGCGTGCAGAGCGCGACCGACCTGCTGCACGTACGCGACGGCGGCCGCATGTTGGACACGAGCGGCTGGCAGGGGAAGCACGTGTGGGAGATGCACGCGTACAGCTTCACCGTCACCTTTCCCGATCCCTTCAAGAGCTGCGATCTGGTCAAGACGCAGTACGGCCTGTTTGCCGGCTTCGTGCTGGAGCAGGGCAAGGCCTATACCGGCCCGCTGATCCTCAGCGAGTTTGGCGTCGGCATGCAGGGCGGCGAGTATGACGGCCTGAGCGAGCAGGACAACCGCTACCTGAGCTGTCTGGTGTCGTACATGCAGGGGAACGATGCCGACTGGGCCGTGTGGGCCGTTCAGGGGAGCTATTACGTCCGCGACGGGACGGTCGATTCTGATGAGTCGTGGGGCCTCTTGAACCACGACTGGTCCGGCTGGAGGAATCCGGCCTTTGCTGGAAAACTCGGGGATATGTGGAAGGTGATACAGCTGCCGTAAGGCGCTGGGCGTTGATGATGCTGTTCCGATTTGCCGTTACCGTTTTCAGTTCTGAACGTGTACCATACCTTATTTTGATACCCTCGGCTCATCTGGGCTCTGGCTCTGACAGCGACACGATAACCGGAATATTAATACCATTTTTTCTTCTTCTTCTTTTAGTTCTGATCCTTGGAATGAGTCCTCAAGACCTTCTAACGCCTCCAAAGCCAACTGGAAGCCCTGAGCTGCGTATCTCTGCCTACGCATCCCAAAACTCTTTGTCCCATAGTCGTTGATCAACGCCACGGTGTTCCCCCCATCACCCATTAAGACTGAAAAATGTGTCGTCGAGATCTCCTGCCCCGCCATTGCTGTCGGCCGTGGCAAAGTACATATCGTTGAAGTTGCTGTTATCCCCGCTTCCGAAGCCGTAGTCATGGTTGAGATTCTCCATGTCGCCTGAGCCCAGACTGAAGAGCCCGTCGATCTTAGCATCCACGCTGGACATGTCAGCCACGTCCGCCGGGCCCCTTGCGAGTGGCTCCATGCTGAGCCCTGGCAGCTCTCCGGCCCCGAGATTGGCAGCACCGGCCCCTGGGGGTTGCGGTTGTTGCGCTGGTGGGTTCGCCGGCGGTTGCGTCCCTTGCTTTGGCGTTGGCAGGTCTCTCGGAGGAGGTGCTGGTGAAAATGTCATGTCTGTGAACAGCTTCTCGTTTCCAGCCGCCGGTGGGGCCGATGACCGAGCTGCTGGCCCCGGAGCATTGATCGTGGTCTTCGTCGTGGCCGGTGCTGGCCTACTCGGCACGGTAGTCGGGGACCCTTTGATTGGGGCCGAAGGGTTGAGGGTGGGTTGAGGTGCTGTTGCCGCCACTCCCGGCCTCGGCACTTGGGGTGCCGGGACTTTGGTCTCCTTCTTCAGCGGAGCGGTCGAGGCCCGGCCGGCCGCCACGCCGCCGACCGCTCCAGCCGGCCTGCCATGGCCCTTGACATCTCTCGGTTTGGCAGCCATCTTTGGGGAAGGCGTCGGCGCCATCTGGCGCGATGCACTATCAAATCCCATGTTGGGGAATGGGGCAACCGGCTTGTTGGCCTGATTGACCGGTGGAGTCGGACCTGGCAAACCAGTCAAGGGCTCAGGCTTCGCAGTCAGCTTGGGAGACGTCAAGTCGATAGACATCGGCGCCGGAGGGGCAACCGGCTTGGGCTCTGGCGGGGGCGGGTTGCGCTGCGCCCTAATCTGGTTGAGGTCCCGCAGGAGAACCGATTTGGCCCGAAGCTTTGCGATGTTATTTAGCCTCTGTTGGTTCGACTCTACTCTAGCGGGAACTTACGATATCGGCTTCCAGATCATCCAAAACAGAGTTGAACCTTTCCACCGCCGCGGGGATCCGCTCGTTAATCGCCACAGACACCTCGGCCGGATTGGCCTTACCATCTCGTTTGGCGGCCTTGAACGCCTTGCCTGTTGTGACGATCTGGAGCCCGTCAGTCAGACCGCATATTTGTGACATGGAGCTTTCCGTGGTTGTGTTTGTTTGCTTACCACCTCGTTAACAATTTGCGGCAGCAAGTCGAGCGGCAGCGGCGGCCGTCGAGCCGCCATCTTCAACACCGTCCTATTAGGAGAAGTTGAGGGAGGGCGGGTTCTAGCAAACGGAGGCCGATAGTTGCGTGTGGGTGGTAGTTATTCCACTGAGTATGAAAGCACGCGAACCGTTGCGTAAGATTTGGAACCTCTGTTGGCCTGGAAGTGCGATGTCAAACGCTGTGAATCAAAATAAGAGAGTCTCTCATATGCGTTGGCCGAGAATTAGAAGGCTCAAGCGAAATAGATTTCAAGCCGGCAACCCTTCAGGTTCGCCCGGGGAGGAATCGCTTGTTCAAGTTCTGGGAGTCAAAGATTATTGTCCGAAGGCGTGGTGCCGCTGATTGTGCAGGGTTCGAGTCACCTAAATCGTGTTGATACACGAGCTGAGAGTTGCGCTCTTCTCCTTGCCTCACGTTTGTCGGTCAACAAACCATAAGGGATCGGACGACCCATGGGGTTGACGTAGTGTAAGATCCTGGCTCTAACCGTTTCCGGTTAGGTCACAGATCGACCCCGCCTTCAGGTGAAGTTGGAAGTCCCACAGTGCGGCGGACTCACTCAGCTCCTGATCCCAGTTCTCATCACTACAGGTATACTAAGGTTCGTTCATATCAGAGACACCCGCCGGTGTACCTACTGCCTAGCTGCGTATGTCTCCGCCATGCGCACCAAGTAAAAGTGATTAGAGTTGACTTCCAAATCAACTAAGTAAGTATGTACGTATACAAGCAATAAGAGAGACAGCGTACTTGGACGGCAGCGCAATTAAGTGTTGAAGGTCTCACTTCAACGAGTCGGTACTGGACTTAGAAGGGACGGGCAGTACGGGTACCTAGGATCTAGTGATTTGCCAACATGTAGTGTCCCGTCGGCGGTGCCAGAATTCAAAGAGCAGCACACGTACGGGCAGAATTGGCCTGATCTCTCTATGCCCGGTTAGACTCCAAAATGCTCAGGTTCCTCCCTCCATGTACTTGTACTTCCAATCTCTTGCGCAGGGCGGTTCCATGGGGGGACGCCGCCGCTATGACCACCCTGGACCGTCCTCACGTCCCAGCGGTGCTCCAGTTGAATGCTTGCCAATCCCAGGACAATGGCACGATCAAAAATCGTTCCCCTCTTTGTTCACGCCTGCAGCACCCTTCCTCTTGCAGCTTTCCCCCCTTGCTCTCTTACCACCACCACCTACCTCTACTAGGGAGTTCCGTCAAGCATCCTCCTGGATCGGCCGGTGCTGTTGTGATTTTGGGGGCTCTCCTCCTCTAACGGCCGGGTCTTTTCGCTCTTCTTTTGTCGTTTTCTCCAGCTCCATCTCCTTATCTTCGTTCTGGTGTATCTACCTACCTAGTTTTGCCGCCCATCTCCTCAAGTCCAGACTTACACTGCCGTGCCTTTCTATTGCACGCCGCTGTTTCTGTCTTCGCTTCGCTGTCCGTCTCCTACCCGTCGGTCACCCCGTTTTGCAGCGACACTGCGGCTCCGCTCGTGGGACCGTATCGCAGAAGAACAGCCAGGTTGGATTGCCGCTGTCTTTTGCCTTCTTGCCTCGTTGTTTCGGTCAACAAGCGCTGCGTCGTTCGCATTCTCTCTGCGACACAAGCCGAGCGCTTGCATTCTTCTGCGGAGCAGTCTCCTCAGTGGGGTTTTTGCGCTGCCAAGACAGGCCCTGCACAGCTGTCCCATTCGCCGTCGTCTTTTTACTCTTTCCTCGAACAACTCTAGCAACTCGTACCAATCCTCGCTGCGAAGATGGCTGACAACGGTCCTCCGACGACCTCTGGTCAACTGCCCCCGCCGCCCCAGCCCAATGCGGGCGCTCCCGGTTACGAGAACGGGCAGAATGCCGGGTCGAACCCCGCTCATATGCCGCCGCCGCCCTTGCACATACCCCAGAACACGAACCCGATCCCGACTGCGATAACGTCGCCGATGGGCCCGGGCGGCGACAAGAGCGGCATCATTTCGCCTGGCAGCGCCGGCCCCTTTGGGCGCCGCGCTGCCCCGGAGCCGAACAAGCGCGCTCTCTATGTGGGAGGCTTGGATCCTCGCGTCACCGAAGACGTCCTGCGCCAGATCTTTGAGACTACCGGCCATGTCCAGAGCGTGAAGATCATCCCCGACAAGAATGTAAGTGGTGCTGAGGGGGTTTGTGACTTTATGTCTACTTCCCCTCCTGCTTTGTTCCTTCTTCCGCGCCCCACTTGCTGACTAGATTGTGGTATCTTAGGCCAAGGGCTACAATTACGGCTTCGTTGAGTACGACGACCCGGGCGCTGCTGAACGCGCCATGCAGACTTTGAACGGCCGTCGTGTCCACCAGTCGGTATGTTTGGCCTCTCCGTGTGAGGGATGGAAAACAATGGACCCCGGCTAATAGGCGCTCTTTAGGAAATCAGGGTCAATTGGGCCTACCAGTCCAACAACTCCAACAAGGAAGACACATCAAATCACTTCCACATCTTCGTCGGCGACCTTTCTAATGAAGTCAATGACGAGGTCCTGCTCCAGGCGTTCTCGGCCTTTGGTTCCGTCTCCGAGGCGCGTGTGATGTGGGACATGAAGACTGGTCGCTCTCGCGGCTACGGTTTCGTTGCCTTCCGCGAGCGCCCTGATGCCGAGAAGGCGTTGAGCTCCATGGATGGCGAGTGGCTCGGTTCCCGTGCCATCCGTTGCAACTGGGCCAACCAGAAGGGCCAGCCGTCTATTGCACAGCAGCAGGCCATGCAGCAGATGGGCATGACTCCGACTACGCCGTACGGTCACCACCACTTTCCGACTCATGGCGTCCATAGTTACGACATGATCGTCAACCAAACTCCGGCGTGGCAGACGACCTGCTACGTCGGTAATCTGACACCTTACACGACGCAGAATGACATTGTTCCTCTGTTCCAGAACTTTGGCTTTGTCGTCGAATCGCGCTTCCAGGCAGACCGCGGCTTTGCATTTGTCAAGATGGATACCCACGAGAATGCTGCCATGGCTATCTGTCAGCTCAACGGCTACAATGTTAACGGCCGTCCTCTGAAGTGCAGCGTACGTGTTCCCTTTGCCCATAGTTTTACAGCCTTAGTCCAGGACTGACCAAGAGCAGTGGGGCAAGGACAAGACACCGAGCCACCATGCTGCCCCGTTCGACCCCAACCAGCAGTACAGCCCCCAGAGCGCACAAGCTCCTGGTTATCCCGGAACGCCCTCGACTTATTTCAGTCAGTATGGTGGTAGGTATCCTGGCAAATCGACTGCCCCGAACTCGGTTGTTAACGCTCCCGTAGGTTCTTACGGTCCGGGCCAGCAACCGGGTTACGGTGGCCCCCAGGCTCAGTCGCCCGCCGGCTACGGTGCCCAACCGATGGGCTACAGCGGCCCGCCAAGTGCCGGCGGTTACGGCCGGAGCCCGCAAGCCAACGCGCAGTGGAACCAGCCTCCTCCGGCTCAGAATTTCAACAACGGCTTTACTGGTTACCAGGGTTAGCGGTCCCGGTCCCGCCGTAGTTGAATAGCGGTCTCGAGGAATAGCCCACTACCCCACGCTTTCTACCCTCGGTTCTGGCGGGAAGGCCCGATATCTACGTCTTTCCGCGTTCAGGTTCAAAAGTTGCTGGGGCGTTGCGATTTCAATCAAGCCTCGAAGCGTCTTCTTTTCATGATATGAGGGGCCTTTTCGGGCAGTCACTTAAATTGATTTTCGGGAAAAACTGGTCGGGGAACTTGGGAGCCTTCTTTCCTTCTTCCATTCGATGTATTACGTCCTCCCCACAGCGAAATGCGTTTCTCGTTGTCATGGTTGTCTCGTGGTTGGCAGCGATCCGTCGTCACGAGCATGATTCGAATTCAGTTGCTACCTTGTTCTCGCTCTCTGTTCTGCTCCAACTCTCGAGTGCTTCAATGCTCTGTGCTTCTTCTTTTCTTCTTCGCCGCGCTGGATACCATTTGGTCGAATCATGGCAATTTCTTTTACCCTTTGGCCGGTGGCTTTCCTTGAGCTGAACGAGGTCATGATTTCTGATGTCATATATCTGGCTAGGGTCTGCGTTTCACCGGAGGAAAAGCCGGCTTGATCTTTATCTTTGTCAATATTGAGGTGATAGGCCGGGGTCAAAGGACCGTTTTTCACGCGAGTAAGCCAAACACCGTCAACGTTCACCAACCATGTTAAAGTGGGTTATCATCGCAAAATGACGAACAGCTGAACCCGAATCAAGGTGTCTAGTCGTCTTCCAGGGCAGGATACGGCGCGGAGACGAGATGTCGCTGGGCAAGTATCCGGGGTATTCCGGGTGGGAACCGTTCGGGTCGGGAGAGGATTGACCGGGAATCAAAATGGCTGTTTTGGACATGGAAGTATTGGGTCTTTGCTATTTCTCTCCGTGATTGAACTATTCCTTTGTGGGTGTCAAACATTAACGCACCCCTTGAGGTCCAAAGGTTACATGCCACTTGTTGAGGCCCTTAGCTGGGCTTTGCCCATTCCTGATCTTACACTGGTGAGGCTGGCTAGCACAACCTATGCTGCGAACATCCTCGCCGATGCCTTAGATACCGGTATGACTGAATACCTAGGCAACTGGTTGCAATACCTGATACATGTCCTACCCAATAATTATGTACGGGTATGTTGATTGGCTCAGGGGATGTGGCTACCAGCCCAGCCAGAAGACAAGAATGGTGCGGCGGGTTTGACCGTTGATTGCCCATGTCCTATGACAGGGTCCGCCTTGTATAAACCGGCCGAGGAACAATCCAATATGTTTCTTTCCTTTCTATGTATTCCACAAAGCGAACCTACGGTAGGCAAGCGTGGCAAGCTACCTTTCGTATTGCGAGGTGGATCAAGATACCGTAATAATAGTTTAGTAATAACACGCTGTGGGCGAAAAACGCTCCTTTTACGTTCTCTGTCTAGGTCACGGTAGTTGCAGTACACTAGACAGGTCCTCCCTCCGGGAGACGTGCCAGGGCTGACGGGACCTCCCCGTCCATATGGAAGGGAGCGCGGCAAAGGAAGGGAGCCGAGGGCTGAGGACCGGGAACCGAGGTGGGTGTTCTCATTGTTCAACTCAACTTTCACACGCACTTGGCAGCTTCCATCCGGGTCGCCTAAAACCGAGCGTCGCGCGGAAGGAGACCCTTGGCAGCTCGGGACATCATACCGGAAGTCTGCCATGTTTCGTCTAGAGTCAACTTGAGTCTGTCTTCATTGTTCCGCTGGGATTTTCTGCTGGATCGAGGCAGTTGCCTAACTCATTGGAACTCATGTGTTGCCGTCGAGGCTTCCGTTTTCTGACCGGTCAGCCGCGCTTCGCCTGGGCGCCCCTACCGCCTTCACTTCACCGCCTAGGTAGGACCGGCAAATTAAAGTTACCTCCCCGCCAAATCCCACTTCTAGGTACCTCGGTACTCATCCTCCACCACCTCTCCCTCTCTACATCTTTCGCAAGGGCAATATGTTGCGCGAGGGTGCTGGGGCAGGCTTTCGCCCGCATTGTCTTCATCTACGATCTCCAGGATTTTTATACCCTGCTTGGCGGCCTAGTCCTCACTGCCGGCATGACCAATGCCAATTGCTAGGCCATGGTCGACATCATTGCCGACATCTTGCCCCCGGGCCCCTTCTTCCTTAAGCGAGACGGACGTTGCGTCGTGACAAAATGAGAAAATCTAGGCAAAGACATTGGTCGGTGGATTGGTTTCGAGGCTGCACGTATCTTCCCTCTTATGTTCGAGCAGCAAAAAGAGGACGCAGGGTTGGGGTGAGCAAATTACCACGCTACCGTCTCGGCGCTCTTATGGGACGATTAATCCGGTACGGAATACAAAATGCCCTGCTCCTCCGAAGCGATATATACACGCTATTCGACGTCTACGCCTTCTCTATTAACCCCGACGCATGTTCTATCTACTACAAAACGTTAAATGTTATCTACTATAAATCTTGGATGGTTATAAGATCATCTGTATCAGCCAGACAGCAAGCCTATCGCAGGGACTTCCCTAGATGCTCGTCTTGTAATAAATGACCCACGGCGTCCTTTGGAACGCTTCTCCGATGGCATTTCCGACAAGCTGTCCCCACAAACATGAAGAGAGTTGGAGAGCTTATTTCGAGCGCGACTTCCCACCTGGTTCAGATATCATGGGAGATATCCGGAGGGGGCCTAAGGCTGCTGAGAGAATGGAGTTTGAGCTGTTGACCGGCTTGCCTGTCATATAAATTTATACCCTGAGGAGAAGCAGGTGGCTGTAGATACTAGTAGTACTGACCGCGACAAGGATGAGGCGGACAAGGGTTAGACACTGCAAGTCGAACAAGCTGTTTAAATTCTCCGAAAGTAGAGGCCTGCATGACTACTGTGGTAAGAATGCCATTGACAAGTACGAAGTACGTCGAATCCTGACGCGGACACTCAAGCATAACAACAAGCGCCCTTCTACCCCTGCTCAGACCTTTTGGCTGGCCAGCTCGGTGGGGCCTGGCCAACCCGCCTCCTGCTTGGCTGAGCGGGTCCCCTCCGCACCCAGATCGAGAGAGCCCAACCTAGGACCCCAAACTCGTTCACCCGCCTTGCTGCGACACATCATAACACAACCACATCACACCGCGCACACTTCGCTGCGTGCCGACAGCAGCAACAATGGAGCAATGGCAGGTGTACAATGAGCCTGCCGGCGCCGGCGGCCAGCGGCGATACAACGGAAATAGCCAGGTGTCGCCGCGAGAGTTTGGCAGCAGCGGCCAGCCCCACGCAGCGCAACAGCCCCCGGCCGGCTTCAAATACGACAACTACCAGGGCGGCCTCAACCCGCACCAGGCGTCACCGTCGGCAACATCGCCCTTGGCAAGCCCCCATATTCGCGATGGAAACGGCGACGTCCCAATGCCGGACTCACACGATTCCTACATGAGCCAAAACCCCAATAGCGCGACGTACCCGCTGAGGCCCCATCATCAGCATCACCTTTCGGGCAGCCGAACGGCCAATCTCCAGCAGGAGCCTTCCGCTGCCGCCCAGCGGTACTCACCCATGGAGGTAATGTCTCCGACCTCGCCCTACGGCCCCAAGTCCGCCGGCGCAAGCCACTTCTCGCAGCAGCCGGCCCAGCGACAGTCGCCCACCCGGCCATCGGACTACGCCCCGCAACAAGTTGCTTACTACAGCAGCCGACAACCGGCTGCCCAACTCCCGCTCCAGAACCCATATGCGCCGAAGCAGGACTCGTATTCGCCCTCGGCTCTGAGTGCTCTGGATGGCTCCTATGTTGATCCCAAGTCGCCCAAGCGCGCGCCGCCGCAGTCAACCATGCAGCCGAACGACAAAGGACCGGTGCCCGAGTTTAAGAGGATACGGGCGCAGACAGACCTCAAGCCCAAGGTCAACGACCAGCCTGCGTTTAGGCGAGCCAACCCCGAAGGTGGCTTCATCAGCGTGAGTTGATGCGTGGCAGATTAGAGCGATTGGTGTACCTCAAGCCAGCTGCTAACCCACGCCACAGCCTCTGCAAGCCCTCACTGTGCAACTTCCGGCCACATACCGGATTTGCAACCCAAACTTTAAATACGAATCGTCGCGCAACCCTCGCCGTGTCTTAACCAAGCCGAGCAAAGGAGTAAAAAACGATGGCTACGATAATGAGGACAGCGACTACATCCTCTATGTCAATGATATCCTTGGGTCTGAAGAGGCTGGGCATAAGTACGGCCCATCTCACATACTGCGGCAGGCGACACCGGTAGCTAACTGACTGTCCAGGAACCGGTATCTGATCCTGGACGTCCTCGGCCAAGGCACCTTCGGCCAGGTCGTAAAGTGTCAAAATCTGAAAACTCAAGAAGTTGTTGCGGTCAAGGTGATCAAGAACCGCACCGCTTACTTCAATCAAAGCATGATGGAAGTGTCGGTACTTGACCTGGTATGTTAGGTTGCTGGGCGCTGTTGTGCCTCTCCGCAAGTCGTGAGCGCTAACCAAGCCTCCAGCTCAACACAAAGCTGGACAAGAACGATGACCACCACCTGCTACGGCTTAAAGACACGTTCATTCACAGGCAGCACCTGTGCTTGGTCTTTGAGCTGCTGAGTGTGAACCTGTACGAGCTGATCAAGCAGAACCAGTTCCGCGGTCTGAGCACTACCCTTGTCCGCGTCTTCGCCCAGCAGCTTCTTAACGGTCTAGCGCTGCTAAACAAGGCACGCCTGATCCACTGCGATCTCAAGCCGGAGAATATCCTGCTCAAGAACCTCGAGAGTCCGATAATCAAGATCATCGATTTCGGATCTGCATGCGATGAACGGCAAACTGTCTACACATACATCCAGTCCAGGTTCTACCGATCCCCCGAGGTCCTGCTTGGTCTGCCCTACTCTTCCGCCATCGACATGTGGTCACTGGGGTGCATTGTGGTCGAATTGTTCCTTGGTCTCCCCTTATTCCCTGGTTCGTCCGAGTACAACCAGGTGGCCAGAATCGTCGAGATGCTTGGTAACCCTCCCAATTGGATGATCGAGATGGGCAAGCAGGCTGGAGAGTTCTTCGAGAAGCGGCAGGACGAATTCGGCAGGCGAACATACCACTTGAAGAGCATGGAGCAGTACTCACGCGAACGTGGTGTGAAAGAGCAGCCGAGCAAGAAGTATTTCCAGCAGAATACATTGCCGGAGATCATCAAGGCATACCCGATGCCGCGGAAGAACATGAAGCAGTCAGAGATCGATAGAGGTTCGTTTGTGCTCGACGCCCCGACGATCTGGGCAAACCAAAGCTGACGATGAGTTTCAGAAATGAACAACCGTATCGCGTTCATCGATTTTGTCAGGGGTCTGCTGACTATCAACCCCCTCGAGAGATGGTCACCGCAGCAGGCGAAGCTGCACCCGTTCATTACCCAGCAGAAGTTCACGGGCCAGTTTGTACCACCCATGAATCTCAGATCGAGCGCGCTAAATCGATCGCCAGCGCCCGGTACGCAGCAACAAATACAGGCGGAAGCGCTGAGCAAACAGCGAGCGCAAGCTGCCCAGGCTCAAGCCCAGGCAAGCACAGCGGCGCAAGGAGGTTTTGGGTCGATGGTTGGCGGACAGTATCCGCAGCAGGCCCATTCCCAACAAGCGCCGCTCTACGGGAATAACAACATGTACTCTCCCGGCGCCGCGCACCAGGGAGCCCCGCCTCCGTACAGTGGTCAGCAGGGCGGATACACCCACAGCCAGATGGGCATGGCGCAAGGACCAGTGCAGATGCCGCCGGCGAACTATTCGCAGTCGGGCATGTATGCGCAGCAGAGCCGGCCAAGGCAGCGCGCTTCAACAATGGAGCAGCAGCAGAGCGGGATCCCGGCGGCCATCCAGAGAGTGGCCAGCCATCTCGACCCGACGCAACCCATTCGGCTGCAGCCCAGTCCCGCGTACTACCCACCACCGCCTGAGGGCCTGGCGGGGATGGACCACCACACGCCTGGCAGGGCGGTGCGGAGAGAGAGTCGAGCGCAGCAACAGGGACGGGGCAACCGTGACTTTATTCGCAACTTGGAAGCGCGAACGCTGGAGGAAGGGTTCATGGGCAGCGGCCAGACTCAGTGGCACTGACAAGTGGGAGGCGGCGAGCTGCTGGCAGTTTGGATATTGGTACACCGCGCAGGGGGAAATGCTCTCCTCTGTCTGTTACTAGGGCTGCTATTCTCATCTCGGCGTTCAAACCTTGCCCCCTCCATGCTGGCGTTAAGACTGCTGCTTATCATGTCTTCCTTGCCAAGCCATGCATTCTTCCAAGTTCGCTTGGGTGGAGGAGGCGCCGACATGGCTGACTAATCTGCGCCGGTCAAACCGGCTGCCAGGCGTGAGATGTCGAGGATGCATTCTTGTTCTTCTCAAGCAAGTAACTGGCAAATCCCGAGTCAGGACATCAATACACTGCGGTGCGAAACAAAGATTAGCAGGGCAGCCGACCACAACAAAGCGCGGGGCCTCTCTCCCCACCCGTGGCATTGAGGCACTATGCCCAACACCTACAAAAGCCGGAGTTAGTCAGCGCAAGGCACGGTGATAGCCCACCCGACCCTTCATGGAACAGGGACCAGGACGGGGGGAGTATAAGGGTGATGCGCCGCAGCGAGTGCCAACCTGGACTTACCAGACGCCTACTACATGGGAAGATCACTCCCAGCTGCAACGCGACGGCACAGGCGCCCGCCCGGAGCCCAAGGCAATAATAAGCTATGGTAGGCAAAGGCAAATTCGCCCGTTGCGACGGCGTTCCCACCGGAAACTACCTACCTAGGTAACGGAGAGGAGGGAGGCAAAACAATTGGTACCTGGCCGCAGAGTGACCGACGCCAGCGCGGTAGAGTGGAGGACGCGCACAAGTCTGACAGACGGGCAAAAACTTGGCGGGCGGACCGTGTCTGTCTTGTCCTCGGCACTGAAGGAGGGGCAGACGAAAATGGCGGTCGCCTTGCGAGGATCTTAGCGTTTTCCCTGTTGTATATTTCTCTCTCTCTCTCTCTCTCTCTCATTTTTTTTGTTGTTGTTGTTGTTGTTGTTGTTGTTGTTGCTGTTGTTGTTCATGGGTTTCTCATTCTCATGTCTTCATGTTCACTACGACTTTTGACTTTGACTAGGGCAGAGGGTGGCAGATTGTCCATTCATCATTGAGCGTCAACTTCGTTCCTTTCCCTTTTCTTCTCTTCCGTGACGAGCGATGACTGCGTGGATGTGAAGATCTCCGGAGGAGGGCTGGGGGGAAGTGGTGGACTCGGGGGTGGCTGGGTTTTGCGTGTTGCTTCTGCTACCTCGTGCTGTTGTTGCGTTGTTGGCCGCTGTTTGTGTCTGGGTAGAAGAGTACGCAGAACGAGGTCATAAGAACATGGATTTCTCTCGAGCATTAGGACTGACTATCCCGTTGGGCAAGTTGCTAGAGCTTTCTAAAGTGGAGGAGTCAGGTTGGTTGATGTTCCTGTCCCGGCCTGATTTATTTCGCCCAGGTTACCATGAATCCTGAAACGCCAACATACACCCTGCTCAATAACCGACGAAATGACGGTGCCCTTTACGCCCCCAGAACCAGAAGGAAAGTGTCCCACAGACATGCACTGGATTCTATGGAGCAATAATTCATGACAGAAGGTTGATGGTGTCCAGGGTCTCTCTGAAGACGAAGCAGCCTGCGAAAAGGACTTTGTTCACCTCCCGCCGAAACCCCTAGCTCCTCGACTGAAGCCCCGTCCCCAGCGGTTCCTCTTGACCAGACTATCGCTGTAGAGACCGCTGCTACTAACCCCCGCCGCTGGCCCGGTCGGCGGTAGCCTCCCCGCGGCGGGGTCCGTGTCCATCGGGTCGTCAAAGCCATACGACCCATCCACGACCATGTCGTTATCAGAGGTGGGCTGGGCGGGTAGCTTGGCGGCTGGCGTGTTGCCGACCTTGGGATAGACGCTTAGGACACGGCCGTCGGCCTGTGAAATAAAAGGGGTTAGTATAGGAATTCGGCGCTGGGGGTTGTCGTGGGGTTCGAAAACGAGGAGGCGACATACTGTTTGGTTGTTGAAAGTGGCAATGACATTGTCGGCGCCCTCCTTGCTCTCAAAGACTATCTCAGCGATCACGATCGGGTGTGTTTTGACTATGCGGCAGCTGGTGATGATACCGCCCACGGGGGTCATGGCACTCTCGATATCGGCGGCCGTGGTGCCGGGCGCAAAGTTCTGTGCCATCACCACGAAGGGGCCGGCCAGACCCCTGATCGTGATGCCCCTGTTAAATGCCGCTGCCGTCGTCATCGCCTTCGGCGCCGTCGGGATCGCGGCATTGGTGAAAGAGGTCTGCTGTTGCGGCTGCGGCTGCTGAGGGTGCCCTTGACGCTCTGATCGCAACTCTGACCTTATCAGGGCCTCTGCTACCTGTGCCGCACGTCGTTGCCTCGGCTTCCGCCTTTGGGAGGCGGGCCCCGTAGGTGGTGCATTCGCGTCGGTGATGCGCGCGGCGAGGGAACCGGCTCCGCTACCGCTCGTCCTGGCACCTCGCGATTGTGTGTCGTGCAGATCGTGGGTCCATTCGCCGTCGATGTCACCTGTGTTGTGGCGAGCGCCCTTGTCAGGCACGGGTCGCTGCTGTTCAGTCTGGGTCAGCAGGCAATCGCGAGAGGGATGCGCTTGACTGTGGGACATGAAGTCAAACCTTCTTCACGCCGGCGCGACTGGCGAGGCTGCCAGCGGCGGCAGGCGCAGGCTTGGAGACGGGGGTGCTTGCGCGTTGATTTTTGCCAAAGATCTTGGCCGCAAGGGCTTCATTCTTCTTCCGATCGCGAGCTGTGCAGAGGTTGGTTTCCGATCGGGATCCGGGTGTAAATTAGGTAGGTGAGCGCGCAGCTACATACCTTCTTGGATGATCCTTTCGAAGTCGGCAGCGACTTTGCCGCTGCTATCGCCGTTGGATACCATGTTGTCGGGAGAGCTAGGTTTCTCAAATGATGTGTTGATCGAAGTGAAGCGCAAGGGTTTTTCGCGGGTATACAATGCCCTGTGGCTGTAGTGATTCAAAACATGTTGGTCAGCTGGAAGTCTCACAGCCAAAGAAGCTGTGTTCTTGGTACGCGCCAGCGAGGTTTTGCCGCGCCAGATCCCTTACACTGCTTACACCGAATTGACGCTAACGTTATAAGTTAAAGCATGCGCCAAGCAAGTTCGGAAGCTTGGCAGTGGATCTGGGACGTCGCACAGCGCACAGACAATATCTCAACTTGGCGTTCTTTTACACAACTTCCCATCTCGAGCCCGCTCAGCTCATCCCATCAAGAGCAGGGGATACAGGTCCTTATAAGGCGATATAAAACATTGAGTCTTGTCTGCCGCCGTGCTCAACATCAGTCAAGCATCCCAACCACCCGCCATAAAGATCAAAAAAACTTCGGCTCCTGTCTTGGGGTTGAAGTGCTGTACAACCACGATAACGGATAGTATCAAGTCTCTTGGGGCAGGTCAGATCCAAGTCGGACGTCCACCCTTTGAGGAAGTGGCGGACTGCTATAAACTCTTCCCAATCGGGAAGGGTTGTTTTGAGGGCGCCCGCACCTTCCCGAGCTGCTTATCGGTAACCTGGAACTCGGTGTACACGGCCGGCACCTTCCACCTCATTGCAGGTGCCCTCTCCCGTCTTCGTGTCCTGATCACGCCTACCTTAATTACGTGGCTTGAGATACCTATGAAAAGAATGGATCTATCAACCTTCTCCTCTCTTCCCTGGTTGATGAACAACTTGTTGGAGCCGTCCCCCAGTATCGTGTTACCGTCTTGCTGGGAAGCCGACTTGGCCTCGCATTGTCATCATTAGTTCCAACAACTTTGTTTTTCTTTCCCATTGGAGCTCATTACTAGGCTTCCTTTCCCGGGGCCCATCCATTGAGTCGCAGGGATGCCGAGACCCATGGAGATTGATATCGTGCCCGAGCACGCGAGCATCAGGACGGCTCGCTCCCGGATGTCGATCACCGCGACCATCCGCCGGAAGACGTCTCGTCTCTTTGGGAACGATGTCACGGACGCGGCAGACAATAGGTCCCAGTCCATCCGGGGCCCTCCGTTGAGGACCAAACGCAGCTGGTTCAACTCAGTCGGTGTTCGCTTTGCCCGACAGGACGGTTTCGCCCTCGACGTGCAGGAGAGCTCTCAAGATGCTCAGGTCGCGTTGCGGGAGAAGGCTCGCACGACCGACACCTCCTCGCCTTCGTCAGATGACTCTCACGCTCGGTCGTCCACAGGACGTCGGCTTTTCAGCGGGCTGCAAACCCTCCCCGCCAAGTTCCGCCGAGGAGGCGCAGCCTTGTTGGGCCGGTCGTCGTCATCAAGTCTCAGTGACGAGGGCAGGGAGAACATGCCGATGCTGACCGTCTCCCCTGCACGGCTCCCAGACACGGGAAGTTTGAGTTCCTTCCGAATTGGGGTTCAGAAAGCTGTTCGGGGTAAGTCTTGAGTCGGATGTATTTCCGCCATCGTTTGGTACTAAGAAGGAGATCCAGAAATTGTCGATGACAACTTCCGTTTCTCCGATGACGATGGCATGCGCAGTGAGTTGGTAAAACTTGTCGATGGGACAGCCAGGCTGACGTATCCTCAGGCGTATCCCCGACGAGGCCGCCTCCTCGAGTGCCTCTCCGGACCCTCTGGACGATCATGTCTGCTGATTCATCCGAGTCAGTAGCTCCCTTTGGCGTTGCCCTCGCATTCAAACATCCCAAGAACTAACAAGGCTCGCTCTCGCAGAGGCCAAGGTGGCTCGGGCGTGTCGACATACGAGGTGCTACCCAAGTCCCCGCCAAAGTCCTGGTCTCATCCAAACTGGCCGCCCTCGTATCAAGATCTCATCATGAGGTCTTCAACTAGTGATGGGGAGACGACAGATACAATCTTGACAGAGTCTGAACCGTGCTCCCCAACCTCGCCGACCTCGCCGACCTCACCTACCTCGACCATTCTGTGTCCAGCCGGTCAGCATCCAAGTGACGGTAACGAAAGCCCTTGTGAAAGCCTCCAGGAGGAGGAAAGCATGTCGCCGGTACTTCCGGAGGTGCTGCGAAAAGTGCTAGTGCTTCAGGAGGTACAGAACACGCCTGCGTCGCGGACCGAAATGAGTGACTCGACGTCGGAGCCAGTGAATCAGCTACAAAAGGAGGATATCAGGCCAATTGCGAGGGGCATGGAGCCGGTCCCGCTGCTTTGAGGACAGTGATGACATGACGTTTGGGATGAACCGTTGCGGAGTCTGGGTTTGGGAGTAGAAGAACCACATACTATATCCAGCATCCATAGGAATTCGGGCCTGTGTCCGAGTGTTCACACAGCATCGTCCCGTACATACAAGACGTACTTTTGCTGAGCCTGCGTGGTTTGGTCGAAAGAAGTCAGATAGAGATATGGAAAAGTCCTACACGCACGATCCGTATCGATCCATGTTGGGTGACTGTGACTGTTGCCTCGCGGATCGGTACTGTTACAAGAGAGCACAACAAAAGCTCCCATAGTATTGTACTGTACATTCATCACATGAGTAGAGTAAATATATGTGCATGGTATTTGTATTTGTACAAGCCATCTTTGCTGATTCAATTAGATTCAGCGCATCAGACCCCGCCGCGAACCGAGTCTGTCTGGAAGTCTCGCGAGTCATCCAGATCGTCATACATATCGCCGTCCCGTTTCTTTTCTTCGGGTGGCGGCCCGTCAGGGTACAGCTTCACAATGTACCGCTGGACCAGCCTCTGCAGGATGCTGCGCCGCGTCAGCAGTAGCTTGACCGTCTTGCGGTGGGTGACTAGCTGCTCGAAGGTGACCTTGTCGATGGTCGAGATGGCGCGCCGCACCGTCGCCATGATCTCCTGCATGTCCCCGCGCTTCTTCGCCATCTCGTCCTCGGGCGACGTCGTTGTCATATCCGGCACAGGGTACGACATCGCGGCCTCCAGGATCCGCAGCGGCTCCCAGACGCGGTCGATGGCCTTGACCAGCTGCTCGCCGAGCGCCGCCTTGCCGCCCTCCGGGTCCTTCTCCATCCTCTCGTGGAAGTGCCGCGTGTTGCCGCGTGCGACGTGCAGGAAGAGGCGCACCGCGAGGGGGTCGGCGTAGCGCTGGGTCTTGGTCATGACATCGAAGATCCTGCACGCGTTCTCGAACGCCTTTGGGCTGGCCCAGTCGTTTATGCACGCGCGGAAGGCGGTCCGGAAGTTGGCGCCGATCATCATCTCGGCCGGCATCGCCTCGATGAGGGCCGCCACCTGAGCGCTATTGTGACCCGCGACCAACGCGCCCAGGTACCGGTAGTAGTTGTCTGGGTCGGGCTTGCAGCCGAGATCGCGGACAAAATAGTCCCAATACTTTGAAGTAGACGATGTCTTCCGCGCGGTGCCAAGGGCAACGAGGATAAGCGACAGCGTTTTGTTCCCGGGCGTGGCGTATAGAGGCGCCTTGTCCGCCGTTGACGCGGCCAACTCCTTGCGAGCTTTCGGCGACATGTCCTTCGTGTCTAGTTCTTGTTGTTCCGACTCTGGCGAGTCAGCGGTGGCGGAGGTTCCGGCAGCCGCATCATTTTCCGCCGCTGTCTTGGGATCGGGCTTGGTTGGTAGAGCAGGGCGCGACCGGTCTTGGTCCAGTCTCGGGATCTTCATGGTCTGCCAGACAAGGTCCAGGATGCTCTCATTGTCTTTGTAGTCCCCCAGAGTAAGGTTTCTGCCCATGGCAACGACCAGATCTTCGTCGATAACGATCTTGGCGCTCCGCCAGCGGGCGACCACGTCGGCCCAGATGGCCCTCGCTTTCTGAATATTCTTCTCGACCTCCCGCTTGACTTCAGCGTCGACTAGGGCGAGCTGAGCAGTATTCTTCGTCTTTAAGGAGTCGTGTCTGAGGGCGTTGAAGACGATGGTGTAGGTATGGGCGTCAGGGGCGCGGAGACCCTCATTGCAGGTAGACAACACAGTAAACAAACTGTCGAGGTCGGCGGCACGCGAACAGACCTCGAGAACCGCGTTCATGTGGATCGTGTTGGGCTTGAGAGCGCCTTGCCTGTTCATGAAATTGTAGATCCTGGTGGCCTCGGCCACGGCCAGCCGCGGATGCACGGACTCGGCACAGCCGCGGAAGATGATGGTGTAGGTCTTTGCGTTTGGTACTTGGCCGCGCTTCTTCATCTGCAAAGGAGTCAGTAGTGGGGTCAGATGGGGGAGCAGCACGAAAGCCAAGTGCGAACCTCGTTGTATAACTTCACCGCAGCATGGAGACGCCGGTTCTTCATCTGGTAATCAATCAGATGATTCCAGGTAACCTCCACCTTCTTGTTGCGGCTTGCGCGGCGCGCCATAAGGAGAGCCTCATCGAATCTGCCCTTCTGCAGCGCCGTGTCGACATAGTTCGCAATGTGAAAGGGGTCTGTGAAGTGCTCCAGCTGTTTCCTGACTGTCGCTTCAAGCTTCTGCTCGTACTTTTGCTTTCCCAAGCTGTCCTTGTTTGCTACCGCTGCCTCATATTCCAGTTCCTCTTCGTCATGTGCAGCCGGCTGGTTGTTGGAGGCTGTTTCTCGCTCTCGCTCCGGCGGGGGTGGCTTTGCTAGAGCACTGCGTATATCGGTCTGGACCTGATCGGCCTGAACCCCTCTCCTCCCCACTTTCCCATGGTATGTCCGCCGCTTAGTATAGACCAGACCTGCTGTCCTCCGCGGCAAATTCAGAGTGCGCAGGGCGACCGGAGCTGTGCCTATTCCCGTGAAGCTCCGGAGGCAGGCCCGGCAGACGAACATTGAATGCCTCGCCTCAGAGGGGGTTCGCAGTGCGGGTGTGATCTCGTGGATTCGGGTTGTCGTATCAAAAGTTCGGTTCTCCTATATCCTCTCGTTCATAGAACACTGCTGGATTACAGAACGAACCTCGGGCTCAAATTCAGTGGGCGCGGGCGGTCCCGTTGCTCTGTACTCTGTTAAACTTGTCGGACTTTTCTTTTGCTCGGCAAGGCTTGGCACTCTTATCTTCTGAACTTTCCCACCTGCAATCGCTTGCCTGCCGGATCGACGCAGAGCTCTGTGGGGCCCAATCGGGACCCCACCATTAGCGTTACGCGTCCACCAGAACACGGACACGCAAAAGCGCGCCCACCCACTTTAAAGACGCGATTGACGAATGAGACCGGGCAGCGCTTCAGTTTGCGCCCACGTTCAGTGTTTACGCTCCCACCTCTTAGAGACAGACCAAGGCCTTCTAACAACTACGCCGGTGCCACTTGCTCTGAATCGACTAAGAAACGCCGGTCGTCTTCCCTCCAGATTGCGCGTATAGAAGACGAAGGAACTTGGGAAACCGAAAATGCCCAAAGCAAACAAGCGCGACAGGTTTGCCGAACTGCGCGCTCTGCGGCAGGCGGGCAAGAAGAAGTTCGACACGTACGAAGTTGCCGAGGTCGAGGATCTGTACGAGGAGGTTGACGAGAACCAATACAAGAAGATTGTGCGGGACCGCCTCAACCAGGATGACTTTGTCGTTGACGACAACGGCGAAGGATACGCGGACGACGGTCGTGAGGAGTGGGACCGCGTGCACGCATACGAGTCCGAGAGCGATGATGCCGGGCCGGTGCGTGGGAAGGAGCGCAAGTGTAAAGCCCCCGCCGCCCGCCGCCCGAGGTCATCTGTGGACGCTGCTTGACATAGTTCCGCTAACCTCTGCAACCCAAATCCAGCCAAGAAACAACAACGTGAGGAGGAGCAGGCAAAGAAAGACGCCAATGACCGAGACATCTCCGAGTACTTCACAAAGGGGGCAGCGAAAGTACAGCCGAAACCCAAGGTTAGTCTGTCTTGTCCTCCAAGACTGCCCCAGCGGGCGGCGTTCGGCTAGCTTACGTACTGCCTAGATGATCAAGACGGAAGAGGACGACAAGTTCCTTGAAGACCTCCTCGGCGAGGTCGACTCCAATGTTCCCGTCCCGCTCCCCCGGGTGCCCAAAAAGAGAGACAGATCGGTCGAGAGGAGAAGACCTCGCGCCTTATCCCCGCCACGCGAAGGTCGACAGCCGGCCACCAAGAAAACAAGGATGATTGACGGCAGCGCATCTGCGTCCTCTCCTCCTCCGAGTGATGCCATCATGGCCGAAGACGACGACTTTGTGCCACCTGTGGAAGACGAGCCAGCGCCTGCTGCACCCCCTGAGGTAGTCATGAGTGACCCGGCGCCGTCCTCACCGGCTGCGAAGGCGGCGGAGCGAAGGACGCAGCTCAAGGCCGACCCCGAGGACGAGGAAGATGACGACATGATGGAAGTTGCCCATACAGGCGCCGTTACCGTCAGCAGCGTCAACCTTTCTGCGTCGCGGCAGATCAAGAAGATCACCAAGCCGGAGCCATTACCAACCCCGGCCACATCGTCACCAGCCAAAGGGCCGGAGCCGGCCGTCGACGCATCAGCATGGAATGGCATCAACGAGAAGCTCAATGTCGTAAGCAGCTCGCAGCCAGAGGCGAGGACTATGGGCAAGATTGACTACAAGGATGCCGTCGAGGAGGACGGCAGCCTAAACCTGTTCTGGACGGACTACACCGAGGTGAACGGCAGTTTGTGTCTCTTCGGCAAGGTTCTTAACAAGAAGACGGGCCAGTACGTGAGCTGCTTTGTCAAAATCGACAACATCCTCCGGAAGCTCTACTTCCTGCCGCGCAAGCACCGGGTGCAGCACGGCGCCGAGACGACGGAGCAGGTCGAGATGATGGATGTCTACAACGAAGTGGACGCCCTCATGACCAAGATGAACGTCAACATGCACAAGATCAAAGCGTGCACGCGGAAATACGCCTTCGAGCTCCCCGGGATCCCCACCGAGGCCCAGTACCTGAAGCTGTTCTACCCCTACACGAAGCCCGCTCTCGAGCTGGGCACCACGGGCGAGACGTTCTCGCATGTCTTCGGGACCAACACGGCCCTGTTTGAGCAGTTCGTGCTCTGGAAGCGGATCAAGGGCCCGTGCTGGCTGAAGATCGAGGACGCCGACTTTGGTGCGCTGAAGAACGCGTCGCACTGCCGGCTCGAGGTCCTGGTTGAGCACCCCAACATGGTCACCACGCTGACTGACGGCGACAGCGTCGACGCGCCTCCGCTGACCCTCATGAGCATTGCCATGCGCACCATGTTCAACGCCAGAGACAACAAGCAGGAGATCCTGGCCATCAGCGCCAGGATCTACGAGGACGTTTCGCTCAGCGACACAACGCCGGCCGACAAGCTGCCGTGCCGGACGTTTACGCTCGTCCGGCCGCAGGGCGCCGCGTTCCCTTTTGGCTTCGAGAAGATGGCCAAGGAACGGAAGAAGGGCCTGGTCAAAGCGATGAAGCAGGAGTCGGACATCCTGTCTTTCTTCCTGGCGCAGCTGGATCTCGTCGATCCGGACGTCATCCTCGGGCACCAGCTGGAAGGCGTCGACTACAGCATCCTGCTGAACCGTCTGTACGAGAAGAAGACGCACCAGTGGTCCCGTCTTGGGAGGCTGAGGCGGACTGCGTGGCCGGCGTCCATCGGCAAGGTTGGCGGGAATGTCTTTGCAGAACGGCAGATCATGGCCGGGCGCCTCCTGTGCGATCTCGCCAACGACGCCGGCAAGTCCGTCATGTTCAAGTGCCAGTCATGGAGCCTGACCGAGATGTGCAGCCTGTACCTCTCTGCAGACGCCCACCGGCGGGACGTCGACAACGAGCTGGCGCTCAAGACCTGGGCCTCGTCGAAGGAGGGCCTGATGGACTACCTGTCCCACGCCGAGACGGACACGTACTTCATTGCCGCCCTGGCTCTCCGGACGCAGATCCTCCCCCTCACCAAGGTCCTCACGAACGTTGCGGGCAACTCGTGGGCCAGGACGCTGACGGGCACGCGCGCCGAGCGCAACGAGTACATTCTGCTGCACGAGTTCCATCGCAAGAAGTACATCTGCCCGGACAAGCAGCCCTTCCGGGGGCGGGGGCGCGTCGACGAGGACCACCAGGGCGAAGACGACGGCGAGGGCAAGAAGAAGGACAAATACAAGGGCGGTCTTGTCTTCGAGCCCAAGAAGGGGCTCTACGACAAGTTCGTCCTAGTCATGGACTTCAACTCGCTGTACCCGTCCATTATCCAGGAGTTCAACATCTGCTTCACCACTGTGGATCGGACGTTTTTGGTGAGTAAGGCCCGAGGCGCACCGCCGGGGTGCACTCTGCATTCCTGAACACACGTCGCTAACAGCAAGATTTTAATTAACCTTAGTCCGACGATGAAGATGCTGTGCCCCAAATCCCCGCCGAGCAGGAACTGGCCATCCTGCCGCGGATCATCAAGGAGCTGGTCGAGCGGCGGAAGTCGGTCAAGCAGATGATGAAGAGCAGCAACGCGACACCAGAGGAGCTCGCGACGTGGGACATCAAGCAGCTGGCGTACAAGCTGACGGCCAACTCCATGTACGGCTGTCTCGGGTACACCAAGTCGCGCTTCTACGCGAGACCGCTCGCGGTGCTCACCACCTTCAAGGGCCGCGAGATTCTCCGCAGCACCAAGGAGCTCGCCGAGAGCATGTCGCTGCAGGTCATCTACGGCGACACCGACTCCGTCATGATCAATGCGAACGTGGACAACGTGAAAGACGCTCTGGAGGTCGGCAGCGCGTTCAAGCACGAAGTCAACCGGCGGTACAAGCGGCTCGAGATCGACATCGACAATGTCTTCCGCCGCATCCTCCTCCAGGCCAAGAAGAAGTACGCGGCCATCAACATGGTCGAGGTGGACGGCAAGTGGGTCGAGAAGATGGAGGTCAAGGGTCTGGACATGAAGCGGCGCGAGTACTGCCCGCTGTCGAGGGAGATCTCGCAGCGCATCCTCAACGAGATCCTCTCTGGCGACGAGGCCGAGGTGGCCGTCCAGCGCATCCACGAGTACCTGCGCGACATCTCGGCCAAGATGCGCGCGCAGGTCATCCCGGCGCAGAAGTACATCATCCTCACGCAGCTGGGCAAGAACCCCAAGGAATATCCCAACGCGGACAGCATGCCGCAGGTCCAGGTCGCCCTCCGCGAGATGGCGCGCGGCAAGACGATGCGCAAGGGCGACGTCGTCTCGTACATCATCACTGGCGACAGCAAGACCACCTCCGAGCCGGCCGCCAAGCGCGCCTACACGCCGCAGGACGTGCTCAAGGCCGACTCCGGCCTGGTCCCGGACGTGGAGTGGTACATCGGCAAGCAGGTCTTCCCGCCGGTCGAGCGGCTGTGCGCCAACATCGTCGGCACGTCCACCGCCCAACTAGCCGACAACCTGGGCTTGGATGTGCGCCGCTACGCCAACAACAACACCTCGTCCAACTCCAGCAACAGCCGCGACCTCGAGATCCACCCGCTCGAGTCTCAGATCCCGGACGCGGTCCGCTTCCAGGACTGCGCCCGCCTCACCCTCCGCTGCCGCGCCTGCAAGACCACCGCTCCTTTCGAAGGGCTGCTCGGTTCCAGTCCCACTGACCGCATCACCCCGTCGGGCGTGGTCTGCCCCTCCTGCCATGCCATACTCCCGAACCTCTCCATCGTGGCGCAGGTCGAGGCCGCCGTGCGCACCCAGACGGCGCGCTACTACGAGGGGTGGCTCGTGTGCGACGACCCGAGCTGCGGGAACCGCACGCGGCAGATGAGCGTGTACGGCAGCCGGTGCCTGGGCCCGAAAGGGCTGGGCAGGGACTGCGCGGGCCGCATGCGCTACGAGTTCGGGGAAAGGGATATCTACAACCAGCTGCTGTACTTTGCCAGCCTGTTCGATGTGGATAAGGCGAAGGCGCTGGCTGCTAGTGGTACTACTGGTAGTGGTGCGGGCAGTGGTGAAGGAGGTGTCCCTCCTGGGGAGATTCTGGCGCTGGCTGAGCACAACAGGGCGAGGTTCGCCACCGTCAAGGGCGTCGTGGATAAGTACTTGGATAAGTGTGGCCGGCAGTGGGTGGCTATGGATACGCTGTTCTCGAAGCTGGGGTTCGTGGTTGCTTAGCGTTCTTTGTAAGAGGGATTGGGTCTTGTGGTACGTCCGGTTTCCAGGTCACTGGTGTTTAGCTTGCTTGCCTGCTCTTTTGTGTGTCCTGTTTGGCTGGGACGGCAGGGCAGGGCAGGGCAGGGTTTGGGAATGGTTTCGAAACTAAGGACATAATGATTATTTTCATGCCTCTTTTCTATTCCAAAGCCATTCGAGTCGACTGTTGTTGAGCATAACGTACTGCGTCCATCGAGAGGGAGAGCTCGAGTCTAAGCTGTCTGCCGCAAGTGAATGGCACCTGAGCATTAGGATATCATAGTATATCGTAGAATAGCATACTTGTTTCTAGTAATATTTAACCACGAGAGCAAGCAGTACCCAGGTAACATGTAAACACCATCGCCACCTACGTGTTTCGCTGCCTACCTTAATTGTTGGACGCACCGCACCTCCGACAGGATCGTAACCCAGCTCATGCGCTGCCCCTTTTGGCTTTGCACTTTGGCAAGGCCTTCACCCAGAATTAGTAGTAGGTATGGTCTGACTTGACAAATCCCAGAGACGGGGGACCAAAAGCAACTACGTAGTCTGCAAAGGCATGACGGACAGAGGAAGCTGTACGATCACGGAACCACCACAGTGATGGTCAGGTAAAGGGTTCCGGCTTCCTGGAGGCTGTGTGTAGTTATCTGCCCAGCGAGTGAATCAATTCCTCGGAGTCGGGCCGGATTCATGGACGGTAGCTGTCAGCTCGGAACAACAAGAGCGCAGTTCTCCTGAATTGCAATCTTACACCTCAGCGATATCAATGTCAACTCCAAAGCAAACACCACCATCACCATAGACACACATGTTTGCGAGGGGGCACAGAGGCATAACCATAACCATGAATGCATTAGAAGAGATAAGCAACGCTCTCCCTCGTCCCAACCCACACCACCCTCCCTTCCCCTAGTCACTAACTAGTAGCCATGACCGGCAGCAACCAGAAATTGCAGATACACGCATACAGACTTTTAAGGTGTACAAAGCAGCACAATCGGGTGCAGAGAGAGTAAAAAAGGTCAATTGATATCCCGTAACCGAACTCCTTGGGCGAGAAAAAAAAACAACCACAGCAAATATCTCCCTGCTTCGTGCCTCTCTGATGGGTAACGTCTATCGAGAAGAGGGAGGTATCATGAACGGAGGCCCAGCTTTTGCATAGGAAAGGAAAAAGGGGAACAGTTTTGGTGATGGACCCGCCGCAAATGCAAATGACAAATCCCGCCCGGTCTATGCATGAGGTCATGAATGCAAGACTCCGTGAAGTAATGGAAAAGGACCCTGCTTATTAATCCTCCTTCTTCTCGTCACCAGCTGCCACCGTGTTGAGCGTTGCTTTCGACAGCGCTGGCGACGCGTGCGTCGAAGGAGGAGAGCCCGGGTGGTCTCCGGTATCAGCGAGAAGCCTGTGATCTCTGTCAGCAACATGTCGGACGGCCCAGAAAAGGGTTGATGGAATACGAACCCAAATGCATTAGCGTGGGCGACCGAGTCGCGGTCACGAGTAGGAGGCGTTCCTGTACGCGAGGATGCGCCAGAGTCCTCACCGGCACGGCCGAAAGCCCCACCAGGACCACCCAGACGGCGTCCACTATTGCTCCGCGAATTGAACATCGAGGTGGGGCCGAACGACGGGTTCTGGCTAGAGGTGCGGCTCGAGGATCCCTTTAGGCGACGGAGGTCATCGATGGGAACCTGGTTAGGAGCAGGGTTATTGTACGAGAAATTCCTTGACTCGCCGCGGCCACCCATCGGCCGTCCACCCGGAGCACCACGCTGACTGGTGCGTGCGTTCTCAGCCGCCTTCGCTGCAGCTGCAGCTTCGGCCTCGGCGCGAACCTCTTCGAGAGTCTTGGGACCCTTGTTCGCTTCCTTGGAGTGCCAGCCGGCCTTGCGCAAGTCAACGATGTCCATGAGCATGAACATGAGACGGCTGGGGAGCCCTTCGAGGTGGATGATGGTATCGATGCGGTGGAAGTAGGCCTCCATCATAGAGCGGCCCTTCTCAGTGCTGTCAAGATTACCTCCGATTGTCTTGAGCAGTTTCGTAAGGGACTCGATTTCGGCCTCGTCCGGGATGCCGGTGAACTCGAGCAGCTTACGCACGCACTCGTGCATGATACGCTCCGTCAGCATGCCGAGCTTGTACAGCTCGCCGATGAACTGAACGAGACCCAAGCCACGCCGCTTGGCTGCGGCAGCAATGTAGTACTCATCTGACAGCAAAGCCGCCTCCCCAGCCTTGCCCTCGGTTTCGCCCTTGTTGGGCAGATCGATCTTCCAACCACGCTCGAATTCCTCCTGGCACCTGTTGAGGAGGTACTTGCGGAACAGAGGCCCGCCGCTGACGACGTTGCCATTCTTGTCGAGAACGTTCTCGTCGCGGATCTCGGGATTCATCGTCTCAAGCATGCGCTTGCAGAACTTGGCATACATGGATGCCCAGTGAGCCTCATCACACGCCTTCTCGAAAGTGAGCTGAATGACCTGGCGGAGGGTGCGACCGTCCGTCTCGTTCTTGGACTGCCCGGCAATCGTGAGGATCTGGTCCGAGATCCTGTCGAAGTTCTCAGGCGTCATCTTGTTCAGAGCCGCCTTGACCTTGCGCTGCACCATCTCGGGGTTGAGATGGCCGGTCTGGTCGACAACAGCGGTAGGCGCCTGCGCGGCCTTGTTGCCGATGCTCATGGGCTTCCAGCCCGTTGCCGAGACGGTGATCGGCTTGACCTCCTGGCCGGCGGTGAGTGGCATGGTCTTGGCAGCCTGTGCCTCGGCTTTGGCGTTACCAAAGTCCCTCTTGCTGCCGCCGCGCCTGCTTCCGGTCCGGGGAGAAGGCAACCCGCCAGGACCAGAAGACGGATTCCGGCTCAGCTGGCCAGGGAAGGTACCCGTGCGGCCGAAGCCGCCCATAGAGCCCATGCCCGGTCTGGATACATTACCCTGAGACATGGCGAAGCGCTGTTCCGAGGTGGTCCCAGGGGGCAACATCTTACCTGTGAACTGGCCCATTGTGCCTCCGGGTGGGAAAGCGGTCGAGGCACCAGCGCGCGAACCTTGTCTGCCAGAGCCGGCACCGGGTGTGCGGGCTGAAGCAGACCGGGAACCGTCCGAGTCCCCGATGAGAGACTTCACTTGCTGATGGAATTCTAGCGAGGGTTGCTCTGTGAAAACGTGCTGAAACTGCAGGAGAAATTGCGCGTCATACTTGAAGATCTTGCCCTTCTTGTGAACCGCAGCATTCAGGGCAGGGTTGGGGGAGGCGATGCCGGCAGGATAGATGTTGTATTCCACGCCCGGCAGGAACCGAGCGGAGCGAAGAGACTGAAGTGCCGCACTTGGTTGGGGCGCTTCAACTGGCGTCGTCTTGAGAGGTGCCAAGTTGAGAGCAGCAGGCTTGGTCTTCGCCTTGTCAGCACCTCCCGTCTTCCCTCCGGCGCTGGCCTCAGCCGCGCTAGCGGGCTTCTCAACTGGCTCGCTTTTGTCGGCCACCTTCAGCTCGTCGAACTTCTTGGCAAGGAGGTCGGCGACCGACACTGTCTGAGCTCCCTTGCCCTCTTGCTCCTTACGGCGACGCTCACGCTCTTCCTCCAACCTCTCCATCTCTCGCTCTTGTTCCCGCAGCTTTCGGTCATTCTCCTCCGAGTTAAGTTTCGCGGCCTCGGCACGCTTCTTCTCCTCTTCTTGTTGGGCTCGTTTCCTGGCGGAAATCTCCTCTTGTTCTTTCTCGCGACGAGCATCCGCTTCCTCCATCTCACGGATGATGCGCTCCAGTTCGTCCTCATCTGACAGTGCAGCGGGCTTCTCCGGCTCTTGCTGCGATTTTTCTTCTTTAGTCGCTTCCGAAGTAGCAGCAGCCGCAGCAGCTTCTGCCTCTGCCTTCGCTTTCACCTCGGCTTCAGCCTTCTCCTTTGCCTTGGCTTCTTCTGCAGCCTTAGCCTCCTCGGCAGCCTTGGCTTCTGCGGCGGCCTTGGCCTCCTCTGCCGCCTTCTTCTCAGCCTCGAGACGTGCCTCCTCCTTAGCCTTCTCATCTGTGGCAGCCTTCTCCGCCGCCTCCTTTTCTGCCGCCACCTTCTCTGCTGCAGCCTTGTCTTCCACTGCCTTAGCGGCCTCGTCCTCCTTGGCTTTCGCGTCGGACGGGGCCTGCTTCCTGACGGCGTTGATGAACTCATTTCGAACCTGTTCAGCTGTTTTTTGTGTAGCTGTACTGTCGGTTCTAGCATGGGAGGGCGTTGATGGTTTCGGCGGCGGTGTGGGAGTAGAAACAATTGCAGGAGGTGTCTTGGACTGCTGAATACCGGGAGCCGGAGAGGCCGGGGCCTTGATGGCCGAGAGGTCAACGACCTTACCTTCTGAGTCCCTAATAACAATCGCTGCACTCTTCTTGGGTCGAGAGAACGCGGATGTAGAAACGATGGCCGGAGCTGCCGTCTGCGCAGGCCGCTGCTGCGGTGTGCCTTGAGCGACGGCCGGGGTTTGGTTCTGTCCGGTGCTCGATGCCGGCCGGTCCGAAACCTGCGACGCGTTACGGGACATTGCCGGAGCCGCCGGCTGTCCAGCCGCATAGGTGGGAACAAACCCTTGATGCGGTCCGGGGGGGAACTGCGCCGACTGCTGCATGTAGGGGTTCATTGGCTGCCCAGGGTACTGATAGTTCACGCGAAAGTCGAGGTGCGGCGGCGGCATACCATACATGTTGCCCATCTGCATCTTGTTTGCGGTTAGCAGCTTTTCAAACGTACCACTCTCTGGCGATAGGTCAATAGGTCCCATCAACATAGGGGGAAGTACGGGAACAGGGCGGCCGGGTTGGAAGTGGTAGGAGGGAGGCGGGCCATCCGAATACTCGGGCGTGGGTGTGCCGCCGTTGACATCCTGATGACCTTCAACCCCCGCATCCCAACGCTTGCCTTGACGCCGCGGCTTTTGGTGTGGTTCCATGCTTGTCTGCTTGTTAGGGGCGTTGAGCGCTCGCAGATGTTGAGCTTTCTCCGAGTCCCGACGCCCTGGCTTGCTTTTTTTATGTGCCTTGGAGGTGGAACAGTCGCTAACGGAAGGGAACTTTACTTGATGGGTATAGGGGGCGATCGCCGGGTTCATGCCGTTATGGAAGTACGGCTGGGCCGCAGGGGCTAAAGCAGCAGGTTGCATCGTCGGCGTTCCAGCATGGGGCATGGCCGGAGTCGTGACTGGGCTGGCGCGCGGGGGTTGCGGCGAGTTAGGGTAGCCCTGCATGCCGCCGCGGCCCTGGTGGTAGGGCTGCATGCCTCCTCGGCCCGGATTGGAGCCCGAGAAGTTGCGATGATTCGAAGGCGGGTAACCCATGGTGGTGTATCCCGAATTGTTAAAGTTGCCGCGGCCGCCGCGACCGCCTTGGCCCTGATAGCCACCACGACCGTGCGCGGGGGCGCCATGACCCACGCTTTCACTATGCGCAGAAGCCTGCGAATCGCGCCTCACATGGGGGCTCTGCTGACCCATAGCGGCGGGGTTGTGTTTTAGATGACGCTGGGAATGAGTGATTAGTAATGACGCAGTGTGCGAGCGGCCCGGAGAGAGGCCTACATCATTATCGCCCGGGAAGCTGCCGAACGTGAGAGGCGCGGCCTGAGGCATCGATGGAGCGCGCTGGCCGCCACTCTGCTGTGGTACCTGTGGGATGGGAGACGGCGAATGAGCCGGGGACTGAATACGGGGGTTGCCGCTTCCGGGAATAGGAATCGGCGCGGCGCCACCCATCTGAGGCGTGCTATGAGCTATCGCAGGCGACTCGTTAAAGCCGAACTGGATATTCTTAGGGCCGCCAACAGGGCCGCCGTTCGCCACATGGCCAGCTGGGGCGTTGGCGCTGATCGTGACTGAGCTCTTGCGGGCGTGGTCTGCGCCGCCGTTGACGATGGAGCTACCACGCGCAACAGGGGGAGCGGCGACTGGCACGGCAGGTGTGACGTTGGGTCTGCCGTTCATCGGCGCGGCAGTCGAAGGTTTGCCATTTTGTGTGGCGGGGGCGGAGGATCCGACCACCACAGGCGGGTGAGAGCCCGTCGCGACTAACGGCGCAGAACTCGGCTTCTTGTTCGCACCGGCTGCGGAGGCATACGATGTGACCGCGGGAGCAGAAGGAGTTGGCGCCGGGTTTGGATGGTGTGAACCTGCGGTGGAAGTCATAAGGGTGACTTGTTGACTCGAAAGCCGTATTCGTTCTTCTTTTCTTACGCCTTGAAGAGCGTCCGTGGCTTGACCTTCGGTATGCGAGGATATAAAATCGGTCCCACTGCACGTCGAATCTCAGATCCGGCGGTCGCGAGGACTGAAATGAAGGACCGTCTATTGTAAGACTGCCCTCAAAAGCTACGCACTCGAATGGATCGGGTGGTTGTGCAATCGAGAAGCCCGAAGGTAATGAATGTGGTGAATCTGTCGCAAGAGTGCGCTCGAAACTGAAGGGAGGGCAACCGAGAACGGCCCGGTGGCAGATATCTCGCGCAGCCCAACGTCTTCGCAATTAAATAGCAGAAGAGTTGAGAGGTATATCTCTATTCTCCGGATGCAAAATCCTGAGAAGGAGAAATACAAGCGATATTAAGAGTGAAAACAAGGGAATCGGTCGATAATGACGATTCCTCCTTGGGGTTTTTCACAAGGTGGGTTGTGAAATGGGTGGTGGGAGGAGAAACCGAGTCCAGAAAAATTTTGGGCAAGTTGCTTTCTGATGGCGAGGGAAGGGGTGTGTGGGCAGTGCCGCCCGCACGGGCTGATTTGGCACACCAAAGTCGGTTTACACACTGGGCGCCACAAAACCGCCCCAGAGCTTCTTGTTGCTAACCTCGTCTGATGTTTTTGTTGGAGCCTTCAGATTCCTTTTCGACACAAACGTCACGCTACTGGTACTATGAGCCATCTTCATTGTGAGTGAGCAGGGAGAACATCCGATGGTTTCAAAATTCATACAAGTGACATACATGTATGATGTGGGTGAGTCTGTGCGGGGTGTATCACACTGGATGCACTATGTACAGCATCCATCGGATGTACTGTGATCTAATAACCAGTAATGTGCAGTACATCTGTAGGTAGGTATATAAGGTACAGTCTTCCGAAGAACCGAGGGCGTGTGGGCGGTAGAAGAGCATAGCATGTCATCACCGCTGTTGCTGTTCCTCCGACAGAGTTTCTTCTATCTTGCGGAAGTATTACCCTTCTACCTGGCGGGCCAACAAGTGCAGGGCATTTCTTACACTACCACAGTACGATCTACATGTAGGTACTGTATGTACATACGTACTCTATTGACCCACTGGTTAGTACAGTAACAGTACCATTGCCATCGAATCTGGGAGTTTTACCCCGTACTTCTCTCGATTTTATCAATGCCTCTTTACTTGTGTGAAAATGTAGTACATAACCCGTTGCCTTTTGGGTAAACGCCTGATAGAGGCCGAGGCGGCAGCATACTCAGTCCCGTGTGCCTCGTCCTATCGTAAGCAACATGATACTGCTGCGTCCATGGATTCCATGCTTCCTCCAGAGCATGGAAGGACTGGGGCGCAGCCAACGGAAGCGGACGACGAGCACCTGAATGGAATGGTTTGCTTGGCAGTCTGAAAGAACTTGTACAAATCTCTGCAAGCTCCTTTGGGCAGCGAAAAAAGGTCAAGGATAGCATTGTCGTCCGAGAGAGCTTCTTCTTGCACCTACCTTAGTATTGTTCCTCTGCCAAGCTCCGAATTGAAGAAGCACCTACCGCTGCCCACCCCTCCCACCTGACGCCCACCATAGGGCTGAGGTCTTCGTGACCTTTTTCATGCTACTAAAAAGCGCTTTGTCCTTTTAATTTGTTGCTAGGTCCTATCTCTAGTTCTCTTCTCCTCTTTTTTTCAACGGCTGCTCCAGCTGAACGCAGTCGACTTGTCACCAGTTTGAAGATACTGGCTGCCTGATGAAATCCCATGGTCCCGCAATGGATCTGGATCTGGGGAATGGCAACTCCAGCGGGGCAATTTTAGGCAAGGGTTCACTGCCACGGGAGGCACTGGCAGGCCACAAGCACACAGTCACTTCCTCACTTCGCTCAAGAGAGTGCGGAAAGTAACCTGGGAAATGGAGTCATGGACAGTAGTAGTTTACGGGTAATATGGGTTGCAAACTTGGATCTCTGTCAGGAATCGGGTGTCTTGGCAGACCTCTGGGTTTGCACGACAGAAGCCGGGCCATTCATTTATAGAACTTTCATGAAGTCTTCCCAGCATATACGCCCCATTTTACCCGGGCTCCCTCCGCCTTGGTCAATGAAGTAAAGATCGAGCCCGTTCAGGGCAGAGTCGAGAGCTATCTGCTTCCTCACCCTGCGCCTAATGCCCTTGCACCATCCCGTCGGGTAGTATTAAGCGTAATAGAAGGCCTGCCAAAATAGCCAAGCGCCCCAGCTTGGCCGACCTGAGCATTGGGCTCTTTATTACCTGATCTCTTAAATAATAAACCGAGAAGAACCTCAGCTCAACAACCCAATCTTTAACAAGAGGGCGAGGGCCGCGCGGACTATGTGCACAAGCAGTTCGCCACTGCCATCACAACTCCACCACCTGAAGAATTACTTATGTGGTACAAATTGCGTGTCGCCATTGGGACCACGGCATTGCCCGGTCTGACTCACCTGGTCAAATGGGCTTTGCTCTGCCACACATCAGAGAGCCCAGACTGATACCGGCAAATGACATGTGAACAAGGCAATGAGTGTAATCGGAAGGGCCTTCCGCCTGCGAAATGGCACATTGCCGGATAGTTTTCGCAATGAAGACTCCTTGGCGCAATTGGTAGCGCGTTCGACTCCAGATCGAAAGGTTATCCGTTCAAGTCGGGTAGGGGTCAAAAATCAAAACTACATTTTTTGTCTACATCTTCCTTACTACACTCCTTATTTCCCACCACCCTCTTCGGGAAAACAAGGTGAAACTGGGAGATGGTGACCGGAGGGGATCATTCAAGGGGGGATTTGTGCTCCCACTTGTACGACATATCTTACCTTGTTTTGCACAGTATCTTTCCCATTCCTTAGTTCCACATGATTGGGACATGCAGAGCTGCAACGTGACGACATAGTCAACGGCGTTGCATACAGGAAAATCATCTCATGTCCCGGATCATGTCCAGGTCCGTGGATCCATCCCTGTCTCTTGAGTCTGGCGCCGATCACCAGACACCCGCATCCGGGAATAGCCGTGCGGCTCTTGGGCATCCGAGAAGCTCCAATGAGGGACATAGACGCTCTTCAGTTCTTTTGACAACAACTTGTACTAACCTAACTGACCTAGAGGCATTGTACAACACCCCCTTAGAGGAGCCAGATCTACCTTCCAGGAAAGGCCACGAGGTATTTTTCCAGGTATCCCATCCCCTAATACCATCCATAATCAATCATCCTCCTCCGCTTCGAACCCCTCCACCCTGACGGCCTCCTGCGCCCGCTCCTCCTCAGCCCTTTGACCCACGACCTCCTGGTCTTCATACCCCAGCTCCTCCACCTGCGAGACCACCTCTTCAACGACAGGCACCTCCTCCACAGACTCCCCCCTCTCTTGCCGCAGCTGCTTGACCCGCGTGGTCGTCATCTCAAACACGTACTGCCCGAGATGCTCGACCCCTTCCATGACCGACTCGCCGGGCACCGTGTCCTTGTCGGCCTCCTCCGCAAGCAGCCGCTGCGAGGGCCACAGCTCGCCCGTGACAAGCGTCAGCTTGTCGGGTCGCTGGAGAAGCAACTCGAATGCGGGACGCAGCTCGTAGCAGGATTCGAACACCGCGCGCCGGCCGACGATGTACAGGCCGAGTCGGGCGCGGGACAGCGCGACGGTCAGACGGCGGATGTCACGCAGGTAGCCCACGCGGGTTGTGCGGGTGAGGGAGAGGATGATGTCTGTGCGGTGAGTGATTGTTAGACGGGATTGGCAAGATCGTAAGCGGTCGAATATGGGATGGAAGGCGGATGACTTACAGTCGTTCTGCTCGCCCTGATACTTGTCCACGGTGGTGACGATACGGGGTAGGCCAAAGATTGGGTTTTTCGCACATCGGTGGGCCAGAACATCCTTGATCAGCGCCTTCTGGCCTGCATAAGTGGCCAAAATGCTGATCTTGGCCGCCGGGTATCCCAGCAGGCGCATGTATTGGTAGATGGCCACGGCATACTCGGCCTCGCCCAGGTTCTGGATGAAGTGCGGCGACGGCTCTGTCTCTCCCTTGCCGCGGTAATCTGGGACGTTGATGAACTGATAGTCGAACCTAAAGCCCGCGTTGGCAGTAACGAACTCTTGGCCAGTCTCCGTATGTGGCAGATCTCCCAGCTCAGGATAACGCCACCTGTAGAGGTTGGAGAGCGAAGGTCGGGCGCGGCCTTGGCGATCGAGGTTGATTGTGGGGACGCCGAGGCGGACAAGTCGGGAGAAGAGTGACTGCTCTAGATTTGCATAGTGCCGGAATGCCAGGCCTTGGATGACCGGCGAGTTCTGGTAGTGGTCGCCGCACAAGACGACCCTCTGGAGTCCCGACTGCCCATTCTTGGGCTTCTGCATGGCCAGCGGGATGAAATTCTCAATTTCGGTAATCTGGGCAGCCTCTTCCATGATCACATTGTCGTAGTGGAAGCCCAACGAGGCTATCTCTCCCCTCTTCATCGCAGCATGTGTCGAGGTCATGGCAATGATCCGGGCTTCATTGGTAAGCAAGTAGTTGGCTTTGTCTTTGTCGCGCCGCAAGATTTCGAAAGGCAGGACATCCTCCAGCTCCGAGAAAATCTTCGCTATGTGCCGGTAGCACCCGTTGGCAATCTCCAGGACGGCCTCACGGTCCGCATGCGCCGGGAAAAGGGGCTGAGGAGCGTCTGCAAAGTATTCGTGGAACGGGAAGGCCTTCACGATTTCTTGGGGGCCTACATCCTCCCCTTTGATTGCGTCATTGAACTTGGCCCACGCCGGCTGGACATACACCATGTTGAAGTAGCCGGCCGTCTCGGCTGAGTTTCCATGAGCACCGGGAGCACCCATGCTGGCAGCAAGGCGGGTGACCTCAATGAGGAAGCGCTGCCGATTCTCGAGGAACGATTCGACTCTGCCATGCTTACTGAAGCTTCCCTCGGTCTCTAACTCCTCCTCACCGTGGCCCAACCGGAGGAGGTGACGTTCGTCGATGTCCAGGGCCACAATCTTTGCGAATAGTTGGTTTAGCGCTTGGTTGCTGTGTGCTATGAGCAGTGTCTTCTGCTCCGGGAAGTTGTGATATATGTTATTGATGATCTGTGTGGCAACATCCGTCTTGCCTGTTCCAGGAGGCCCCACGATAACGGTGAGCCCTGGCTGTGTGCCCGACACAATGGCCTCGATCTGTGTCGGAGTGAACCGCACCTTGTTCAGCTTCGGCGCGTCAACCGGGTAGGGCCCGTTGTTTGGCGGCTTGTACGTTGAAACCTTGACCGTTTCAATCTCGGCAATAAGAGCTGGCTCTGCGTCCCGCCTTCTCTTCTTGGAGGCCTTCGAGGCAGCCTGCTCGGTCTGTTTCTCGACGGTCTCTAACACGTAGGGGGGCCCAAAGCTCCCGGAGACATCGTCACCGGGCTCAATGATCCTCCCAGGCAGACTCTCAATGAGATGCTGCCAGTCCAGGAAAGTATCGCGGAAGTTGATCTTCTTGAGGCGGGCGGGCAGATGCTTGTATGTGGCACCGGCTGGGTCGCCGTATCCCAGGAAGACCTCGTGCAGCCAGGGGGCGAGCGGGACGTCAGAAAAAGCGAGGTCTCGGATCGACTCCAGCACCGGCTTGAAGTTGTTTTCCCGGCCGCTCCGGCGAACAAGCAGGTTGATCCCATCGTAGACGTTCCGCTTCGCCTCGGTGTCTTCTTTGTAGGCCCTGGCATCTAGCCGGAGCTGAATTCTCCTCGAGTCGCTGCGGTTGTGGCCATCGAAGTAAGCCTGGGCATCCCGGATTGCTCGCCCCCTGTCGTCAAGCACCTGGATAATTTCTGCGGCGCGAACCGAGACCAGGCCAAGCCTTTCCGCCTCCGCCAGCGGTGTATCGCCTCCCGGAGCCTGTTTGGACTTGGAGGCGTCGACGGCGAGCAGAAAGAGGACGTCGTCCGGGCGAAGAGATTCCCATTCTTGCCGGATGTGAGGTGATAACCTCCTCAAGTCGACTGTCACTTCAGCTCGGACAGTGGATGGCTTGTCGTCACCGACACGGGCTGGCACGACTTCGAGGATGGTCGGTTTGGCGATGGGCAGGGCCATTCTTGAAAATCCCGAGAAAGTGGTTACCCCTGCCCGCCTGCACTCGGGCTTTAACCTGGATAGCGTGTCTTCGATGTCTTGGCGGATGGCATAAAAGGATTCACAGCGGTAGAGGATCAAGGACCGCCAAAGGAAATCTCCAACAGACAGGTACTGCAAATTGAGTTTTGGGAGCGCCAAGGGGCGAGAGCCGTCGTAATGGTCCGTCCTCTTGAGGCCGATGTCGAACAGCGCTTCCTCAGTCGGAAGAACGCTCAGATCACGGGCAGCGTCCTGGAAGGTTTTTCTTCGCTCAAAGGTGGACACAAGAACTTCCAGCAGGAACTTGCGACCGACCGGTACGCTGGCAGAGTCAGGGTATGTCGTCCGAAGGCCGAGAAGGCCAGTGAGCTGCTCGAGCTCCTCGTCTGTTAGCGCCTGAAGGAGACCTTCTAGCTCTGTCCTTTTGGAGATCGAGCCATAGTTTGACAGGGCCAGTACCGTCAACTTCTCCTTGAAGTGCTTCAAGGCAGTGCGCTGCAGCTTTGCTAGGGCAGCGCAATGCCGGTCATACGCCTCGTTACGGTTGAGCTGCGCGCCTGACTGGTCGTCGACCGTAAAGTGGGTGTAGTGGGAAAAGAGAGCGCACAGCTCCCGCAGCAGCCCGTTTGCCTCCTCGTTGAAGACCGGGGACAAAGTGAGAGCCGGAAGGATGTGCAGGTCCTGAAGGAGCGTGTTGACGTATCGTCTTGTAGGGAGCTGACTTTGCAGGTCCGTCAGGAACTCGACGAAGCGCTCGCAGTAGAGCACATGCTCTGACATCTCGTTAGCTAAACGGCGGAACGAAGAGGCTTTATGAGGCCCGGACAAACCTTGCTTGGCATTCCCCGAGTACAGCAAGGCGAAGAAGTCCAGAACCAAAGTATACAACCAGGACCTCTCGAAGCGCAAGCGAGCTTTGGTCGCGTCGTCGGCCGAGTCGTAACGCTTAGCAGACGCCCTCCAAGCCTTCCTCAAGTGCGGGTTGGAATCGAGGATAGCATCCCTCTTCTCCTCCGTCGACAGGTTGTGCCAAATCGAGATCGAGACCAAGGGAGCGCACTCCTTACGGACGACGGTGCAGTCTAGACTCTGGAAGGCATGAATAACGAATAGTAAGACGTGGGTCCGGATAGTCCAAGAAAGAGAGCCGTCGAGTGTCATGGAAAGTGCGCGGCGGAATAGATCCGAAAAGTCGGCTGGGCGGTCGACGAAGATGTCTGCTTTCCCCGTCAGTGACCACGACAAGAACAAGAACACGGTTAACAAACACCACCCAGGCGCACTCACCCCAAGTTCCTAACCGTTCCCTCCGCTTGGCATTGACTATCAAGACAATGAGAAGAACATGGTAATTGGAGGAGTCCTCTCCGTAGCCGGGCCATAGGTAACTGAATGCGCGTCAGCGACAGAGTTCAGAGATCGCATGCTCGGCGCAGTGTCAGGGCAGCCAACCTTTCCAGCGTTTGCAGGCCCTCCAGCACTAAAAGTGACTTCAGAGGGAAATTCTCCTTCTCTAGGGTATCCCATATTTCCCGCTTCAGCACATCGTTCTTGACCTTGACTTCGGCCGCCTTCTTAGGCGTCTTGAGCCAATGTTGCCGCGCGAGCGTCGCAAACTCGCTCTCGCCCTCTAATTCCTCGACCGTCGGCCGTCCTGATGGCCCAGCACTGGGCCGGGAATCCGCGCTGCTCTTAACTCTTTTGGCGGGAGGCATATCGGGTACCGTCGTCGGGTGCAGCGTGCGGAATGATGGCCCGGTGTCGTGTCGCGCTCCCGCATAAACTTGCAATTATTTATAGGCGGCGGCGGGATGCAATTGGAGAGCTCAGCTTCCAAGCTTCCCACTTCCATCGCAGCCTTGCAGTAGTGCGTCACACTGTGCAGCCCAGCCCCACTACAAGCGGATCGGCAGCGGCCCCGGACCTGGCCAGTGGCCAGCCTTGTTCACTTCCATTGTTTGCAGGCAGCGGGCAGCTGCTGGTTCCGTGTCTCGATCCCCTCAACACTGCAGTGCGCCGATTACAGCAAGGGAGGTGTTCGCTGCCGAGGAAAGCACGCTGGAGCATAACCTTTCCGCATCCCTCTTTCCAAGACGACAAGATGCCGTCGGCAACCATCGACAGCCACGGCATCTCGGGCGTTGTCGCTGTTGGCACCTTCTTGGACAAGCTGCTCGCGCGAGCTGAATCCGTCAAGCAAACGGCGTCGATAGAGCCGCCCCTTGAAAAGTCCCACTTTGACGATCTTCGGCGGCAACTAAGTGATGCGCTCGGATACGATGTGACAGCGGAAGACCCTGCCGACGCGAAAAGAACGCAGCGCTTTGCCGTGATCGAGACCGCCGTGCGTGACACCTTCAAGTCCGTGATCGTGAGTTGGCCCCCCTCGTCCGCCACGGGCTAGCCGTCCTTGCGGCTCACCAACCTGTCCTCCCAGGCTACGACACCGATTGAGTCTCCCGCGTTTGTAACGGTCTGGAACCTCTTCGACATCCTCTCCTTCCTCTCTGACTCGGAGCTCTGCGACCCCGCCCTGCTCTTCTGGCTGGTCGAGGAGCTGCTGGACAGCCAGACCATTGCCGGCTGCCGCAAGGTCTTCGACTTTCTCGAATCGCGTCGCGAACGCATTACTGCCAAGCACTTCAAGCAGAAGCAGCTCGTCATTCTCCGCACCTGCAACGAGCTCCTCCGGCGCTTGTCCAGAGCCCTCGACCCGGCCTTTTGCGGCAGGGTTTTCATTTTCATGTTCCAGAGCTTCCCCCTGGGAGACAAAAGCTCTGTTAACCTCAGAGGAGAGTACCACGTTGAAAATGTCACTACTTGGGATCAGGAGGCCCCAGTCGCGGACGGGGAGAAGATGGATGTGGACACGGATGCGAAACCACAGAAGGACAAGGCTCTAGATCCAGATGCCCTTTATCCCATCTTCTGGTCTCTGCAAGAGAGCTTCAACCAACCGAAGAAGCTGTTCGACTCCGGCCAGTTTGCCGCCTTCAAAGCTGGTCTTGAAGCAACCATGGCAACGTTCCGCAGCATTAAACCAGAACAGCCGTCACGAGCCAAAGAAAAGCAAGACAGGCCGGTCGAAGAGATGAACCACAGCCTCAAGAGGAAGCGAGATGACGTTGACGACGAGCTTGCGAGCGGGTTCAACCCGAAGTACCTCACTAGCCGAGATTTGTTCAAGCTCGAGGTGCGTTTTGAAACGGCATTATCGCCTGAATGTATTGATTAACGATGCACAGATCAGCGACCTGGCGTTTCGCCGGAACGTGCTTGTCCAAGCACTGATAATCATGGACTTTCTTCTTTCTCTCTCGCCCAAGGCCAAGGAGAAATTGGCGAGCGTCAAGGCTCCGAACAAGTCGGTGACATACTCGGACCAGCAGCTGAGCGAAGAAGATACGAAGTGGGCAACAGAGATGAAGGAAGCGATTGTTGATTACCTGAAGCAAGGTGTAGAAGGGCCGTATTTCAACCGGATGGTTGAAACGGTTCTCTCCAGAGACAAAAACTGGGTCCGGTGGAAGATCGAGAACTGTCCCTCGATTGAGCTGCCAACCATGTCTCCTGAGATGTTTGTCGAGGCCAGGGCTACAGTAACTAAGATAGCGACGACAAAACGGCTGCGGGCGGCCCCGCTAGGGTCGCTTTCCCTGGACTTCCTCGACGACGAGGACGAAAACAGTGCCATGGAAAGACTAAAGGATCCAGAGCGATACAGCTCTCCCGATCTCAGCAGCTTCAGAAAGGGCATTGCCGATGACGACTTTGAGATCGAGATGCCCACCAACGACGAGACCAAAGCCAGCGCGATAGAAGGGAAGGCTAGCAAAACGTGGAGAGCACTGAGGCTAGCCAGTAAATCCAAGTTGGCCAGCTTCGACAAGGTCGATGACGACGACAAGATCGACATCATCTTTGAAGAGAAGGCCGCGCAAGAGACCGAGGATGTCGAGGAGGATGTATCGAATGGGGATACAATCTTTCCCGAGGATCGCAGGGCAGTCGTCATTGTCGACGCTACAAGCAGTCCGAAGTCGAGATCTGAACTCATAGCACAATTCATCGCTCAGCATCCTAAGGTCTTCACCAAAGTCGCTACCCACGTCACGCGGCAGCCGCTAGAAGGGGAGGTCAACGGGCAGGACTACCACTTTGTCGACACCCAGACATTCAATATGATGCGAGACGGGGACCAGTTCCTCGAGTTCGGCGAGGAAGGTGACGACGCCCATGGCACGAGCAGGAAAGTGCTTGAAGGTATCATGGACAACGACAGGGTGCCAGTCATGGGAATGACTCGTGACGTGAGCAATGCTATCCTCCCTGACGTTGTAGGAGGTGCAAGAGCTGACTAAACTATAACAGGGCGCGCAACAGGTTAGAGACAATGGTTTCGACGCTAGGTTCATCTTGGTTGGGACAACCGAAGCCGCGGCGAACACGGAGTCGCGGGATGACTTTTACGACACAGTAGTCAGCGATTTGCAGTCGTTAGAAGCGGCGGTATTTGGAGCACCGGCAGCGACGTCAGGAAACGTGGATGTGTCGATGACGGATGGAGCGGCCGCATCATGAAAAGACCATTGGGGAAAGCTTCTGACGTCTTCCAAATGCATGTTGTTTTATAGCACCAAAAAAAAAAAAAAAAAAAAAAAAAAAAAAGAACTAGAGCGCTAGACAAGATGATACCCCTCCCCAGTAATGCAAACCCTTTATTCATTGTTTACAATTCGCTCTGGCATCCAACTGTTCAACCGCCTCGACCACCGCCTTCGACTTCCTCTTGACCTCCTCAGCGACGTCAACGGGCTCCATCACCATCATTGCCACCATGATTGGGTTTGGGGGGTCGATCACCATGTCGAGTGTCATTGACCGGCCACCCACGTCGCTCAACAGCTCTTTGGCTTTGGCGGGGTTGGGCGTGCCTATTGTTTTCACATCACGCTTCGTTTTGATATTTGTTCTTCTTCCGCGTGGAGGGACTCAAACAATGGAGGTATATCATACCCGACGGTGTACGTGTAATAAAACTACCTACTCACCCGCGGTAGACTTGTCGTAATCTTTGATTTGCTCGGGATGCTCCACCGCGAACCCGCCCTCAATGTTGTCAAGCTCGGAGAGGATATATTTGCTCCGCATGGCGAAGTCCCAAATGTGGTGGAGCGTGGGGTGTCTGTCGGGTTGGCGGCTGCATCTTTGGGTGCGCCTGAACGGCATCAGCCAGGTCTTGGATGCGGGCCTCGACCTGCTGGCGGGCCGCGAGGGGCGGGAGAACACTTGTTGACATCTTGCGTGTTCGGCCTTTATCGTTGACGGCTAAAGGGAGGAATCTTCAAGAAGTGTGCAACAAAGCCGGAAGTCAGGAACCTGAGGTTGGGTTTGGGAGTCCGTTTGAAGTTATAATGGACGGCAGGGCACCGGGTATTAATTAATGACTTAGCGCGTCTCAACGCGCCCAGCGCGACAGGTTGGAAGCTGCTAGAAAAACTGATCCGACCCCTGTCCGTGTTGAACTTCACCTAATTCTGGGGCAGATGCCCCGGGGAGGTGTACAATATGTAAGGTATGTACTTGTACAATCAATGCTCATGAAATCGAAGGCGCTCGAGACTGGCGCGTGACCGGCCTGGACGGCCTCACCCAGTTCAGGGGCTTGGTTATTGGCCAAGGTAATGGTGCGTCGTTGCTCTGGCAACGCTCACCTATCTCCTTCTCCCCGTTGAGGATTTGGGGATTGAATTGGGAGAATGATGAAGTCTACCTAAGGTAGGTACAAGAGGTGAACCCTCTGTTTTCGTTGAGTCATGGCTGAGAAGGCTGGAGCAAACGAGAAACAAAATGACGAGAAGCAGGAGATCCATCATGATAAGTTGCCAGTGGTTGCAGTTGCCAACGACGGGTGCGGCTTCCCTCCCGATGGGTAATTCAACACCAGGGTTAGCAATCGCCCGATCGAGACGTGGGACAAGATGCTGGTCGACATTCTCCTAGCTCCTGTCATTTTGGTTTGAAAGATGTTTTTTAGTGAATGTGCAGGCCCTTGCTCACCCCCCCCCCCCCTCGCTTCTCCTATGCGGTGCTCCTTCCGCTGCTTGCGAGATGGTCAATTCGAGTCGTTGTTTCAATGTCCATTTACTCGATATCGCATCATGTGGATGGGCTGCGAACCCAGCATCTTCAAGCATGACTCCTTATATTCCATACCACAACTACCATTTCCCCTACACAGCCCCTGGACGCTCGCCAAACGCACGTCTTCGACTCCTATCGAACGATGTTTGCATACTCTGCAACCCCGGACGGCGGCCGTAGTCCTCGGCCAGCGTCCCCCACAGATACTGCAACTTCCAGCAGTAGCGAGATTACGCTGTCAGCAGCTGATCAACGCAACATCATCCGTCTGTTGCAGTGTCCTGTCTGCTCGCAAATACTGGAGGAGCCCGTCGCTCTCCCGTGTGGTAGCGCGGTCTGCCAACGCTGCCTACCGAACCCCCGTGCGCGAAGAAACATCACCTACCCAAAGGGTATCGCCAGAGCATCCCGCATCAGCTGTCCCATCTCAGCCTGCCGAAGGGACCATGCCGCAGACGACTGTAAGCTCGACATCGTCGTGCGTCTCGCCGTCAACGGGGTGACGTACGCACTGGAGAAGACTATCATCGACGCCGAGGCGGCCCAACCAAAGGTTCCATCGCTGGATGGGAGCCTCATCCTTGTATACATGTTGGTCCGAGAGGGGTTGCTGAAGTACTGTGAGGACCGCGTGTTCTACCTACCAAGCTCCGAGACGGACGGATGTACCGCCTTTGATGACGAAGCACTGGAGCAAATAAGGACAACGACAAAGGGGTACGTCGCCTGCCGGGTGTGCATGTATATGTTGCACGATCCCGTCACGACTCCCTGCGGCCACACCTTTTGCCGTCTATGCTTGGAGCAGCTCCCCGACGAAAACAGGCGCTGCCCCCAGTGTGGCCGGGAGTTGTTGATACGGCCTGACAGGTGTCCTCCAAACGCGGTCCTGGCCAAGATGCTGAAGTCGTTCTGGCCTGACCTCACCGAGGTGCGGCAGGACGAGGTCGCGAAGGTCCGGCGCGACTGGCAAAGGACACAGGTTGATGAGATGTTGATGCATCACCATGATGGGGTGATATTTCCCGGGGTGCGCAATCAGATCCTTGTGGACAAGCCGGGCTACTGGAGCAAGGTGCACGCGCATGAAGAACCAGTGCCCAGCCTATTGGGTGTGGTCGCCCGCACAAGAGAAGCCGGCGATCTCTCAAGGGTTGGCACAGCGGTTCACCTCGTTTACATTGCGCCCTTCGACTCTACCCGTTTACAACTCGTCGTAGATGGTGTCTGGAGGTTCTCGGTTCTTGAAAACTATTACGCCGACGGTCACCACCGCGCCAGGGTTCGACGCTTACACGACATCGGTGTTGCAGAGGAGCAGGAAGAGGAGGCCATCGAGACGTCACCCTGCAGTTCGAGGTTGACATCCAGGGCGGACATCGACCGAGTCCCAACGGACTTCCTCCTCAGGTACGCCGTCGACCTCATCAAATACAACATAAAGGCCAGGCCCAAGTGGTCCTATCATATGGACAAATACGCCATGTCCTACGACGAAGAAGATCCTCCCGCAGACCCAGTCAAGTTGCCCTGGTGGTTCGCCAACTTCAACGTCAGCGTCAGCACTTCCGACAAGCTAGAACTACTCGTCTGTCCTAGCGTGCGGGAACGGCTGAAGATGTGCTGGGATTGGTTGTTCGACTGCGGGCTGGGGCCACCGGTCGATTCCGCCTGGTTATCTTGGTCGAATGTGCGTCATCAGCGGTGCGCTACCTTGTAGTCATCTGCCTTGGTGAGTGCTGCACTAATAAGGAATGCGGAATGTTTGTTTTGCTTTTACATAGAGAGGGTCACTACGGATGGGATACTCTGAGTTCGTTTTAGCCAACACATGTTATCAAAGCATGGGTAGTAGCCCTGGCCCGCGAGCCCAGGGAGACAGCGTCTAGATCTCCTTTATTTCGAATAGCGATTACGGCCCACAAGCCGCAGTTCCTTGTCCTAGATGTCGAGCACGAGTGTCGTGAAGCAAGAGATGTTTGACCTTAGTATTGTTCAGGCACAATACTAATTCGAAGACAAAGCAGGTGGTTGGCTCAACAAACACATCTTCATGTTTGACAGCGATGTCCGGCTTCGGTTTTTGAAGCCATATTGCGTGACTTGTTGAGGGATCATAAATAAAAGCCTCCCTTTGCCCCGGGCAGTATGGTAGAGAACCTGGTTCCGTCTCGATCCTGAATATCAGCATCACAAACCGAGTTCTAAGCCACACCTCTTTCACAAGTTAGCCTGCCCGAATCTACATCAGTCAACAGACAGCCAAGATGCGCTTCTCAATGCACCATGTGCTCAACTTCTTCATCTTCATCCTGGCACCTATCAGAACGACCGGGTTCATGTGGTTTTAACCGCTGGAAACTCGAACTCGTCCATTCCCAGTATCGATATTTTGCTTTGATAAAGGATACCTTGTGTTACAACCAACAGACGCTACCCTCACACCACACCCATCCGAGATGCCTTTTTTTTAAAAAAAAAAAATTCATGATCATCACCTGACTCCTCCCCACCTCCCCCTGCCGGCGGCAGACGAGTTCAGCGCCAGTCGGCGGCCGATATTCCCAAAACACACACAGCTGCAGAACAACACGCTCAGCATCCAGATGCTCAACTCGATCGTCTCCTGGCTAGCCAGCCCTTGGCTATGGCCGCCAGCCAATCCAGCGGGATTATCAGCGCGAGAGAGCAACGACGCTGCCGACGACGAGGAACTGGCAGACGCCGCCGCCGCCGCCGTCGTCGGAGCGGGCATCGCATGCGGATCCAACCCCATCATCACAGCCGACCCGGCCAGCCCCACGGCAGCAGAGAGCAGGAACCCGGGCTTGGAGCGGTCGATCAGGTACCACAGGAAGGGGTTCACCAGCGCTAGCGTCAGCGACACCTGCATGGTCGACGCCCAGGGCAGCTTGCGGATGGCGAAGACGATCCCCACGAATGCGCCGATCCCGCGCACGACAAGCGCCCAGTCGGCCTGGGGCGCCACGGACGCCGAGGGTTTCTCCGTGATCGGGGCATCAACACTCCCGTCTCCTCCTCCTCCTCCTCCTCCTCCTCCTCCTCCTCCTCCCCCCCTTTCTCCTCCCCCTAGGAGCAACTCCTTTGATGACGGGGGGGGGAGCACGACGCCGCCCCGGCTCATCTGCGCGGCGGAAGCTTCCCAGAATCGATCAAACCAGGGCAGCAAGCTGCCCAGCGCCACCCCGGCGACGCCCCAGAAGACGAGATAGCGCCATTCGTACTGGGCCTCGTAATACGCCGCCAGGTGACGGTGCTGGTGATTATGATGGCAATTCTGCGATCGGGGGAGCCGGGTGACCAGCACGCCGTAGCCGACCCCGAGCACGAACAGCAGCGCGGCGCGCAGGAGGAGCTGCAGCAGAGCCACCCACCCCCGTGACGAAGATGGCCCCATCGATGATGGCAGGAGAAGGTTGGTGCTCCCGGACTGGAAGGACGAGGAGGAAAAAGACTCGCGGGAGGCGCGGCTGCGCATCAGCCGGTAGGTCTCTTCGTCCAGTCCTCCGGGCCGCGGGGCGGGTGTCTCGATGGGGGTATCGGTGGCGTCGGGAAAGTACTGGTCCTGGTCCTGGTCGTCTTCCGTGTCGAAGGGGCCTGTTGTTGAAGGGGAATAGATGCCATAGAGAGTGCCCGAGGTCAAGTTCCGGTAGGAGGAGGTGTGACTGAGCGGGGTGGTGCCGTCTCGGTTCGGAGTGAGGCTGCCGCTCTGGTTTTGAGGAGCGAGGAAGCGGAGGTCGCTGGCGCTGATCTGGGGGCTCGGAAAGGACGAATAGTCGTCCTCTTCCGGCGGCGTCGGGCTGGAAAACTTGGCGTTGAAGGGCCGGCGGGGAATGGGGCGGATGATTTGGGGCCCAGGCGAGTCGGAACGCCCGTCTGTAGTAGCGCTGGCGTTCTTCATTGCTGTGAGCCGGTCTTCTCTCCTGGTGTAGATGGTGATGCCGGGATGATGCTGTTGGTACTAATGTTGCTTGAACGCGGCTAGCTAAAGGCTCTCACACGAAAGTGCATGCCTCCGGAGCCCGGCGAGGTGTTGTGAGCGAGCGTCTGATCCAATGCACCGGTATCGTTGGTAGGTAAGGCACGAGACAGGCGCCAGTTGTAAGCTGTGACAGATCGGAAGGCCTGCCCAGGCTTAACTCAAAATAAAAAAAGTCGAACACGGTGTCAAACAGCCGGTTAGTAAACATGCAAATGGGATGATTCGTGCCCTAGGTGTGCACAGAACAACCTAGGGAGGAATGATGTCTGGGAAAGAGCCAGATCTCGGTTCAGGCGCTGCAAGCGCCCTGACAACATAAGCCCAACTAGGGCCACAGATCGATCGATATCGTTTAGCTGTTCTCTTCCGCTGCGTCGACTGGTCTGCCGAGTGATGTTTATACGGCTAAAGAACTGGCCATAGGCGTCTAACAGGGCTCAGATGACAGAGCGTGCAGTGTGCCGACCGTGCATGAAGTGACACAGGCAGCGCACGGATGGGGATTTTCAACACGGCTGACTGTGCTGCTAGGCACCTTAACTTTGCTCAATGTCCGTTCCAACAGGATTATTGGGGTAGCTGTGTAACAGGCCGGGCGGAACACGCTCCGAGGCTTGCTCATGTCAATGTACAATACATACAATAGACAAGATGCTTGTGATGTATCAAACTCGTCTCACTCATTCAAAACCCATTTCATGGATGCCCGCATCGTGCATGTGTCTTACCAGTGCCCAATTCTTGTTGTGACAACTGACAAGCGGCGGACCCTGGCTTTTCGAATTCCATGAGCCACCCGGAAGAGGAGAATTGGCAACCTTGGAAGCAAGGGTAGCAAGGTTCCTCCCCGTCGACAAGTGGGTCCATTCTAGGTAGAAACGCGGGTACCGGTTATTGGTTCTCATTCACATGTGATCAGCGTCAGAGGACGCGTCCCGGGGAGTCAGCGCTGGCCGCCGGTCCTGGCCCGACTTGAAGTTGTGGTCGCCTGACGGCACTTATTAGAGCCTGAGAATTACCCCACACTTCGCGGCCTTTCGTGGTTGAGTGCAGCGCTTGGCGATTACTATTCCTGCTTTTCGACCTGCGGGAACGCCTGCGTCGTCAATCCGGAGACCGTGGCTGAGGTTGCACAGTGGTCCATCTGCACTGGAAACCATATCATCCAGGTGGTGAAGGGCCACGCTGATAATCAGTTGACGTCACCTTATAATGACGGCGAGGTGGTGTACGATCTGGTGTAGGATCGCATGTGAAAGGTTGGGGCTCACAATAGACTCGGGCAACGAGAGAGCCCTTCCATGCCAACTTTATCTGGTAGCACGATTATTTACAAGGCACCAATGCTACCTATGGTTTTTCACTCATCGTCGCTGTCCTCCGACCCTTCTTCCCCCGACTCATATTCAAACTCGCTCTCCTCGGCCCCTTGGGGCCGGGGTATCATGACGAACGCCTCCACACAAGTGATTCTGTTCTGTGTCTCGTATGTCCCGAGGAGCTTGCCGACCTGTTTCGCCGTGCTGTTATCGACGCTCAGGTCGTCCTTAACCAGGTGCCAAAGTCGGATCCGACCATCACTGCCCGCCGTAACGACGAAAAACGCTTTCTTCCCGCCTTCGTCCTCCACTAGCAAGATGGTGAAGTCTTTGATCCTCCCGGAAACGCCTGCTTCTTTCCCGCCTAGCTGTGCAACCAGCTTAGCAACCGGCAGCATCTTATCCTTGAGCGGCTCCCCCAAGTCCTCCTTTGCGGTTGAGAAAAACAGCAGCCGCCCATCCTCAGTCGATACCGCCAGCAGCGACTCCTCCTTGTCTTGATCCGTCTCAACGTAGCAGAACTCATGCAGCTTCGTCCTCGTATCCCTCATCAGCCGACACCTAGGCACACAGTCCATCCCGAACACCAGCACATCGCGGTCAAACCCGACCGCAAACTCGTCCTCCCCGCCCCTCGAACTGCCCCATACAATCCGCCTTGCCTCGCCTGTCGAGTGCCTCCCCTCTCCGATCTCGGCCAACACGGCCCTGTCGAAATTCAGCACCCTGCTCTTCTTGCCCGTCTCCAAGTTCCACAGCCGCATGCACCGCTCCCCCTTGCTGACGCTGATCATGATCTTGTTGCTGGGGTGCACCGCAAAGTCGTTCACTCCGCTCGGCGCCGCCCCCTGCGCGGCCGTGTCCCCGCTCGGCCGGCCCTGCATTTTGGGGATGGGCGACTTGAACGTGTGCAGGAGCGTCCAGTCGCGGGTGCGCGTGACGGCGATGGTCGAGTCCTCGGCCGCGGAGAGCAGCTTGGAGCGGTTGGGGAACACGAGCCGGGTGATATTGGAGGAGTGGTGGAGGAGGGTTCCCAGTTCGCGGTTCTTGGGGTTCTCGAGGATCGGGCGGGGTGCGAGGGAGGAGAGGAGTTTCTGGTCGTCTGCGGCGCGGGTGGATGGCGGGTGGGCCGAGAGGTTGTAGATGTTGATGCGCTCGTCCGTGCTGCCGGTTGCAAGCAGAATTTTCTGGGATTGCCCTGGTGTCGGTGCAGACGGCGGGGATAGGGCGAGGCAGCGGATGGCCGAGTTGTGCGCGTTGAAGAGGAACGTGTCGGCAAACTCGGCGTGTTGCGAGGAGGAGCTGTTGTCTTCAGGCTTGGATTGTGGTTCTGACGTAGACTTCGAGACAGCGGAAATGGAGGTTTGCTTAACGGTCGCCGTGATACCATGAAGTACTCGGTCGTAGGACCCTGCAATGATCTGGATTGTTACGGGGTGACCGTCGCTGAGCTTGAAGGCAGCCGACTTTGGTACTTTGGACGCTCCTTTCGCCTTCTTCGTCGACGTCTTGGCCTCGGCATGTTCGCCCTCAGCAGCTGCTTCTCGTTTCCTCTTGGCCATGGTAGTTTCTAATCGTTAGTGATCCTTAGTGGTCAATTCCTGGTCCGGGTCGGGGGTTGTCGATAGTTGAGGCAGACGGCGGCATGAGGATCTGTATTTTTTTCCCCCAGCAAACGAATTAAAGTGGATGCTACGGATACCTACCTGAGCCTACCTACTTTATCTTATCGCTCCCCCCACCAAGCTCCGCCCAGCTTCGTGGAAGCTCATGGGACAGCACGTGGACAGGTAATAAAATACCTAAGGTACCTATGGAACCCATGAGACGCTCAAGAATTCTCATCACGGCTTCTGTAACTGGGGATTACATTACTAGCATGTACACCCTGATCCTTGTCTTGACCGATCATGGAAGATCTACACACATGAACCCCCCCTAACACCGACCCCTCGTGAGACACATCTATGCCTCGAACGCCAAAGTGCTAGACCGTCTACCAAATGTAGCTACTTTCTGCCTCATCTACCAAGAACGAAGCCGGGTCAATCCATTCCTCGAAGTGATGCACGAGTGATAGTTGGACGATGGAGGCGTTAGAATGGCGGCATCGGAAGTCGAAGGACGCCCGTCTTCCCATCTTCCTGGATCGCAATTGCATAGGTAATAGTCCAGTCGCGTTCTCGCTTGTAAGCTCGGTGCTGCACTGCTAGGGGCTGGTAGGTCTTTTTCAAAACAGCATGTTAAGGATGCTCGCTAAACTGGGCGCTGATCGATCTCTAATCATCGACAAAAGCTTTCTTTCCCTAGGATGGTTGACCACCTGCGACCACCACAAATAATGTGTCCGGCGACTACTTGCCCGGAGCCGGCGTCGCGCTTCCGCTCGCCTGTCTCTGGTGCCCCTGCCCTTGTTGTTGTTGTTGAGCAGCCTGTTGGGCGGCCTGTTGGGCGGCCGCCTGCTGGGCCTGTGCTTGTTGCTGGGCCCGGAGGAGTGAAGCATACTGATGTGGACTGTTCATTGGCTGCTGTGCTGCCGCTCCTGCGGCCGCGTTCATTGCTGCTTGCTGTGCTTGCTGCTGGCTCTGCACGATCAGGCGACCCAGATGCTCAGTTGCCAACTGCCGCACTGTTTCTGGTGGGAGGTTTGCGTTCTTAGCCCGGTAGTGCGCCTCCAGCTCCGCAAGTCGTTGTGTGATATGCTGGCTCAGGATTCCGGGAGATCTGCCTGGCATGGCGGGCATACTCAAACCCGGACCCGGCGACGTCACCAAACTAGCACCATTGGCCGCATTGAACGATGCTACCATAGCCTGCGCGTTCGTCAGGAACGCCCCCTGGTTGAGGCCGTTGACCACGCTACGCAACGGTGTTGGGGAGCCCTGGGCCCCGTTCGCTTGGGGCAGTTGCTGCGCTTGTTGGCCAGTCGGCGGCTGTTGCTGCTGTGCTACCTGTTGTTGCGCGTGTGGCTGGGCGGGTTGTTGTTGCTGTTGGTGCTGCTGCTGCTGCTGCTGCTGCTGTGGTGGTGGTGGTGGTGGTGCCTGGACAGTGTGCTGTTGCTGCAATGGCTGCTGTTGCTGCTGCTGCTGCTGGAGTTGCTGGATGGCGGCTCGTTGTTGGTTTTGAATTGACCGTGCTTGAAGCACCAGGTTGATGTCGGGGTGAGGATTGGCCATTGGAAGTCTCTGCTGTGCCGCCGCCTGCATTGCCTGAAGCTGAGCCTGAGGAATGCCTGCCATTTGAAGCGGCGGGACAAGGCCGCCGGCAAGTCGCGCTTGTACAGCGGCAGGAACCGACCCGGGAGTCCCTGGTATCGAAACTCGTCCTGGAACTCGATTGTGCGCGGCCATGGCAAGCTGCCCAGGGACATTGAGAAGCGCGGCGTTGTTGAGCGGGTTTGCCGCAGCGAGCTGCGCTGCCGCCTGCGGAACAGGAACAGCCCCCGGGGTACCCGGTGCTTGGCCGGGGTTGCTCTGCTTCTGCTGCTGCGGGTGGGTTAGTTCATGCGGTCAACCATTTCACGTCAAAATGGGGCACTTTACCAATCTCCTGGCATTCGCCTCAGCCTGCCGCGCGGCGTATGCAGCCATTCTCTCCGCGAGCGCCTGGTCCCGCTCCCACCGCATGATGCTATAGTCTCGCGGCGTCTTGTTCTGAATCTGCTGCTGCCTGGGCACCTCGTTCGCCTTGCGCATGGCCGCCAGATTGGCCACCTGCTGAGCTTTCTGGGCCGCAGTTTCTCGCTTCTTCGCCAGTTTCCGCATAGCATCAATCAGTGCCAGGTGCTTCTGGTTGCGCCGTCGCTCAACACGTATGCTCGTGGTCGGTCTCCGTCTGGGGATCGGCGTAACCGCACCATTTGGTCCCACTTGCTGCTGTACATTTTGGTTGTGCTGCGCAATGGCTCTCTGCGCCGCATCGATCCGAGCTTGGTAGGCTTTGAAATATGGGGTTCTCGCCATATCGTTTGGCAGGCCTTCCAAGCTGCCGAGACTAACCCATCGCTCAAAGCACTCCCAGGGTGTACGCCGCTCGGCTCCGGAAGCGAACGCCGAGGGGGTCGATACCATTGTCGATATCAGAGACCAGTTGTATGAGCACTCGCGGACAAGGCACTTGAGCTGCTCATCCTCAGCCCACGTCCACTGAGACGCAGTTCGGCACTCAAAGAAGGTCTGAGGGGGCATAGGGTGCTCGGTAGGTGGTCGGAACTGGTGGCCAGCGTGGAGTCGATCTCGGATGCCCTTCATATCAGGGCTGAACAATGCAATTGCAGTGTTTTCGGGCCGTAGCTCTGAGCCGTTGTCCTTGTCTTCTTCAAAGACCATGTCACCCTCACCCTCGTGTTCCGCAAGATAGTCGTATCGACGGCGCTTGCGGGGTGGAGTGTTGTTGGTCAGAACCATTTCACCTTCAACATACTTGCTGAGAGGCACCGCGGGACGCTTCCACTTTGCGTCTGGATCGTAATCCGCGCCGACGAAGTCGAATTTGGGGACCTGCAGTGGTGAACCATGGATTGGGAGGTTTTCTAGAAGGAGATCCGCCGTTTTCGAGGGCTGTAGGGCAAAGACAACCTCGTCGTCGTGCAGGGCGAAGATGGCAGATGGGGCAGCAGAATCAACCATGATCTCTGGGGGCTCCTCCTCAGCTTCCATCGGGGAATCGGTGTGAACGAGATCCGGCATCGCTTCGTCCATAGCACTAGTGGTATTGACATTCGTGCTTCCCGCAATCCTGTCTGCTGATCGTGGCGGAAGTACCGCATTCACCTGGAGCGCCAACCGCTCTGCCGGGCTCGAGTGGACCCATTCCGCACAGGCATAGGCGAGGTTTCGCGCAACCGCTCGCGTCCACTTCCGCTCCTCGCGAAAATCGGTGCGCATCCATTTCATCTCCTTGAGGACGATATCCCAGTGAGACGGTGGTCTTGCCGGCTCTGGGCATCGTACCGGCTGCCTCAATGACCATTTGTCGTGCTGCTGAAGATGATAGACACGCCGCAAAATCTTGCAAGCTTGGTGGTCTAGGATCGAAACGTACTGGTCCGAGGTTGAGATGGTCTTGTGGGCCTGGTTCAAGAGTTTCTCGATAGGCTTCATCCACGTTGATTGCCGAGTGAAGCCCTCAATGAAAAGAGGCGTGAAGTAGTCATCGGATGGGATCTGTCCCGGCCGTTGCTGGCTGACAACAACTGTGCCCTCGTCTCTCGGCTTCGACTTTGTAGGTTGCTTGCCGAAAATCACGGTCGGGACGCTCTTCCGTCGTTTCTCACGAGCCTTGTGGGCGAGCAGTGTGAGTTGGGCCCCGGAGGAAGCCTTCTGTGCGGAGATCTGCTCCTCGGTTGCGCGAGACACGCTTGGAGTCTCTGGCCCCAAGGTTTGGGGCGGTTCGGCAGAAGGTCCAGGTACATTTGTGGACGATGGCGGGTTCTTAAGTAACTCATCTCGTCCGGTTCGATCCATAGCGGCAGCTCCTGGAAGAGAAGGGATGTTTTTCAGGGTGGATGTGGTGTTTTGTGATGCGTTTGGTGTCGTCGTGTCTCGGGATGCAGCGATATCTGGTTTGTCGAGGTCCATGGGGACCACGATACTATCACTGCTCATTTCATGCATGTTAACACCGGTACGATTTACCTCCGGGGTAGTCTTATCATCCCGCTGGTTTTCTGCCTGTCCGGTGGGAGATGCAGCGTGCGCCACCTGCGACGCACTATCCCCTAACACAGATGACTGGGCCCGTTCCTCCACACCTTCCACAGCTTTGGTGAGACTGCCGGTGGCAAGAACAGCATCGCCTGCAGGCTCAGAGTGCTGTGCATGAGCTGTATATGATGCGGGCCGACTGGAGGGCTGGGATAGCTGGGCCGCCACCGATTCCTCAAGCAGCTGCGCTTCTACGCCATCAACAGTCGTTAGAGGCGACACTTCCAGCGAGGGCGAAGTCGCAATGACCTGGGTATCGCCACCATGTTCCCCTTCCTGTACCATGGGCCGCTCTTTCAGTCCCTGAAGAGGGGCTTCTTCAGTCCTCTCCAAGTACTGTGGTCCGTCGTTGTCAGGGCTGGTATTCGCAGACGCATCGTGCACGGCCGATGTCAACATTGACGGCGCAGTAGACCCGGGAGATGATAAGGCGTCAGCGTAGCGCACAGAATCAGTGAGAGGCACCCGCTGATCCAGAGATGTGGCCTCAGCATCTTTCACGCTCTGTCCGTCGTCGTGAAGCAGCCTGGGACTTGCGGCCAAACCTTCCGAGCGCGGTACCATCGTCCTGCTGCCCAGAGGTGCCTGGCCCCCGTCGCGTCCGTCGGAAGCGCCATCGCCCCGGCCCCGGTCTTGGGGATGGACAAGATTCTTATTCGCTTGCAGTTTGTCGGGGTAGCCATGCTGCTGTTCGGTAACCACGGCGCTCGCGGTGTTGGCATCCGTAGCCGATTTACCAACCGACAAGTCGTCTACATTCCTGCTTGTTCCAGAGTATACGTCTCGGTCGTCAGGTCCTCCGCTCTGGAGCTTCGACGAGGGTGGCCCGCCCTCCCGCGATTTGTTCGATATATCGCGAGTGGTCTTCTCGGTCGCCGTAGGCCCGTACCGCGCACGAAGCTGTTGTGTATCAAACAGCCGTTTCCGACGCGCCGGTATGTTGTGCTCGTTTAATCGCCAACCTCTACATGCGAAATGCCACGACTCAGAAACTTGATCTCGCACGCGGCACAATCCAAGACAGCAAGGAGAAAGGAATGCACATAGTATACTGGGATAGTTAAAACGTACTGCAGAATGTCGGCTTCGTTCAGGAACTTTTCTTCCGCAGGCGCGGTCGGCGGCGCGTCGGGATCGCTTAGATCGAAGTTGGGAACGCCATCTCGGTCGGCGGCTGCGATAGCGAAGAGCTCACGCAGCTTACGTTTACGCGAAGACGCAATTGAGCTACAAGTGGTTAACACCGATTATCGCACATCAAAATGATCAGGAAATTGAGCTCTATCCAGTGGAACTCTTCGCACCTTAATTCCGCCCGTTTTGATTTCAGCAGCTTCAGGCGGTCGGCGAGCGCCTGCTCAGTCATGTCATCGGCGACCGCGACATCCGTTTTGAATCAAACGGATGACGATGTCAACTTCAACAGAGCGATGGAAAACCGAAATCGCAACAACAAGAGATAGAAAATGGCAGCGTTGCGACTTTTTGACAATGCGAAGATTGAATGACCTCTTCAAGCAGGGCGTAAATCTCTGCCGTGCTTTGCTGAGGGGGTGTGTTGAGATAACCGTATCAGCGGGCGCGCGACGCACCTGCAGTTTTGGGGGGCAAAATTGTTAAGGAGGGGCGTAGCAACGCCTGAAGGAATGAAGGAAAGGGCCGCTTTAGCGATCGTCCAGCGGTGTGATGGCACCTGTGTGCACCCAATTTGGAATGTGAGAACGCCTAAGTCTGCTGGGTCCTAGGGCTTCTGGCCGCCGAAAGCGTCCGAATGAGACTGGATCTGACGTGTTAATAACAGAAATCGAAGTACCGGGCAGGTACCTAGTCCGCACTGTGACCCACCTTTCCCCCATCTACCTTAAGACTCCACCGCCATATCCATGACGGGATTCCATGAGCCGCTGGTTGGCAGCCGAGGAATATCCGGTGGAGGAAATGGACATGAGACTGAGAGAAGACCTCGAAGGGAACCGAGAGCAAAGTGAACGACACCAGCGGTCTGGGTAGGACGCCCTATCGTTTCTTCGCTGCCGGGTCCGAGCAGATCGAACGCTGTGGAAGCCAACCCTCACCGCTACCCGCAAAAGCCGGGGCTCTGGGACTGAGGAATCGTTAGCCATTGCTTAACCCGCCGACTGAGCACGGCCGGTAATAAGCAGTCCAGGGCTGGCTCCATCCTGGGGTCAGTTGTCTCTTGTGTCGGAGCAGCAGAGGCGGTTCCACTCTAGGCACGGCTTGGAGGGTGCGAGAACAAGCTGCGAGAACAAGGTGCGAGGTGTATACCCTGCAGAAGCAGTAGGTTGTGTTGGAGAGCAACCATTCATCTCTGTGTTGGCCGGCGGTGGAGAGACATCGACGCAGGGTCCAAGAGTCAATGGGGTGTGGTTGGCCAGTGCGCAAGCCCCACCAAAGCTATGTTGTATCATGTTGCCAGGCCGGGTCCAAAGTTCTCCAACCTGAGATCTTGACCTTGACATAAATATTGGCTGTAATGCGGTAAACAGGCGAACACTTGCAGTACCAAAAGATTATCCGGAATCTACTTTGGAACGGATTGCCATCGCTTGCTCTCACAGTTTATCCTCCTCCCCGGCCCCGGAGCAACATGGCAGACCAACCGTCCCGGATAGCGATTCAGCTCGGAAAGCCAGCCGGCGCTTCGCCACACGGGATCAAGAAACGCACGCGTCCTGCGCACGGGAAACGACATCGAGCGCACGCTCTAAACGAGGGTTCCGAGTCGGAAAATAGTGATGATGACCACCAGCAAGCAAACGGCCGCCACAAGGTCATCACCTCGTACGACATCCACGGCGGGAGTCTCGATAATGATGGGGCAGGGCAATACGAGAATCCAAGACGAGATGGCCGAGATGCGAAAGGAAAGCAGAAAGACAAGCCATCTGACGAAACTGGCACCACAGACGGTGGAGGTGGAGTCGCAGCAGACAGCTCTGAGTCTGCAGACAAGCCCGTAAAGTGGGGGTTGACCATCAACATGAAGGGGAAGACGGGAACAAAACACAACGGGCAAGAGTTGAAGTCACGAATTAGCGCACCTGACTCCGAAGGGGATTCAACAGGGCACAAGGGACATACAAAAAGTATTGACGAGGAGGCCCTGGACGCGCTCATGGGATCGAAGTCAACGAAACGCAAATACATCGATTCTGATGCCGCTGACCGGGACCCGCGCCCCGAGGACTACAAAGTCGTGCCCATCGATGACTTTGGGGCAACGCTCCTGAAACGCTTTGGCTGGGATGGCAAGATGAAGGGAAAAGTCAAGGAAGTGACGAGACACGCCAATCTGACGGGCCTCGGCGCCAAAGATGCGAAAGGCGCGGAGGATCTCGGGGCTTGGAATCAGAAGGCTGGCAAAGACTCCCGGCCCGTGCGACTCGAGGACTACCAGAGAGAGGAAAGGAAGAAGCGCCAGCGCGTCGATGACCGGTACGCCGACAGCTACAAGCGAGAGAGGGAGAGGGAAAGGGAACAGGGGCGAGAGCGCGGACGAGACAGATAGAGAACCCCCCACGACCCGCCTTCTATACCCGACACGATACCAGTTTCTGTTCAGATGATCCTATCTGTCCCATTGGGACGCATATGTTGCCATCCTCAACGTCCAGCGCTTGGCCGAGGTGGGTATCGCAGCACCGCACCGTTACCAGTTTGCCAAACACTAATACAAGCCGGCCTGGGAAAGCGAACTGTCGAGCGGTAGACTCAAAGCCAGTTGGTTTCCAACAGCGGATAATACACTCATATTTTCCGCCCTGGTCAAGCCCCGTCTTTTCGTCACCTTGAATGTCTGGGCTTTATGTTGACCATGGAACGAGACCCTCTAGCTGACATCTTATGTTGCGCGCTTTGGAAAAGGGTACGACCGAACCATCCATCGGTCGGTGTTAGCCAACGTTGTGCGGCTGGCACTCCAAGGTTTAGGTGGAACCTTCAGCACGGGAATCGCTCTGGAGATACACTTAGAGCAACGGCGCGGACACGATGGAGAAGGTGCCTACATGTGAACGGCCCAACCATCAAAGAAAGGACTGGCAGCTTGTTTGAGGCCGGGGCCCGGCTTGTGAAACCCGCTTATCGACCTCTACAGCCTGAGCGACTCCCCGGCTGTTGGGTCCCATCGACAGAGCCTCGCCTACCTCTGCTCGTCGGACAACACCTTGGTCCCTTACTCCAGGGGCTAGGACAAGGGTGAGCCGTTCCGTCTCCCGTGAGCCTCCAGTACAGAATTCGGTTCCAGACCGGGATCACTCAGTGGTGATTCAACTCTATGCACCGCCAAGGAACCGTTCGGGAAATGTACACCAGTCAGCAGACAAGAATGGCAACCGTTTCTGTCTCAAACCCACAAACCACGACCAGATTACCTTGCCGCCGTTGAGCTGGGACTTAACTTTCCCAATGGTGACCAAGTTCAGAGGCTTATTATAGGCAGAAGGAAAGATGGAGATTTCCTCAACGTGTATAGCCACTGGTCTTCCCCATGGCAACTGGATCCTGCAGTCCGAATCCATTGGCTACTCGCGCCCCATCGAGGATTCGGACCGAGTGGACTGGAGCTGCCGCATAACAACAGGTGCTACTGCTGTTGGTGCCCGCTTTGCTCATATGCACCGTCTCTATGCTTTGCTGTAAAGCTTGCCGATCCGGTTCTGCATGGTAAGACAGCTGTTCGCCAACACTGCGTGTTTGCTACCCAACTTAAACAAACTGCGTTACCGGTCTCTCCGATCCTCTGTTGACCCAACGACGGTTGCTTGTATGAACAAGCTCGAGTACCAGCGCTAATCTGAGTTCCACGTCCTTGTCCTGCTTTCCTCTCCCTCCCGGTCTGGGTCTTTGATATCTTCCGCTTCACGCACCCCCACACCCACTCACCTTTTGAACATCCCAGACATGGCGGGCGTGACGGCAAGGCCATGGTGGAAAGATGCTGTCTGCTACCAGGTCTATCCCGCCTCTTTCAAGGATTCCAATGGAGATGGCCTTGGAGACATTCCCGGTATTCTCAGCAAGATCGACTATTTAAAAGACCTGGGCGTTGACGTGGTCTGGGTCTCGCCTATGTAAGTGTTCTCTTGGGGCACGATCTGTCTTGAGCTATAGTGCTGATTCCTGGCGTCTATGCAGGTTTGACAGCCCACAGGTTGACATGGGATACGACATCTCGGACTACGAGAAAGTATATCCGCCCTATGGCACTGTCAAGGACATGGAAGATCTCATAGCAGCTTGCCACGAGAGGTAGCCACCAGCCTTCAGGGATATCTGTTGTTGTTTGTCCAGCGAGCTAACCTCAATAACCAGGGGCATGAAGCTGATCCTGGACCTCGTCGTCAACCACACATCGGACCAGCACGCCTGGTTCAAGGAATCAAGGTCTTCCAAGGACAACCCGAAGCGTGACTGGTACATCTGGAAGCCTCCGCGCTATGCAGAGGACGGCACCCGGCTGCCGCCCACCAACTGGAGGAGTTATTTCTCTGGCCCGGCCTGGGAATACGACGAACACACAGGCGAGTACTATCTCCACCTGTTCGCCAAGGAGCAGCCGGACCTCAACTGGGAGAACAAGGAGACGCGTGAGGCCATATATAACAGCGCCATGCGCTTCTGGCTCGACAAGGGCGTCGATGGCTTCCGGGTGGATGTTGTCAACATGTACTCGAAGGGCGTCGAGTTCAAGGACGCTCCCGTCGTTGACTCCAGGTTCCACGAACAGCCGGCTTGGATGTACTACGCCAACGGGCCCAGGATGCACGAGTTCCTCAGGGAGATGAACCAGAAGGTCCTCAACCACTACGACACGGTGACGGTGGGGGAGCTACCGCACACGCCGGACCCGAAGAAAGTCCTGCAGTACGTGGGGGCGAGCGACAGGCAGCTGAGCATGGTGTTCCAGTTCGACATTGTCGACATCGGCCAGGGCCGCGAGCACAAGTACCACTTTCAGGAATGGAAACTCCCGCTCCTCAAGGGCATCGTGGCCAAGTGGCAGCAGTTTATCGAAGGCACCGACGGCTGGACGACCGTGTTTTGCGAGAACCACGGTACGTGGGTAGATAGCACCATCCACTCTTACCATATCAGACCTGCGGCACATCATCTAACAGTGTGAAAAAATAAATAAAAATTAAAACAGACCAAGGCCGCTCGGTATCGCGCTATGCCTCCGACGCACCCGAGCACCGCGTCCACTCGGCCAAGCTGCTCTCACTCATGCTCTGCGCTCTGACGGGCACGCTGTTCATCTACCAAGGCCAGGAGATCGGCATGATCAACGTGCCCCGGTCGTGGCCCATCGACGAGTACCGCGACATCGAGTCGGTCAACTTCTACAAGGCCATGGCCCGCCAAACCAATAACGACCCGGCCGAGATGGCCTATGTCATGCGCGGCCTGCAGATCCTGGGGCGCGACAACGCCCGCCTGCCGATGCAGTGGACCGGCGACGCGCCGCACGCCGGGTTTACCGACTGCGAGAGCGGACCCTGGATGAGGGTGCACGATCTGTACCCGGAGATCAATGTTGAGCGACAAGTGAGGGAGGGGGCGGCGTCGGTGTTGGGGTTCTGGAAGAGGATGATCCGCTTCAGAAAGGAGCACGCCGATCTACTGGTGCATGGCGCGTTTGAGGGCTTTGGGATGCAAGACGAGAGCACCTTCGTGTTTGGGAAGACGGCCGGGGAGAAGAGAGCGGCCGTGGCGCTCAACTTCACGGGAGAGGAGCAGGAGCTTGAGCTCCCGGCGTATGGGGGATTGGTGTTCAAGATGGGGAGTCATGATGATGCCGCAGTGCTCGAGGAGGGAGTCAATGGTAGGCTTAGGAAGTTGAGGCCGTGGGAGGGGAGGCTGTATCTCGCTGGCTGCTAGGCTTGTCAGAGATTGCCTTGTATCCGTACATATGGTAGGTCCATCGCGATGGCTAAAAGTCAGCTGAAGGAAGCATCGAGGTCATAGGACTACCGATAGGTCATGGTCTAAATCCTACCTAGTAGGTCAGAGTAGAATTCGCTGTGGCGTCTTTTGAGTAAACACACAGCTCTAAACCATTGCATCACAGACTCAACAGCCTCAAGCGGTGCACTTTGTCTGCAAAAATACGCAAGTAATTCGAACCGTGTCTAAGACATCAATGATCCGAAGATAGGTATCCGTAGTTACTGCCCGTTATTAGAGCTTAAACTAGGTAGTAGTAGAAGTGCATGGCAGGAAAAGGGGCAAATAGGATCATCCGCCGTGAGACAATGGACAATTGCTGGAATCCCTGCAAAGATTCAAGTTGCTTTCCAGGCCACTGGGCGCCAAGCTTTTCACTCCATAGCGTTTAACAGGCGGACCCCACTGCCAGCCACAAACACGCGTCCACCGCCAAACCCTGGAGCCCAGCTCCCCTTTCATGGGGGAAGGGGAGGCTCCCGTCCAGCTCGAAAAAGTGCGGTGGACGAAGCTAAGTAGCCCCATCACCGTCCTCCTTCCACCTTTTCTCCCCAGACTTTTTCGTCCTGTCTTCTCAACAGTCCGCAATTGGACTGTCGCAGAAGCAGCTGCCGCCACAATGTCGAAGCCGCAGAGCGCCAACGGCAGCGAGTCGGAGTTCGAGTTTATCGAAACTCCCAAGGCTCCCACACCGACCTTCGAGAAGTTTGAGGAGTGCGGAGTGCGCACCACTTCGGTAAGTTGATACGCACGTTCCTAGGCTGGTGTTGGAATCACGACACGGTCGTACAGACACCATCATAGCTCCAACCAAGCTAATTGGCACTTGGCTAACCGCCGCACGCAGTACCCGACCATCAAGAATGCTCCTCTGCCCGCTGACGGTGCGGGCACTGACAGCTTCTCCAACGCTCTGCTCTTCTCCATCCTCGGCGGCGTGCCGCTTTACTTCTCATGGAAGCTTGGTGGTGGTCTGAAGACGGCCATCTTCCTGGCCCTCTTCACCACCCTTCCCCTGCTAGCCGCGTTCTGGATTATTGCCTCAACCATGTCGCCCCGTAAGAATGAGAAGGCCAAGTTTCCCGGCCGCCCCATCGAGCACTACCTCACCTTCAAGAAGCCGGCCGACAAGGCCAAGTACTCCGGCAGGGCCAAGATTCCCATGGAAACGTTCCACGAGATGTACTTTGACGGCGATGTCGACTTCAATGGCGACTGTCTGGAGGTGATGGAGTACCGTCACGATTGGGCCAGCTTCCGCTTCACCTACGGCTTGATCAAGTTCTTCCTGACCGGCATGATCCCGGAGGTCATCATGCACACCCGGTCGCAGGGTAAGTCGATTCAGTTCTTCCAGATGGGGAGCCGTGTGTGTAGGGCGTGCTAACGTGGGGTTACTAGATGAGGAACAGGTGCGCGACCACTACGACCGTGGCGACGACTTCTACGGTTGGTTCCTCGGCCCGCGCATGATCTACACCTCCGGCGTCATCAGCGACATCAACCGCGAGGAGACCCTGGAGGAGCTCCAGGATAACAAGCTCACCGTGGTTTGCGAAAAGATCAATCTCAAGGAGGGTGAGCGCATGCTGGATATCGGCTGCGGCTGGGGCACCCTGGCCCGCTTTGCCAGCGTCAACTATGGCGCCAAGGTCACCGGCATCACTCTCGGCCGCAACCAGACTGCCTGGGGCAACAGCGCCCTGCGCAAAGCTGGCATCCCCGAGGAACAGAGCAAGATTCTGTGCATGGACTACCGCGACATCCCCACCCCTCAGGGCGGTTACAACAAGATCACCTGCCTGGAGATGGCGGAGCATGTCGGAGTCCGCCATTTCCACTCATTCCTCAAGCAGGTCAATGAGATGCTGGATGACGATGGAACTTTCTTTCTCCAGATTGCAGGTCTGCGCAAGAGCTGGCAGTATGAGGATCTGATATGGGGTCTCTTCATGAACAAATACATCTTCCCTGGCGCTGATGCCTCGACTCCTCTTGGCTGGTTCATCGACAAGCTCGAGGGCGCCGGCTTTGAGGTCAAGAGCGTCGATACCATTGGCGTGCACTACTCGGCCACTCTCTGGAGATGGTACCGCAACTGGATGGCCAACCGCGAGAAGGTGGAGGCCAAGTATGGCAAGAGATGGTTCCGGGTATGTTTCCCAGCCAACCGCAAAAGTGTGATCTCGAGATGCTAACCAGAGAACAGATCTGGGAGTACTTCCTTGCCTACTCGACCATCATCTCCCGCCAGGGCAGCGCCACCTGCTACCAGATCGTGCTTCACAAGAACATCAACTCGTTCCACCGTGTGGAGGGCATTCCTACGCAGCACGGCCTCGGCGGCGCTGCCGCTGCTGCCAAGATTGACTTGAAGGCGTGGGCCGAGGCCAATGCAGCGGAGTTCCCCAGCGTTCCTGCGCATTAGGACGTGCTCACATGGAGCTGGAAGACCTGAATGCAAGAGTGGTCTCGGGTAAGACCGGGTTTGTTGGCGGACCGGCTGGTTGAAGTTCTACCCGTGTAAACATTAGAGTTGGACAGCAGACAGTTAGTTGAAAGGCTAGGAACCGTCCTATTGGGATGGCTCTACTGTTCACGATAACGGCGGGCACGGTCGCAAAATAGAGATAGGGACGGTAAAAAAACGGAAACGTGGGGGGTTTTTAATGAAGGGGGACTCGAGCTGTCCTTGGGTTGGGATTCTTGGGAAACGTGTCCCTGTGTCCGAGGAACCTGCTGTGATTTCCCATTCCCTCAAGTATTGAGTATACCGTTATTCCGCGTGTTCCCGTCGTTCAAGATAACAAAATGCTGTGTCGTCTTCGAATGATCTCTCATTAGTCATTCTCAGGAGAAGTGGCCTTCTTAAACCAGGTCTAGCTGCGCCAGTATTTATTTACCTTTCCGTCGGGTATCATACCGTACAACAACTGGTTCCCTACCTGGTAGCTGTTCTTCACAGGCACACGTCGTTCCCTCAATCGGACTCTATTGCGCACCCTCCTTCCACCCAATCGGTATCAACGCCGCAGCAACATTATCCACCCCGCGCTCGGTCGCGAGCATGTTATACTGGTTCGCCGCGTTTCTCGTGTCCAGCACCTCTACGTTCATGCCGAGGTTGCTGATTGTCCTCCTCGTGGCAGGACTCAGCGGCCTCATCTCCGGGCCCAACCCCAGTATCAGCAGATCTGCCCGTGTTAGCCCAACGTTCGCAGATTGTGATGTAGCCAGGAAGAAAAGCAAAATAGATATAAGAAAAGAAGAGAGAAGAAAGAAGAACGTACCAGGCCTAGGCCAAACAACCCCCAAAAGCGCAAACCCTTCCTCAACCACCTCCCATTGGCCCTTGTCATTCACCAATTTCCTCCCCCCTTTTGGTGTACTTGTGCTGCTCCACGGGCGCCAAGCAAACGCCTCGCCGCCCACGAGGAGTGCCCCGTCCCCACCCGTGATGTGGATGCCAGAATCGAGCGAGAAGCCGTCCTCGTGGCAGGCCGTCACGGCCGTCGACGGCACCGGGGTGGAGCCCAGCAAGTCCATCTGGCCGAAGTCAGTGGGCGGCGGCTGGTCAGGAACCTCTTCGCGGTTGTGGGCGAGCTGTTTGCGCTGTCGGTCCGTTGGCGGGGACGTGTGCACCGCGCGGTGGTAGCTGGGCACAGGAGCATCTCGGTTGCTGTTGTTGTTGTTGTTGTTGTTGTTGTTGTTGTTGTTGCAGCAGGCGGTGGTGGTGATGGTGGTGGTGGACGGCAGGCGGAGGAGTGGTGTCTGTACCCTCAAGTACGGTGGTTGTCGTCGGGGAACGCATTTGGTTGTGTTGGAACGAAGGATGCGGCAGGTGGTGAGGGGAACACGGAGGGCTGGTGATGGGGTCGACATCGTGGCGGATGTTGCGCTGGCTATAGAGGGATGCCTTTGTTGTCGCCGGGGAAACTCTCACTGACTCGCAGCGGCTCGCTAATAGTTAAAGATGCCCGTGTTAAGATCTCAATTGGAAATTTACTGTGTAAGCAAGTCGACGTCATTGCACGGGTTCTTGAAAGCTCGGGCCCGCAGCTTCCCCCATTGGCATCCCCACCAGCTCATACTCAATACAGTCCGAGCATCAGAATAGCGAAACGAGCGCGGTAGGTATGAGAAGCGTCCGGCATTCACGAGTAAGGCTGCTCATCACATTTCCGAGGCATGGAGATCTCCCGTCCTCGTCACTATCATCAAAAACCATCCACCTGAGCGCGACCTGCTTGAATTGTCCCTTGGGTTCCTCGCTCGCGACCGTAACCACTGTGCCATTTGGTGCTCGAAACTCCCTTCGCTGTGTTTCCCACAGCATCCCAGCCCATGAACCACGGTATGAAGTCCAGTTCCATTGAGAACCTCGTCCCGGAGTAAAAAGCAGCCCTAAGAACAGAGACAGCCAAACCCCGGCTGTGTGTATGTGTATGGCATGCGGCCCGACTCCCAAGTGAACACCGAAACAATGAGACCGTCAACTCAGCATCCGCCCGCCCGAACCAAAACCAAGTGCATTTATTTCTTCTTCTCGGCCTGGCTCTGCTCCTTCAACACCTTCTTGACGATCTTCTGCTCCTCAATGAGGAAGGCCCGGACGATGCGGTCCCGCACGCAGTTTCCGCATCTTGAACCACCGTACGGACGCTGGACGGTCTTCTTAGGCTTGGAAATCTGGGCGTACTCCCGGGGCCGGAGAGCGGGGACCTGCGAAAAACGGTACGTCAGCACACAACAGCCCAGATGTTTATCTCACTTTGCCTCTATCTCCGCTGCGTCGAGCCGGACCGACATCAAAGGCGGCAATGCATCGGTCTACAGCGAACCAACGTGCCCAGAACGGCAATGGGCTTCGCAATCGGCTGATGGACACCGGTCTCTAGCCCTCGCAGTGTCATAAGCTCGATGTTGGTTTCCGCGGCTGTTCGGTCGCTATCGATCGTCCCTCGGCTGTTCCTTCGAAATGTCCCAACCCCCACACGGAGCGCTCAAAACCCAAAACCACTTACACCAGGGAGCTTGATGCCGCAGTCGCCGCACTTCGGGGCAGTGCCGCGCTTCTTGATGTGAAGGAGCCGGAGCTCGCCGCCGGGAGTCTTAACAACCCGCGTCAGGTTAGACGTGGTGTTGTAGCTGCAGGAAACACAGTGTTAGCCCGTTTTCCTCCTCTTCGGCTCTTCGTCTTTCTCTCTCCCGTAAAATCAGCGGAATAGGAGGACTCACGGGTTGCGGCGGCGGTAGGTGACTCGTGAGGGCGCCATTGCTGCGGTGTTGTCGTCGCTGAGGTGATGGTTTCCGTCGACTCGATCACGGTGTGGGCGATTGTTGAATTTTGAGATACAGTTGCAAATTTCTGTGTGGGCGCAGAATGCAAGCCCCACACAGCGGCCCAACTTTCGGACTTCGAGCCTTGACACCTGGCGGAGCACAGCAACAGCCGGCAGAATGTGACTCCACCAGCCGCATTGTGGCTCACAGCTCAGGCGACAAGGTACGTAGGTACCTACATTCACCAGAAGATCATCGGGTCAGGTCTCGACCAGGTAGGGAACGTATCGCTTCTTGTTTGTTTCAAAAGTGCCTATGTAATATAGTTACCGTGGCTATCAAACAAGATGATAATCTTGCCTTTGGTATCATTCCGTATTCCCATCCAAAGAAAACCGATAGATGTTTCCCACCAGACGCCTATATCCCGAAAAAGAAACCTGCTCCTACCTAGATCGTCTAGTTGTGATATGTCAAGAAAGCCGGCGCCGCTTAGGATCTGGGTTCGCCCAGTCCGGATCATTACGGGCTCGCCATGGCTTGATGCCCTTTGGGTTCCCCTGCTGGCTGGCAGCCGCTCTAGCAAAGATCCCCTCAGATTGCAGGCCACGAACAGCTTCCCGAAAGCCTGTGACCTCCTTAGTCGTGCTGTTGACAGACTGCATGTAGGCGGCAAAGGCAGCCTGGGCTGTCGTGCTGTTAGTTGGCGGCTGCACTTCGTGCTGACCCATTTAGGCTTACGAGAAGGCTGTTTGTCCATCAATGGCCCTAACATGCGTGGAAGTGTTGAGCGAAGCTGCCGCAGCTGCACGGCAAGGTCAGACACCGGGCACCATTGACGCTGTGGCGAATCGCTGGCTTCACCAAACTTACCTGAAGGTGCACCTGGTTCAGACGGCTAAGCATTTCCACCAGCTGCTCTTCCTCCTGCACGCTGTCCTTGGGGATAGGTGAAGCCATATGACTGTTGGCCATTTTGACTATCAGACCTGCAAAAACATCTAGAAGTAATGAGGATGATGTCCCCAGAAAGGGAAGAGAGCCTGTGCCGGCTTGAGAACGCCTCGCAAGGTAGAAGTCCAGAAAGGAGGCTTGTAGGAAGCAGGTCTGATAGGATGGGATGACGAGCAAAGGGCTAACGTCTGATTATCTCCAGGACATGTCGAGACGAATCAAAAAGTTCGTAAGTGATATGCAAGGGTATGGACGTTGATTGACCAATCAAAACCGCCTGGCACCTAAATCAGACGGATGTTTGGCACCGTGTCAGCTACAATTGCTCATACGGAGTTGGCTAGCGTGTTCGATGCTGTCTGTCCATTGGCTGCATGGGCTAGTGCATGGCCACCCTGCACACCAGGCTCGTCATCCCATCCTATCAGACGAGTGCAGGCTACCCCCAGGGTTGGAGGTACCTACATATAGCTTCCCAGACCCACAACCCACCGGGCAATCACGCAAGCGAGAGTTCCGAGTCAGAGAACCAAGCCGTGCGTGGTCCTGTAAACACCGTGCACGCGTGCCAGCTACCAATTCTCGAAACGAATCAATTATACTACCGCGCCAGATCGGTGTGCCCTTTATGAGCGGGTACAGCGCTGCTCCGCAGCACAATCACCTTTCTGCGCCGCAATCCACGCTTGCCCCGACCCCAAACCAACACGACACGGTCGGCCCAGCCAGCCTAAGCGCCATCGCTGGCTCATACCAACCGGACAGCTCCGTCTTGGGCTACCTCCACCTGAACGGTGATGAGGGTGCGCAACAACAGGGACCACAACAGCAGAGCGTACCTATCAACCATCAGCACAGCCTCTACGACTGGAACTACCAGGTCCCTCATTCTGCCAGTAACCATCTACCGACGACCGTAACAACCACGGCAGCACCTGCTAGCATTTTCTCCTCCCTCCTCCCAGCGCTGACAAGCGGTCCCGAATTCGTCGGCCTACCGTGGACGGCTAGCGGGTCGCAGCCGGTATTGCCTGAAGCACAGCACGGGACCGCTGAGGTTCCTACCAGCAACTTGCCACAGACAGCTGTGCAGATCACGGCATCAGCGATTCCCTCATACAATTTCCCAGCGTCGGCGGGTCCCGAGGCGAATTCAGTATCGATGCAACAACCGCAAGCTGCTTACTCTTCAATGACTCAACAGTCGTCCGCGCCTCCTGCGCCACCTGTGCAGCCTACACTGCCCGCGCCGCCGGGCAACCTTGGTGTCCCTGGTAGCACCACCAATCCCGGCAGCGACCCTGGTGGCTTAGCGCCACCTCCGGAGTTGGTCTACCGCACGTTTGACGAACTGCTAGCAGCGGTACAGCGCTTCACCGACCAGCAGGGCTATGGCGTGGTTAAGCTGCGAGCAAGCAACTATCGCGAAGGCAAACCAACGCGCTATGATTTGGTATGCGACCGTGGCGGCGTGAAGTACGTCTCTACAGCTAAGAAGCGTAACCCGAGCACCCGCAAGGTCGACTGTCCGTGGCGCGCAAAAGCCGTGTGCGAAGTGCAACTGAACCATCAGTGGCGCTTCTCCGTTCAAGAGTCACGGCACAACCATGAGGCACGCGTTCCTGCCGCCCCCCCGGGGCAGGAGAACACGCCCGTCGCCCAGAGCCTACGGAGCATGCTGAACAAGATCGACCGCCTATCGCACGACATGATGGACAACTTCAACCAGTTGAGGGGGGCGTTGTCCAACGTGGAGAAGCGGCTCGAGGCCCTGGAAAGAGAACGCCCACCAATGCTCAGCGGCAATGGCGTGCCGCAGATGGGCGCACCCAGTATGCCACCCGCTAACATGGGCGGCAGCGGCATCGGGAACGGCGCACTGACCAACGGAGGCATGCAATCCCTCGTCGATAGCCGAATGGGCGGCGTGGAGAGCGGGCTTAGTCAGATGGGGAGCCGCGGGTTGGAAGGCTTGCCGATGATGGTTAACGACCAATAGTGAGGTTTCATCCAATACGTACTGGAGGGCCGACACGAGCAGGCACTGGTTTCGAACTCGCTACACGATCAGCAAGTACGCACGTTTGCAGCATTTGGCGGCCTGCCAGGACCAACAGAAGGGCAAGAGAACGAAAGCTCCGTCGGAACTTTATCTTTCAACAACTCGTGTCCTTTTGCCCACCGAGGACACGTTTCGCCTGCATAATAAACAGAAGAGGCGCTGGGACAGGCGAGAAGACCGCACCGTGAGGTCACAGACATGGAAGTCAGAGCCCCGGCCGATGAGGCGGAGCGGGCGGGGGAGGGACGCATGCACATGGCAGGACAGGTCGCAGACTTTGCTGTCTGTTCCGGGGGGGCTTTTTTGTCGTCTTGTTGCCATCTTTCAACTGCGCTTTCCCTGTTGTCTATGTATTCCCTTTCAGCGGCGTTTTGGCATGGGCAGTGAGCAAGTCTGTAGATACTCTGTTTGGCACGGGCTTCAGTACTTTTTGGGCCTTTTCCTTTCTTCTTTTGTTTGCACTTGGGTCTCTATTACATGGTTATTTCGCTTGCTTATCTCTCATGCTTCTCTTCTCGGTTACCATCCATAATGGGCATCGCTGGGACTATGGACCTGGTGTCAGCAAAGGGACTAGAAAACGGGCGGGCGGAAGACAGGGCTCACTTGGCGTTTGAACATGTTTGGGGGACAGGTCGTGGAAGCTACCTTGTTCAGCTTGCAGGAGGAGCAGGTTGGTTCGCTAGCATTGCTGTTTAGGTATCATATTGGCAGTTACCCTTGTGTTGGCTTGTTTGTCCGGTTAGCTCAGTTTGTCTGTAATATTATTCATGAATCACTGGGAAGTGTGACCTCAGACATAGAAACGGAAAACGAATAGTGAATGGAATGCAGCAGTCCGCTACCTTATTATCTCAGAAATCAAACCTCCTTGGTGGGCGTTGTCCGGGTTAGGCTGGTATAGACGTACGGCCATATAATTTTCTATGTAATTACATCGGCCATGTCTTCTTTTCCGACCTAGACTTACATTTTACAGAGGACGCCCAGCAAAGACGTTTGAGTCGGCGATTTGATTTTTTTTCTTGTTGGTGGGGTTAAAAGAGCGGGTTGGGCCAACAAAACATCTGTTATATAAATTCAACTAAGGTACTATAGATAACTTAAGGCTTATCTCTTAGTCTTTCTCTTAACTTATACTAGATAGTATTTATCTTTATAGGTCCTATATATATATTAAAAGATATACTTTTAGGGTACCGTTTCTTATAATAGTTAGGCTAGTTATTATCTTTATATTCGGTTTTAAAAATAATAGAAAAAGAGTTAGAGATAGTTTATTATTCAGTAAATAGTTAGTTGTTAGTCTAAATTACTACTATAATAATGCTATAACTTATAAACAATAGGAGTTTCAGTTAACCTAGAATAAAGAAGATTAGTAAAGAATATTGTCATGAATTAACCTGCAGAGGCCGGTGGGGCCCGACCTGCATAGTCAGTGGGCAGCGCCCGCGTCCAATCATTATGGGCCAGGAAGGACCAATGGGGATTGGGAAGATTGGGAATAATGCCAAGAGCAATTGTTCTAGATAGAACAATGAGAATGACAATTGTTCTAAATGTTCTAGAGATCTAAGTATGGGGATACTTAGGAGAGAAAGCTATATATAACGTGATTTATAAGCGAGTCGTGAGTATAAGCGGGCCGTGGCTTTTCTACTATCCTACAACAACAACAACCGTCCAAAATACAACAATAACAGTATCAACCAACTACAATTACATCAGAAACAGCTGAATCAGACGATTCTGCAGCCTCTCGGCAGGTACGAGCATTATGGCCAGGCTTGCCACACACACTACAGCACCGAACCTTCCTACAACCCCCCCCCCCCCCCCCTACTACTACCTTCCGGCTGTGTATTGTCCACTACCTCCCCACCTATAGCCTTCTAGGCCAGTAAATCCTATGCATCTTGCACAGTAAGTGATCCTCCAAGCTGCACGCGCGTTCTTTTAGCTCTGCGGCGCTTGCTTAGTGCCTCGTTGGCCTTGCGGAGCGAAGAGACCTCTGACCGAAGGAGAGCTACCTGGTACATGACAGCCATTGTACCCTTGGCAAGTTGATCCATAGCCGCCAATATCGAAGTCGGGAGAGCTGTTTTGATGGTTGGCAATGCGAGTCTTGATGAGCGTCGACTGCGATTCGGTTTCTCGAGGGTTGTATAGTGTCTGGAAGACCTAGGGTTGTACTATAGTAGGCTGTAAGGCTGGGGGTATTAGTATACGAAGCTGTATATCCAGGGTAGAAAGCACCTTCTCTAGATCGTACGGCATAAGGCCGGCCCCTATAAAGCTACCTTATATATTGCTCTCTGTTATAGAGGTAAAGAAGGCTTCGTGGAAGGTACAGAGGAACTCGAGCTTGCTGATATGGTTAATGTTCGCGCGTATTAAGTTCTCGATTTGGCGACCGTACGCCCGCTTCAGCGGTCCGAAACAGCCAATGTCGAGTGGCTGGCACTTATAGGAAGAGTGTGCAGGCATATAGAGCGTCTTGATGTTGTTATCCTAGCAGTAGTTCTCGAATTCGGTCGAGTGATGGCTCTCGTGGCCGTTGAGGATCAATATCGGGTATATACCCTTTGTATAAGACTTTATATAGTAGTCGAAGTGCTTGATCCAATCGAGGCCTACTTTATTGGTAGTCTAGCCGTTATTAGTAGTTGCAATATACTAGGCAAATAGAAGATTGGCCTTAATATACTAGTTGCTAAGATAGTACTGCCCGGCTAAGATAATGAACGAAGGGATAGCCTAGCCAAGAGCATTGACTCCCTAGATTACCGTTGTCCATTTGCGATTGCTAAGCTAGGCTAGCTTTGCCCTACTATAGCTATTAGAGGTTGTAACGACTATACCTATATAGATAATACCTATTATAAACCTAGTCTCGTCGAAGTTATAGATATCGTCGTCTAAGATCCTGAACTTAGCCTTAGTATTCTAAACAAGTACAAACCACTTATAAATAACCTTTGGGTCCTTGTATTTGGCCCTCTAGTAGTTGTACCGATATACCTAATGTATCTTAAGCTCTGGCTTACGCCTGACGAAGTTATAAGCCTAGAGCTTGCCGATAGGGGGCGCGTCATGTACATATAGCAGTTGGTTGGCTATATCTTCTATACTAGCGAGTCTAGGTGGAAATACACCTGCAACTAGGTCAATGATATATTGAACAATAGCCTGCTCTTCGGATTCCGTAAGCTTCTTCGAATTGGCCGTATAGTCGCGTCGTATAGGCTTGCCAGCGTATTGGTCCCTAAGGGTTGAAGCCGGTACGTTATAGAGCCTAGCTATAGCTTCAAGCCGTAGCTGTTTGTCGCTCCGAAGAGCTTCGAGGGCTAAGACTACCCTGGCTTCTTTTGAGGGGGAGGGTATGTCGGGTTATAGAGAAAATTGATGTTAAGTGAAAATATGATATATCGCGTTTGGAAAGCCACGGCCCGCTTATACCCACGACTCGCTTATAAATCACGTTATGAATGAATAAGTAGTATAATATACTAGCGGATAATAAGCGCTAAAGATTATTATTTCTAGAGGAACTACTACCGGACTTAGAATAGTAGAAGAAGGTTAATATTCCTCTAGATAATATACTAACATATAACTATACCGACCTAGTAGTTATAAAGAATATTTGTAAGCGCGGGAAGCTAATAGAAAAAGAATATATAAGATAGAGAGATAGCCGAGCTATAGCAAAGCGAATCAAGGAACTAGAGACTACAGTTGAAACTATAACTATACTAAAGCTAATCCTCAAGGTTACCCGCATTTTATAATACTTTAAAGCCCCGAAAGAAGCTACGCTAACCCTTAATTAGGAACTTTAGAAGATATACTAGGTTATATTTAACCTACCTAGCCTATAGAATAAAGCTTCTAAACCAAGCCGAAAAAGGAAGCTAACTGAGGATATTAATAATTTAAAGTAGGCCCGTAATACCTATAGGCTATATATTAAACAGAGACTCTATTGGTCAGTATAAAGAGAGACCTATAAATATTATTGTCCTTAACGACCGGGTTTTTAATAAGATTAACAATACTGATTTTTCTATAAACAATATACCCTCTATAAGATAGAGAGTATTCTAAAAGATAAGCAAGCTAGCTAAGCAAGGAAGGCTATATTAAAGGATAAAGAAGAACTAGAATAATAGGCCTTGTAAGTTATCTCCTCTATTATTATAAATTCCTTGATGTATTCAATAAGGTAAGTTCTAATACTATACCTCTATATAAAGAATCCGCTATTAACTATAATATTTAGTTACTACCTAGAGCAAGGTTATTTAACCTAGGCTATAGTCCTTTATATAAGCTCTCTATTGAAGAACTAGAGGTAGCCTATAAATATATTCTAAAACACTTATAGAAGGAATTTATAGAGCCTAGTAATATACCCTAGGCTGCCCTAATCCTATTCGTATTAAGGGGAGACGGAAACCTACGGTTCTAGATAGACTACTAGAAGTTAAACGCTATTATGAAAAGGATTAGTACCGCTTATTATTAATTAATAAAACGCTAGCTCGTATAGCCAAGGCTAAAATCTTTATAAAGATTAATATCTGCTAGACGTCCTATTAAATTTAAATCAAGCTACAAGCTAAAGAAAAAGGTCCTACCAAGGCTAAAAGAAAGTAAGGCTATAGGCTAATATTATAAAGTACAAGTTCTATATAGAATATATTAAGTTCTTGGGTTTTATTATTAGAACTAATAGCCTAGAATTAACCCCCTATAAGATAGATCTAATATAATAATAGTTAATGCTAACTATTATAAAAAAGGTCTAATCCTTTCTAGTATTCTGTAACTATTACTATTAATTTATATAAAAATATAGCCATACTACTAGATCCCTTGTAACGTTAACCTATAAAGATATTCTATTTAACTAGACTCTAGAATACTAGCGAGCCTTTAAGGAGCTTAAGGGCCGGCTATTAAATATACTAGCATTCGTATACTTCTCGTATAGACTATCTATATACCTCGAAACTAATATCTTAGCTAGAGTTTATACTAGCGTACTATTATAATGGTAGAAGAGCAGCGAAT